AGTGTTGCGGGATATCTGCTCTCTGGGGCACTGCGTTCGAGTGTTTTGCCAATTGGCATGATTTTACCAAAGCTTTTACGGCTTTTCGTAGTCCTTTCGTAAGCGGTTTTCTTACCAGCATCACAACACCCGAAACCGGTGGTGCTGTACTGCCGCGAGTACTCGGAAAGGCGCCTTGGAGTGTAAGTCGAACTGTCGATAGTACTGCACGTTGTGCCAACTGGTTCATCGCCCGCTCTAGAGATTTAGTGATGCTGTCTGCTCCATCTTGTGCTTCATTTACTTGTATAAAGCCAACTGAATGGATTTCTGGTGGACTACTGCCCATCAGAACCCACCCACCCTCTCCTACACTGGCCATGCTGAAGCACCCTAGCGCAGCGGTCCAGACTCTCCATTGCAGACAAGCGGCACCGAAAATGGTATGAATGTCCGAGGTGCAGTTCGTCGATGCCATTCCTAAGATGGAGTCTGGCAATATGCCTCGGTGCTAGCTCCAGGAGCTGGAGAAGTCGCTGCATACTGGCATTCTTCGAACATGTTGCTTGCTACTATGTGTTTCTATAACGAGTGATAGAGATTGCTGTGCGCAATGTGTCGTTAATTAAAAGATAGTCAATGACGCTGTTCGAACTGAGAGGTAACGCAACAACGAGTCTGAGAGAACCTGTGGCAGTGATTCGGTTCTATTTAACAACATAACTTCTTGCAAATCTTTCGCTAAAAAGACGACACTCCTCCGTGCTGTTAAGTTGACGATCTGGTTTTAGTGGGCAGCGGGGCTTGGAGTCGGGAACCTGGTGTAGTAGAGCTTGCGGGTATGAACGGTAGGGCTCGGAGTGGGGAACCTGGTGTAGTAGAGTTTGCGGACGTTGGGCGTGTTCTCCTGGGCCTCGACGTCAGCCGAGGCACTGGCCGGAGCAAAACACAGCGTGGTGGCGATGGCAGCGAAGGCGAGGATCTTGACGAACTGCATGGCTGTAGGAGACTTCGCTGGTGAGACTTGATGGACACGAGGCGAAATGGGAAATGACAGAGGGGAAACACCATGAGCCGGCGCAGCCGGTTGCCCCAGGTACGGTTGGCCACACACGACAACATAAGTTTATCCCATTAGATCAGGTACAAATGTAAGTGTTTTACACTGCAGAGCACTGTATTATTAGAGGCTACAGCAATGCATTGTAGAAACAGCAATATGCACTGTACTGTACATAGAACAAGATTGTTGAAGGCACGTGTATGCCTTCAACTATCTTTGAGAACTATCTTTGAGATGGTATCGTGATGTCGTGGTTTCCAATCCTTCTTATGCTCTTGTCGTCCAGTTCGCACATACGGTACATGTACTTGTACAGGAATACTGTATGACATGACGTCGTTATGCACACGTTTCGTTCTAGCTGTGCTGGCTTGCAACCTGCTCGTATTGCTGTATTGCGATAAACTACGCGCATCACTGGCAAAGGGGGTGCTGGCGCCAACAATTTTTTTCTAATAATAAAGAAAACTACACCCTGCATCGATCCCGGGTCACGGACTGGATACTGTAATGCCGGCCACTTACGCTGACGAGTTGATCACGGCTCCGCATCTCACCGCCCATGCTTTGAACCAGCACATGCCTGAAGGCATGTGTTGTGCTGATCCAGCAGTGCTATCGCCTTCCACGTCTAGCTGCCGCCTCGCTGCCGTCTAGCTGGTTACTGCTGTGTTGCGCAGGTGTAGTGTCTTTGTAGCCTAGTCACGTCATGACAGTGTTCTAATGCTTTTTACATCTCTCTTGTTCTGGATGTGTCTTAGCAATGCGCTGCCATGAAGCGTTTTGGGCTATTGTGGCTGTACACGGGTCGCCACACGCGAAGGAACTCGTGAATACACGCCATGATGACTTGAAGAAGACGAACCTGTGGCTAATACAGGCGCTAGCACTACATGGTAGGCAGCTCTATCACAACATGGTAGGCAGTTCTATGGGCGGCTCTAGCATAATATGGTAAGCCGCCAAGGCACATCATGGTAGGCCGCCGAGGTACAACATGGTAGGCCGCCGAGGCACAATATGGTAGGCGGCGAGGTACAACATGGTAGGCAGCGCCAGCACAACATGGTAGGCAGTCCTATAGGCGGCTCTAGCGTGACATGGTAGTCCGCCCAACGTTTAACATGGCAGGCATCATTTGGAATAAACGAATTTGTACAGGGCTTAAGTTGTTTTTTTCTCTTATTTTTTTATACGCTTCTTGTGTAAACTTGGCTTCACATTTTGGTAGAAGTACAATTTAGTAGAGCACGTTTTGACAATTTATGATTACATAATCGTTACCTGAAGATTATCGCACGCACCTCTCTCTCATTGGCCGAAATTCGAAATCAAGGTCACTACTGATAAAGTACGACGAAATCAAGGTCAGTAGTGATAAATATCCCCGTGCTGGACCAGCACAGCCACGAACAGACTGCCCGAGAAGTATCGCCACATACAGATGATACCAACGGCATGCTACGGCTGTTTTACTGTAAAAACCGAAGATCAAAAAGGCGACTCCACAGTGGAGTCGAGTCTGGGTGACAGTGGAGAGTCTCCACTGTCACCCAGTCTTCTCGTTTGCATTGATAAGGACCTTGTTTTCACAGTCGATCCTAGGTGGGGTGGACATAATATTAATAAATGCTACATGTATTAAAAAGCTGTGGAGTAAAAACACACTTGCGTTTTGCAAACCGTCCGTTGGTGCGTTGTGACTCTGGCAAACATTTAGAGGGGGTTATTCACTCTGAAGTTCACTGACAGCATAAACTTTTAGTTTCTTCGTGTAACTTACTAAGTAAGTGGAATTCACAAGTTGTGAAGCACAGCCGCGAAGCACATCAATCCCAGATGCAAACCCTGCCCACCTTTTGGCGCGAGGATACCGAAAGACGATTTCGACTTCGTTCGTCCACGACTGCAGCCGGAGTATATAGCACCCTCTCGGAGGGTGCATACATTGTAGCTTACGGCTAAAGCCTCGCTCGTACCACTCCTCATCTGCAGGTGGTCGTTCATTGCAAGTTCCCCATCCTACTTCCTATGCCAGCAAACTTACCCATAAAAATAAATCCCCACCCCCATTTTAACCCGCACTACCTAAAATTAAGGGTGTCCCCAAAAAAATGTACTGTACGTCTAAAACAAACCGTCCGAGGTTTCTGTATGTCGTCTCACTACACTTGAAATTTGTATGCCCCGTGCAATTACATGTGATGCGCCCCCGAGATATCGCTCACGCGATTTTTGTGTGAGCGATCGGGGTTTTTCACAATACGATCGAGGTTTTTCACAATAGGTGATTTCACAAATTTTGTGAGAACAGGAAAAAAACTCAATAAAAAGCCACGGAGTGTGGCCACCAACTTGTCACGGCCATGGCGTCTCCACTCCCGTCGAGCGCGTCCAGCTCCGTCCCGACGTCGTCCACCTCCGCTCCAGCGGCCACCACAGCTTTGTCTTCATCCCCCGCATCCAACGCAACTCTCCCCACTTCCAGCAACCCCGTACAAGCGCCACAATCCGCGTCCAACGTCGACACCGACCCGGCCACGGACCATGACGACGCCGACGCCGTCGCCGTGCCGCGCTGCAGCACGTGGTTCGCCATGGACAAGATCAACCCCATCGAGAAGCGCATGCTGCCCGAGTTTTTCGCGGAGGGCGCGTCCAAGACAGCTGAGCTGTACCTGAAATACCGCAACTACATGGTGCACGCCTACCGCCAGCAGCCGGGCGTGTACTTGACGGCCACGGCCTGCCGCCGCAACCTGGCGGGGGACGCGTGCGCCATTCTGAGGGTGCACGAGTTCCTCACGCACTGGGGGCTCATCAACTTCCACGTGCCGCCCCACTCGATGCCCCCGGCCGTGCACTCCAACTACTTCCTCAAGGCAGCGGACAGCGCCTCAAACAGTGCCGAGCAGGGGCCGGTGGCCATGCTCGTGGCCGCCAAGAAGGAGAACGCAAGGCGCGCGGACGTCCCGCTGGCCTGTGAGGCCTGTGGGGCGGCCAGAGGCCCGGAGGATTCCTTCTTCGAGCTCAATGCTGAGGCCAAGAAGAAGTTCACGAGCAATGGCGCAGCGGCCGGGAACGCTAATGCGCCCATGGCAACTGGAGCAAATGGGAAGGCGGCGGGGGTGAGTGAGGGCAAGGAGATGACGGTGGGGGGCTTTGCGTTGAGACCGGGCAGCGGCATTTGCGAGGAGTGCTACATCCGAGGAGCCTTTCCTGAGGGGTACGATGCTACGGACTTTGTGCTGATGCCGACGGTGGCGAAGAATCTGGCAGCAGCAAGTAAGTGGACGCAGGAGGAGACCAATCTGCTGCTGAACGCCGTGAGCAGCACAAGGAGCAATGGAGCCAAGGGCCCCGAGAACGACGAGGACGACGGCTGCTGCGACTGGAACTTGGTCGCCTCCAAGGTCGGCACCAAGACGGCGGACGAGTGTCTGCTGCACTTCTTGGAGCTGCCGCTGATGAACCAGACGGCGCCGAGTGGCCTGCGAGACTCGGTTCGGGTGCTGCGACCATTTACTGCTGGAGAAGCGCTGAACGCCCCCGTGCTGGACTTGGCGTCGCTGGTGGAGCAGGTGGACCCGCTGGTGGCGAAGGCTGCGGCCCACGCAGCGATTGGTGCGATCAAGCGCTTGCACACGATGCCAGCGGCTGCGAAGACGTCGGAGAAGGGTGCGACCTCAGAGGCGGATGGAGCTGCAGTTAAGGTGGAGAATGCCGCTACTCCTTCGAAGACTGGCGATGCTCCTGCCACGTCGCTTGAAGATGCGGCGGCAGCGGTTGCAAGTAGCGCAGAAGCGGCGGGAACTGCGTCCGCCGTCAAGATGGTGGACGTATCCGCGGATGGTGACGTTACAATGGAGGACGTGTCGTCTTCAACCACGACAACGGAATCTGCCCCCAAGGCAGAAGACGGCAAGAAGGAGGACACTCCCCCACCTGTCGCGAAGGAGATGATTGCTGTCACAGAAGAAGCCGCCAACGCCACCACCGTCGCGTTGCTGGCAACCAGGGCACAGAAGATCGCAGACGACACGGCCACTGGCCCCGTGCGAGATCTGGTCAATCAACTGCTGGAGAACCAGTTGCGGCAAATGGAGCTCAAGATGCAGCAGCTCAACGTGCTAGAGCAGGCGATCGTCGCGGAGAAGGAGCAGCTTGCCAAGGAGAAGTACCAGCTCTACGTGGATCGGCTAGCGTTCTCCCAGGAGAAGCTCAACGGTCGATCCGGACCCTAGATCCCCCTACATTTCATGTTGAGTGGCCGGCAGGAATCACCCGGCGTTCCTGTGGAGAGCAGATTCCAATAAAACGGTGAACTCGTTCCCCACTTATTCACAGTTTCGATGGGCTGAGGTGTCGGTTAGATGGTACGTTTTGCTCCAAAATAATAGAGCCGCGGCGTCTCGGTGGTATTGTGTGCAGGCAACGATGGAGGTCGCCTACGCTGGAGCGACTTCGCTTGGAGCCCAAGGAGAAGCAGCCGCAACGGTGACAGTAACGGTGGACCCTCCGACCTGCGTCGTGCGAACAAAGGTACACTAACAGTTTGACGAGTTTATTCGATCTAAGGCAATTGCAGGGCACGCGACTTACTCTCTCGGTTGCATTGAACTACTGTTTAGAGCGGCCAAATTGTGCTCGATGCTCTGACAAGTCCAGTCTCGAACATCAAGAGCGTGGAGCTGCGCAACTTCAATCTGGACCAACTGAGTGTGCAGCAGCTGGACTTGCTCTTTGGTGGATGCAGTCACGAGTGCCAGAGCTTGTCGTTCGAGAAGTGCACGCTCTCCGGGGACCGCTTCTTCGCCATGATGACGGACCGGTTGACGAGAAACCGAGTCAAACTGGCGCACTTCCGAGTGAGAAGGTGAGTGAACGCGCTATCTCTGAAGGTTTGGGTGAGGAACTCACGCATGGTTGTCATTCTGACGCGATTATAGCTGCCAGCAAGTGAGCATGACGTCTCTTATCGCCATCTCGGCGCTGTTCACGTCGTCCCTTGTGACTCTGGAGCTGTCGTCATGCAAGCTGCCGCGACAGGCTGGAATCATTTTGAGTCAGTCGCTTCAAGCCTGTACGTCGCTTCGCCACCTGCTCTTAGCCGACAACAACATTCGGGACGGTGGGTTACGCGCCATCGCGGATGCGCTAATTCTGCTGAATGCATCAAGCGGCAGTGCTGTGTCCGTAGCGCTTGGTCAGGAACATGACTCGGTACCATCAATGCTGGAGCAGCTTGATATTTCTCGGAATGGAATCACATCAGCGGGTTTTGCCTCCCTAACGCAACTTCCATTACGTCGCCTGAGTGCAGCTGGGGACGCTATTGAGAGTGGCGTGGGGGCTCTGCTGCTGAGCAATACCTCGATGTTGGAGACGCTGTGTTTGCTGGGGAACCCGCTCTCGGAGGACGGCAAGCTGGAGCTGGTGCGCTCACTCTTTCGGCGGCGAGACAAGACTGGCAAGAGTGCCTTACGTGAGCTCGATTTGCGAGGGTGTGGATTCAATTCTGTGGATGGTCTGGATTTACTACAGCGCAGTTTCCTGCAAGCAGCAACCGCCGGCCAGCAGTGCTCTCTTCAGACACTCTACCTAGACAAGACTGCAGCCCCTGCGGAAGAAGACTGTGACAACAAGCCGTTCAAGGAAGGCTGCGAGAGTCTGAAGGATGTGGCGAAGACAAACTTTCCAGGTCTGCGTCTTCAATTTCAGTCAGGTTCACACGTGGAAGATCTGCCAGATCCTGCGCAAACGGCAGCTCCATCTCGAAGTGCAAACTCCGTCCAAAACCCTGGCGAGCCACCACAGAAGCCCAGAGCAGTCGATGCTGCGAGCAAATTAGGTCTCACCAGTGAGCTTGAAGCCGTGGCGATGGCGACCAAAACGAGCGTGAACGCTACTTTGGCTTCCGTTGCTGGGCTCACCTCCCCATTACCAAGACAACAAGTCCTGAGTGCAGAATACTCTCGCCCGGATAACTCCGTCATGCTTCACGCGCTCGCATCTGATCCACTACGAACACCAACTGCGATAATCCAAGCGCACCCACTGCAACAATCCAGTATCACAAACACAGCGACAATGCGAGTTGAGCCTGTAGCTCCCTTGCCAATGCAGCACATTGACGTCGAGTACATCGTGAGTAAGACAATCGAGTGCATGAGCCACAACTTCGAACAACGGCTTGGTCAATTTCTATCCCGAATGGAGACGCAGCAGCAAGAGCGGGTGCGTAGCTTGCTGAGTTCGAAAAGGGGTGAGTAAAGCTAACAATGCGTGTATTTATTTGAAACAGAATTCCTCGCAGGTGCAGTTCTTGGCAGCCAAAGTGGAAGCGTGCGAGCGTGCACTGCCACGACTGGAGGCGCGGCTGGATATGCTGACAGATCGCGTCGCGGCTGGAAGTGCTCAGCTGGCCAAATTGCAGACGGATGTTGCCCTCCAGATCCAGCAACTTCGGCAGGAAGCGCTCACACAGCAGATGTCCAACCCGTACAACTCCGGAGCCTTCAACTCCAGGCAACTATCGCCCACGATGCCTCTCTCCTCGCGGATGCAATCGCAAGTGGAAGAAATGGTGTCCAGTAAACTCCAAGCCAGCGAGCAACGAGTGTACTCTGAAGTGGACCGGATCCGTGCTGCTCAAGCCAATGCGGCACCGACAGACCCACATGCTGTGGTGAATGCAGTTTCGGTCCACTTGACGCAGTTCAAGCGCGAGTTTGATGCCAACCAAGCGGGCGTTCTGAGCCAATTCACCGAAAGTGTGAGCTCGGATGGTCGTCGACTGGAAGAGCGGATCGCTCAGGTAGAAGCTCAGATTGGCAGCCTCGAATCCGTTATTCAATCGGAGCAGCAAGCCTCACTGTTGGCTTTGGAGGCGATCTCCGATGCCTTCAACGATCCGGCTGCCCCAGTCTCCACGCGGAAGATGTAGCGCTACATGTATACATGTACCTGTACCTGTTTAGTGTACAGTACAAGCAAAGCAATTGAGACAGGCACGTGGCGATGGTGACATGGTGCGAGGAAAGCAATACAGATTTCAAAACTCGTCACCACGACCAAAATGCCCTAGTTCCGCTCCAAAGACAACCTACTAAGATATTAATATCTCCGTAGCGATGACAAGATCAACCATAGCGTCATTTTGATAACTCTGGGTTGTCAGACAAACTTGAGTGATATTTCCCATTTAATATCCTCATCATGTGAAGCATGACACCTGCATGTACGGACCGCTCAACTCCTTCTGAAGCCTATGCCCAGACAATCGGACATAGGATTGCGGTGAGTCTGCAACGAGTCGCGTGGCCATACGGAGGAGCTGAGAACAGATCCATCCATACTAACGATCTACAGCATACGTGTAAGCTGCGATTGAAATGGAGGCAACGGCTGATCTACCGATACATGTGTACCTGTAACGAATTTTCCTGTGAGAGCTGTATCTGGTCAAATACACTCCACGACAAAAAGATATGGACACCACCAAAAGTGGCTGTAACTTCGTCATTTTTTATCGTTTTAAGGTGCGGTTTGGACTAGAGTTGCAGAACACGCTGATAAAGATCTGCACGCGCGCGCTTTTGCGCTTCTTCAGGTAGCTCACATACAAATCACTGGTTCTGCCCAGGTGACAAAACTTATGGACAGCTAATCCCCATGCAAAATCCTATATTAACCAAAACCCCTTACAAATGATACAACTTGGACTTTGTATGGGGCGACAAAGGAACCCATGATTTCTCCACTCTACCTTAGTACTGAGCCATATATCATCGACCAACAGTTTAGAATGGAGAAGACAATCGTATATCCAAAAGATAGCAGCATACAGAGCTACAAATTGGCACTAACTAGGATGCAACTGAAGGTGTCTCGCAAGTCATCAGATAATACATGGTAGCCACCACTCGAAATTTCAGTCGCTTACTACTTGCTCAGTTCTGTGCGATGGTCGATGTGTTTATTACAGATCACTAAACACACCTTCTAATAGACAATAATGCCATCAGATATTTGTCTAACGTCGCGAGTATCGCCGTGAGGCTGGTTCCTTTGTCGCCCCATACAAAGTCCAAGTTGTATCATTTGTAAGGGGTTTTGGTTAATATAGGATTTTGCATGGGGATTAGCTGTCCATAAGTTTTGTCACCTGGGCAGAACCAGTGATTTGTATGTGAGCTACCTGAAGAAGCGCAAAAGCGCGCGTGTTAGCAGCGTGCAGATCTTTATCAGCGTGTTCTGCAACTCTAGTCCAAACCGCACCTTAAAACGATAAAAAATGACGAAGTTACAGCCACTTTTGGTGGTGTCCATATCTTTTTGTCGTGGAGTGTACTCGTGCTTTTACTGCAGGGCATGGATTCGAGTTTTGCTATTCGTGCACTCCAAGACCAGCCGGTCTCCGGAAGTTATCCGATAACGGCATTTTCCCTTAACAATCCTGATGTTATCTTCTGATGTGTTTCGATACGCGTAGAGACTCACTTCTCGGCCCCACGGAGCTTTCAGGCTCGACTGATGCAGCATGCGCTGGGAGTGAAAGCCGAGAGGGTCCCGTCGACTGCCCCTATCAAGCTCACTTCGCTATTTGCACTCCACCAACAAGCTCCAAGACACCCCTACCCACTTCATCTCCAGCCAAGCGTCTCCACCTCGTCGTGCTGCTGGTCATTGCGGCTGTCCTGACAAGCATTAACGCTGCCCCGACGTCTGCTGGCGCGAACGTGATTGCAACCAGCTTCCACACGGATGTCCGCTCGGTTTTTGTCGAAGGAAACGCTACCCCAGCTAAGAGATTGCTCAGGACTGTTGAAGATGAGGACAGCGAAGAAGAATCCGACGAGGAGAGGGGGTCATCCCGTCGTCGATCAGCACGAAGTGGACGAACTTTAAGCTCAGGAGGTGGCTGAAGAAGGGAACGTCCGCCGACGACGTCTTCCAGAAGCTGAAACTGAACCGTGGGGTGGAGTCGATCGTTGGCAGCCCGAAGCTGGAGACGATGGCCACGTACGTGCGGGTCTTCAACAAGAAGAACCCCGGACAGGAAACGACTTTGATGAAGACGATCACGAACGCCTACGGCGAGGCTGCAGTGGCCAAGGGGCTTGAAGCGGCGGCGAACGTACACAAGACCAAGAGTAACGCGCTGGAGCTGCAGGGTGCGCAGTTCAACCAATGGATCGCGAAGGACATTAAAGTGGACGACGTTTTGCCAAAGGTGTTTCAAGTCGAGTCCAACAGTGCAAGCGCGCTGGAAAAACTGATCGCAGGCAACTACGCAACGTACCTGAAGACTCGCAGGCAACTACGCAACGTACCTGAAGACTATGCCCAAGTAAAAATCCTTTCTAGTGCTTTGGAAGTAGATCAGTCGCGCCGCCGGTTGTGCCGCGAGGTTGACTAGACCGGTACCGTGCCGGTCTAGTCAACCTGCATGTAGCTTCCGCATCGATCGATACAAACATTAACTACTCTACAGTGTAGCGTGTAGCGTGAATGAAAAAAAAATGTGCATGAATTAGTGGTGGCGATTCCGAATTAATGTTTGGGTGACAGGCAAGTCGTGAAGCGTTAGTGTTTAGGGCCGTCAATTGCCTTTAAAAGCAAGCTTAGAGCGCAATAACCGGCCTATCAATCAGATCTATGTAAAAAATCCTTTCTAGAGGTTAACATCTCTGGTGTGACGGCAGGCGAGCCGGAAAAAATATAATCTTTCACCCTAAGAGCGTCGAGGTTGCGCGTCAGTGTGCACGCCATGCGTTCTGTCGTAGACAGCCTTGAACTGCTTTGCCACTGTTTTCTCCGTCACGTCCGCAGCTTTCACGTTCGACGCGTCGACCTTGTAAAACTTGGTAAGGACCCTAATCGGGTCGTATCCTTCGTCCACCCAGTGAACAAATTGCGCAGTCTGGAGCTCTTGCGCTTTTGCTTGTCCACGCACGCTTGGGAGCGCCTTTGCCATCATTAACTTCAACGCCAGTTCGCCCTCTCCATAGCCTTTCGTCAAAACTTGGAGTAGCGTCGTCGTTTCCGATTTTTTTCCATTGACGAGCTTGATATACTCTTCCAGCGCCTCCAACTTCGGGCTGGCAATGGCTACAAAGTTATCCACCGGAAACTTCAGCAACGTGAAAGCGTCGTCGGCTGATTTCCCGCTTTTCAACCAAATCGCGAACTGTTCCTTCTGCAAATTACTCGCCATCGTTTCCACGATCGGATCTCTCGATGCAGGTGCAGTAACCAGCCCGCTCGCCACGGCTTCGTCTCCGTAGTGCGCCGTCAACGCCCCAATCATCGAAACTTCACTGCTCGGATTATCTCTGTTTAAGGCTGCAAAATACCTTCTGAGCGTCCTCAAGTTTGAGCTTTTCAGAGCATTCGTCGCGTCATCATCCAGATTTAACAGTTTCAAGATGCAATTTCTCGTACACCCACTGCTTGATCAGGGAATTCTCCAACCGCACGGCCTTCATCTCCATGGGGTCAAACTTTGCAGCATTGAGCATCGACGCTAAGTTGGCCTCTCCACCGAAGCCCCTCGCTAATGCATTGAGCAGCGTATCTTGACCATCGTTTCTACTGTTGAAGACCCTGATGTAGTTTTCAAGTACCCCCAACTTTCGGCTGATAAGAGCTTCGTATCTGTTGTCTCGAAGCCTGAGTAGCTTGAAGACATCGTCCACAGACTTCTGGCTGCTCAACCAAGCCTCGATCTGGTCAGTGCGCAATCGAGTCGCGCGGTCCTTCGTCTGCGGGTTGTCCATTGCAGACACGAGTGCCCCGGCCACGGTAGCGTCTCCGTAGCGAGTCGTGAGAGTTCCAATGACAGAGATCTTGTCGTTTGGGTGCTTCTTGTTGAACATGTTGACGTAAGTGGACAAAGCGTCCATCTTCGAGCTTTTCAGAGCGGCCATGATTCCACTGTCGAGCTTCAATTTGGTCAGGACTTGGACTCCGTCCTTGTTCCTGAGCAAATAGGATTTCAACTTTGCAGTCTCAACGCCTGACTTTATCAGCCTCGTGACCTTTTCAAGAGGAGCTCTCTCTTCGTAGTCTTCGTCCGATGTTGCATGGTGGTCTCTCACCTCTGTTCGCGGTCGAGTGGATAGCAGTCGAAATGTTGGGCGTGATCGTCTTGAAGTCGGTACTGGCCGTAACACAGTCGACGCATGCCACGATAGCTACTGCTAACACCACGATGCAGTTGAGACGCATCGTAGGACAGACTTGACAGTCGCTCTTAGGGCCTGGGCGCTGGGGTGAGTGGGCAAATTGCGAAGTGTTCGGAATGAGAGTTCGTCCAGGCGTACGGTTTACGGATGATAGATTACTGTAGAACCTCGTCCATGCCTCCAATCGTTGCACCGTACACGTGTACGTGCACGCTGCATCCCAAGATTAAACTACTGTACAAAGATGACGATTACCGCCGAGGGAATGGTGGATACATCTCAAGTTCTCCTGTATGGAGACTTTCATCGACTTGGCTTTTGAGAGAAGCTTGGAATGCAAGCCTATTCTTCACAAGTCAGCCGACTAGCACTGCACCTCGCGTGTTATTCTCTAGAAGATACTGCTGCCCCGGTAGCAGCTACTGGTTGCCAACGAGCCAACCGTTGGATTCCAACCTAACAAGCTACACATATACTACATGTATAACATGCGTGGTTTACGGTTGCTCACAATATACTAATCCCCGGTGGGACATGCACAGCACCGGGTCCCGAGGTCAAACTCCAATCTGACTATTCATTCCATTCATTCATACTGGTACACACCGACAACTCCACTTTTAACCATCCGATCCACGGAATGGTTTCAAGAGCTAGAGAAGGATCGTGAAAGAAACAGCTTGAATCGCTCCCTGAACATGATCATACTCGTGAGGTCGTCGTTTCAGCTTCTCACCTCAAGTAGCGACTATCGCGTTTCTGCGATTTCATCATAAATTTCTTGTCAACACCACCTCCAAATGCTCGTCAGCGCGCTGTGCTGCCAACAGGTTTGCAGGTAGCAGTATGCAACGAGTTAAATCGAGGCAAACACGCACGTGCCGTGTGCGATGCGCTATAAATTACTGTTAAGCTGACCAGCGGGCTTGAATCTCTTGCCATAGTGCAGTAGCCCAGCAGGATGTAGGCGGGGTGTCTTCTGACCAGCTCCCACGTGGCGTGCAATTACCTATAAACTCGGGAAAAGAGAAGCAGGCCAAAGCAAATGTGTCGCCGTGTGATTGGAAATGTGCGTCATTCAACAGCAAAGACACCTATGCCATTGGAGGTCCTACAACCACATATTGAATCCACAATAGTTATCGCCGCGAAGACCCTCCACAAGTCTCCAAAATTATGTCTCCACAAAGTCATCCAGCTCCACACACATTGCCGCCTTCCCTTCCATTTTCTCGGATATCAGCTCCTCTGGTTTCGAAGCTTGGGTCAACGTAAGTGTAGGGCCGACGTTAATATTCTCCCAGCGTAGCAGCCCCATGACAGTCTCCAATACATTTGCACGAACGCTTCTCGGGTCCCCGACAGCCGAACACCCCGTCAAGTGAATTTCGCAATGCTCCTCTCCACTTTCATCGACCACCGGCACGAAATGGTTCCACATACACGCATCATTCGCCCAGATATTCTCCAGTGCCCCTCCACAAACGACAGGATCTTGCGGGACGCTCTGGGTCACGATCGCGTAGCTGCCATTCGCCTCAAATAGTCGAAAGCGCAGGTACAGCAGACGCACAACCTTGCCTTCGCGATCCGGGTCCACCTTCTCGCGCGCAATTAAATAAGTATCATCATTAAACTTCTTGACCACCTGCATAAAATTAAAACAACATACTTGTCAGTAACTAGACCCACATAATTATTTTTTTCCTTGTCTCTTACGTGGAACTGCTGCGTCGCTGCCTCGGATGCGCTTCGGTAAGTCACAAACTTGATCTCGTTCGCCCAGTTGCGATCTGCCAGGTGCCTGGCCGACCGATTCCGGAAAAGTTTCTTGAACGAGAAGTACAGCTTGTTGTCCTTGAACCGGTGCAGCGTCGTCCACCCGAAGAGGTAAACTCGTTGGGTGTCCGCAAAGCCCACTCTGTCCACCTGCGTCCTCTCGCGTCGCGAGGTCAAAATGATTTCAGTTGCGTGATCCGCACTGAACCCATTCTGGACTCTTAGGTCCCCGGGGCCCTCCCGACGCAACTGCCTGTACACTCGCTCCTGGGCCTGTTGCTCTCGAGCCATTTCCTTCAGTAACCCCTCCATCCTGTCCTCGCCCTTGACTCTCTCTCCCAGTTCTTCCTGGAACTTGAGGTTCTGTCGCATGAGCTGGTTCGCCTGCTCACGGGCGTCCTCCAGGCGTCGCTGCAGGTCCGCAATGCGGTCCGTCCCAGCCTCCGACGCGTGGATTTGGGACAGCGATTGTTCCACGCGAGACAGCAACTGGCGGTGCGTTTCCTCGAGACTCCGCGCATCCTGCCGCAGCGCCTCCATGTGGTCTCTGTCCCGCTGCCGCGCACGCTGCATGGCCTCCCGGTTGCGGCGGCGGCGCTTGTCCAGCGACGCCTGCCGCTTGAGCTCCGTCGTCGACTGCTGCTGCATTACAATCCCGTTGGCAATTCGACTGACTACAGGCGTCCCCGGGCTAGTCCCGGCTGTATATTTTAATGTACCTCGCATAGGAAGTACAACAAGCTCTCAAGATTTGCGCGCTACTTCTACAAACATATTGATTTAGATGAGTGTACAGCGATACCTACTGCGACAAGTGGCACGTTGCGGAAATACCTCCACCGTATTCTTGAGCTAAGCTTGTAGTAAGTCAGTACATACTCATTTATGTTCAGACCGCGTGAATCTTGTTGATTCGCAAACATCATAAGTACCACTGTGGCGAATAGGCCGGGGACGCCTGTACACCGCAATTCGAATTGATTACGGGAAGTATTATGGCGGAAGAGTAATCAATCTTTTGTGTAAGTTCACCTGTGTTTGACGGCAAAATACAAATGATTAGTTTATTATAAAGGCACTTGTTGCTGCACCCATCCACCATATGGAAAACTAGGCTGTGACGAGACTATTGTACCCGTTTGCGCCCGACCACGACCGTCAAGAACCGACCAAAACTGAAGCAAGCTGTATACTCCATGTATAGACCGGTTAGATGAAGAATGTTCGAGAAGGCCCAATGCCGACCACCAAAGCGACTAAGCACTTGTTACTTGATGTTAAAGAGGGTAGGACACTCTCACGTTGGCTCTCGCCTGTAGACTTAGCAACGGCACTTCGAGGGGCGCCGCTGCGCGACCTGCCCCACCCCCCTCGAGCCTTACGCTAAGTCCTCGGCTCGGCCAGGCGAGGTATCTGGATTAGATAGAAACTCCTACTTAGGCATACCTTCCGGCCCACGCGCCGAACATTGCAGACCTATGCTTTGCTTCGGTTGCAAATGGTCTCTCTGAGGCCTCTACGTGAAATGACTAAGTGCATAGCTTACGGGGAGCGAATTTTCGAACAGTACAGGACACTACACATCTCGGACAGTCCATTACATTGTTTTTTCCATCGTTCTCTTACGTTAACTCCTACCAACAGCTCGCAAGATTCTTGTGGCCACGCCACGAGCTGTAGTCTTGAACAGGTAAACAACTTGAGCGCATGCGTTGACCTAGCCAAGCAAACAACAAACATCACCACCGGTACCCGACTGAGAACACCGTCACCCGTCACCGTACCCGACTGGAAGCTTATTTTCCCCGACTGATACGGCTGTACCCGACTGACGATAGCCCCGCCCTCGAACTGATCCCAAACGCTGAAGTCTCACGCATTCTGCTTGCGCTCTTTCGCTTGTTCTCCTGGTAAAGCTGTTTGAAAGCGGAGCAGGAAGTGCCTTCTGTCTCCGCCGGTTAAAGCTGGCCGCTGCGCGTACAGACACGAGTATGAATACACCAAGTGATGCTTAGATCTCCCCCGAACAGTTACTTGCCTGACAGGACTGAGAGGTGGCCTGATGCTCGTGCATCTCTTCAAACGCGCGCAGGGAGGAAGGGGGGGGGGCTCTGACGCCTTTTGTGTTGCGTCGACCGCAGTCTTGCAGCCAGCCAGGGAGCGCTCCACGTCATCGTCGCCACGAGGTGTCGCTGCAGCACCACTAGGCGCTACCGGTAGTCGTCGACATCATGCGCATGCTTGTACGGCCAACAGGGCGACCGCGCGGCGGGGGGGGGTTCATGCGTGTGGCGGCTCGCCGCAGTTTTAGGAATGAATGGTTGAAAGTCGAAAGTACAGACAACGACGGATAAATCCGGCACCACTGAATGGCATCCTCCATAGTAAATGTGCCAGAATTCTCTATCAGGAACGATAGAGATTGTACAAGGCAATGACATAAAATACACGTAACGGAGCATAAAGTACACACAAATTTATAGAAAGTACTTAAACCATATGGAATACAAATGTCAAGTGTACATCTCGAAGTTGTAAAAAGTACAACATATGTGTTTGCGTTGCCGTATTTATCCGTCGTTGTCTGTATACCGCGTATACGAAGTTCGGATGGAGGTCAGAAGCGTGGTTAGGTTATTAGTGGGTGCAGCAACCACTCTCTATTTTAAAAGGTGTGTATACAAGTGCACTCCAGCACACAAAGCAAATGCACAAAGTGCAAGCTTGAAGTAGTGCATGTAGTGAATTGTGCAGTGTACGCGTAGACTGTGGCTGTTGTTCTTAGTATCATACAGGTACAATGTTGCCCGGCACATCTTGTTTTTGCTATAAGTTTTTACTCCGCTTTTACCGTTTCCATTTCAAGTAAGAACTCGCTGCCGATTAGCGTTGTGCGACTCGACGCTGAGATGTGGTTCGTGGTATATATCGGATCGTTGCTCATTGTCAGTACCCTTACTCGTGCACGAGTCTTTCGATATCAACTCGCTGGCCTGTATATTTGCCGACCCACACTTTCTCCGTCGACAATTGTACCTTGAGATAGCTCGATTGGAGCGGATAGTCTTAACTGGAATGAACAGCTCAATCACTAGGGGTGATCGCGATCCCTTTGATAAGGAGTTTGGTAATATTCTCGGAAAGGATAAATCTACACCTACCAAATGAATGCTGTTTGATAAGCGCTTAAAAGTATTAAATGGGTCGGAAATTGGCCATCAAGAAGCATTTCGCCAAACTGCTTATTCGATCGGATTCACTATCAATGGGCCGCGCCTGAGGGGTTATTTGTACGACACAGTACCATGCTCGCTGGTTCAGAGTCTGACGAGTGGCTCTTCAAGAGCCTTCGGTCCTCAGATCCCGAGAAGCGAAGATTGCGAGTCGGAACCACAAACCAGAGCCCATACCCAATGGTTATACTGACCGATAGGTCATGCTGCTAGGCAGCCCAAATCGGGTTAATTCGCGCCTCGGTAACTGAAGCCAGTAAACTGAGGCCGGTATCGTGGTCCTTTGTCACTGGCTGTCTTTCTCCTGGTGACCCGGTAACTGGAGCTGGTAACTGAGTCCGATCTCGAGTCACTTGACTTCAGCCATTCGCATTCTAAAGCAACCGGCACCTACGTACGTACCTATCTCCCTGCTTTTCCTTTATCTCGCGAACTATTGCTCAGTACAGCCACAAGTTCCCTACACTAACATGGTCGCACGTTTTTCGCCATAATTCGCCACTATCAGGTTCACTACGACGCTGAATTCGAGACGTGGTTTCGGCTGACTGTTGTAGTTGACGTCGCAGGCCGTGTCTACCTCGGTCTCGCTGATAGGCGCCATGGGACTACAGCTATTGTGCAATTTTACATTCTACCACTAAACCAAGCAGCCGGCCTACGTACCTAGCCACCGCACTAGGGCCCCGCAATGGCTAGGATAGGGGTCTTTTGACCGTATCTGTAGTTGTTTTGTTTTTAGTTTATAGCAGGCTTTTTATCAATACCCATTCGCGTCTCCTGCGCCTGCTTCGCAGCCGCAGCATCTGCCTGGTAATGCGATCTGAAAAGTAGATACTGTCTAGTAAGTTTGGAGCGGTATGAGGACAACACGAGTTTTAACTACGAAGTACAAATGCAGTAGCTACAAGACCGAATGTGTGACCGCAGGAGACACTTACTCTATGTCTATAGTGTAGCCCTCAATTATATCAAACTTTGACATTGAGCAGACTATTTTTTTTAGAAATCCTTAAATTTCAAAGTTTACGACTACGTTAATGGCCCCACGACCGCTACGTGCGGCGATATTGCAGCTGGGGGGGGGGGGGGTATACGGCGCGCATCTTGGCGCTAGAAGTCGTGGTCTACAGATAATTTTCAGGGTACAAACAATGCAAAGAAAACAAAACGCAACGTTAACTATGATACAAGATATTCAATGCTCCAGGTTTCTCATAAAGGTCGCCCATGAAGCTGATAGTTCTTCCTCTCACTTGCTAGGCAAGAGAGGCGACGAGTAGTTAAGCTTTGAGGTTGCGCTCGCACGCCTTGATATTCGTCGTAATACTACTGCTGTGGTGAAAGTTCTGGCTGCCCCCGTAAATTTGCTATCCCAGCCTATGCGTAGCCCTAGTTTCAATCCTGTCCATCTGTTTGGTAAATCACAAATGACGACGAAGACTAATACCTAGGAGATAGCTTACGTAATGCGTCATGGTACGAAGATAACACGTCTAGGTGTAACCTTTTTGCCAGCGCTCAAACTTCACCAGCTAAAAGTTGTAGGAAACGGGAGCTCATTGTCAAGGAAGCGAAGGTGAAGGTTGACTTGAACTTCGCCATCCCACTGGGAGGACCCAAGACAAGTTCAGAACATCATGGTCTCCCCGTTGTACATCACAATGAAGATCATGGGATCACACGCGGGATCGGGTGGTTATAAAACGGAGCTATCATCACCGATGGCGTATACTAGTAGAGTTGGGTCAAATCATTACCGAGTTAACCCTATTGTGGTGGGTCCACCAATTACCGTTATTACCTTCCTAATAACTTCCTATTAACGGTATTACCTTTTGTGTAAAGTTGGTGTATCAGGACTGCCTTAGCTAAAAAAACAAGGACGGGATGAGGCTAGCACCTATGGGCCCATCATACCTTCCTAGTGGTTGGAAGACTCTAGGTGGGAACAAGCATGAAGTCCTAGTATTGAGGACAAGCGCATTCTTGCGGACTCTGACCGGAGTTTTAGATTGCACACAAAAAGGCGGGAAAATGACCAAAGAGGTATGAAATCCAAACTTAAATGCCATGTTTTTTTAGCTAAGGCAGTCCTGATACACCAACTTTACACAAAAGTGTGTAAAGTGTGCAGCGACTACCCTAGTCTCCACCGAACGACTTAAGATGACCGCATACATGTTTGGTCGATAAAACTTGGCGACACACGGAGAGTCGACTCGAGGAATGCGCTTCGCGCAGCCATGTCGTGGCGCTGTGGCTTTAGTTTCCAATCTTGCGCCCCTTGCATGTCTGCCAGTTGTGACCTTGTTGGTGGCTTGCACTGCACCGGTAGATACTGAGTGGTCCATCCCGCCGCTGCTACGAATCCTCTTGGTCTGGGGACGACCACGTCTCGCTGCGAGGACCGGAGGCTACGTCACACCATCAAGCTCAAGCTCTTCGTCCAGCGGAAGATGCACGACCTTTCCCATGAACGCGCGCGAGTACGACGACAGGTTGTACACGTCGTCGAAGTACTGGAAGACCGAGGCGAGCTGCTTGCGGCTCTGGAGCACGGCAATCATGTGTCAGCATGGTAGTCTGTGCTGGTCGATGAAGGCGCATGTGCAGTGCCTCTCCTCCAGGTTAACTCGATGTTGGACACGCATAACGAGCGATCCATTGTCCCGGTGCACGTAGCTGATGTGAGGAGACGCATGCTGGACACGGCAGTGACCAATGTCTTTGCTTTGCGGGTTGTACAGCGCCATGCTTTTTGGGGGCTTCTTGAGCGATACAAGGGAGGCTGCGTGCATGTGCGCCCTCGTCCGTGAGGATGCTGTGGTGTAGTGGATGGAGATATTTTTGCGCGGATACCCAAGATCAACAAGATGGCCAAGATCGACAGTGTGGACTAAGATCGGCAAAGCGTGGCGACGCGTAGTCTGGCACGATAGTAACCAGCAAGAAGGTCAAGGGGGCAACATCAAGGTGAACAACATCTCTGGAGGTGCTTGAGAGCCAAACCCCGGCGTAATCGATCAAAGTCGACGATATCGATCTTGGCGGTGATGACGCGATCTTAGAGAAAGAGTACCCCATGGATTACGCGGACACCGGGCAGAGAGCCAGCGGCACCGCCAACGTTCAAGGGAGCTAGAGAGCACGCGCACAGACCGCACGAGCGCAGGAGTGCAGGAGAACGATAGGACAAGGGCTTAGGACAAGCTAACATTTTAAACAGAGTTGTTTTTATCTTCTACTGATCAAGTGGTCTTCGCCTTCGCACTACCGGGCACGGGATATACTTTGGCCCACCCGACGCTACGTAAGTCGACTTATACCCCAAGATCAAGGAACCTCGGATGCCAGGATAGCTTGGCCCAGCGTCCGTCAACCCTCATTTCGACCCACCGCTAGAGGAAGCGGCAAGCAAGGGAAGGTAAAGGAAGGTCACACATCAACCACAAGGCAACACCAGGCCAAGATCACACCTGGCCGGCGAGTGTCGATCTAGCCAACCCCAGATCGAAACCGCCACAAGTACTCCGGCGCAGCGTGAAGCATATCCTCATTGTTGCCACAAGTTCCCGCTGTCCGCCAGACAGTCCAAGACTCAACCCCAAGCGCGTCTTCTCGAGATCACCCGAAGAGCGATCCAGCCCACCGACGGGTACACAAGGTGAGGATCAGCAACTTCACGGAAGATCGGAGTACCCCCGCCGTTAGTCGGCAGTTCGGGCGCCGTGTGCAAGAGGCCCCCGCGATCTGCAAATTTTGCGGAGCCGCTTCGCCACAATGCTGGCTGCACCACGGTGCTCTCTCAACACCTCCTCCTCAATTGCAGGCAGTCGTTCGCGTAGCTGCGCCCGGTTGTCGTTGGCGAGCATGCTGTCAACCGGTAGCCCCTTCATTTCCTGCCAGCACAATACCTTCCTGCAACGCGTACGAGCACATTTTGCGCCACTTGGACCCGCCCACAGCCACGCCAGACGCATCGTGCGTCCGCTTAATCATCGACTCGGGGGAGATAGGCTCGTGCGTGGCCACCACCACGGGAAACTTGAGCTTCGTCAGGTCCACGGACGCGAACGATGTTTTGCTCGCTATCAGCGAAGATAGCAGCTTCGAAGCGACTGAACATGAACCAGCATGCAGTACGACACGTCTAAAGCAGTGTAAAGCATTTTTGGGGCCTCACAAGGCGGGACAGGCAGAGAACACGACGTCAACAGATCCCAAGATGGCGTGACCAAAGCGCGTGACCAAATCGCTTCATGACCTGTAATAGATTGTCCCACTACCAGCGTCGTTCGGTGTCCTCGTGGGTCACCACACACGAAGCCGTACGGGCAGTACTCGATGGTGTCTCCGGCATGGAGTTCTTCGTAGCGCAGTTGGTCTGCTGAGAGAGCAACCATGACGACGGGCAGATGACCATGGTTTGGCTTCGAACGGTCGGGTACTGAGGCAGCAAGATTGAGCGTGTTTAGCAGCACAAATACGCACTATAGGCAGTCACAGTGGGATGCCGATCACTTCGGGGCGGAGTTTGTGGGGATAAGACACTAGGACGTCTAGCGTCCTCGCGCATACACCTTCATACACCTTCAGTCACTTTTGTGGTCAGTCTCATACCTCTACACGTCAATTATTTTAATTAAAATTACCGCATACACATACCATCAACAAATACACTCGTTTGGCATATAAGTTTTGTTGCTTTGTAGCTTGTGGTTGAGGGGGCAAATTCCGAAGTGAGATTAAATGTTATCGTCTCTCAAACTACTCTCTAGTCTTCCCCTCCTGTTTTCCTTCTTGTTCTCCTTGTGCTCGTTGGTGCCTCTCATCAGACGGATTACTCCCGGGTTCCGCTTGACTTGATCTCATAATACATGGGTCTCCCTGACCAGCCATTGGTCCAGAGACCGGCTGCCGCCGGCTCTCCCGTCGCCGTCGGATCCTCCGAGTCATCGGCGGATGTGTCCACACGTTCTCCTCGTCCTTGTGCATGTATTGGCGGAAGGCGCACCGCCATTATGTGGGAGCTTGCCGTCCAGCCCTGAAGCAGCGCGATCTGCATGGTGAGGACAAGAGCAACAGACAGAGCCCCGACAAGCTCGCGAGGCTGCACCTTCTGCTTGTACATCCGCTTACATTGGTAGTCTAAGAAGTAGGCGTGTGCTAGTTTTGTTTTAGGTCTTAGGTAGTCCTGTAGCGTGGTAGACAAGCACAGCAAGAAGCCCAGTGCCTCTTTGCATTACCTCTCTCTGCATTACGCGCATTCTGCCGCGAGCAACAGTTCCGCGAGAATAGATACTAGATGGTGGTGAACTTTGGCGGCCTTTTCGACACCCAGAGCGTTTGCTCGAGTCCTTTTCCAGCGAGTACCGGTTCTTCTAGCACAGCTCGTCGCCGCGGTGAGGGAAGTGAAAGCTGTCACCAGATTTGGCGTTTTCACTAGGATTTTGTAATGAAGGTTTAGGGGAAGTGGTGTTTTAAACTGCTATTTTGGTGGTAGTGGTAGTGAAAGCGCTTTCGAAACCTCTCTAATATCGCAAAAATTGCAGCTTTTGAGACGTGTTCGATGATAGCGCATGTGTTGCTAGCTTAGTTGCGGCTTATACGATTCATACTTCAATTGTCACAGCATGATATTGTCGTCACTGGTACGACCAATGGAGAAAATTTTTGCCCAACCGTTGATGGAGCGAGCAGCGTTATGTAGCACACAAGGGTTCGCCCTTTTCACACAAGCCTTTTATCCGCACTACGTTCAGCCCTAGTTGTTTTGCATTCTTTTATTCTTTTTTAAAAATTCTTACCGTGCGTTTGGCTTCACGAACTTATTTGTGCAGAGGAAACCATGAGAGCAGATTCGAGGTAAACCGTCGCGCCAAATGTTGGTTTTTGAATACTATCTGAATCGTTCATGCACGTCTACGTGAAAGTAGGCAATTGCATGATTTCATCACTAATAAGTTACTACTGTAGTACTTGGAAGATGAAGGCATGGAAGGGCTCTTGGTACAGGCACTTGAGATGCTTGAGGTGTTTCGGAAAGTGAATACATGTTGGTCGAGCGAACAGCGCTCGCCTTAGCCTAGCTACAGAGGTGTTGATGCCACAGATTATGCGCAGAGGATACTTACGGCACTAGGGCCATGAGCATTCGCTCTGGCAACTACAACCATCATACCTATCAAATTGACTTGTACCTAAGCTATGTCATAATACCTGTCTCGTGTACAAATGTGGTCAGTGCAGATAACTTCTGGCTTCAGTCCAGAGTCTGTCACCGAGGCAGGCTCAACACTCCCCCTGAACTTGATGGGAAGGCAACCCCGCTCGCGGCGGCCAACTTCATGAACTGTGGCGTCGGCAACGCCTTCGTGAGGAAGTCGGCGAGTTGTCTTGAGGACGGGACGTGCTCGATCTTGATGTGACCGGCGTCAACATGGTCACGAACGAAGTGCAGAAGAAGATCGATGTGCTTGGCTCGAGCGGAGTAACCGCGATTGCAGGCAATGCTAATCGCAGCTTGGTTGTCGACGAGAACCCGGATGGTTGCATGCACTCCAACACGCATTTCAACGAGAAGCTGACGAAGCCACTGCAGCTCTTGTGTGGCGAGAGCGAGGGCCATGCACTCAGCTTCAGCAGTGGAGAGCGCGACAGCATTTTGGCGCTTGCTCTTGAAGATCACAGGACATCCGTCCATCAGCACCAGCACGCCTGAAGTCGATTGGCGTGTAGCCATGTCTCCACCCCAATTAGCGTCACAGTAGGCACCGATTGAGAGGTTGGATGGAAGGCCACGCTTGAACACGAGCGACGCACGCTGTGTAACCTTCAGATAGCGGAGCACACGGATAGCAGCATGCCAGTGCATTGCCTGAGCCTTGTCCAGGTACTGTGATAGCGTGCTGATGACTACACATATGTCCGGGCGCGAGCCATTGGCGACGTAGAGCAGTGAGCCGATGAGTTGTCGATACGGCATGTTCACAGCGAGTTGCGGGGCTCTGTCGATGGGACGCAGATCTTGCCCGACTACTTTCGGGTTGCGCACTGGCACCGCATCAGCTTGACCAAACCGATCCACCATGCGGGCAATAAACTGCGACTGCCGCAGATGTAGCTCCCGTTGCACACGATTGTAGTTGATCCAGGCACCGCTCAATGGTGACAGCTTCTTCTTCAACTGCAGAGCCCACCAACAAGTCGTCGACGTAGAGAACCACGAAGATAGGTCCATGTGGTCCAACACGCACAAACAGGCACGTATCACTCCGGCACTGGGAGAAGCCCATGTCCACGAAGACAGAACGAATGGTCTTGAACCAGACCGCTGCTGCTTGTTTCAGTCCGTAAAGACTGCGGAGCAGCTTGCATACCATTCCTCGTTCCGCGCGCACTCCCATGGGGATGGCCATGAAGACAGCCTCGTCCAGGTCACCGTTCAGGAAGGCGGTCTCGACGTCGAACTGCTTGATGAAGTAGCCCAGGTGATTGCAGGCAGCAAAGAAGACGCGTAGAGTAGGAAGACCAGCAACAGGGGAGTAGGTTTCATGATAGTCAATTCCAAACGTCTGCAAGAAACCCAAAGCGACAAGCCGAGGCTTGAATCGCACGATCTCGCCTCGCTCATTCCTCTTAAGAGCGAACACCCACTTCGAGCCAATAACCTTCATACCAGGAGGGTGGCGAACAATATCCCAAGTGTGGTTACGGATGTGAGACCGCAGCTCCACACTGATTGCATCCTTCCACATGGCGGCATCCGACGACTTCATCGCTTCTCGATACGAAAGAGGGACATCGGCTGCAGCTAAAGCCGCCTCATCATCTTCGAGCCGAGGGCGTTTGGGATCCGGCTCACCGTCACTGGAGCTGTCACTGGAGAGGTCATTGTCACCATCGGCCTGGGACGGAGCAGCAAGTTGTACATCAGGTTCATTGGTGTGAGATGGTGGTAAGGCCAGTGGTTGACGGTTCGGCATCTCCACACTCGGAAGAAATCGCGGCACCATGTCGCGACCAACAACTGCACGTCGGAGCGAGCCGCGAAATACCAGTTGACTCTCCCCTTCGTCCGAGCGGCCTTGCACCATCACGTCGTCCCTGGTAAACGCTTCCATAGCACGAGAAGGGGCGCGCACCAAGTCATGTCCTGCAGCCTGGTGTTGGAGTTGCTGCTGCTGGAGAACACTCCCTTGAGTAGTCAGCGGCGTCGCAGCAGGCACCAACGCACCCGACATATCGTCGCCTTCGTCAATGTCCATCGGAGTCGATGGCAGGCTAGCCATCGGGGCTGCAGTGTCCACATCCATGTCGACATCACCATCATTGGTAGAGCCGTCAGGAGCCGAGTGGCCTGGCACATTGGCGTTAGCACCAAGGTCATCATCCAAGCCAATGGCCACCGGCGGGTCATCTCGCACAACCAGCGTCTGTTCCGTCGATGGTGGGCGCTCATCCAGGCTGATGGTACGGGCTGTAGCAACACGAGAGGCGTCGAAGTCCCATACTCGGTAGGCCTTCGAGTTGTCAGCGTAGCCGAGCAGCATGCACTGGTGGGCCTTGCTCTGCCACTCCGTTCGTAGTGTCTTATCCACGAACATGAATCCACGGGAGCCAAACACGCGAAGATGGTTCAATGTGGGCGGCTTCTTCCACATGACTTCGAACGGGGTGACGTCGTTACGTGCCGTGTTTGGGATACGGTTGGTGAGGTAAACGGCCGTCATCACCGCTTCGGCCCACCAGCACTTGTCGAGTTGCTGATATTAGAGCATCGATCTGGCCCGTTCGACGATCGTACGGTTCATTCGTTCGGCGAGCCCATTCTGCTGGGGCGTGTAGGGCGTGGTTGTTTGGTGCACGATGCCATGTCGCGTATAGAACTTCTCAAAGCTCTTACTCACGTACTCTCCTCCATTGTCGGTGTGCAGACACTTGAGGGTTGCACCCGTCTGTGTCTCGGCGAGCTGACGAAAGTCTTCAAAGCACTTCAGCACCTCCGACTTGGCTTTCATCATGTAGACCGCAACGTGTCGGGAGTAGTCATCAATAAACGTGACGACAAAGCGAGCTCTGCCCTTTGACTTTGGAGTCATAGGACCCATCACATCACTGTGTACGAGCTCCAGCAAAGCATGCGTCTTCACTTGGCTACTCGAGCGATGGGAGAACAGGGCCGCAGCCATCTTGCCGCAAGCGCAGCCCTGGCAAGCCCCGTCCAGAACCTCCTCCGACGTCATGTCGGGCACATCATCGACCAACCGCGACACCGCGCGCATGCGGGGGAACGAGAGATGCCCAAGACGCGCGTGCCGTACAGCGAGACTAACGTTGGCTTCCGCCGACGCCGCAATCTCGTCCATCTGCGCTTTTTGGAGTACTTGAACGTCCCAGACATACATGGCGCCGGTTTTGCGCACACGGGACACCAACGTGCCCTTGTACTGGATAGCACATCCGTCACCATCGAAGAGAACCGACATGCCCTTGGCAGCTAGTGCAGGAATTGAGAGCAGCTTCCTGTCCAGGCTTGGGACATAGAGTACCTTAGTCGTCTTCACCGGGGCTCCGTCCCCGGCCGATACGCGCACCGTTCCCACCCCGCGAGCTGCCAAGCGATGCCTACTTGCCACACGGACATCCAGTGGCCCGGCTAGCTCCGAGAACTCACAGAAATCTTCACGGTCGTTCGTCATGTGCGAGCTAGCACCGCTATCGAGGATCCACGACAAGGTTACATCCATGGACACTGCGAAGGTATATTCGCCCTGGTCGTCGTCTTCACCAGCTCGAGGTCACTGTGCTCCTTACACAAACAACACCTCCCGTTGAAGGCGTTACTACCGGCGCGTCCACCGCGCCATTGCGCGCCACCACGACCATTCTGGCGACCGCGCCACCGTTGACGGCGACCAGACCGTCCCGTGCGGACACCACGACCTTGGTGATCGTCCGAGCGGTCACCACGAGCATGCACGTCTCCGACGGCACATTGAAAGCGCTCTCTGGTTTCTCGCGCTTCTGGATCGTCTCATACTCACGCCGGAGCATCTCTTTCGCTTCGAGCAACGTCATGTTCCCGTGGGCTTCAATGATCTTGATCATAGCGTCGTATTCTTGCGGGAAGCTCCCGAGCAAGATGACCAGGCGCTCTTCCTCGACCACGATGTCACCAACCGCTGATAGACGCAAACACAGCTCATCAAATTGCATCAGATGCTGCATAAGGTCGACCCTAGTGCTCATCTCGAACTCGTGGAGCTGCTTGCGCAGCTGCACACGGTTGTGCAGATTCTGTTTGACGAAGAACCCGCGCAGCGTCTCCCAGGCTTGAATTGCCGACAGAGCCTCCCGTACCATGGACTGATTCGTCGGGCCTAGCAATTTCACCAGCACTGCCAAAGCCTTGAGGTCCGCGGCTTTCCACTCCGCACTTCCTTGCAGAGCGGCCTCTTCCAGCTTGAGCACGACGTGGTTGAGCAGGTCCTTGCGCGCGAGGGTCATTCTGGCGTTGAATTCCCACAATAAGTAGTTGTCGTCGCGAAGAACGTCGTTGGGACCGGCGATGTTTGGGCTCATAACCACTTGGAAGATGAAGGCATGGAAGGGCTCTTGGTACAGGCACTTGAGATGCTTGAGGTGTTTCGGAAAGTGAATACATGTTGGTCGAGCGAACAGTGCTCGCCTTAGCCTAGCAACAGAGGTGTTGATGCCACAGATTATGCGCAGAGGATACTTACGGCACTAGGGCCATGAGCATTCGCTCTGGTAACTACAACCATCATACCTATCAAGTTGACTTGTACCAAAGCTATGTCATATTACCTGTCTCGTGTACAAATGTGGTCAGTGCAGATAACTTCTGGCTTCAGTCCAGAGTCTGTCACCGAGGCAGGCTCAACAGTAGTACCTAGACCCCAAAACTCCTTAATGAAAGTGTTTATCTCGGCGATACCGCTGGTGATTATGAATGACGCTCGATTACGGTGGTGAGCATGCGTGAGCTCTCCACTGCATCACAGGATCGGTTTGAATACTCCGTCGCAGTTCTAAACATGTATGCCGACAATGCCCCACCCTGCAGTCTGCATAACCCCCTCAATTAATCTAACGTCGGTGTGCGTTTTTATTGTTCGTAAGCGGTTTTGCATCGTTAACTTTGCCATAGTCACTTGGTAATTTGCCAACTCCCTCTGCCTCCTCCCCACACACACATCCCATAACAGCAAGTCTATGTGTCCCAAGTCGACTGCACTCCTACTTGCGGCAACTCTCCTGGCATGTAGTGCAGCTACAGCCACCAAGTTGACGTTTGTTGACCTCGCGGTAATGCTCTAATCGTTCGCCGATAATCGAAGTACCACGCTGTTGCTCAAGGCCTCCGAAGCAGTGGACAATGACGACGACGAGAGGGGCGTCCTTGACGCGGTCGCGGGTCTGATCAAGGCGGGCGCGCCCAAGGTTATCGACACCACCAAGTTGCACACGTGACTGTATCAGAATGCAAACGGGGTCCACGTCTTAAAGAATTTTGCAGCTCGGTGACGACATCTACGCGGCTCTGAAGAGCTCGAAGCTGGATGCTATGAGCAAGTACACCGCCATGTTCAACCAGAAACACCCAGACAAACAGATCTCTCTGATCGCGACACTCACGGCGCACTACGGAGACGACGCTGTGGCGAAGGCACTTGTGACTGCGCAGGCGAATAGAAAGACTGCGGATCTGGCAACGCAACTGCGTAGTGATTGTGGCAAAGCGGCTCCGCAAAATTTGCAGATCGCGGGGGCCTCTTGCACACGGCGCCCGAACTGCCGACTAACGGCGGGGGTACTCCGATCTTCCGTGAAGTTGCTGATCCTCACCTTGTGTACCCGTCGGTGGGCTGGATCGCTCTTCGGGTGATCTCGAGAAGACGCGCTTGGGGTTGAGTCTTGGACTGTCTGGCGGACAGCGGGAACTTGTGGCAACAATGAGGATATGCTTCACGCTGCGCCGGAGTACTTGTGGCGGTTTCGATCTGGGGTTGGCTAGATCGACACTCGCCGGCCAGGTGTGATCTTGGCCTGGTGTTGCCTTGTGGTTGATGTGTGACCTTCCTTTACCTTCCCTTGCTTGCCGCTTCCTCTAGCGGTGGGTCGAAATGAGGGTTGACGGACGCTGGGCCAAGCTATCCTGGCATCCGAGGTTCCTTGATCTTGGGGTATAAGTCGACTTACGTAGCGTCGGGTGGGCCAAAGTATATCCCGTGCCCGGTAGTGCGAAGGCGAAGACCACTTGATCAGTAGAAGATAAAAACAACTCTGTTTAAAATGTTAGCTTGTCCTAAGCCCTTGTCCTATCGTTCTCCTGCACTCCTGCGCTCGTGCGGTCTGTGCGCGTGCTCTCTAGCTCCCTTGAACGTTGGCGGTGCCGCTGGCTCTCTGCCCGGTGTCCGCGTAATCCATGGGGTCGAGATCATCACTCTTTCTCTAAGATCGCGTCATCACCGCCAAGATCGATATCGTCGACTTTGATCGATTACGCCGGGGTTCGGCTCTCAAGCACCTCCAGAGATGTTGTTCACCTTGATGTTGCCCCCTTGACCTTCTTGCTGGTTACTATCGTGCCAGACTACGCGTCGCCACGCTTTGCCGATCTTAGTCCACACTGTCGATCTTGGCCATCTTGTTGATCTTGGGTATCCGCGCAAAAATATCTCCATCCACTACACCACATGATCAGCTGGCGGCTTGGCTGAACGACGGCCAATCCGTTGTCGGTGTTTTCAAGCTCTTGCACCTCAGCGACGACGGGTACTTAGCGCTTACGAGCCGGAAGTTGGAGGTGTTGGAGGACTACATTGCCTTGTTCAACCGCGAGAAATCGGCTGAGAAAACGTTGCTCGCGACGTTAACGGCGGGTTTCAGCGGAGAAAGGAGATTGGCGGAGCTGCTTGCTGTCGCGAAGGCGAACGGCTTCACGAAGCTGAAGGCCGAGGAATTCGAGTCTGCGCTATTCAACAAGTGGCTGGGGCTTGGTCAGAAACCGGAAACCATCTTGAAGAACTTGAAGCTCGATAACAACGTGAAGGGCGCTCTGAGCGACTTGAACCTGCAGACCCTGGCCAACTACATTTCTGTCTTCAACAAGAAATACCCGGTCAACGAGGCGTCTCTGCTGGGGACGTTCACAGCGCACTATGGCGAAGATATTGTCGCGAAGGGGCTGGTGTCTGCGAAGAAGTATGTGGTCACGGAGAGAATTTCCTTCATCATTCCGGTCATGGGGTCAAAGAGAACAGTCCATTCACAATGTTTAGCCGAGGACTCGTAGAGTCAGGTCGAGGGGCGTAAGCTAGTCGTAGCGTCGGCCCGAGAGTTCAAGCGTAGAGGCCAGCCCTGGGAGTGGTGTGGCGGGTTGCGAGCGTGGTCGCGGTGGAGGATTGCCAAGCGGTCCGCTGAACTTGATCGTTGTGCCGCCGAAGAGCAAGTGACCTCGGAATGGCTGTCCCCACTATCCTGCCTAGCGTTGGGAAAACTTACCCGCCCGGGAACTGCATACTACAGCCCCGTGTGTTGGGTAAGAAACCAAGGTACCTAAATATACAAACATAAATGTAGCCGCTCGGCGAGGACGACGTCTGATCCCGTTGTCGAAGTTGATCTTCACGTTCTGGGATGACCTCCAATCAGCGGGAAAATGAGTTTCCCCCTTCGCCTTCGGCGTCCTTGGAAAATCTCCATTGCGACGCAGCTGCAGACTCAGCAACTAGAGGGGTGGCTGCGAGTGGGAAGTCCGTGGACGATGTGGACGCTTTGCTGAAGATCAAGCAGGATGGACTTGCCGCCTTTGTCAGCCGGAAGCTGGATACGCTAGATGAATACATCAAGCTGTTTAACAGCAAGAAATCTGCCCACGAATCCTTGATCGGGGTTTTGGCTACAGCCTTCGGTGGCAAGGACCAATTGGCGGCTACGCTAGCGGCTGCGAAGCGGTACCCCTTTATGAGCGCAAAGGTGTCGAAGCTGCAGATAACGATGCTTAAACAGTAAGTAAGGGGTAACCGTTATTTCTTACCAAGGGTTTCAAGATTAACGAAATGAATCCGGCGGGTGCTCCGGGTTTGGAATGTTCGATCGCGAGAGAGTACGAGACGTTCTGTGAGTGGAAGGGAGTGTGCAAACGTTCCCCTTTTACTAAATACTCGATAATTTCTTCTGGTTAAGTACCAACGTTACTTGAGTACTTGCTGTGCCACTTTTCATTGCCGGGCGGGGGAAGATCAGCGTTTGGAAAGTTGAGAGAAGTCGGTTGATGGTCCACAAGTGATGGAAAGCCATTTGTTTCTACCTGGCGTCTAATTGGATGTCGTTAGCTGTTAGCTACGTAGCAACAATGATCCTCCATTCGAAAACAAAACAGCTTTGGTAAGTTTTCCTTTGTGCTCACAATTTGGTACATTACATTATTGGGAGTTATTTATGGCACACTAAAAAGCAATACCTCCACCTAAAAATATGAACTGAAATGACTACTAAGGGGATACCCTGTTGCCTGTAATAGTGGTTCTCACGGTTGGAAGGTCCGCAGGTTTCATCAGCCAATAGGGTTTTGCAAACGTGCAGTCAAACCTGCAGCGAGTCACAAAGTATGCTGGCTAACCTGCAATGCACTTGCTGAACACACCTGCAGGTTTACGCTGATTGGTTAGATTTACCTGCAACCTGCAAATCTACCAACCGTGAGAACCACTAATACACGTTTTTGCACTTCATAGGGAGGAGGTCGCACTAATGTGTCGTTTCTGCCAAGGCAACAAAATTCCCAATACAAAACCTTATATTATTACATCCCTCCTGTAAAGGTTTATAAGGAAAATTCATACAGCGTCAAATCCCAAGCAACTATCCGGATACCGTGCGAGGCAAAACTGCTGACCTCGGGACGTCGGGGATGCCTACCTATAGGCTAGAAAGGAAGGTGACGACGACGACATGACCACCCTTTCATCAAACGTTCGGACTCGAGTTTTTAGTTTATTTGTAAAGGTATTCAGATAGCTTTGATTTTAATTAAAGCTATCTGAATACTTGAAAATAAATATTAATAAGTATACCAAGATATGTGGAATGGAACCTCTGGATAGCCTAGCTACTTAATCTGGTACAAGGATATCATTATTGGTACTTAGGAGAGAATGAGATTTCGTATCTGTCAGTTTTCGGCAGCCGATGATGAATAGCTCAAAGCAGTCTAACCTCTCAGCCAGGTTGACCAGATTCACTATACTCTAACAAACATTTTCCAAAAGCTTGCTAAAAGGGAAATTCAAATTGGAAGGGGCTTAGGTTTCCGTAAATCACGAGCATCTCCATCACAGGCGATATTCTCTATATTTAGTTGGTGGAGCATTGAAATATGAAGTCGAGCTCCCACTTCTATTCCCAAAGACAACAGAACGAAATAGGCCCTTCACTGTGGCAGGGATGCCTTCACTTAGGAATAAAAGTGTTATCATGACTACTGAAAGGTACCATGGCATTTCTAGTTGGGATGCGCCTGTGCCGACACGATTGGGTTTGGCACTGTACATACGGGGTTTGCCTCCATGTGCAATCCTTACAACCTCCTCCATTTAGCAGACGGCGCGATTGAAAGCACGTACAGTACCACCAACAGCGACTTGCATGCACTGTTCGTAAGCGGTGCTCCCTCTGCATTCCGAAGGTACGTCCTCTCACGACCAAGTCACTTCAGTTTTTGCCGCCTCCAAGTCCTACATACTAAACTATGCGTCCCGAATCGATCGTACTGCTAGCAGCGGCTGCTCTCCTGGTGTGTGCCGATGGCGCCTCCGCCAAATCGGTGGCTGTCGACTTCCCAGTCACAATCCACGATAGCCAAGACGCCATTCCCACCAAAAGGTTGCTAAGGAGTTCAGAGGACAGTGAAGAGAGGGTCGGCTTTGATACACTTACGGGCCTGGCCAAGGCGGGCGCGTCGAAGGTCACGGGCACCACCGTGCTGGATACGTGGCTGTTCCACAACGTGAATGGGGTCCAAGTTTTGGCGAAGTTGCAGCTCGGTGACGACATCGCGGCTGCGCTGACGAGCTCCAAGCTGAAAACGTTGCGCAAGTACATCGCCATGTACAACAACAAGCACACGAACACCCCGACTTCTTTGATCGAGACGCTCACGGCGCACTACGGAGACGACGTCGTGGCAAAGGCGCTCGCAGTCGCTCAGAAACAACCGAACACGGAGGCTCTCGCAACTCAATTACGCAAGAATCAAATGGCTATTTGGATGCGGAAGGACAGGACCGGCGTCGATATTTTCAAGCTGTTGAGCTCCGGCGACGATGGATACTTCACGCTTACCAACCTGGAGATATTGGACGACTACATCAAGCTGTTCAATCGCGAGAAATCCGCTCACGAAACGCTGCTCGCGACGTTAACCACGGGCATCGGTAGCGAAAGAAGACTAGCGGAGCTGCTGGTAGTCGCCAAAGCAAACCCGACCACGAGGGAGAAGGCCTTGGAGTTGCAGTCGGCGCTGTTTGACAAGTGGTTGGCGAGGAAATTGCGACCGGAAACCATCCTGAGAGGCCTAAAGCTGGACGATAACGTGGAGAACGCTCTGACCAACCGGAATCTGCAGACGCTGATCAACTACATCTCCGTCTTCAACAAGAACAACCCGACCAGCGAGGCGACTCTGATTGGGACACTCATCGCCCACTACGGCGACGATGTTGTCGCGACGGCGCTACTATCGGTGAAGAAGGTTGCGGGTACGAAGGATATGGCGACGGTGCTGCAGATTCAGCAACTCGGGCGCTGGTTCAAGAGTGGCAAGTCCGTTGACGTTCCCAGACGATTTGTACGAAGTCATTGCAAGCCGAAAGTTGGAGGCGCTGGACGACTACGTCAAGCTGTTCAACCGGGAGAAATCTGCGGATGAATCTGTTATTAAGGCTATGGCAGCGGCCTTTGGCGGGGAGGACGAAGTGGCGAAGGCTTTGGAGACTGCAAGGCGTTATCCGGCTCTCAACGCGAAAGCCACAGAGTTGCAGAATGCGCAATTTGCCCAGTGGGAGAAGGAAGGCCTGAAATCGGAAGGCATTCTTGCCAAGGTGTTCAAAATTGGCGAGACGGAAGCTGGAACCGGTGTGGAGGAATCCATTGTAAAACGGTACACGATGTTCTAGTAGACGAATTTGATCAACGTGTTCACCGTTGCGAAGTCAAGGCGCTCGTAGAAAAAAATATGGTGTGAAGGAGTTAGTTGGACCACCGAATAATTGAATCAACACTTTTTTTCGATTAGATTTTCTATCGCGGTGAGCTATCGACATAACAGTAGCGAATACGGAGCTTTCTAATAACTATGCGAGAAGAAATGGGATCGACGAGGAATATCATGTTTCACAACGGCAACAAATGGCTGAGCAACGTGGATACGGATTCGTAAAGTGAGCTGGACTACTTTGATCTATTCTCGCAAGTTGGGCAAAACCTGCATTAAGCATGTCTCAATAGTGAAGTATCTCCTTTTTCAGCCACGAGGCCAGATCTCGACAGTATCCGAACGCTCTCCAGCTTTCACCCGGCTTGTAAACCAAGTCCGTCGTGTGTTTTTTTAGCTCTTGCCCATAGGACCATTCTTGCCAAATTAGTGCTGCCAAAGCATTTCAACAAAACCTTATCCATTGTCTCTCTTGTCGAGCTTGATCAGGTACTTGGACCAAAGCTAGGAGTTCTGAATTGCAGTTTTCCTTCGAGATTGAAGAGCTCGTTGTAATCTCGGCGGATTGTTTACAAGAAAGTGTTAGTGGTCCACGGCAGGCATCTTTTTCGTTTCAGCGGAATTTCATGAATGTCCCTTTACTTTGTGTGATATCCAGGGTCGATATTGAGGTTTCCAAGCGGCAAGTCTCTGCTTAGGACACGCCGACCTGACCATCGACTTACAAATGCACTCGTGTCTGCCCAGAACCACGCAAATATGGAGCAACTGCGCACGGATCAGCTACTGTATTTGTTTGACTGAACTAGGACAAATCCGTCGTCGATGTCTTCTAGCGCTTGAATCTCGGCGACGACGGGTACTTTTGCGCTTATCAGCACTAACTTGGGTCTGCATGCTGAGATTGCTCAGAGCCTTCGCCTGTTTTCGTCAATAATTAGACTCATCAAGGTTGCCAGCCACTTGTTCTACAGTTTCGATTGCAACTCTAAGGCTTTTCTCTCTCGTGGTTAGATCCGCCTTTGCGGCTTCCAGCAATTCCGCCAACTCCCTATCTTCACAGAACCGGCCGTTAACGTTCCCCACCCAAAGTTCTCGCAAGGATATGCCGTCGTCCAACACCTATTTTCCATCTTCAACGAAAAAATATGACCGGCGAAGTCTCACAGCTTGGAAACGCTCACAGCGTACTACGGCGAAGATATTGCCGCGAAGGGGTCAGTATCCGCGAAGAATCGCGATAGTACGAAAAAATATCGCGACGGCACTGCAGACCTAGCAGCTGGAGGGGTTGCTGAACAATGGAAAATCCGGTATTGGATAATGCACCCCGAAAACGCCCCAAATCCCAAAGTTTTTCCCAAATGATTTAAGACCATGGGAACGTTTTGGTACATATTTAGGACAGAATAACCTTCAGTATGAAAGAGCCGCACAGGGCGGACACTCGCGCGTTGGCTCTCGTCTGCGGACTTAGCGACGGGTCTGCGGGGGGCCCGCCCCTCTCTCGCTTCGCTCGGGGGGCGCCGCTGCGCGGCCTGCCCCACCCCCTTGTCCCTTACGCTAAGTTCCTCGTCTCGGCCAGGCGCGGTGTCTAGAAAAAAAATATCGGGTTGCAGCGCTCGCGTTCGCTCGCTCGCACAGACACGCCCCCGCCTAATCGGCGGGTGTTGGCGATTAGTGAATGCATCGAGTGAGGCTCGCGCTCGCGTCCGCTCGCCCTCGCCCATAGCCTTTTGACCATAATCAGTCAACTCCGTTTTGGTACATATTTGGGATAGTTTTACGAGAAAGCAGTCGTATACTTGGCCCCAAATATGTACCTAAATGTTACAGAGACAATTCATCATTTGGGACATTTGGGGCGATTTGGGCACATATTTGGGATGCATTATCAGCTTCCGAAAATCCGTCGACAGTGTCTTCACATTGCTGAAACTATCGAAAGATGGCTTCGCAGGCATTGCCAGCCCGAAGTTGGAGGCGCTGAACGACTACATCAAGCGGTCCAACCGCGAAAAATCGGCAGACGAATTCTTGATCAAGACCCTGGTGATAGGCTTTGGCGGTGAGGACGAATTTGGCGACGGCTTTGGAGACTGCAAGCCAATACCCACTTCTGAATGCAAATGCCACGGCGTTGCAGAATGCGCAATTCTGCGCCGTGTAGGAGGAATGAATTGATTCGGACAGCGCTCTAGCAACGTTGGCGGTACAAGCATTTTGGAGAACTCGATTGCAAAATGATTCACGTCGTTTTAGGCGAGAGGAGGGCGGGGTCGTGCACCTCGCGGATTCTGCACCGGGTACAATGCGATCGCCAGATACTTAATTCAATCGCCTCCTTCTTCAGATTTTTTTCTTAGATTTTATTTTTGCGTTTCTGTAGCAGCAACGACTCCGATACCTAGAGTAGAGAGAAAATATGCTCGTAGATTTACCTGCTGATATCAGTCCTTAAACAGGGCTACTTTGTCTATCACAAATGTGAAAACAAAGAGAGAGAGAAAATCTTCTGTAATTTGGAATAAATACTTTCAAGACGAGAGAGGTGGTCGCATGATCTTGTGAGGTACGTATTAAATCGCACCGATGAAGTATCTGTACGCGTGCACAAGCTCTTTGTCTTTCGCGGCCCACAGCTTCTGATTCGGTAGTTCTCCCAGTTTCGATTTGATGGTATCCGAGCGCACTCCTGCCTTCATGCATTTTGTAAATTGCACCGATTGCAGCTCCGTCGCAATTTTTTTCCAGCCCCGGCTTGGACGAGCCCTGCGCCGAAATGATCATTCTTGCCAACGTGGCCTCGTCGTAGCGCTTCAACAGAGCCTCAAGCATTGTCGCGCCCGCGTTCTTCTTATCGAGTTTGGTCACGTACTTGGCCCAAGCGAGGAACTCCAAGCTGCCGAACAGTCCATTCTTGCCTTCGAGATTGAAGAGCTTGAACGCGGCCTCCGCGGACTTCTTCCGGGTCAGCCACCACTGCACTTGAGTCTTCTTGGCGCCCGTTTTAATCAAGTTTTCGAGACCAGCGATCGCAACTCCCCTCTCTTCTTCGTCTACGGCCGCTGCCTCGTCAACTCGCAGAAATCTCGGTAACTATTCCATCAGTAGGCGAACGGACCGCTGTCAGGGAGGCCGCGGTCTCAGATGCCGCACTGGCAGGGGTAAGAAGGGTAACAGCAGTGTAGTTGAGACGCATGGCCAGAGTACATAAGAAAGATTATTTCACGACTTCATTCTACACCGTCGAACTTTGTTACAACACTTTCAGCAATTAGAGGAAATGGTGAGCGGAGTGTCGACACAGCCCCCCCTATTGTACGCGTATTTGTACTTCGAAGAAAAAAGAGCTCTCGTACGCCCGCAAAGATTTCATTTGCTTAGTACTGTAGTTTCCCCCTAAAGACTCTCTTGTTGGTGCACCCCGCAAACAAGAAGAATGTAGCATGAAGAATGCATAAATTTTACCTCAGTGAGCGAGTCTTGCACGCGCCTCAAGAGCCATCTGCTCCCAGCTCGAGTAGTAAAGGTTGATGCTGCAGACCGTAAACGCCGTAGCGATGCCCGAGCCGAAGCCGATCCAGAGCCCTTCAATCCCGAATCCAAAGTGGAACGACAACAAGGCTCCCAATGGGATACCGATAACGTAAAACGCCAGCACATTGGTTTTTGCAGCCATGTCCTGCCATCCTGCGCCCTTGTAGATGCCCTGAATGACGCAGTTCAACGAGTCGATGATCTCGTAGGGCACCATCACCAACAGCGCGTCTGAGGCGCGCTGAATCGCCACAGGATCGTTGATCACGAGCAGTGGAATCTGGTGGCGAAGCAGATACACGAGCGCAGCGAAGAATCCCGATAGAACGAACACTGTGGCCTGCGTCGTGCGACTGATAATCCTCGCCTTCTTCGGGTGGTTCGCACCCAGACAATTCCCCACACGGATGTTACTTGAGACCGAGACGCCCATAAACACCGTATAAATCGAAGATGCCACTTGCATGAGCACCGCGTGAGCACTCACGGCCACGACACCGTCAGGAAGGTTCCCTGCCATCACCGCAAGCAGCTCGTACGCCCACCATTCCATCGCCATCATAAGCAAACTCGGCACACTCAAGCGCGTGAACAGCGGGACGAGCGCCCACGCCTCCTTCATCTGCCAGCCAGTCCACCATCGCCTGTGGTTTCCACTGAAAGCAAAGTACGGCACCAAACACAGCGGCAGAACTATGTATCCCAACGTCCTGGATAGCGCTGCACCGTGGAATCCCAACGACGTCCAGTACGTGAGCACGTATCCTCCAAGCACATTGACAAACGTTCCCACCAGCGCGAACAGCACCATGGGTCGCACCACATTCTGCGCCTGCAGCACCTTGCGCAGCATCTCGTAGATGAACAGGAAGGGTGCACCGAACACGGTCACCCTCGAGAACTCTCCAGCCAGCCTGGCCACCTCCGGGTCCTGTCCAGCCAGCAGCAAGAAGTACTCGGCGTGCCAGTTCATCAGAAACACCGGAATCAGACACGAGCCCACCACAATCATCGCCGACTGCAGGTAGATCCCCAATTTCTCCAGCTTCCCAGCTCCGTAGGCCTGCGAGCACAGCGTATCAAGCCCCGACGTGAGGCCGAAGCCGATGGACAGCGCTGTGACGTTGGTGAACATGGTGGAGAGCGTCGCGGCCGCCACGTAGCGCTTGGTATCCGGGGACTCGATGTGCCCCACCAGTACAATGCACACGAGGCCAGGGAGATACTCGAGCGTGTAGGTGACGACGATGGGGTAGGCGAGCGCCATGGTCTTCCAGAACTCGTCGACGGCCACGGGCTCGGGCTCCTCCTCCTGCTCGTGGGTCAGCTCCTGCACCAAGGACGCGGCGTCGCTCTCCGTCTCGTAGTCGCGGATCTTGACCACATCCAGCGACGCCGCGTACGTGGGGCTGGCGGCCGGGAAGCTCGTACCGCGCGAGATGATGGCCGGCGCGAAGTCCTCCACGTCCACGTCGCACTCGTTCACGAGCAGCGACGTCTGCTCCGTCGAGTCCGCCATTTTTTCCCTTCTACTGATCGCCTGAGACTGACGCAGCCAAAGTGCAAATACACTCAACTTGTAGTTCCGACGGTGTGGCGCACATCAGCGACTGGCCTCGAGTGGCGTATGCGAGTGCAAGTGGATGCACTTGCTTGGCCAAGTACCTCGGCAACGCACCAGGACGTTAGATTGCTTCAAGTTCTCAGCACAGCTGGCTTCAAGGGTAACGTTACAGTAAAGATTGCCACGAACGCTTCGGCATGCTCGAGAAGGCCAAACGCATGATAAGACTGATGTTAATGACACGAGGCCGATTGCTTCCTAGCAGCGGAAGGCAGCACGGCACAATAAACGCGGGTGGGATAGATCACAACATCAATCCTAGTATTTTAGAAATTAAAGCAAAGAAAGGCTTGAAAGTAAATGGGCGGCAGGCGCCCCCTCCCGAGCGCGCACCGAAGCACTTAAGCCTCAAGATGCTACGCGCCGGCGGCGGCGTGTCTGCCCCAGATTCTAAGACGAGTTGACTCCTCTGCAGGTCGCTTAGAAGCACTTGCGGTGCACGATCGAGGGTCCCGACTCGTCGTACTCGGCCTTCGAGATCCACATCTGCTGGAACGTCGACAGCGACGACAGGATGGAACCACCGATCCAGACCGAGTACTTGCGCTCGGGCGGGGCCACCACCTTGATCTTCATGGTGGACGGGGCCAGAGCCGTCAGCTCCTTGGTCATACGCTCGCCGATGCCCGGGTACATGGTGGTACCGCCCGACAGCACGATGTTGCAGTACAGGTCCTTACGGATGTCGACGTCACACTTCATGATGGTCTGGAAGGTGCAGTCGTGGATGCCCGAAGCTTCCTTACCGATGAGCGAGGGCTGGAACAGCACCTCGGGGGTACGGAAGCGCTCGTTGCCGATGACGATGACGTTGCCATCGGGCAGCTCGTAAGACTTCTCAAGGCCCGAGGACTCGGCGGCCGTCTTCATCTCCTGGTCGAAGTCCAGGGCGATGTACGTCAGCTTCTCCTTGATGTCGCGCACAATTTCGCGCTCGGCCGTGGTCGTGAACGAGTAACCACGCTCCGTCAGGATCTTCATCATGTAGTCCGTCAGGTCGCGGCCGGCCAGGTCCAGACGCACGATGGCGTGCGGCAGGGCGTAACCCTCGTAGATGGGCACCGTGTGCGAGACACCGTCACCCGAGTCGAGCACGCAGCCCGTGGTACGGCCCGAGGCGTACAGGGACAGCACTGCCTGGATGTTCACGTACATGGCGGGCACGTTGAACGTCTCGAACATGATCTGCGTCATGCGCTCGCGGTTGGCCTTGGGGTTGAGCGGGGCCTCCGTCAGCAGCACGGGGTGCTCCTCGGGGGCGACACGCAGCTCGTTGTAGAACGTGTGGTGCCAGATCTTCTCCATGTCGTCCCAGTTGGTCACGATGCCGTGCTCGATGGGGTACTTCAGGGTCAGCACACCACGCTTGGACTGGGCCTCGTCACCGACGTACGCGTCCTTCTGGTCCATGCCGACCATGATGCCCAGGTGCTTGGGGCGGCCCACGATCGACGGGAACACGGCGCGCGGGGCGTCGTCGCCGGCGAAACCGGCCTTGCACATGCCGGAGCCGTTGTCCACGACCAGAGCTTGGACGTCTTCGTCAGCCATCTTGATGCAGGGGGGGAGTGGACTTGGGAGTCTTGGAGATCTGCCGCCAACTGGGGGAAATGGGGAATGAGCCTCCCAGGCCACGTGGATCCACTTCGAAGAGGGGGAGTTGGAGTTGGCTCTGAGGTGAAGCGACGACAGGCGGGTCTTCCCTCCCGCGAGATAGAGAGCGGGAGTGTAATGGTGCACGTCAGCCGTCCTGCGAGGGATCGGTATAGTGAAACCAAGTGAAACGCCGTACCATCGGCGGTTTTTCAACCCGACGCTGGCGATTTGGGTGAGGACCGTGCCTCAAATAGACGGACGGCATCGACGGAAACCGTTTGACGTTGCTAGCGCCACCACAGCGCAGCGCCGGCGCCGCGCATGCATGTATTGACGCACTGCTCCGAGCGAGCAGTACTTGTGCGGTTAGCTTTGTTGCTCTGCATCGCAGTAGGGAGCATGCGCCGGAGGTCTTCGATTTGAAAGGTACCTATCTAGCTTTTCATCTCCACTCACCTCTTTTACGGTTTTCTGTCGAAGGAAAGGGGCAAGCCGGCGACACATTCAAGCGGTTCCTGCCCTTGCAGCACTGCACGCAGCTCTCGCTCTCGCTGCTGGTGTAGAGTCCTTTGTAGACGTCGAAGTCCATGTTCACGGCGCAGGCCGCAATCATCATCGAGTGCGAGGATCTCTCTCTAATCATGAAAAGCACGTCTATTCTTTTACAAAGTATGGTATCCTATCCTTTCGTCTATATATATCAACCGCCTTTTGTATAATATCCCCGATTCTTATCATTACATGGAGCCAGGAGTGTACTCAAATCCGCGCCTCAAACAGTTACAGTAATCTGCCCGAGTAAGGAACGCCTGATATATATAAAGACGCAGAATATATAAATTGATGTTAAGTTGAGTATACTTTTCCAATATACTGATTTAGTTATTTCAAAATGAACTGAAGAGCAGCTTTACCTACGAGTCCGGAATGATTCCAACAGTGGCGTATGGTCGAAGCACTAACCTTTGACCAGACATCCTCGCACCACAACAGCGCTGTCAACTGGTCGACCTCGTAGGGATTATCTAGCCCTTCACCAAGCCGGTCGCATCATTTTAAGTGAGGCGGAGACGCTTGGACGGTGTGGACTTCATGGGTGGAGTGGGGGAGGAGGTGGGCTTGTGGGGCGAGGTGCAAAAGCAAAAGTGCGAGTCTACCACTACGGTACATGTGGTTTGAAGTCTAGTAAGATCGCTAAATGCGCGCCATTTTTCAAACGAGGGTGGAGAGCTGATGATTGGCACTAGATTTTTCACCTTAGTACCTCAGTTTCCTTGCAGTACCTTGCACATCCCCCTATCGCCACATCGACTGGAAAATAATATTAAATATGTGAGGCTATTAGTTGTACATCCGTTCCTTATTCGGGCAGAATTCTGTAAAATGAGGCTGGACCCCGTCTGATTGTGCGGACAATTTTCACTGCAGCCTGAGTTTAGGGATGCGTTTTCCGATTTTCCGAACCCGCCTAAGCTTTTGCACGGCGTTTTTGTATGGCGACTCGACTTTTCCGAACCCGCCGCGCGGCTGAGACACGCCCGCGCGTACGTCAGCGAGGCCTGCGCTCAATCGTAGATCGCTCTCTCGCTCGCCGCGCGCGATTTGCAGCGCGCTCCAGGAAGCTGAAGCAGACTTGTTGCCTTGGCCTCCTTGCCTCTTTCTCTCGCTGCCCTTGCTAGCTTGCCAGCGGAGCGAGTGTGTTTGTCCCCTGCGTAGGGCGTCGCTGCATTATCGGTGCGTGGGGGCCATGGGTTCCTGATTCGCTTTCGCCTGTCATGCCGGAGATGAGCCCGCATCGACGACACGCCGGTCCGTATCCTTTCGGACGGACGCGAGTCGGCGTGCTCGCTGCCTCTGGTGGTGTCTGTAGCCTACAGGCTGTAGGGATCGTTGCCCCCAGCTGGGCAAGCTCAGCCGAGCTAGACGCAGATGCCGCGTCCTGAGGCCGCCGAGGCCTGATTCAGGCGGCAATGCGGGGCCAGCAGCAGCCCCATCGAGGCGAGCTGCGTCCAGGTTGAAGTGCGTTGTCTGTCCGTGCGGAGACTCGTTGGACTCGCTATGGCATTGGACGCGCGCAGCGAGGAAGGGCCAGTGGCTCTATGCTTGTCGCGCTGCAGGCTGCAGCCCGGGGCTCGACAAGCTCCACTGCAGAGGCGATGGCGAGCCCACGGTGTCGCGCTGTTGCAGTCTGCCTGGTCGCACGTGTGCTCGGCAGCTTGTCGCGCTTGGCAGAGACTTTGCCTGTCTTTTGCCGCCGTCGACTCAGACAGCCTCGGGTCGACTAATTGTCCTCGGCGACATGCAGCTCTTCCCGCATGGCGCATCGGCCTGGCTGGTCGACGCCGCGATCGATCCAACTTGGAGTGAAGTCGAAGCAGCAAACTGCGGTAAAACTCGGCGAGTCGGTGATCCACAGACGCAATCTTTCGACCACCGAATTAATAATTGCTGGATACGGTCGGGGCCGATTTTGGCGGAATCCAGCGGGAGCTTTCGAGCTCTTTGGCGAGGCGAGTTCTTTCATGGCCAAACGTGTACTATACCTTTGATCAGACCACCAACCTCTAATGCCATACCATCAGCTTTTGAAGCAGTTCCTCTTCAGGTTGAAGCGTACTTCAACTGGCCTGGTATGATCTCACAACAAGTCTGGGTTGTACGTTTAACGGCTTTGTGCTTTCGTCCAAGCTTCATGCCAGCAATATCATTCCTGCGAGTCTGACACGTACGGCTCAACAAGCGCAGCCGCCTTGTTTGGGCATATGTATAGGCTCAAGGCTAGAAATGTTATCTCGCTCAGGCTTACCGCATCGTCGTTTTAGTGCATCCGTAATTGACCACAGTGTAAACTCACAGCGATCTGTAGCACTGATACTGAACGCTTAAAAGGCTCGTCAAACTGTCCTGCCCTGCCAAACGTTTTTGTTCAGTGCGCTACGGCATGCCATGGGCAATGGTAACATGCTGCTGCGGTCTCCGTGGATGCTGAAGATGGTCGTGGTCATTACCGACAACGGCAAGCCACTGCAATGAAACGTACCAGGAACTGCATACACTGATCTTCCGCAGTCGTGAATATAGTACATTGTATGATACCGGGAGGAAGCTATAGTATCGGCAGCGTGTATGTCTGTATGTCATTTAACATCAGGAACGTAAGGTATTCTGGTGGACCCAATCCAGTGCGCCTCTCGCGCAAGATCGCCGATGCTCCAAGGTTGGAATGCCCGTTATCGACACTTGCCTCGGAGATATCGTAGCTACTTAGAGCGGCAGCAAACGCCAGGTCAACATTGTCGCGTTCGTCATTGTCGGAGCAATCTCAACGAACAACCCTGAAGGTGCTGCGCAACGCTACCCCCCCCCCCTCTACTATATCGCGGGCTCCACTACCAAGGTGTGCGGAAACATCCCATTTGCTAGTTGGGCTTGACCGGCCACTGTAGCGATCGCTATAACGGCATATTTTGATACCATGAGTATCAGCGCAGCGCTGCACTACATTGGACCTGTGTGTGGGCGAGGCAATTGCAAAGGCAAATATGCATGCGTACAAAGTAGCTACGTACAGTAGTTTGAGTTATTCGCGCCGCGAGAGTACTACCTAGTAGCACGGGCAGCTACCAGCGCCAACCCCTCGTACGCACACAATGTGACTGAGTCCAAAGTAATCCTACAACATGGACTATTGTCCCTACCGTGCCACAACTGATGCGCATCTGAGGGTTCCAAATACTAGTAATAATAATAATGTTGAGGTGTATTGAGATACTGGCTCACGCTGAACGTCTAATACCCCTTCCGCCTCGAATTGAAGAGGGCTGGGAAACGCTACTTAAATGCAAAAGGTATATATCCAGAGGGAGGACTGTCACCGTGGTTCGCCCTCTCTTGCTGACCGCCAGTGAGTAAAGTCCCCGCTAAGGTGGCTCAGTACTCCTAGGTAGCGCCAATCTATCATCTCATCTGTTGTCGGTTCATCTTCCTGGCTGCGTCTTGAGTCCATTGCCAGGTTCGCTATACAGTCTGCCATCTTATTATGTCGCCTCAAGTGGTGGGTCCACGATACTATCCTGGCCATGTCCGCCAGCGGTCGAGCGCGGTCATACCAGCCTTGGAGCTTGTGAGACTTTGGCCTTCGTCGTTCTTTCATCATCCGCAGGATCAGCTGGCTGTCGCCAACAATATGAACTGTGGGTAGCTTCCGTTTGGCTACAAAGAGCAGAAGACTGTAAAGTCCCCGGAACTCCGCAACGTTGTTGGTGCATCTGGTCCCTGCGAGTGATGTACTGCATATCCAGATAATCTTTGGTGCACCTACTCCAAATTCGACCAGGACGCTGCCACTCCCCCCGGGAGTTCCAAATACTAGTAGCTCGTGCTTGCGGTGTGTTTTTACATGCGACTCGAACACCTTGGGTCACTGGAGGGACAATGCGGTCCATGTTGTCGAATTACTTTGGACTCAGACACATTGTGTGAGTACGAGGGGTCAGTGCCGGTGGCTGGAGCTCTCAGCCCATGCTACCTCTCGCGGCGCGAATAAACCAAACTACTGTTGGTAACTACCTCGTATCCATGCACACTCACCTTTGCAATTACCTCGGCCAACCACATAGGTTTAATGAACTGCAGCGTAGCGCTGATTCTCATGGTATCACTATGTGCCGTTATAGCGACCGCCGCAATGATCGGTCAAGCCCAACCAGTGAATGGGACGTCGATCAAATGAGTTCTTTTATACAATAACGTACACAACGTGTCAAGTATACAGCGAAGGAATCGCTCGCGCTGCAAGTACTTACAGTAGTATGTTGGTACGTGTCATCGCGTACTTCACGCGATGGGTCCTGACAACAGCATTCCTCGCACGTTGAAGGTAGCCTCGACCAGCACACGCAACTTAGCCGCAACTTAGTCACTTCAACATAATACTTGGTGTCTGCCACACCATCCAACCGTTGTTTTTTGCATTCAACCGTCGACGTAACGACACTCCGCCGTTGCACTCACTGACTGGTCCCCGGGCATTTGCGTCAGTATCCCTTCGACTGCGGTGCACTGCATTGCTCCAATATGGCGTTCGAGCCGCGCAGCCCAACGTTCGCGAAATATGGCGAGGAGCGCCAGCCGCTGCTGGACTACAAGCAAAAACACGAGACGGTCGTGGGGATCGCCGGAAGCCTCGAGATCCCGGACGAAGCCGAGCCCCACGTCGTCGATGAGCTCAAGACGCTGCTCAAGCTGGTGTACCCCGTCGTAAGTACAATACCATCGCGAATCGCTACGCGTACTGCACTAAGTAGCTAGCGTTATCACGGCTCTTATTCGCGGGTGGAAAATTAACGGAGAGCTTGGTGTACAACACAGGTTGTGACGTCTGCGCTCGAGTTTCTGCCGGGCTTCACGTGCATCATCTTGGCGGGGCACATCCAGTCCCCGCGCACGCAGCAGTATGTAGACGCAGCTACACTCTCCACCATGGTGCGTTGCAAATGAAAAAGGTGACTGGTGCATTGGTATTGAAGATTTGAGCTAACCACTTTTTGGAAATGTTTGTTATTGTTGCTACAGTTTATCAACATCACTGCGTACTCCGTCGGCTTTGGACTCACATCGGCGCTGGACACGCTGTGCTCGCAGGCGTACGGAGCGCGGAGGTTTGAGAAGATTGGGATTTACTTCCAGGCCGGACTGCAGATTATCCTGGCGTGTCTGGGACCGGTTTTCCTGTTGAACTGGTACTCTGAGAGCTTCCTGCTGTACATGGGGCAAGATCCGGAGGTGGCGCAGTTGGCGCAGAGCTTCTCGCGGTGGATGCTGCCTGGCGTGCCCTTCGTTTTCCTGTACGAATTGGTGCGCAAGGTGCTGCAGGCCCAAAACATCATGAAGCCACTCGTGGGGATCGCAGCCATGGGCAACGTCGTGAACATCGTCACGGGCTACGTGCTGACCTACCACACGTCCATGGGCTTTGAGGGCATTGCGCTGTCCAGGTCGCTGGGAAATATGGTGCTGCCATTGCTGCTGATCCCATACTTCTACTACCACCCGCACCACCTGACCCAATGGTGGCGCGGATGGAATATGAAGGAGGCGTTCGCGCACGTCGCAATGTTCCTCTCTTTAGGGGTCCCGGGCGCTTTGATGATGACGATGGAATGGTGGGCGTTTGAGCTGCTTACGTTGATGGCAGGCATCCTCCCGAACGCTGTGGTGTCGGTCAGCGCTCATGCAGTGCTGGTCAACATCAACAACACCATTTATATGACTTTTGCCGGTCTCGCAGTCGCTTCAAACATCCGAGTGGGCAACTGTCTGGGTGCCAACGCTCCGAAGCAGGCGAAGCTTGCGTGCACGGTGTCGCTGCTGCTGACGCTGGGCATTTCGTCAACCTTTTCCATTTTGATGTACGTCTTCCGTGGCAGTATCCCGAGCCTCTTCCTCAACGACCCCAAGGGAATTGCGCGAGCTGCGAGCGTCCTGGCTGTTTGGGCGCCGCTGGAAGTGCTGGACGGGCTCAATGCAGTGGTCCAGGGGATCTTCCGAGGTGCCGGCAAGCAGAAGGTGGCTGCCACCGTGAATGCTGTAGCCTACTACATTTTCGGCATCCCGGTGGCCGGACTTTTGGGTTTCCACTTTGTGCTGGGCGTCGAGGGTCTCTGGCTGGGCTTCGGCTTCGGCATCTTCGTTGCCGCGTCGCTGCAGTTCTACATGCTGTTCGAGCGCTGGACGTGGGCGAAACTCGCCGATGAGGCTCAGAAGCGCACGGCCGAATAATCCAACTGGTATAGACTTATATGACCGGCCAAGAACCCGACTAAGTAGTAGAGAATATAAAACAATCCACTCACTACCACTGCGTTGCAATTAGAGATCTCTGCTGACTCACATGTCAACGTCACCAGCCACGCGCATTGTTTGGATCGGAACTCGTTGCAGAGGCCAACTTTCCACCGGTCGACTTGTAGCCATCTTCATGACCAGACCGCCCTCTCCGATCAGTTGCTGCTTTCGCATCAGTGATTGCAGACGCCAAAGGAAATTATGTATCGGAGCCCTTGCCCCCTCATCACGACACCACCTTGATTATGGGATTCTCGCCGGATGTGTTCCACTTCGGCATCGGGTGGACGGACGGCGGGGCAGTTCGAATTCTGCGCATCAGGGGGAAGACAGCCATGGTGGCGCCGCTGACCTTCGAGCCCGAGCCTGCGAGCCCAAGCGAGAGCCGACCGCTGCTGCTGCAGCAGCAACTGCAGCATGACACGCTCGTGGCCATCGCCGACTGCCACGAGCTCAAGCCCCACGAGTCGGAACCAAATGCCGCCGAGGAGCTACAGACGCTCTTGGAGCTCGTGTACCCAGTCGTAAGCAAGCGAGAAACGCAACCAATGAGCTACACTATCACTAGACTCTAATTTTTTATGAGCAGGTGGGCACGACGGCGCTCGAGTTCCTGCCCGGACTCACGTGCATTGTGCTGGCGGGACACATGGACTCGCCATACACGCAGCAGTATGTAGACGCCGCCACACTCTCCACCATGGTTAGTACTGGATGGAATGCATACAGTTGACAAGTAAACTAGCACTAACTGGTTGACTGGTGCTGTTGCTGCTAGTTCATGAACGTGACGAACTATTCCGTGTGCTTCGGGCTCTCGTCGGCGTTGGATACACTGTGTTCTCAAGCGTACGGTGCTCGACGGTATGACAAGATTGGCATCTACTTCCAGTCCGGAGTATTGGTGCTGGGAGCAGTATTTGGACCCATTTTTCTGCTGAACTGGTACACCGAGCCGCTGATGGTGCTCGTGGGCCAGGACCCGGAGGTGTCGAGGCTGGCGCAGATCTTCTCGAGGTGGATGTTGCTGGGAATGCCGTTTGTGGTGCTGTACGAGCTCATGAGAAAGGTGTTGCAGGCGCAGAACATCATGAAGCCGCTCCTGACGATCGCCACCATCGGAAACGTCATTAACGTCGTGACGGGCTACTTGCTGACGTACTACACGCCCATGGGCTTCGAGGGCATCGCACTATCGAGGTCGTTGGGCAACATCACCCTTCTGCTACTGTTGGTCCCGTATTTCTACTACCACCCGCACCATTTGACCCAGTGGTGGCGCGGATGGAATATGAAGGAGGCGATGGCGCACGTGGGTCTGTTCATGAAACTTGGGGCGCCAGGGTGCCTCATGATGACGATGGAATGGACGGCGTTCGAGCTGCTTACGCTCATGGCAGGCGTGCTTCCGAACGCTGTGGTGTCCATGAGCGCCCACTCCGTGCTGGTCAACATCAATAGCATCATCTACATGATCTTCGCAGGGCTGGCTGTGGCTGCGAACATCCGCATTGGCCATTGCCTTGGTGCGAATCTGCCCAAGCAGGCCAAGACTTCATGCACGGTGGCATTGACGCTGACTCTGGCGATCTCGCTGACGTTCATCGCGTTCCTGTACGCGACTCGCTGGACTCTACCCAATCTTCTCCTCAACGACCAAGAGAGCATTGCTCGTGCCGCGAGCGCATTGGCAGTGTGGGCGCCGTTTGAGATCCTTGACGGCCAGAATACGGTGCTGCAGGGCGTGTTTCGAGGTGCAGGCAAGCAAAAGGTCGGTGCAATCATCAACGCGGTGGCCTACTACGTGTTTGGCACCCCGCTGGCGGCGCTGCTAGGATTCTATTGGACATTTGATGTCGAGGGACTGTGGGTGGGCTTCGGCTTGGGCATCCTCGTGTCTGCGTCGTGTCTGTACTATTTGTTGTTCGAGCACTGGACCTGGGACGAACTTGCCGATGACGCCCAGAAGCGGACGGCTGCTTGATGATCCTTTAGCAAGAGGTTGTTGCTGAAAAATGTGGTGTGTGTTGCTGACCAAGCAATAAGGGAAAACCTATTGCTGCTCTATCTTGATAGAGCAGTTATGATAGTAGACCAGTTGGCGTTCGAGCTCACAAGGATCATACTGGGATAGGAAGCGACGAAGTGCTGATTGCCCAGCCCAAACAGGATTAATTTGGGCGATGTCCCCCCGTCCAATCGACACCGGTGATGAACCGGTAACGTCTTTAGGTCAATTTACAGTAATTGCCAGATTCCGGACCGGAATCCGGAAACCTGTCAAACCTGCAATAGAGACACACTGGCGACGCATAGAAAACCTCGTGCCAATGAACGTCGACTTATCCATTCCGGACGGGAGTGTATAGGGCTGAAATTCGTACTTATAAGAGATGTGTAAATCCTCTCCGCTTGTTCTCTCTCATTCGGCGTTCTTGGAGACGCGCGGTGGACTCGACGAGCGCGGCAGTAAGGCAGACAGCGGACGGCAGACAGCAGCACGACGGACAGTGCGCGCGCGCGGTAGCACGCCAGGCAGTGAACGGCTGGCAGCGGCGTGGAGGACAGGCGCGCGCGTGGCAGCACGGCAGACGGTGGACGGCAGGCAGAGGACGGCGGGCAGCTGGACGGCGAACAGTGCGCGCGCGTGCGCAAGCAGACCCGCTCAGCACCGGTGCTGCAGACGACGCTGGACTCCTAGAGGTAGGTCTCTCCCTTATCCACGCCCCCGTAGCTCAGCGGAAGAGCGGGAGGCTACGCCTTAAGGCCGCTGGTTCGACCCCAGCCGGGGGCAAATTTACTGTGTTGTGTATTGTGTATTGTGTATTGTGTATTGTGTATGGTGTGTTGTGTATTGTGTATTGTGTTGTGCGCTGTTTGCTGTGCGCTGGTAGCTCGGCTACGCGGTTACGATGAACGTGAAGAGGAAACAGGAGGCGTTGAGATGACTGAGGCGAAGAAGAGGAATGCGACCGCACGCACAAAAGGATGCTGCAAGAGGCCGCACAGGTGTTTCAAGACACTGAACGACGCTGTGCGGCTGTGTCAGGACATGCTGTGGCGGGCCAGCGACGAAGTAGCGCACGAAGGTTGACGTGGGGCAGCAGATGCAGACGCGGGAGCAGCGCGTGCCCGAGCGTCAGGTGGAGACGGACGCGCCGCAAGAGTAGTATGCGGCCTACGAGGACTGGCGACGCGGTTGGGTCGAACGATGAGCAAGGAGGTGGGAAGAGGCAGAGAACACTGAAGGAGATGAAGCGGCCGGGAAGGAGCAGGTGCGCGCGGAGCTGTGCTCGGCGCTTCGACGCGATGCAGTTGAAGTATGCCAGACAAAGCATCACACTGGTAAGCAGACGCAGCAGCTGAAATAAAAGCCGGAGAGCGCCGAGTCGATGGCACGCAGCAGCAGCGGTCATCGTGACGACGGAGACGGGTGCGCCCCAAGGTAATGACCGGTTCGATCGAGGTACGACCGCAACTTCCCCTCCTTCACAAACGCTGGTGTAGCTCATCGGAAGAGCAGGAAGCCTCGCTTCCAGGTCGCCGGTTCGATCCCGGCCTCCAGCATCTTGGTTGGTTTAACTTGTATGTATTTGTATGTGGTTTGTTTCTGCTATGCATGATATGGATTTTTGTATAGGCTAAGCGCTAAGATCGTTGGCCGTTCACTGATGCGTTGCAGGTGTGTACTCGTCGGAGATGGAGCCACTCGCCTTCAACGCAAGATACTGTGCACCGAGTGCTTTGTACGCCTCTGGATGCGATGCTCGCAATGCTCGCCAGCGCTTGAGGAGCGACGAAGCTTTTGTGGTCGGCTTCTTGCCGTCGAAGCTGCTAAAACGGTCGTTAGCAGTGCGATCCAGCAAGAGCGCCAGCTCCCAGAGGTCGTGCTTCCAAGTCTGGTACGCGTCGCCGTTGGATCGATGCGGTGGCTTGAGGGTTGTGCAAGGAGTCTGGTACAGTACGAGCATGATATTCACTGCTGCTTTTGCGTCTGCCTGCTTGTTTTGTTCCTTCTTACCTTTCACAGATTCCCATATTTGGTGTATGTACCAGTTGAGCGTGCAGCCTGCCAGCGTAGAGGCAGTAGCTGGAGCAGGTGGCGGAGCTGGGGCAGCGGGCGAAGTTGCGCCGGCGTTAGCATCTGCAATGAGGTCTGTTGTCGATGGCTTGGTTTCTTCCAGACGCGCAAGCCGCTCATTTATCTCGACCAACTGCTTCAGTATGTTCTCCATCGTCGATGCGAGCAACGTATCGCCTCCACTAACTGTATTGCTGACTTGTGCGTGGTTCGTTGCTCGCCAGTGCGCAGTGAGATGCTCGCCCCATTCGCAGCACGTAGTGATGCTGATGCGACAACCAAGAAGCGCGTTTGTCGATGCGATCGAGCGATGCAGATGATACTCATAGCACGTAAGCTGCACAGTTGGGTCGGCCGATGTACTGTGTGCAGCGTCGAGAACTGTCTTCAGGTGCATCAAGAGGGCAGCGAAGGTGGCATCAACTACCTCTATGGCTACATTGTACCGCACGTCCGGGGAGCCAAGGACATGCTGGTACAGCTCGCCCCGCAACGTGACGACTTGCCCAAACTCGGACTCCGAGAGACGATGCTGCAGATCGCCGATTGTCGGCGTTGACACAGGCAAGTCTGGCACCTTGTATCCTGCTAAAACTCTACCCACACTTTGGTCCTCACGCGTCGTCGTTCCAATGTAGGCAAAGGCCTTCGTCAGCGACTCCAGCAGCCACGCACCCCTCGTAGATATCCACTGAACGGCAAGTTTGGGGCACGCGTTGGCATACGCCGCTGCACCGCGCCGCAGAGAGTGGCTCGTCATGTTGGGCGTCGCTGCCTGAGCTGCGGCAGGGGACATCTTGTTTACGGTATCGCGGATAACCTCTGAAATATAGCTAGCCACGCTAGGTCGTTTGCGCTCTTTCTTGAGAGATGGCTTAGCAGCTTCATCGTTGGCCTCCTCCAAGCTTTCCCAATAAATTACAGCTTCCTCCTGCGAGTACGTGCGACCTCCAGGTAGATCCGGATCAGCAAATCGGGGCACCAAAGGAAATAAATATTCGGAAGGCTGGTCGTAGCACACAAAGAGCATCCCAAACGCATGCAGCATGCATTGCTGCCATCGCTCGGGGGAGTTGTATATCGAAACACCTTGAACTACTGAGGTCTTAATCCGCGCAATATTCAAGAAGAGCTCCCCTGATGCTGCGGCCGTCAACTGTTGCTTCCGAGCGAAGCAAGTGTCAATAGCACGGCCGAATGTGTGCCACATCATCGTTAATAGAGCTTCATCATGAACATTCTTGAGTCCACCAGCAATATCGGCGTGCATGACTAGGTGCTCCACAAGTGCACACAAATCATCGACTTTGCACCCAGGCACATCATGCTTCTGCACATTCGCGCGTAGGTTCCGCTCTTCAATAGCGCTGGCCATTTTGTCGCGTATTTGGGCGATACGTTTCGAGTCGGATAGAGAAGTCGGGTAGCGTTCGCGGAGGAGGTTGAGAACTTGCGAAAAGTAGCCTAGCGCAGTTGACTGAGCAAGTAAGCCATCCGCGGCACGGGCCCTGTTGCTCTTTTTAGTCTGTAGAAATATCGAAAAAGCTGTGAGCAATGAGTAGAAGTTTTGTGTCGGAAGGCTAATACGTTTGCTATCGAACTATGCATGCTATCTAGCATCGCTTTCGACAATCTTGTTGAAGAGAGGAACTCCCCAAACACTTTTTCTGCGGCCAGTTCTTGGCCAATTGTCCCAGCCGGGGTGTCAAGACCGCGAGAAGCTCGCTTCATCTCCTCTCTCTGTCTTGAGGCAAGTCCGAAATTGACTCTAGCAGCTTCTACGTTGGACCTCTATCTATAGCAAAGCAAGCTCTCTCGCCTGCTGGGATGCGAGACTTCTTTGGGCCATCTTTGGGCGTTTTGTTCCGGCACGTAGTGCACTTATCTGATAAGAACGACAAACATCTTCGGTTTTGTATGACTACTTATTTGCGCGAAGAAGGAAATTCCGGACGATTCCGGAAATAAGATGAAACGAAATAAACCTAACCCTAATGAGCGACGATTGGATGAAAATAGGTCACTGAACCTCAAATGATAAGAAACAAATCGCTGATTGGCTACAGCGAGGTGGCAAGCTTATCATAGGGGTCGGGTGTCCGGCCGAATACTACTTATCCTACAGTAAGAGATGAGCGTAACTCTCCGGTCTAATATCGCTAAAAATTGACTGAGTTGCGAAAAAAAACTCATTTACTCCGAGCCATGCCCGCACTCTCGCCTCCGTAATGTCTTGCACGATAATGGTGGGGAGCAGCAAAAAATACACCAGATGCGCTGGAGCGTCAGCTTTCCAATGCTATTTTCATTTTGATCAAACTCTATTTAGTTGCTGAGATATGGCCCACTAAGCTAATAGGCCATATTCAAGTGAAACCGAGAAGTAGATTTCAGCGACACTAGCGCAACGCTTCGGTATTGAGTCTAAAATCGGACGCATTAGGCTAGCGGGTGTCGCGTAAGGTACCGCGCGTACGTCGCCACAAGATTATTGTCTCGCTGAGCTGCCCAAGCTCGGTTCGCAGTAGGTAGCCTCGCATTTAGCATCGTTGCGATGCTGTCTGTCGACTTGCTAGCTTGTCTCCACTGGGCGAACAGTGCTGACTGCAAGTGCGTCGCAAGACCTCCAGTACTTGGAGAGGCCTTTGCCGAGTTGATGTACCTCGCCAGATCCGCCTCGTCGTAGTGCTTCAGCATCGTCTTGAGCATTATCCCGACGGACTCGCGGTAGTTGGTCGGGTTTAGCATGATCACACGACTGGCCCAATGCTTCATCTCAGTGACACCAAACAGGAAGCCCTTCTTGTCGTGGAGGCTGAGTCGCGTGAACAAATCGTCGACGTATTGAGACCTCGTGATCCCGGTTTTGATAGCACTCGCGACCTTCTCGATAGCTCGGTGTTACCTCTCTTCGTGGTTGTCGGCTCCTTGAGGGCCTTCAAAAACCTTTGGACACCGGCGTCCTCCTGGTCGCTTGCGATTGAATGAGTCGCAGTCGACAAGCCTGGCGACGCTACGGAGGCGGCATCGACACCTGCCAGAAAACCCGCTATAGCAAGGAGCACGAAGTAGTCGAGGCGCATAACTGGAGCGAAGCTGCGAAGAGAATTGCGGCGTGAGTGTAGGGCCTGTAAGCCGCGTAATTCTACCAGAGGATGAGAGAGATACGGTTGCCACGACAGGTAACTCGTCGCATGAAACGTGCGAGGAGATGGCAACCAGGATGTGGTGGTCCTGGACAACGGAGTTTGTGCCACGACTCGCGCCACAGTAAGCTTACACAGAACATGTACTGTTTTCTTCAAGCCGATCTCAAGTCTTGATCCCCACTCAGCTTGGCGAACGTAACAGCCTGGAGGTACACACACTCCATGGCGGATACCTAAGGTAACGAATCGTTATTAACGATGGGCAACAGGTTATGCTGTGTGTGTACTGAGCAAATAGCAATTATTGTGCCTTTCCAAAACTTTGGCCAATCTGACCTCAAAAAGGTGGTCTTAAGAAGGATGGGGTAGGGCTCAACCTAGGAATTGCTGTTGGCCTTGCATCGGATTACGAAAGTCCTACGTAGGAGCTCCGTCTTCACCTAAAGGGTACCTTTTTGGAAACAAGGCGCGAATGGCCAAGTTAAGCTGGCCATTTGGACCTTCGTAGGACTAACGAGTCCTTCGTAGGACTGGATCAGGCCAGTGCGCCTGAAAGCATATGTGGCAAATGCATAGTTTGTCCACACTCGTACAGGCGGAGACTCAGGCAGCACCGCACCCAGGTCACCGTGCTCAGCGTGGAGCTACGTACATGTGCTACAGGTATAACCGTACCCGAACGCGCTGACTTGTCGGCCTACCTTCCTTTTCGCTACTACTGGTCTTCACTTCGTACTCTAACCTGGTGGTACAGTGTTGCGGAATATCTGCTCTCTGGAGCACTGCGTCTATGTGTCTTGCCAATTGGCGTGATTTCACCAAGGCTTTTACGGCTTTTCGTGGTCCTTTCGTAAGCGGTTTTCTTCAGAAAGGTGCCTTGGAGTGTTAGTCGAACTGTCGGTAGTAGTGCACGGTGTGTCAACTGGCTCATCGCCCGCTCTAGCGATGGAGTGATGCTGCCTTCTCCATGTTGTGCTTCAATCACATGTACAAAGCCGACTGCTTCGATTCTGGGGGGGGTAACCGCCCAACAAAACCCACGCTACCCTCCTACTCTTACCATCCACAACATATCCGCCATATAGGAGGAGATACCAGTCTTCCATTGCAACTGGTCAATCTGAAGAATTGTGAAGACAGCATAGCATCGTGCCACACGAAATGCTTGTGCTTGCGTACGTGGATGTGAGGTCATTCCTCGGATGACGGCTTTTGTTTGAAAGTCGGCAGAGTTGCATGCCCTACGTTTGGCCTCTTGAACAGTAACTTGGACCCCATCGAAGATTTCTCGATTGCGAGTAGACCACAACATGCACTGAGTGCACGATGTCCAGATTAGCCAGATTATTTACATCGCGTTTTCATATTCGACGCCCCAGCCATCAATACTTTTGGTAGCTTCTGCGAGAAAAACCGCTGATGCGGACGGTGCCGTGCGAGAAGCTATATGCGGTAGTAGTGCAGTAAGCTCTTCGCGATGAAGATAATGCCCAGTCCACTGGGGAAGCCAGCTTTCCCAAACTTCTTTTTTTTACAATTTAAATCACTGTAAGTGCTGTTAGCAAACATACAAATGCGTAAAAATTTGCTACCAGTAGTTCCGTCAATGACTTTACTTTTAGCGTGCTGTGCGCTTCTGGGCGTCTTCTGCGAGTTCCGTCCACGACCAGCGCCCCACCAACATGCACACCAGCAGTGTGACTGACACGAAAACTCCAACTCCAAATCCGAGCCACAGACCCTCAACACCCAACGCAAAATAAAAGCTGAACAACGCCGCTGCCGGGATTCCACACACGTAATAGGCCACCGCGCTGATAGTAGCCGCGACCTTCTGCTTGCCTAGGCCTCGGAAAACACCCTGAAGTACGGTGTTTTGCCCGTCGAGTATCTCGAATGGTGCCCAAACCGCCAGCAAATTCGCCGATCGCTCAATACTCTCTTGGTCCGTCAGGAAAAGGCTTGGAATCGAGGCACGGAACACGTACATGACCACAGCAAACGCAACTGAGATCGCGAGCGCCAATAATTGAGCAACCTTGCACGCTAGCCTCGCTTGTTTAGGTGAATTTGCACCCAGACAGTTGCCAATCCGAACATTCGCAGCAACTGCAAGCCCCCAGAACACCATGTAGATCATGTTGTTCACATTCACCTGCACCGCATGCGCACTTACGGATACGACAGGGTTCGGGAGGACGCCAGACATCAGCGTGAGCACCTCGAACGCCCACCATTCGAACGTAAGCATCAGAAGACTCGGCACTCCTAGACGTAAGAACATCCCCACGTGAGTTTGGGCCTTCTGGAGATTCCAACCCCTCCACCATTGACTCAAGTGGTGTGGCTGATAGTAAAAATACGGCACCAACAGCAACGGGAGGGCCATGTTGCCCAGTGATCTGGACAGTGCAATTCCCTCGAATCCCATGGACGTATGGTACGTCAATACGTAGCCGGAGACGGCGTTCACCATGGCACCGATGGCCGCAATGGCAACCAACGGCTTCATAATATTCTGCGCCTGCAACACCTTCCGCAATAATTTATACAGGAACACAAATGGCACGCCCAGAACGGCCCACCGCGAGAAACTCTGCGCCAGTCTCGACACCTCTGGGTCCTGCCCCACCAGCAGCAAAAAGTGCTCCGAGTACCAATTCAGCAGGCAAATCGGGACGAAACACGTTGCAATGACCATGCAGCCAGCTTGGAAGTAGAGTCCGATCTTGTCGAACCGCTTGGCGCCGTACGCCTGAGAGCACAGCGTATCCAACGCCGACGACAGACCAGAACCCACAGAAAAGGCTGTAATGTTCATGAACTAGCCAAAAAGAATCAGTTAGGATTAACTCCCTAAATTTATGCAAGAAAACTAGAAAAGTAAATTACCATCGTGGACATCGTGGCGGCATCCACGTATTGTTGCGTGTGATGAGACTCGATGTGCCCAGCCAAAATGATGCACGTGAAGCCTGGCAGGAATTCCAGCCCCGTTGTCAGCACCTAAAAATTATAGAGGTTGAGTAGAATGCAAACATTTGTTGCGAAAACTTCGTGGAAACTTACGACGGGGTAGACCAGAGATAGTAAAGTGCGGAGCTCCTGGGCGACATCGGGCTCCGATACAAGTGCAGTATCTTTGTGACTGTCGGGGATTGTCACATAACTTTCAGGCTGCTGCTTGGCGCTGAGCAACGGCGAGCGCTCGCCAGCGTCGTGCACAGCTGCAACCCTCCGAGCTTTAGGCGCCATTTTAGCTTTTTGCCGCTAGAAGATCGCAAAAAAATAACTGTTGACGGAGATAAAATAGTGCGCACACCATATTGGTGTACTTGCACACTAGATTGTAGATTGGGAAGTTATCCAACGCCAACACGCATTCAATTCAGCCCTAGCGTTAGCGTGAATGAATGGAGGGTGGACGCACTCATCACTGATGGCGTTGGTGGCCTTTCTCAGGATGTGGTGCAAGCAATTTTAATCAGAGCGTGGAGAACGTTGAGGCTCGGCGTTCAACTTCAGTTTTGGGTTGGTTTTTGCCACACGCATCATAGATGACAGGCACTTCAACTTGCCTGCTACTGAAACGGACGCGTTAATTAATCTCGGGTCCACGCTACAAGTATGCTCTCGAGCGCGAAATAATACATCGTTTGTTAAACCAAGGAGCAAGCAGTTGCACCTCAAAACACAGCTACATAACCTACATACCCACACACAAGACGAGCCACATGGCCAATTTTACTCCAACGAGAGCGACACGAGGTTCAGCGCCGGCGCGATGGTCAGCAGCTCCCAGCGTAGCATTCCTTGCAGCGTGTCGGCAGCGTTACGATGTGCGTGTTCCTCCCCGCGGTAGTCCGTGCGGCCCGTCCAGCGCAACTGCTGGTACTCTTCGCCTGTAGCCGGGTTCACCACGTTGAGGAACTCGATCGACAGTGACAAGTGCGCCCACGCCAGCTTCTCATCCGAGTCGTCCTGTAGATGCGACCCATCGATGTCCACACTCTGCGTTCCGAGCACGTATCCGGTGGCCTCCAGCATGGGCTCGTCGGTCTCCGAGTCCGACCCTGGAGATAACGGAGGAGTCGACGGGCAACTTGCGTCCACGTACGTTGGCGTGACCATTGACTCGGAGGACGCGGGGATTTTCCTGCTGGTTTCGATTAAAAACCGTACGAAGACCGAGCGGAACGTCGAGATGTCGTCTGTGGGGGAGATGACATCCCTCCCTAGCACATAGGCGTTCGGGTTAATCTGTTGCAGCACTTCGAGGCGGCTCGTCTCACACTTGACCTTCTTGAACCGGTCGAGTCTCATATCGTTCGCCCACGTCTTTTGCATGAGCTCGGCAACATTCAACCCCTTAAACTTCTTGGTGAAGACGCACTCCATGACACTCCCCTCCACTTTTTGCACCACGTCCCAGCCGAACATTTGCATCCTCCGCGGTTTAAACCGCCCTTCACCCGCAAGACTGGACGGCAGCAACAACCTGCTCTGCACGCGACCCATGGTCCGGTTATTGTCGAGAATGACGCGGGTTAGATCTAACTCGGTCAACGGGTGGAAGCCAAACACTTGCGCAGCCTCGAACTCGTCCAGTCGGTCGAGTTGCATTTGCAGCGCCTCGGCTCCACCTAACGCGGGCTGCTGGAACTGCTGCGCCCACCTGGGTCCGTCCATTTCCGGTCGACTCTCTAAAATCCGGTACAAGTGCAACTTCCACGCTGCCTGTTGCTGGATCTCCGCCTTTAGATACAAATTCTCCGCGCCGAGTCTTTTCACGAGATCCACCACTTGCGTATAATTTGTTGCCAGTTTGTTGCAGTTGCTGTTGCTGACGGTTAGAGAGTTCACGTCGTCGGTGGTGGCGGACGCGCGGAGACACATGTCGGCGTATTGCTTCTCCAGCCTGGCGATGGTGCTCTTCATCTCCTTGAGCTCCTCTCGTTGCCGTTGCCTCGCGCGCCGCATACAGTCGCGGTTCTTCTGCCGCCGCAGTTGCATCGCCCCCGCGTTAGGCAGTTGCGCGCAGTCCAGCACTTGCTCGGGGGCAACACTGGCCCAGGTTAGAGGCCGAGTTGCATTTGCCGAGTTGCCTTTTGCCGACTTTTTCGAACCTTTGGCGGCAACAGGCTGGCTGGCGACGCCCGCGGCCCATACTGCGTCCAAGGTACTTGGGAAACCGAACCCTGCGTTAACACTACCGCCACTTAAAATGTCATCGCCCCGAACGGGGCTCTTGCCGTCGCTCGGGTCGAGCGTGTGGACGAACTCGGCGGGGCTCTTGACGGGGCTGGCGCCGCTCACGGCCTCCTCCTGCTGGCGCATCTCGTCCCACATGGCGTCCTCGTAGCTGTCCAGGATGGCGGCGGCGCCCGAGCGCCAGTCCTCGTCCGCGCTAGCGGTTAGAGACACCTCGTGCATCATCGCGCGCGTTAACACTGTCTAACCGGGCGGTCGGTCCGAGGGCAAAGCGCTAGTGAGCCCATGGCTGCTGCTCACTTCGACAGGGCAGAGCGCCCGACTCTGACGCGCTCCCTACTAAAAGCAGCGGCGACTTGATTAAATTATGCAAACGCAATCCGATACTGAGTTCAGTACAAATGTAACGGAAAGAAGACGTCATTCCGCTTCTGCGCGCAGAAAAGGATAAACATGGGGATGATGGGAGTCACTGGGTTTCACTATGGGCGAGGTTAGCACAGCTGTGTTGAAGCTGCTGGCAAGGCATCGGCCATCGCCTATCGCGTGCAGCCTCAAGCGAAGGTCTTGCCTTGCCTTGGCGATGTTTCCCGCCATCAGCGTTCGGCGTCGATAGTCGCGCCCGCAGTAATTTCTCCAGGCGCTGGGGTTGCGCGAGCAGTGAAACCGGCAAGGCGAGGTCTCGCTGCCAGCTTCAACCAAGTGCAGGGGTTGGGCCGTGTACACACAACAGGTGAGCGCACCGCCGCCGCATCCGGCTCTCCATCACGCGTTGCTTTGCTTTGCTTCGTCTAACAGTCCAGTTTACATGTAAGGTAAGGTGCCAGCTGCGTGCCTACAACCAGTTCCGTGCCTACTTGTTTTAGCCAATTAGCATCTTCTCCTTGTTAAACTCTCGTAGTCTATTGGTAGATTTTTCCAGCGTCACATGCAATTTCCGGTGATGAGCCTCCTGGGATTTGCATAGCATACAAAAATGCTATCAAAAAGAGGCAGGAAACTGGCAGCTCACTCCAAATCAGCAAGCTTTTCAAAACAATAACAAGAAGTTCTGCAAAATTTACACGGACCAGCGTGAAGTACATAAAATCAGCCCAATCGCGCAGATTTAGCGGGTGCAATCAGATTTCAGAATGGACAATTCAATGAAAAGTTATCGAAGGACGGCACGAAACTGGCAGAAGACCTTATTATAGTTTGCGCGCCGATCAGGGCATCTTCCCGAAAGGGAGTGTTGCCGAACACGCTGCTTCGCGCTTTGGATACATCTTCAGAATTCAGCAAAAATGTGAAACTGAAGTTATCAGCAACAAAAATCGAAGCGGCGACAGCAGCCCAAGAGGCAAGACTGCCAACAACACTCAAGTAATCTTACATGAAACACTTAAACTCTCACCGGAAACTAGTGCACGCAACTGGTTTACGCAACTCGCGCCACTTTCTTTTTTATCTTCTCACATAACCGTCTTCACACTGCTCACCCGCTCGACAGCGATATCAAGTTCAGCGCCGGTGATATGACCAGCAACTCCCATCGTAGCAGTCCTTGCATCATGTCACTCGCGTTACGCTGCGCGTGCTCCGGTCCGCAGTAGTCTGTCCGCCCGCTCCACCGCAGCTGCTGATACTCTTCTCGAGTGACGGGGTTCACCACGTTTAAAAACTCAATTGACAGCGATATGTGAGCCCACGCCACTCTTTCCCGCACGTCTTCATCCCTCGGTTGTTGCGAGTAATCCGTGTCTATACTTTGCGATCCGAGCACAAACCCGGACGCTTGCAACATGACTTCATCGCTATCCGAGTCGCAACGCGGAGGCGTGGAGGGGGCACTTGCATCGATGCAACTCGGAGTTGCAGTTGCCGAGGACTCGCTAACCGCCGCCGCGAGTTTCCGACTCGTTTCGATGAGGAACCGGACGTACACGGACCGGAAGGTGGCAATGTCTTGCGTGGGGGACGTCACGTCGCGACCGAGGACGTAGGCGTTCGGGTTCACTTGTTGCAGTACCTCGAGGCGGCAAGTTTCCCCCTTAACCTTCTTGTACTCGCCAAGTCGCATGTCGTTCGCCCACGTCTTTTGCATCAACGCGGCAACATTTAATCCTCGAAACTTTTTCGTAAAGACGCACTCCATGATGTTGCCATGCACGCGCTGTACCATGTCCCAGCCAAAAGATTGCATCCTTCTCGTTTTAGCACCAGAGTCAGTGTCAGACGACGAAGGGATCAACAGTCGACTGTGGACTCGAGAAATGGTACGGCGGTTCTCTAAAATCACGCGGGTGAGCTCCAGATCGGTCAGAGGGTGGAATCCAAACTCCTCCTGGGCGTTAAACTCATCCAAAGTGTCCAATTGCATCTTTAACACCTCTTCCCCACCAAGCGCTGGCTGCTGGAAGTGCTGGGCCCATTTCGGACCGTTCATGTGGGGAGCAGAGTGCAAAATGCACGACAAATTGCGTCTCCACGTCGCTTGCTGCTGGATCTCAGCTTTCAGGTACAAATTCTCAGCTCCGAGTCGCCGCGTTAACTCCACAGCTTCTGAATAATTCGATGCCATTCGAGACACGAGAGCACCTTCAGTAGGAGGGGTAGACGACTGGAGACTGAGCTTCGCGTACTGCTTCTCGAGTCTTGCCACTGTGATTTTCATGTTCTCCAGTTCTTCGCGCTGCTTTTGCCTCGCCTTTCGCATCCACTCGCGATTCTTCCGACGACGAATGTCCGCGGCGCTGGAGCCTTGAGTTGGGGAGGAATCCGACAGTGTATTCGATGCAGAGCTCAAAGCAGGCGATGAAGCCTTAGCAGTCCATAACGGAACGCAACCCGTGTCATGTTGCGTTGCTGCCCACACCGCATTCAGTTGCGTGGTGTCAAGACCCAACCCGAAGATGCCGCCACAGCCAGCTCCACCAGTCAATGGACTCAGTGATTCCTCATACTGGTTACCACCCCCGCGAACTGGAGCGAGTGCACTACCACCCAAACACGGACCGAATAGTGCATTTACTTGAGCGTTTGAGCTGCTGGTCGCTCCGCTGATGAGGCCAATGGACGCCACGCTCGACTCGAACGGAGCTGAGAGCTGCGAGAGGTCGCGCAGCGTGTCGTCCCTTACGACCTCGTCGAGGCTGTCCAGGACGTCGGGGGAGGCATCGGAGACCGGCGGGCATTGGAGATCACGCTTCATCGACCCGGTCTTGTTGACCTCGCTCGATAGCCTAACCAGAAACGGACGCACGAGTGCACTTTGTGTCTGTTGTGGCTATTGATAGGCCAATCCTTACCCATTTTTTGGAAAGTTTCTGGAGTGTGCAGCTCCAATTGAAACAAATGGCAAACTTTCTAGGTTTTACATGGCACGAGTCCCCGCTGACTAACACCCAGCGAGGACGTGGAAGTGGTCTTCTCGAACGGTCATCCAGCCGCGGTAAGAACTTCTTAGAGACCGAACGATGAAAAACATTGAATCATTATTATTATATCGGGTAGGAAACTGACGAGAAGCCCAATAAGGATTAATTTGAGGCTTCAAATATGTGGTCCACACAAAAAGTGGGTACTGAACCTATACAAATTTTCAAGTAAAAGGGACTTACAGATCTAATATTTCGAAAACCCAAATCTACTTATTTACACAAGTTTTATCCTGGTAGTGCTACGGCAGTAGTACGTGTGTCCACAGCATCGATTCAATACAAATTTCAAGTACAACCTCCTTCTATTTTTGTTTTTGGCATCGACATCGCAGATTTTCTATGTATTGCAGGTGTTTTACGACTTTGTATTTAATTTATAAAACTATACAGGTGGCAAATGAAGGCAGAAGATGATATCTTGCGGTATCGATTTGGGCGGGGTTCTTTATGGCTTCTATAGCTTATAGCTTGCCTATTGCTTTGCTTTCTCATGCATGCACCATTGCTCTGCTTTCATCAACCATTCTAGCCCGTACATTAAGTATGGGCTAGATGGTTTCAAAGCAGTCAACTACTTCCCACTACGCTTGAAGCATGCCCCGCTGCCGCTTCAAGCAGATCAAGTTGCTGAAGTTAGACGAACAAACGCACGTAGAGCAGGAACTTTTTCGGCATAGTGCCGCCTGGCCGGCTCAAGCCACATAAATCAACAGGAACCGTGGAGACGAGCGACGATGGTTGAGAACTGGCCTTGGTCGTCTGCTGCACCGATGCATCGCGCGCCGCACAACTCCGCACCGTGATGCATGTAGATGTAGATCTGTACAGTAACACAATTCGACCTGTCGAAGTGTAAAATAAAAAGAGATGAGTAGGTATGTAGGTGGTTTAGCAGCTCGCTCCGACGACACGGCAGCGAGTATGTGCCCTTAGAGAGCGGGGGCCACCGTACCGCCAAAGCTCGCCGCTTGATGCGTTGTCTGTAGATGCGTTGTGCGTAAATGCGTGGATAGAGTAGGTAGCAGCTCGCTCCGACGACACGGCAGCGAGTATGTGCCCTTAGAGAGCGGGGGCCACCGTACCGCCAAAGCTCGCCGCTTGATGCGTTGTCTGTAGATGCGTTGTGCGTAAATGCGTGGATAGAGTAGGTAGCAGCTCGCTCCGACGACACGGCAGCGAGTATGTGCCCTTAGAGAGCGGGGGCCACCGTACCGCCAAAGCTCGCCGCTTGATGCGTTGTCTGTAGATGCGTTGTGCGTAAATGCGTGGATAGAGTAGGTAGCAGCTCGCTCCGACGACACGGCAGCGAGTATGTGCCCTTAGAGAGCGGGGGCCACCGTACCGCCAAAGCTCGCCGCTTGATGCGTTGTCTGTAGATGCGTTGTGCGTAAATGCGTGGATAGAGTAGGTAGCAGCTCGCTCCGACGACACGGCAGCGAGTATGTGCCCTTAGAGAGCGGGGGCCACCGTACCGCCAAAGCTCGCCGCTTGATGCGTTGTCTGTAGATGCGTTGTGCGTAAATGCGTGGATAGAGTAGGTAGCAGCTCGCTCCGACGACACGGCAGCGAGTATGTGCCCTTAGAGAGCGGGGGCCACCGTACCGCCAAAGCTCGCCGCTTGATGCGTTGTCTGTAGATGCGTTGTGCGTAAATGCGTGGATAGAGTAGGTAGCAGCTCGCTCCGACGACACGGCAGCGAGTATGTGCCCTTAGAGAGCGGGGGTCACCGTACAGCCAAAGCTCGCCGCTTGATGCGTTGTCTGTAGATGCGTTGTGCGTAAATGCGTGGATAGAGTAGGTAGCAGCTCGCTCCGACGACACGGCAGCGAGTATGTGCCCTTAGAGAGCGGGGGCCACCGTACCGCCAAAGCTCGCCGCTTGATGCGTTGTCTGTAGATGCGTTGTGCGTAAATGCGTGGATAGAGTAGGTAGCAGCTCGCTCCGACGACACGGCAGCGAGTATGTGCCCTTAGAGAGCGGGGGCCACCGTACCGCCAAAGCTCGCCGCTTGATGCGTTGTCTGTAGATGCGTTGTGCGTAAATGCGTGGATAGAGTAGGTAGCAGCTCGCTCCGACGACACGGCAGCGAGTATGTGCCCTTAGAGAGCGGGGGCCACCGTACCGCCAAAGCTCGCCGCTTGATGCGTTGTCTGTAGATGCGTTGTGCGTAAATGCGTGGATAGAGTAGGTAGCAGCTCGCTCCGACGACACGGCAGCGAGTATGTGCCCTTAGAGAGCGGGGGCCACCGTACCGCCAAAGCTCGCCGCTTGATGCGTTGTCTGTAGATGCGTTGTGCGTAAATGCGTGGATAGAGTAGGTAGCAGCTCGCTCCGACGACACGGCAGCGAGTATGTGCCCTTAGAGAGCGGGGGCCACCGTACCGCCAAAGCTCGCCGCTTGATGCGTTGTCTGTAGATGCGTTGTCTGTGCGTAGATGAGAAGACTGCGGTGAGGCAACTCTGTGAATGAACGTTTGAAGTTGAACTGACGGGGAAACAACGGTGCAACCAGTCCAACCCTCTTGTTACAAAGGCGTCATTTAGAGCTTTCGAGATAATCGCGTTTACCGAATAATACCTTACCCGTAGAGTACCCTCTAAAACGTAACCATAGGCGTATCCCAGGGTTACACGGTTACATCAATACAAATATCAAGTATATTTTTATGTTGTCGAAAGCATATTTTCGCATGAAATAATATGTATTATCCATGATTTATCTGTTTTATTAAATGGGAGGGTACTATTAAATAGTGCCCGGGGTATTATTCGGAAATTTACGTCAGTTGGCAAATCATTTTTCGGAAATAACCGGACATCAAAAATTCAAAAGTGAAAAGCACACTTAAAAAGCGTAAAGTTACTCTTATTCGATTGTTTTTAGCGCAAGATTTCCGATAATATGCAATATGTTAAAATGAATAACAATATTGAGGTCATACGCCCCAAATAAAATCGGGAATTAAGTGGTCCCAAATGGAGATAAATTTCTAGCCCGATGTAACTCCGTGCGTTCTTCACATTTTGGAGCGTTTGATAGCTTAAACGAAGCACAAGACACGCCTCGTCCGATTGATGCGGTTAAATCGCGCTTCGTACTTGGATTCGTAAGCATCTTTTCGTTTGAAACCGTCTCAAATTATAGCAGGATGGAGGCTTACATGGCATCTTACCTTATTTTTGGCGATTTGGTGCAATATGTTACACAAGTGCGCTCATTTTAGAAACTACTTCTGGGCGTACATGCTTATCGAACGTTTACGTAGGTGTATTACGTTACAAAGGCCTATCACGATCTACAACTTTGAATTGGAGTGCGCACTTTGTGAATTTGAGTGCGCGTTATGAGAATAACGCCGTGCAATCGTGTACATTGTAAACGTGGTGCCGTCGAATTACCACCAAACCAAACCTGGTAGGTTTAGTTGCCCTTCTAGATGTAACTTAACCGGTGCGATGGTCGTCTGAAACACCTACCTTCAAAACTTTCGAGCAAATCAAGCATAGCTCTGGTATCGCGGTGCCCCGTATATTCAATCAACGGCCAGGGTCTGCGCGGCTTCCGATACGATATTCGTCCCCGAACATTTCGACCCGTTTCGGCATAGCTTAAGATCGCGGTGCCCCGCGTTAAGAAATCGTCAGCTGGCGTGCCACGTCGCCGCTAGAAAATGTAAATATGCACACAAACGTTAGTTAAGATTGATGAACAGAGTTATGGTAGCAGCGCGCTCGGTACCACGGCAGCAAGTATGAGCCCGCGGAGGGTGGGGGCCACCACTGCTACTGAGCAGGCGCTGAAAAGTGAGAAGAATCGCTGTAGAACCTTCTGAGTGTTTGAGACGGTAAGGTTTAAACAGGCCACCTGCCGATTTGGTCACCTTAGGGTCGCATACGATTCAAGCAGGACCAAACCAAAAATATAGTGTATTTTAGCTTCGGTCCCCAGTGCTCGGAATCAGTAAACAAAATAAAAAAGTTGGGCAATAAAATAACTGAAATAATTTATTGTGGTTATAATGGGCCTACTTTGGCCCACTACTTTAGCTTACACGTGTGCGCGTGTATGTGAGGAATCGTAGCTTAGTTTAAATTAGAGCTAATTATACTCGAGCCTCCGAGTATAGATTAATCTAAATAAACGATCCAAATAATGTTTTTGGGTTAGAATGAGAACTGCTATTTTTTATGTTTCTGACTTCCTCTAAATGAAGAAGGGCGCCGCCGGAGCACTCCCCGCCGAGCCGCTGGAGGTGGTGCTCGAGGACGAGGCACGAGACGACGAGGACGCGGACGAGTCGTCGCCACTGGAGTCGCCCGAATCGCCCGGACCAGGGCCTGGTCCAGCTCCGGCTGCCGCACGGCCCCTCGGCGAGGAGGGCGTTGGCCGTGCAGGAGAAGAGTGACGCGAGGCCGCCGACCCCACCGAGTGCGCCGAATGCGGCCGAACGCGTCGACGCCAAGGAGGGAGAGCGAGACCCGGGGCTACGCAGCCGGCGGCACTTGGACTGAGCCCGCCGCGCTTGGTCCTCGCTGTCCGAAGACCCGGAGCCGAAGAGCGACGCGTCCTCTCGTGCGCGCGCTGCAGCTGCAGCGGCCACAGAGGGTGTATAGGCCTGCGCAGCGGCGTTGTCGGAAGCCGCAGTGTCGGCCACGGTAAAGGGCCGCCGACTACGTCGAAGGGGCGAAGAACCAGACGACGTAGCGGACGCCGCTCCTGACGGCCTAGACGCGCGTGACTGAGAACCCGAACGACTCGACGCGCCGTGTCGAGGTCGCCGAAAACCCGACGAGGACGAGGCAGCGGACGAAGTCGGAACAGGACGGGAGCCCGAAGGACCTGCTGGAGGGGAAGGGCCAGTCGTCGAGTCCGCCGTCGAAGCCGACGAGCCCGCCCGGGCACCAGAGCTCGAGATAGTTGAAGCAGGAACAGGAACCGCGGATGCCGCAGGAACTGCGGCGGACGTAGGAATAGCAGGGGGAGGGGGATCGCACCGTCGATCTCCGCCGTGAAAGTGGCTTCGAGTCGCCTAACCAGGTCAGCGGTGTCGATCTGCCCGCCTACACGCGTTACGACGCCGGCGAGACGATCGGCAAGTTCGTCGCGCACCCGCCGCGCCAGCTCTCGGCCCCGACGCGCGCCTCGAAGAATCCGACGCCAAGCCACAGCGCGTTCGTCGCGCTCTCGGATGGCCATGTCGCGCTCCTCCTCCAGCTCAGCGACGCGAGCGCTGAGACGATGGGTCTGGGCGCCGACTGTTCCTCGATGCTGCTGATACGACCGCCGCATGGACAGCCACCCAGCTCGATACTGCGCCGCGCGAGATGTGGCGCAAAGTTCGCCAGCTTGAGCCTGCGCCATATCGGACTCGGCGGCCACACGGAGAGTCGTAGCAGTAGCCACTGACTCCTCCAGCTCGTGGATACGCGTCGCGCCGCGGCGGAGCTCCTCGGCGTGGGCCACTAAGAGCGCGTTGACGCGCCGAAGGTCGTTCTACAGCGGGACGTTCAGGTTCTGGGCCGCCTCAGTCTCCGTGCGGCTCTGAAAAGGCGACGCACGGGCCGCGCGGAGCTCTTCGTCGACCGGGGCACGCTGCTGCTCCAGGGCGGTCAAGGCCTGACGAGCCTGATCTCTCTCGGCGACGGCAACGTCTCGCCGCTGCTCAAGGGTGGCCACGGCTTGACGTGCCTGGTCCCTCTCGGCGACAGCAGCGTCTCGCTCGCGTCTCAGGGCCGTGGAGGCTCGACGCACTTGATCCCGCATGTCGAGAGCTCCGTCGCACTCTTGTTCGACGACCATGAGAACGCGGGCCACGCGGTCACGCTCGGCGAGAGCGGCGTCGCGCTGCTGCTCGGCAGTGGCCACGAGCTGCCGGATCTGATCTCGCTCGGCTTCGGCGGCGGCCACGCGCGCTTGGATAGGAGCGAGGGCGGCTTGGGCGGCTGCGAGGTCGACGCGAAGGTCGTCACGCTCGGCGCGCGCGTCGTCGCGCTCGCGTTATGCAGCAAACAGCCGCGCTAGCGGCACGGTGGATGGAGGCGGCGTAGCAGGAGCGCGCGCGAGTTGGGCGGTCAAGTCAGTGACCTGGTCTTGTGCCGCCCGGAGCTGAGCTTGAAGATCACGATATTGCTCTGTCGAGGAGCCTCGCTCGGCGCGGAGTAGAGCCTTGGCAGCGTCGGCGCGCTCAGCACGAGCACGGAAGTCGGCCACTCGATCCTCCAGGACGGCGTAGTCCCGCTCGGCGTGCTCCCGGGAGAGGAGCGCCTGCTCGAGCCGGATCATGCCTGCGCGAAAACCCTCGCGAGCACGATGCAAGATCGCGAGATTGCGGTCATGCAGCACGGACGCGTGAGTAGCCAAGCCCGCATGGTGCGCTGAGACGAGTTCGTACTGGGCGCGCAGCTCCTGGTTCTCGCGCTGGAGAGTGTGCGCGTCGGCGACAAGAGCAGTCACCGAGTGGACGGGGGCGCCTGAAGCCGGAAGCTGGACTTGGGGCGCGACGGGGAGGCGAAGACGATGCGCGCCGAGGGCGCAAACCGCGCAGCCAGCGGCCTCGAGGTCGTCGGTATCGAGCTCTTCCTCCTCGAGGTCGATGTCGTTGGCGTCGACGTCGTGGCGGCGAGCCATGAAGCTTGGAGTACCGCGAAGCAGACTGCGAGGGCAGAAGACGCGATGGTGTCAAGACGAAGTGAAGGCGCACGGCAGGTTCTGCGACGACACACCCACCTAGGGAGTGCGCGTGCGTGGCAGCGGGACGAATGTGGTGTAGTACCCCGCAGAAGAAGTGGGCGCACCGGGCCCCGGAGGAAGAAGGCGCCAGGGCACGAATGATGGACCTCGACGCGGATGGATGGGCGCGACGCAGGGCCGAGCTCGACGGGAAAGTCGGCGTGGGTGATGGGCCGTGAGACACGGTGCCAGAATCCAGTGCGACGCGTAATCATCCGACGGGTCGACCAGCGCGCCCGGTTCTGCAAAACGCGCCGAGCAAAACGCGCCCTAACCCCCGCCGACCAAAACGCGCCGAGGTAAGATCTTGATTGCGCCACGTAAATCAGGTTGAAGCACGGTAGTGCAAGCACGACAGAAGTAAGGATAGGCACAGAACGGTAGGCTTAGCAAGCGGTAGTACAGAGTAGCCAGTAGCAAGGACATAGGATAGGGTAAGGACTCAGTCCCGAAATTTCTCTGAACCACAAAGACCTCCCGTCTTCTCCGAGGTTCCAGGGGAACCACCAAGCGCCGGCAAGTAGAACCGCCTCGATATCGCGACCCCGCGTCGTTTGCTGGTTCGGGTGCTCACCCCCCACAGACCCGTGCTGGAACAAAGGCACGTTAAACGTATACCGTTTAGGTGGGCGCCCGATAACGCGCTGCCTAGGCGAAGGACCGCACTGGCCTGATAACAGACGTGCACAAGACCCCCGTGTAGGCACGATAACACCACACAAGCCCCAGGAAACGACTGCCCGATATCGCCGCACGCCCGACGGGAACGCCGAGGAAACGCCGGCCCGATAACGCCGCACGCCCAAGGCTCGACGTCCTACGACAAGGAACAAGCGTCAAAACAAGAACCCCCAACTCCGAAGCCTGCGAAGACTTGGGCCTGTATTTCGAAGATACACTACTCCAACAACCGGGAATAATTTGCTCGGCGCGACCGCTATCCAGACGCGCCGAGTTTGTGCGAGATCGCATTCGCGAGATTTCTGCGAGGGCGCTACTCCACATCGCTTTGGTCATGCTTCGATCTTCCGGCTCCGCATCCGGAGCTCTTAGTTTCTTCCGCGCTGCTCGTGTCTTCTTCTTAGACATGGCTCCCTGGTTTTGCGCGGGGTTTTTGGCCGAGGATCCAACAGCTTTCGCTGCTGGGTGCTCGTCCGACGGATCGTGCTTCGCAGCGCGACCCGCGGGGTTCCTCGGGAGGACCTGTGGAGGGGGTAGAGGCTTCTCCTCGAGATCAGGGTCATCCCGATCCGCCTCCGATCCGCCGGTAGAGTTCCTCCTGGCACTCTGTCGGTTCATTTTTCAGCGACGCCGCCGGTGATCCTAGCTCCGTCGGCTCTTCATCTCCTGATTCGTTGCTCACATGCGCATCATCTTGGGACTCACGGTGAAATCCCGCGTCGCCAAGAGATCCGGGCACGCGCACCATTGTGGTGGAGTGGATCCGCTGGAATTAGCAGGGATCCCACACTCACATATGCGCCCAGACACCGACTAACGGAGGGGGTACTCCGATAACCGTAGGTTACTGAGTGGCTCACCTTGTGTACCCGTCGGCGGGCTGGATCTGCTCTCTCTCGTTGACACGAGATGCGCAGCGGGTGAACTTGAATTTCCTTGGCGGGTACTTGGGGAGATGTTGGGGTAGTTCCGCAGTGGGGGTTCCTTCACGCGGGTCTGGGTAGATTGATCCTTGGTCTTGGCCGTAAATCTTGTGGATCCGATAAGTAATATACCGGATCCGGCGTTGTTGCCTTGTTGGGGGTGTTGTATCCTTTTCCTTTACGTCGCTTGCCGCCTACTATTAGCGGGGGAGTTGGGGGGCGAGGGCCGAAGGGCGCGAGCTGCTGACCAAGCTATCCAGCAGTCTGCCACGTGTGCGGGGGGCAAATCACTTGATGAAAGTATGGGACAATACTAATCCCAATACTAAGGACCAAGTGTGTGGTTCCCAAGCAAATTCGACTCTGATTTATGTTAACCTGTAACGGGGTTACCTAGAATAGTGACCCTGTCACTATTCCGGGATGGCTACATCGGTCACTCCCCTGGATAGTGACCCAAGTGGCCTCAGAGCCAACAGATACATTTTGTATGACACAAACTATAGGGAACTTAGGATTTGTATGCAGGCCAAATCTGTACCAACCTATAAATACATTCAGTCTTAGATCTACCGCTTTTCAAGTCAAGTCGTCCCCTTCAGACCAGGGACACGTGAACAACGGGTGTTCACTTGGGGTTTGTATACTCCTGCTTCCTCTGTTAAGAAGTGCTGTGTGCCCCATCACACTTGGTAGCACTTGTAGTCAATCCTACGCCTACGCGGGTAGATTGGACTACCTGAATCCTCTGTGGTCTCATCGAGTGAGCCAAGATGGATCGTACGGAGTTTCCCCATCTGAACGACTCGCAGTACGAGTCCGTTCGTAAGATGGCAGGCATCTTTGGGACAGATGCCCTGCGTAGCTTAGCGGTGGCGATGCCGGCTGAGCAGGTTGAGCGTATCAACGCGTTCGACACCTACGAGCGAGGGCTCATCGCCCACGTTCAAGGGCTGCAGGCCACTGCGGCCGCGCCGAAGCCGGTGCAACCGAAGCCCCTGCGGCTGAAGGTTCACCCCTTCGAAGGGAAGGAAGGAGACAACCTTCACTTCTGGGTTCGAGAGGTTGATCTCGCGATGGACGCGGCTCTCGTCTCGGACGAGCGACTCCGTGTCGCCTTTGCGCTCTCCAACCTTAGTGGTCGCGCTAAGAGTTGGGCGTATACGCGCGAAGGGACGACGCCTGGATGCTTCGCATCATGGTCCCAGCTGTGCGAGCAGCTGCGGGCCGCGTTTCTTCCGGTGAACTACGAGTACCGCCAGCGTTCGCGCTTCCTCGCCTGCAAACAAGGAAGGCGCGAGCTGCATGAGTACATCCAGGAGATGCGAGTGCTCACTGCCTCTTTGGTGGGGAACCCCCTGCCTGAACACATCAACGTGACCGTGTTCATGGACGGTCTGCGTGTCGGTCCTGCCCGCACGCAACAGCTCCGTGTGCAAGCAAACACTATGGAGGAGGCGATTCAGATCGCCCTCCAGGAGGAGTACAGTCACAAGCAGGCTCGTACCCCAGCCACGGTATGGCAGAGCAACCCTGCCTCTGGCGGTGCGCCTAATGATACTCCGGCAATGGAGCGATCAACGGGCCGGTTCCCATGGATCTGGGCATGGCCGAGCAGAGCGACATTCGCTGCTACGGCTGTGGCAAGCTTGGGCACATGAAACGTGCTTGTCCCGCGGGAGGACTGAAGAAGAAGTTATTTTCGAAGCCCTTTGGCTCTAGGGGTCGCTGGCAGAAGCCGCGCCCCAGGAACCAGGGGAACTCCGGACACCAGGAGCGGGGCGCCCTACTGGGGAAACACTAAGTCTTCATGAGGGGCGTGCGGGTGGTGCACGCCATGGGGACGTAGTCCCTGAGAGTCTCTGTACTCTCGAAGCGGAGAAGGGAAGCGGTGGGTTGCTTGTGGTGCACGCGAGTGTACCGGGATACGATCATCCCTTTAGAATCTTGATCGACTCTGGGGCGTCCAAGAACCTTGCGCGCCGCCAGACTGTCGCACGCAGTCGCGACAAGTACGCCGATGCGCTACGAGGCAGTAAAGGCAACGGGCTGGTCTCGGTAAGACTGGCCGACGGTACGGTGGTAGAAGTACCTCGGGTCCACATGAACCTCACTGTCAAGTTCGAGGACTTCGACAGCACGGAGCCGTTCTTGGTCCTAAACATGGACAAGTACGACTTGATCCTTGGCATGCCGTGGCTGGAGAAACACGAGCCTTGGATCGACTGGCGCGGCAAGGCCATCGGGGCCAGCCGTCCCCCACGCTCTGACAGAGCTTTGGTGAGTCATGTTCCCACCTCTGGCAGCAGCTGGGGCGCCCGCGAGGGCCGCCAGGGCGCAGCAGCGTCTAATGAGTTCTTGGGGTCCGTCGAGACTGACGACGACTCCGACCGGGCCGGACAAGGCCTGAGAGTGGAGGTGCCGGACAGCACCTACCAGGTGGGTAACGTAGGTCCACATGCGGGTAACGAAGTACCGCAGGCAGCAAGGGCTGCTGGAGATGGCGCCGCTGGCGCTGGCGTGGGTAACCAAGTTCCACGCGAGGTCACTCAGACCGTAACTGATGAGGAAGGCACTGCAGGCGCTTCCGATGTGGGTAACATAGTTCCACAGGAGGTCACTCAGACCATAACTGATGAGGGAGTCGCTGGAAGCGCTCCTGGTGTGGGTAACCAAGTTCCACACGGCGAGGTGGGTAACATAGTTCCACCCAGCAAGGCGGGTAACCAAATTCCGCTCAAGGACAAGGCGGGTAACGTAGTTCCGCACGAGATCGAGAAGATCGGTGGTGCCGTCAAGGCGGCGCCACGAGACGAAGACACCCGAGGGTCACGTCGTAAGCCGGGCCTAGTCGTGTGGCCGACGACGCCAGTCGCCAGCGACTCCGAGCCTCCAGCCAAGGCTCCAGCCGCCGAAGAGTGTTATCACATCTTCGACGGCGTGACCGGTCGTCGGGTCAAGACAGGAGCTGTCGAGCTTACAGCTCTGCCCGAGGTTTCAGAGTTGCTGAACCTTGAGGAGCTCGCCATGGAGGACTTCTTGGCCGAGCTAAAGGCCGGGGAGATCGCAGAGTCGGTTCTCCTCCGACCGGAGTCCACGTCGGCCGTGTTGATCTCATCCTCGGTCATGGACCAGGCAGTCCTGGAGGAGTTCCAGAGACAGCGCGCGTCGCGCATGGGCTCTGAGATTCTTAAGAACCCCCGGGACCCGGTGTACCCCTTGGTGAAGGTGTTTGAGGACGTGGTGTCCAAGGATCCACCGTCCAATCTCCCTCCGGACAGGGGAATCAGGCACGAGATCGATCTCGTGCCGGGCACGAAGTACTGTGTCACGAGGCAATGGCCTCTTCCCCGGGAGGAGTGTGAAGTCATTGATGCCTTCTTTGCCGCCAAGGCGAAGGCAGGCATGGTGCGGGAGTCGAAGTCCCCGCACTCGCCGCCTACCTTCTGTGTTCGCAAACCGAACGGAAAGTGGCGTCTGGTTCATGCTTATAACAAGCTGAACAGCGCGACAGTGCCTGCGCAGACACCGATCCCGCGCAAGGACGTGTTGCTCAACAACATGGCCGGCTGCACGCTGTATAGCGCGCTGGACCTGGTGGACGGATACTACCAGATCCTGATGCGCGAGAGCGACATCCCACTCATGGCTGTGAGCACGCCGAGCGGTATGCTCTGGGAGTGGCTGGTCATGCCTCAGGGACTTTCTAACGCCTCGGCAACGTTCAATCGCTTGGTCACACAACTGTTCCGACCTTTGCGTGCGTTCACACAGACGTACTTTGACGACATCTTCGTCCACAGCCGTGCCGAGGCAGGCCAGACGGCCATGGAGGTGCATCTTCAGCACCTTCGACGTATGTTCGAAGTCATGCGGGCGAACAAGCTGTACGCCAACATCGACAAGTGTGTGTTCGCAGCTGAGGAGATCAAGGTCCTAGGCTGCTTCGTCAGCAGCGCCGGGGTCCGGGACCCGGAGAAGGTGAAAACCATCGCGGTTTGGCCGCCACCTCGGTCGCAGAAGGACCTACGACAGTGGCTGGGCCTCGCCAACTACCTGCACAAGTATAGTGCAGGCTACGCCGAGCTGGCACGACCCTTGTCGGATCTCCTGAAGAAGGATGTCAACTGGCGCTGGGAGCGTCGCCATCAAGATGCTTTTAACGACATCAAAGCGAGCTTACAGCGTCCTGGCATTGCCGGACGAGACGAAGCCTTTCAGCGTAGTCTGTGATGCGTCTGACTACGCGATTGGCTGTGCGCTATTGCAGGCCGACGATGAAGGCCGCGAACGGGTCATCTCGTTCCAGTCCAGGCAGCTCAAGGCAGCCGAACGGAACTATCCAGTCCACGACAAGGAGCTACTTGCCATGAAGTACGCTCTTGTCAAGTTCCGAGTGCATCTCCTGGGCTCGACGCCCTTTGTCGTTTATACAGACCACGCGTCCTTGCGGACTGCCGACAACACGCCGCATCTCTCACAGCGGATGGCGCGTTGGCTGTCATTCTTCGCGGAATACAACTCCCGTGTCGAGTACAAGCCGGGCAAGTTGAACGTGCTTGCCGACGCGCTGTCGCGTCGACCCGACTACGAGCTTGCTCATATTAGTCGGGTCACGACGGATCTGTATGATCGCATCAGGCTGGGGTACCGAGACGATGCCAGTCTCGGACCTCTTGTGCGGTTCTTGGCCGCTGGCTCGGAAGCCAAGGCCGAGTGGCTCACGCCCCGACAACGTGCAAGGCTGCACCGCTATGAGTGGGCTGACGGTTTGCTCCACTATAGGGTCGAGCCCAAGTATCCTCCCCGTATTGTCGTGCCCAACGACGAGGATCTCAAGTACGACATCCTGATGGAGGCGCACGACGCTCCATCCAGTGGCCATCTCGGCCGTGAGAAGACGTACGCGTCTGTCTCGCAGATGTTTTGGTGGCGTCACATGTACAAGTGGGTCGCCACCTACGTCCGTACGTGCGAGACGTGCCAGCGCGTGAAGCCTGCCGGTCACGCCTCGGCACCATTGCAGAGCCTGCCGGTCCCAGCGGACTGCTGGAAGTCGATGAGTCTCGACTTTGTCTTCGGACTTCCGGCCGATGACCGTGGCAACACTGGTGTTGTTGCCTTCGTGTGCCGTCTGAGCAAGATGGTCCACTTTGCTCCAGTTCGTGACACCGTCACTGGCGACGAGGTCGCTCGCCTGTTCATGGACTGTACCACGGTCTGCCCGAGACCATTGTCTCTGATCGAGACCCGCGGTTCACCGCTACGTTCTGGCAGACGCTGTTTCGCCTTCTCGGCACACGGCTGTCGATGTCGACGGCGGACCACCCGCAGACGGATGGCCAGACGGAGCGCGTCAATCACGTGCTCGAAGACTCGCTCCGCAGCATCTGCACGGAGATGCCCCGCTCTTGGGCTGATCGCTTGCCCATGGTTGAGTTCGCACTCAACAATGCGGTATATGCATCGACGAGCTTTACGCCCTTTTACCTGAACGGGTTGCGCCACCCTCAGGTCCCGCTCACATTACGAGGCAGTATTGGGGGTTCGGTCCTAAGTGGGGGAGAGGCTCGGAAAACCTTTTCCTCCCAAGTCTCGGACGTGAGTCCAGCCACCTTGCGGAAGCAACTGTCCTCGTTTGCCGAAGACAGGCTGAACATAATCAGCAGGGTGCGAGACACCATGGCGCAAGCCCAAGATAAACAGAAGGAGTACTCTGACCGAAATGGAAGAGGAAACATGAACGTGTTTAAGGCTGGGGATTTAGTTCTCCTAGATACTAGAAACCTACCGCTAAACACTGTTAGCTCGGTCGAGAGCAACAAGCTGAAGCACCGCTTCATTGGACCCTTCACGGTCCTCAGCCGGCATGGCGTGGCGTACACCATAGACTTGCCCAAGTCGATGACGACTCACCCGACGTTTTACGTGGGTCTTCTTAAGAGGTATCATGACCCTCTGGCTCTGGCTGCCCCGCAGGAAGCGGTGGGTGGCCCGGTGGAGAAGAGCGCAGCTCCTCGAAGCGCGGCGTCGGGTCGCGGTAAGGCACCTGATACGCGCGCTGGTCGTAAGACGGCGCGGCGTACATCGGAGCAGCATACGCAGGGGCCCCGTACGAGCCCTGGCCAAACTGGGCCTGATACGAGTGGGGCTGCTGCTGCTCCGGATACGGCGCGTGGTCATGAAGCTCGGCCCGAAGGCCAGCGAGCTGGTTTCGCAGCGAGTCGTAAGACGACAGGTCGGCTCGACGATCCACACGGCCATGGAGACTGCGAGTTTCTTGATAGAGCGAGGCAACATCCTCACGGAGCCGCTCCACGGCACCAGGCTGACCAGCACGAGCGGCAGCCTCGCCACCAAGACCGACGTCAAGCGCGATCTCGAGGACGTACACACGGTCCCGGAGAAGACGAATCTCCTCTTGCTGCAGGGCCACCACCTGACTCGGAGCCCCAGCATACGGCTGCGTCGTCTTAGGCTCGTAGCCATGGCCGTGCGAGGCCACCGCCGGCCCTCCTTGATCGTAATGGGCAGATCCACTACCACGTGGAACGAGTCGTGGAACGAGTCGTCCGGGAGCGGCGGCTCCATGGCAAGCGCCAGCTGCTCGTGAAGTGGAGGGGTTACCCTGAGTCGGATAACTCGTGGGAGCCCGTTGAGCAGCTCCAGGCAGACTGCCCGAAGGCTGTTGCGATATGGGACGAGAAGCAGCGGCAGCTTCGTAAGTAGTCCTTGGCTTCTTGGCCGGTACCCGACGGTAGCAGACGTAGTCGCACCACGCCCACGCTCTTCACGAGCTTTGGCTCTCGCCTCTTGCTTCAGCTCGTCCATTTTCGAGTGGAGCTTGCGCTTGCTCACGAGTTGAGCGAACTCGATGCGGAGCTCGCGCACGTCCAGGATTGCGGACAGTGTGCGATCCTCACGGATTTCTTTGAACTCTTGGTCGGAATACCCTTTGCGCTGGACGTAGCGCCAGAAGAGGTCTTCCACCTCGCTCCAGGTCATGTTGTCATTCGGCTTGACCCAGTGGAAACCCCACACAGGATGGAGTCCACCCTTGTCCTCCGGCTTCTTGCGAAGCGTGGTGAACTCCTTCAGTGTGAGCTTGTGTGGTGCTAGTAGCACACACCGGGCGACTTCAACGTCGCCAAGAAAGAGTGGCTCTTTCTCAACAAGAGCACGCTCATAGGAACCCCTCGAGGTGTACCCGCCGATAAGGCCACGAGGAGCCGAGAGCTTCTCCAACAGCGCTGGCGCACCTGTGCCAGGCTCGGGCGGGAAGTAGCCCTGCGGGTACGTGGCATCCCCGCCTGAAGAAGACTCGATGGCAGTCGTGGCAGTCGGCTGCCTGGCATACGCACCCGAGCTAGCAGCGTGGTATTGCTGCTGCTGCTCGTCGAGGTTGTTGGAGAGCTCCTTGGGCTCGTGGACGGCGCCCTCCTCGTCCTCAGACTCCGAGTCGATGAACAGCTTGGAGCTGGAGCCGCGAGGCGACCTGGAAGCTGAACGCTTCTTCGCCTTGGCCTCGGCGGCCTTCGCAGCGGCAGCCGCTTTCGACGCTTGGGCACGCTCACGACCTTGTGCCAGCGTCAGATGCTTGGATGCCAGCACCTCCTTGGGCTTGGAGCCCGCGTCGCTCGGCGACTTCTCGGCCACGACCCCAGCGTCGGCCATGGCGACTTCGTCGTGCGACTGCTTGCTGTCGCCTGAGCCGGACTCGGCGTCCTCCGCCTCCTTCTCTGACGAGGCCTTTGCGTCGGCCGAGGCGTTGGTCATGTCGCCTGCCGCCAGCTCCGTGCCTTCGGCAGCGTGCGTGCTGCCCTCCGAGACGTTCTCGTCGTCGGGTGAACTCTCACCGGAGTACTGGACCATCGTGCAGTCAAAGACGGCGGCTTCCCAGTCGCGAGCCGGGCTTTTATGGCCTCGAGGACTCTCCTCCTTGCCTTGCGCGGCGTCAGGAGACTTGCTACGAGCCCCGGCCTGACGGCCACTCTCCGGCGTGCTGCTACGAGAGCGCACCACCTCCTCGGCCGCCTTCGTGGCCTCCATCAGCGCGGACGACTCTTCCTTGGCCTTGGCCGCCCTGGTCTTCGGCCCTACGGCCCGCGGTTTCGGAGGTGCTTTCGCACTGCGCGCACTGCGCTTTGGAGGCATGCTTCCGGTCGACGTGGAGACCCTGCGGCTTGCTCGGCGATGCGCCAGTTGCTCTGTGAGGCCCGGGAGCCGAGGCGCCAGAGCTCGCGCCGTTGTCGATGGATTTCGACTTTACGAGTGAAATGTGAGTCGCCGGCGTAACCTCGCTCTGATTGGTCGATAAGATCGAATCTAAGTGGGGGAAGATGTACCAGGGTTACATGGAATAGTGTCCCTGTCACTATTCCGGGATGGCTACATCGGTCACTCCCCTGGATAGTGACCCAAGTGGCCTCAGAGCCAACAGATACATTTTGTATGACACAAACTATAGGGAACTTAGGATTTGTATGCAGGCCAAATCTGTACCAACCTATAAATACATTCAGTCTTAGATCTACCGCTTTTCAAGTCAAGTCGTCCCCTTCAGACCAGGGACACGTGAACGGGTGTTCACTTGGAGTTTGTATACTCCTGCTTCCTCTGTTAAGAAGTGCTGTGTGCCCCATCACATAGCCTGTACCCAACCTTCCCATCCGACTTGGATCCTATCCATGACTGGCTCTCCATCCTGCCTAATTATCCCAACATAGCCACTGTACCAATAAGCTGGTACGGATCCGCGCCTAATCTAGGAGGTCCTAATATAGATGACCGGATCCGACCTGAACCAACTTCAACTGTCCTAATTCCGGGTCGTCCCTCCGTGACCGAATTAGGAGCAGCGATGGTGAGGCCGAGTTAAGGCGGAATAAGCTAATCCAGCCTGCGTTAAGCGGAAACAGAGCGATTGGCGGTTCCTACCCGCCAATCCACGAGCAGACTCCAAAATTCAAGGCACCCGTCTTCTGCTTTGCCTACGCAAATTAGCAAGACAACCCAGAGAGCCGTCACCAATGGTGGCAAGCCCCGTACAACCACCGGACCGATACAAGGCACCGGCGTTGCTAACCAGGCTTAGATTATACCAGACATCTTGCAACAGATAAGTTAATAGACTAGTCTGTCTCTCTCTCTCATACCCGCCAATCCATGCCATTCCGCTCGTATCGGAGATACGGTATCTCCGTCGATTGGCGTCGATTGGCTCGCAAATGCTGATCGCGGAAGTTAGGAGAAGCACTCACAATCTTAGGCGGAATTAGCTCTAAATAAGCGTTGATCACCCTTTTATGACTCTAATTCCGCCTGAATTAACAGACCCGCCAAAATACGTAGGTTCAGACTAGTCTATTCAATTATGTTATGAGATTGTCTGGAATGTCCTAAGCCAGGTGATCAGCGCCGGTACCTGAGATGATCCCGGTGGCTGTACGTGGCTCGCTCTGGTCTTAATGTCCGCTGGAAGCACCCACCAAAATACGTGAAAGGCACAATAATGTAATGTAATGTATTGCGTGTTTCGCGTAACCCAAAAACACTAAGCTAGACTCTGTATTACTAGTCGAAGCGTAAAATGAGTGAGGCAACTGGTACTGAACCCACAAAAAGGTACGGTGTACCAGTGTACCTTTTTCCACAACTGAGTATCTGTAAGTCCGTTACTACAGTACTTCTACTGAAGTACCCGGTACGTTTGAAGACTACCACATGTAGTAAAATGATCTGGGGAAATGGGGACACCTCTAATTACTTTGACCAGCAGGTTGGTCAAGTCGAGCGATAGAGTGCCGTAATAGAGTCTCGCGAGGTTATCCCAGCTGACTTGATAGTTATTAATACAAGTACCGCATTTCGCATGTAGAGAAACACACCCATGTCATAGGTTTAGGTTAATTACTGCACTCGAGCCTAAAAACAATGTAAAACCCAAAAACTGGGTCACGCGATCATTTCGTACACAAAATTGGCAAGATGGTTGGTCATACGGATGACGCGGAGTGATCTCCTCTAGAATGGCGCTTAAGCTAGCAACAAGTCTAGGCGCCATCTACAACTATGTTGCACAGGAACCACACCACTTAACCAATTATCTACAGCGTTGCTTCTTCTACTAAGTACTACCATCGCTGCAGCCAGGGGCGGACGCAGAACCAAAATCTGACGGGGGTCGGGCCAGAAACAGGGGGTAAGTCTGTATGCGGCTCAAAAATAGGGGAGTACGTCGATCCGACAGCTCAGAAATAGGGGGTAAGTGTGATGTCTTCCCAAAATCTGGGGAGGGGGCGGTGCCCCCCTAGTTTGTATGTAGGTCCGCCCCTGGCTGCAGCAGCCGTGTTGTGCGCACTCTTGCGCGTTGTGGTTTAACCTCGCGCTCCCCATATCCCGCCCTCAGGCGCGCCTCAACTGGGCCCACACCAGGCGTGGCTACTAACTATCACTCCGACGAGGCGTAGGCGCGCGGGGAGGGGGCAGCGCGACGTTGGCGAGCGGTGCGCAGCTCTTCCCCTCTGCCTTCGCGCGCTTGGAACCGGTGGCTCAATGTGAATGCAAAAATGCGCAAAATACCCAAATTAGGGGTGTACTTCTCTGGCCCACTTAAGAATCGACAAGTCAATTTAACCTCATTTTTCCGATCCCACCTGATTAGCTAAATATATGATTTCAGCCATATGATTGGGTATAAAGTTTGATTAGAGAGCTCACAAAATTGCTTAGAAAAACCTCAAAGTTTAGACGAATGCCACGCCTTGCACACGCGTCCTACGACAGCGAAATGCACAGCACTGTATCGACAGCTAACCAAGCTTTCCCATGATACCATTTTGGTGTAATATCGCCAAATATTGTAGCCACTCCGCAAAAATTCCTAATGCTACCCAAAATCGGGCTTACAAAATTTGTTCTGTTCCCCATATTCCTGCTGTTTTTGAGCAGCCAATAATATAACGCGAAACCACCAAATCTCAGCTTTCTTTTGAGCTATTTTCTGTCTCCGACAGATTTTTTTGATTTTGTTAGAGCTGAAAAATAGAAATGTCGATTCTTAGGTGGGCCAGAGAAGTATCTCTGTACTACTAAGTACATGCGATCCCACGGACTTTTCTTTCGCATCTCTGATTGGTCTAAATAAAGGTGTATCTCTTAAACCGCTGTAGCGCTCTACATGCGAAATGCGGTATTGGGCTTTGAGCAAGGTTTGGTTTGCTAAGACTCTCAGTCCGTATCCCTGTTTTACAGGATACTGTATGTGAGTCGAAGATTTGTTTTTCTACTTACAGGATACACTGTACAAGTACCAGTATTTGAGACTCACGACAGCGATCCTCCGTGGAAATCTAATTAAGTAAGGCTGCTCAGTTGAATCGAAACAATCGGAAGTATCTCTCGGCCTTGGCTGGACCAATTCCTCGCATACTTGCCATCTCTTCTTCTGATGCCGGCTCTGCCTCAAGCACATCCTGCGCATACAAAACACTCGTGAATACTCGACATTTAGCGGTGCTTGGTGGGCACAAACTGCACTGCATCGTACCCGGACAAGTCGACGCGAGAGCGCTTCTCGCTTGGGAAGTTTCAGCCGCTTGGACTCGGCCAGAATCTTTTGGTACTGGTACTCGATAGTGCCCTTGGGAATCGCATCTTCCTCCTCAGCCTTCATTCCACTCGGCGCCTTCTCCAATTCCACCTCTTCGTCATGCCAGGAATCAGAGGCAGCTTCAAGTGGCACGCCGCAGTTGCAATTCCGAACGCATCGAGACGTGTCGAAGCGGAAGCCGAAGTGCGCGTACAGGAGCTCTTTTCGACAACCTGTGGTCGTTTTGCAGAAGGCAGCGACGTCCTCCAGTTCGCCTCGAGAGCTCCCGTTAGACATTGCACCCGCTCCTGTGCCGTCCAAGTCGAGTCTTTCTGTCGTGAGGGCATCAGCTCGGCTCTTGTCTGCTTCCGAATACAGCAAAACACACACTGCAGGCTTCCCGTCCCGCCCGCTTCGCCCCTATTTGCAGCAAAACGAGTCAGTTTCTTTAAGAAAAATAATCATGCCAGTCTTGCAACTACATATTTACAACGCACAATCTGCTGCGAGTAAGCCGAGAGAGACAGCGGGGTGGAATGGTGCACCACGAAGCGCACGTCCGAGCGGTCGATGCCCATCTACAATAAGTTAATAGAAAACAGCGTCAGCAAACCATAATCCAAAAGCCAAGCTTCAGACAACAGAGCAACCCACCCCAAAGGCGCTGGTGGCACAAATGATGGTCAATTGTCCCATCATCCACTGCTTGCGCACAAACTCGCGGCGTTTGCGGGGCAACCCACCGTGGTAGACACCGGCATGGCACCCGACCCGAACTAGAGCCAAGCACGCGTCCTCCGCCTCCTTCCGCGTCATGCAATACACGATCGTCGTCTCCTTGCCGACCCTCTTGGCAATGTACTCGGCAGCCTTCGACGTCTTCCTCACCACCTCCATCCTCAGGTTTTCACGGTCCGTCACCTGCTGAATCAACGCCATTTCTCTGCATCGGTCCTCCAGCGTCCTCCCCCTCTCATCGTCAGACGCAACTGGGGGCACCAGCGTCAAGTTGAACAGCTCCGCCAACCGCTCAATGTCTTCGTCCGATACCGACGCCGTCGCCAATGTGACCGGTACGTCGCTCAGATGCTGAGTCTTCCAGTGGCACAGCTCCAAGTACGCGGGGCGGAACGTGTTCCCCCACTCCAGCACGCAGTGAGCTTCGTCCAGCACGATCCGCGCGAGTCGAGCTTCTTTCCTCGCTGCACGCACCCACCGCCTCATCTCCGCGTTCATCTGCAAAAACTCCGGCGTCGTGTACACGAGCCTCTGGCCGTCCAAAAGTTGCGTCAAGGGCACGGCCTTGTTCCTCTCGTCGCCGGAAACTTGAATGGCCTTGACCCCTTTGCGTTTCAACGCTGCAACTTGGTCCTACATCATAAAAAATAATAAAAAATGTTATCGAGTGAGATATCTTACTTTCCAGTATTGTTGATGTTTTTCGGTTCGTACGTGCATGAGCGCAATGAGTGGAGACACGACGAGTGTTGTTTGGTCTGCTGCGGTCACCAGGGCGGGCGCCTGGAAGGCCAAACTCTTGCCTGCACCTGTGGGCAGGTGCAGGAAGACCGAGTACCCTCGTGTAGCCATGTTGACCGCGGTGGACTGCGCGTCTGTGACCGTCAGAGCGTCGGACGCGTCCAACTCCAGCAGCTGTCGATACGCCGCATCCAGAGCGTGTTCACTAGTGGCGAAGGCGCGCGCAAGGGCGGATCGAGGCGCAGCGCGGGTGCGGCGAAGCAGCAAAGACTGCATGACGCTGAGTATATATTGTAGCTATTTTGATTGGATGTAAACGACGCAAACGTTTCGTTGATTGGTTAAGACTGTAGCCATTATGAAATAGCTACATTTGTGCGCATCAAGGGACACGAACTGACAGGTGGGCTCAGGTACACTAAGCGCAGAGCTTGTTCCACTTCGCCCGTGTGCTCGTATTCACCGGTCTGCTCTTCCTCGTGCTCATCCGTGTAGCCGTCAGTGGTTTGTTGCTCAGTTTCTCCCTCTGCGTAGCCATCTTGGTGCTCCTCCTCCTGCTGCTCGGTTTCCTCCTCTGCGTAGTCGTCATGGTGCTCCTCCTGCTGCTCTCCAGATCCGTCGTCTTCCTTGCTCGCGTCCTCGTGCTCGCTTGCACTTCCCTCTTCGTATTCAAGCGCCACCTCCTGAATCACAGCGCAAGCGATGCGCGGAGTTTGAGTGCCACACACAGCGTGCAGCACGACGCTCCAAGTAGGCGAACTCTCGGACGGCAGCGGGAAGTGCTCGTCGGTCCACTCCTCAGACACAGCGGCATACTCACCGAGACTGAACGCGCCGAACTTGCCCGAGAGATCCCCCTTCTCGCACACCAGCGGGTCGGCCGCGTAGCTCGTCGGGTTGCACGCGTAGGTCAGCGACTTGGTCTTGCAGTCCGGTTCGGCGATGTACTCGGACGCGGTGCCGCAGGCGCGCAGCGGGTCGTAGTGGTTATCCGTCGCAGCCTTGGAGCACTGCTTGAACGAGTCCGACGTCAGCGTCGAGCTCTACTTGGTGTGGATGTGCCACTTGTAGCTCGTCACGGCCTCCGTGCAGTTGCCGTCGAAGGCCTGGATCGCAGATTGGTCCACGCTGGAGAAGTCGAGCTCCGCCGTGATGGTGGCGGTTGTCGAGTCTTCGCCCGCGTACTTGACATGGATGGCGCCGTCTACGCCCGCAGTGTCCGCAGCATCGAACTTGTAGATGTACGCGGGGCTGTGGGCGGCGGCACCAGCGAGCGCTGCGGCGAAAGCGAAGCTACCGGCAATGACACGGACCATCGTGGGAATGGTGGGAGGTGGGGTGAGGGCTTGCGAGGTCGGAGGCTAATCCGTGAATGACTTCGAGTTCGAGTCGACCGCCAGAACTGGTGGAAGTCGTCGAAGGTGTTCAGGGGGCACGTGCCACTGGTGAGACGTTAAACGCGTGCCAACTCGCACCTAGATTTTAATCGCGGTTTCATGACAATGTATGTATGAAGTGAGCCGTTAGTACTTCATCCGGACTTTCATGAGTTCCGGCCGGAAATGATCCGCACTTAAAGTTGGTGACCCACCGCGAATGAGTCGAGTGAGTCTCATCGACGCCGTGGGCTTGTAGAGATATTTGAATCGTTCGCCGATTTTTGCCTCCACTTCTGGGTTCGGATGAATTTTAGTGTACCCGGGGGGGGGTGATGTTATCCATAGAGATCAGAATTTGTTCGTAGTGACCAAAGAAATGTTTTTACCGTTGTGATCTATCTGCGTCAACTTTGGCTAACTCAGATAGGTGTCGAGCTCTGCATGTAATATTCCCACGGCATGTCGTTGCTCGCTGCTCCGTTGGCTGGCTGGGATACGAGCTGCGTCTGCTGATTTATGTGGTTTCTTCAGACATTCGTTTCGACAGCACAGGTCATCCGGACGGTGTGGTTGCCGCACACAGCGTGCAGCACGATGCTCCAGCTCGGGCGGTTCTCGGACGGCAGGGGCGCGTGCTTGTCGATCCACTTTCCATACGCCTTCTGGTCGGCATTCAGCACCAAGTTGCCGAACTTGCCGGACAGGTCTCCCTTCTCGCACGAGCGCGGGTCTTTCGCGTAATTCCTCGGGTTGCAGGCGTACTCCGCAGCCCTGGCCTGACACTGAGGAGTGTCAATGTGCTGCGAGTCGGGGCTGCACGCGAAGAGCGGGTCGTAGTGGTTGCCCGTAGCACGCGCCGAGCACTGCGCGAAGGCCGCCGACCGGTGACGGGAGCTCCAGCGAACGTGGATGTGCCACTTGTACTGCGTCACAGGCTCGACACAGCGCGGGTCGAACGCCTGGATCGCGCTTTGGCTCACGCGGGAGAAGTCGAGGGCGGCGGAGACGGCAGCGACCGGTGAATTGTCGCCAGCGTACTTGAAGAGGATTGCACCTTCGACCCCGGCTGCGGTAGCAGCGTCGAAGCGGTACACGAATGCAGGTTGAGCTGCAGCATGGCCGACAACAGCGGACACAGCGCAGTACACTGCGAAGACTACGAGTTGCAGGGTCATCTTCAAGAGCTGGGAGAGAATTGAGAAGTGAGCTGGAAGCATTTGCGTCAAATGAAATCGCGGTGAAAGTCTCTGATCCCTTTTCCAGTCGATCGCAAAGGAAGCACTTTGATGCATATATTTGAGAGAGATACGAGAACTTGCGTAGATCTACGTCGATATCACTTGACTACGCTTAGGCGCCGCAGCCCGGGGCGGGCACGACGGGGGACTCCTGCTGGACGGGGGTCGACTGGTCCACCTGCTCGGCCTCGTCCTCCACCGTGCGGTGGGCGCACGAGATGCGCGACTCCTGGCCGCACATGGCGTGCAGCACGATGCTCCAGGACTCGGTGTTCTCGGACGGCAGGGGGAAGTGCTCGTCCGTCCACTGCTCGGACACGGTCGAGTCCTCGCCCAGCTTGAAGGCACCGAACTTGCCGGACAGGTCGCCCTTCTCGCAGGCCAGCGGGTCGGCCGAGTAGTTGCCCGGGTTGCACGCGTAGCTCGGGATCTTGGCCGCGCACTCGGGCTCGGCGTTGTACTCGGACACGGGGCCGCAGGCGCGCAGCGGGTCGTAGTGGAGGCCCGTGGCCGCCTTGGCGCACTGCTTGAACGAGTCCGAGGACAGCGTCGAGTTCCACTTGGTGTGGATGTGCCACTTCCAGCCCGTGACCTTGTCGCTGGTGCACTGGTCGTCGAAGGCCATGATGTCCGGCTGGTTGACGCGCGAGAAGTCGAGCGCGGCCGTGATGGTGGCGGTGGACGAGTTCTCGCCCGCGTACTTGATGTGGATAGAGCCGTCCACGCCGCCGGCGGTTGCCGCGTCGAACTTGTAGACGAACGACGGCTGGGCCGAGGCAACGGCCAGGGTGGCGGCGAGGGCAGCAATGGAGCGGACCATGGTTCGGTACTGAGGAGCTGGAGGCAAATGTGGGAATGAAGTGACCCGGCACCAACAAGAGGAGGAAGAGGAGCAGGTTCCTCCTCTTGTTGGTCTCGTCTTGTCTTGGCAAGAGCCGCTGCAATTTTCCGAGGGTACTGATGGGGGACTGGCCATGTCGATGGGCCTCACGCCGGGCAAGGTGCCTCGCGCCAATTGCAGGCGAGCGGGCATGTCTCTGTGGTTCGTCCGGCAGATCCCGAGGCATTTTACATGCGGTTGTGCTCCTTCATTCCCTGTTTTTAATCTCCGCGCGCGGATAAACAGTTAAGCGCGTGCATAGCCCCTTGAGAAACTTCAACAGATGCAATGCGGACAACAAGAACGCGTGCACTCGGCTTCAACGCTTCAAGCCCGATCTTTCGTCAGCATCGTGGCGAAATACAGAGACGGAGTGCCGGAGCTTGGACAACCACGACGCGAAGATGACCACTCTGGATCGAATGGCGAGAGCGTCAGCGCACTTTGAGTTATCGGAGACGGTCGGTGCCGAGGAAACTCATTGAAAACACTCAAAACGATAGGTTACCTGCATTATCTCCGCAGTCATGGTGAGGTTGGGATAACGAACTCGTTCATTGAACACGTACATGTACATGTATTTACATGTTGCAGCCAGCAATACGACTTGGCGTGCGGGTGTACGGACTCGCAGCAAATTTCGCCAGGCCGCTCGGCCTGCAAATCGCGGTGCTTGAAGGGTGCACCGGTACCGTGCGAGTTGTCGCCGGTTGTTAGACCTCGAGTAAGACTCGGAGGCTCTGAACCATTCGTCTCCACTTCGGCAATCGCGTTCATACCGTCTCGCGGGGGAATGAGTTGTCTCCTGCTGCTGATGTGGAGGTGTTGTAAGCTTGGTGGGTCTAGCAGAAGTGGCGTTGAGTGAAATGTCTTGAAACCAGGATGCAAACAGTAGCAACTATACATGTAGATTGTTTGAAGGTATGCGGAACTTCCAGAGCATTGGATCTACCTACAGTACGGTATGATCGCTGGTAGTGTAAGGATAACAACGATTTCTTTGGGCTGCTGACGACAAAACCCACTTATTCATGACATTATTGTAAACGAATACAAGAAGGTTAAGCTCTTCCCACCGATGGATCTCGCTGCCTACTTGGTCTTGACACTACAACCGCCGCCACCACCAGTAGACTGCACAGGGGTTTCACCAGCGGGAGTGGACTGATCGACGCCATCAGCGGCCGCTTCCCCCTTGGTACCAAGTGCGCATGAGATTCTAGGCGCCTCCTTGCCACAAACAGCGTGGAGAACAATGCTCCACGTGTCCGTGTTCTCGGACGGCAGCGGGTAGTGCTCGTCCGTCCACTCCTCGGACACGGTATACCCCTCCCCAAGCTTGAACGCGCCGAACTTGCCCGAGAGGTCTCCCTTCTCGCACACTAGCGGGTCCGACGTGTAGTTGGTCGGACTGCACGCGTAGCTCTTGGACTTGGCCTTACACTCGGGCTCGGCGATGTACTCGGACGCAGAGCCACAGGCGCGCAGTGGGTCGTAGTGGTTGTCCGTCGCCGCCTTAGAGCATTGCTTGTACGAGTCGGAGCTTTGGGTCGAGCTCCACTTGGTGTGGATGTGCCACTTCCAGCTCGTGACGTCCTCGGTGCAGTTGCCGTCGAACTCTTTGATCGCAGCCTGGTCGACCCCCGAGAAGTCGAGAGATGCCGTAATGGTGGCGGTGGACGAGTCCTCGCCCTTGTACTTGACTTGGATCGAGCCATCCACGCCTCCAGCCGTATCGGCGTCGAACTTGTAGACGAACGACGGCTGAGCGGTGGCAAGAGCGACAAACGCCGCGGATGCGAAGGTGGCAGAGCGAAGCATCATGGAGACACGTGGACAGTGGAGCTCCAGTCTACAAATGAGGCTCTGAGCGGAGTGTGCCTTAGGTACATGCCGAGCTGTCTCTCTTCGGAGAATCTTATGGCTCATCCAAATGGCACGGGAACGATTAATCGCTGCGAGTGTAACGTTAAACACGTGCATAGACTCCAAGAAAAGCTTCAACAAATGCCCATCGAGTCGGAGGCTTTGGCCCAAAGCCTTCATGTTGACGGCGGGGCTGCTAAAGGCGAGCACGCCGCAGAAGTTCGTAGGGCTTCTTCAACGCTTTGGGCTCCACCGATCTTCTCCACCATCACGGGCAACCAAGCAAGACGCGCGTGTATTTGTCTTGAGCAGTTATCCCCCAAAAGCGTGCTCTTTGAAGTTCAAAATTTGAACACGTGTAAACTCGAATCCAATATTTTTCGCAACACCGTATCCACGGATCATCACCCGAACTCCGTTGTGCTGATGTGGTACTTAAGTAAGTGTTACTCGGTCTTGATGTGTAAAATAGTCCAGCGTCGTCTCCGATTGTCGGTATCGATCAGAAATGCGACAGCACAGAATGAGGTACACAGACAATCCTCTTTGGAGTGATATCCCGAATAGGGATACCCTCTGATTAGCACTAATAAAGGCTCTCCCGATGACCAATGGTATACAAATTCAAGTCAAAACATCCTCTAACCTCCGGATAGTACTTAGTGATACGAGATTAGGCTTTATCTCTATCCAGAGACCGTTAACTATGTGAATGTCCATTTCGTAAAGCATGCCGGGCAAAGTTCCACCACAACGTGGGTCGCTTGCGACCACGAATGGACTCAGATCCTCTGGGTTCGCGCACATATTATAAAGTTTGACATGTTTGTAATTCTGGAACGTGTATTTTTCATGTCAGCACGGGCGCTAGACTAGATTTCGCGTTGTAGCTGACTGTGCAGTACTCCCAGTTCCATTTGAATAGTGGATAGCGTATCGTCACGCTTCGTGTCATATAGTTGTAAATATTATAGCATCCAGCACAACAAATACTTTATCTAGTGCCTTAACCACGTATCGAGCGCAATACAAGCTCCCAAGTACGCATTATCACTACACACTGGTACCTTGAAACGATATTGTACCGTCATTGTGACAGATTTAGATAGTGATGCCTCTGGATTGTGATAAAAAGTGGTCTTCCGAGGCTATCACTACGGAAAGGATAGACATGGCTGATGACTTGCTCGGTAGGTGGCGCATTGTCGTGGCTTTCGCGATCTGGTAGCTACACTCCACGACAAAAAGATATGGACACCACCAAAAGTGGCTGTAACTTCGTCAATTTTTATCGTCTTAAGGTGCGGTTTGGACTAGAGTTGCAGAACACGCTGATAAAGATCTGCACGTTGCTAACACGCGCGCTTTTGCGCTTCTTCAGGTAGCTCACATACAAATCACTGGTTCTGCCCAGGTGACAAAACTTATGGACAGCTAATCCCCATACAAAATCCTATATTAACCAAAAACCCTTACAAATGATACGACTTGGACTTTGTATGGGGCGACAAAGGAACCAGCCTCGCGGCGATACTCGCGACGTTAGACAAAGATCTGATGGCATTATCGTGTACTAGAAGGTGTGTTTAGTAACCTGTAATAAATACATCGACCATCGCACAAAACTGAGCAAGTAGTAAGCGACTGAAATTTCGAGTGGTGGCTACCATGTATTATCTGATGATTTGCGAGGCACGTTCAGTTGCATCCTAGTTAGTGCCAATTTGTAGCTCTGTATGCTGCTATCTCTTGGATATACGATTGTCTCCATTCTAAACTGTTGGTCGATGATATATGGCTCAGTACTAAGGTAGAGTGGAGAAATCATGGGTTCCTTTGTCGCCCCATACAAAGTCCAAGTCGTATCATTTGTAAGGGTTTTTGGTTAATATAGGATTTTGTATGGGGATTAGCTGTCCATAAGTTTTGTCACCTGGGCAGAACCAGTGATTTGTATGTGAGCTACCTGAAGAAGCGCAAAAGCGCGCGTGTTAGCAACGTGCAGATCTTTATCAGCGTGTTCTGCAACTCTAGTCCAAACCGCACCTTAAGACGATAAAAATTGACGAAGTTACAGCCACTTTTGGTGGTGTCCATATCTTTTTGTCGTAGAGTGTACCACAGGACGTTGTTTGATCAGTAAAGCCTCAACTTCTGTGTCGTTGGTGAGCAATTTTTGCGGCTTTGTTGCACAAAGCATTACTTGCCCAAGCGCATCGCATTGGAAATTTGTTCCGAAGAAGCGTACCGTTGTACAGATCCGACTGAAGGCATGTTGGTGGGGATGTCGGTAGGGAATTCGAGAATGAATAGTCTATACTGCTGACGTTAGTACTTTGAAGTAGTTTTTCGGAACTGGAGGCGGCTTCGAGCGTGACCGACGAATGGGTTTCGCTCTTCGCTCTTCGATGGTGATCGAGGCCTCTCTCGGAGTCAATCGGATCGGCCCAGCTCGACGAGGAGTGTCGGCCCACAGCTGTCTCGATGAATAGGTGCACGGCTCGGGACTCGACAGCAGCGTCTCGGGGGTCAGCGGGCTTTTGTCCTCCTTGCAATACGAAGTGTACCGCTGTCTGCGATCGACAGACGGACTGCGCATTGCCACGTCCATTGTTCGGCAGCTGCCGCCTCGGCGCTTGGATCTGGAGGACGGTCGGTAGTCGAGTGTGTTTCGTCTAAAGCCAGAGCTTCTGGAGCGTCCGCGTCGTTGAGAGCGCAGCATATCGAAGAAGCTCGTGTTGGCGTCCAGGATGCAGCCAGTGCACACGGGCACCATGATCAGGCGGCCCAACAGTCCGTCGCTGCTGCTCACGAAGACCTGCTTTGAAGCGCGGCACCTCGAGCAAGCAGCTCGGCCACAGACCAAGCACTCGACAACGTTGGCGTTCCCAACGCGCTCGCACATACTGCAGGCGTTGGGGTCGTTCACTGGCGAGCCGTCGGAATCCACGGGGCTGTCACCCCAGCGGCGCTCCTGCTTCTTGCGGCACAGGTGCTCGCGGGCCATTAGGGTCAGCCGCTTGGTCTCCGAGCAGTCCAGCAGCCTCGTCATGTTGAACATGGTCTCCACGGCGTAGCGCAGCGAGATGGGCTTGACCACGAGGCCCTTGATGTCGATGTTGCCCAGCATAAACACCTCCACGATGCCCTCTTCCCTCTGTCGGTACAGGAACCGCGTCGACATCAACGCTGGGATGGAGTTGCGGCTGCGCAGGTCGGGGAACTGCGGCAAGTGCACCGAGTGCATGATGTGGTACCCGAGCTTCTCGCCTGTGCGGGTGCGCGTGAAGCCGCTGTCCTCGAGGTAGACGCAGTGCCGCCGCTTTAACAGCCGCGGGTCCCCCACCGCTTGACTCACGTAGTACTTGAAGCCGAGGAAGTGAAAGGGGTCGGCGTCTGTAGGTGACTCCATGGTGTGCAGGATGCCGCAGTCCGACGAGGCCCCGTGCAGGTACCTGATGACCAATGCCAGCTCCTCCTGGGACTTGGTCACCAGCGTGCTCACTGCGTTCTCCACGAAGCCGTGGCGCACTCCAGTGAGCATCATCGTGGCGGGCGTGATCGCTGCCGGCGTCACCGAGAACAGCGGAGACTTTGCCGCGCAGCGGTGGAGCGAGTCCCCCAGCGACTCGCTCACTCGGCCCGGCTGCCGTTCTCGGTAGATGCTTAGCTCGTCCCGCGTAGCCTGCGGCTTCCAGAACTTGGTGTCGACCTCGCCCAGTCGGTCGTACGCGAAGTGCTCGAACGCGCGCACCGTGTGCCCCAGCAAGCGCGCGCTGAAGTCCTTGCAGGCCACGTAGTCGCGCTGGCTCACGTCCAGGTCCGGGAGCAGCTCCCGGGGCAGCGGGAAGTCGCGATCCCGAGCCATGGCCTTACTTAAGTACTTGCGGCTGCAGCACAAGTTGTGAAATGCGTCGATTGATGGAATGGCTCACCCCCGCCAAATCTCGCCTGAGCGGTGCCCTGACGGATTGATGGCAACTCGCGTCTGATCCGAACAGCTCCAGGGCGAAATATACAGACCTGCGACCTGCCGGTCGGCAGTGCCGATCAAGCCCGCGGCCCCGATTCGTTGACGTTGGTGCACGTGTTCACTGCCAAACTTTCGCGCCGACAGATTCGATGCCTGCAGTTTCATTCGAGCCGGGGAGAGGACCGATCGCGACGCAGGCAACGGGTATCGAGCAGAGCAGTCAGTCGACCGAGTCGCTACCTGCTCACAAACGAACATAAATTGATGCCGTGCTGCAAACTCTCCCAAATACATCATTTCACATTGATAAACACACGCTGTCACTCCGCATCGGTCGATCCATCATTGCTGCATATTCATCGGGGTCCGTATCGCGCTGCTTCCGTCTGCCTGCTCTGGGGCTCAGCCGAGTGGTCTCGTTCCCTGGCAGCAGCGCTGAAGTAGCGCCTCAAATCGCTGGCCGAGCCGGAGCCTCCGAGCCTGCTGCCGCTCGAGCCCGAGATGCTGAGCGAGTCCTCGCGGTCGTATCGGTCGGACAGGTGCATGGGCTGGAAGGCCATCTCCTCGCCCGAGCTGCTCTTCTGCTGGGCTCGGTACTGCTGCTCGTAGTAGCTGATGTTGGCCGTCATGGTGCAGACGCTGCACACCGGCACCTTGACGAGCTTGCCCAGCAGTCCGTCGTTGCTGGTCACGAAGATCTGCTTGTTGGCCCGGCAGCGCGAGCAGGCCACATGCCCGCAGACCAGACACGGCACGAGCCGCACGCCGCCGAAGCCGCTCTTGCGCTCGCGCTGGCACACGGAGCAGCACGAGTCGTTGCCCAGCGACGTCTGACGCATTGGTCTCCGACCAAGGCGCTCGTCCTTCTTGCGCTTCTGGAACTCGCACGCCATCTGAGTAAGGCGCTTGGTCTCGGAGCAGTCGAGCATCCGCGTCATGCCGAAGGTCACGTCCTCCACCACCATCGTGGCCATGGGCTTAATGAGCCACCCGGAGACGTCAATGCTGCCGAGCATGAAGATCTCCACCAAGCCGTCGCTCTTCTGGCGGTAGATGAAGCGCATCGACGTCATGGCGCACACCGAGTTATGACCCGACAGATCCGGGAACTGGGGAAGCGCCACCGACTGCATCATGTGGTAGCCCAGCACCTCCCCCGTCCTCGACCGCGTGAGCCCCGTGTACTCGAGGTAGACGCTGTGGCGCCGCTTGATGATCCGCGCGTCGGTCGCCGACTCCGTCACGAAGAACTTGAAGCCGAGGAAGTGGAAGGGTTTGCTCGGACTCGGGCCCTCCATCGTATAGAGCACGGCGCAGTCAGCGACGTCCCCATGCAGAAACTTTACAACCAGCGCCAACTCGTCTTGGGTCAAGGTCACCAGCGTGCTCATAGCGTTCTCTACGAAGCCTTGTCTGGTTCCAACCAGCAGCAGCGTCGGCGGGATCATCGTCGCTGCAGTCGGGGAGAAGATCTCCTGCTTCTCTACGAGTCGGTGCAGCGAGTCGGCCAGCACCATGCCCATGGAGCCGCCGTCCCGCTCGCGGTACAGCGTGATGTCGTTCTTGGTCGACTTGGCCTTCCACCGTCGGCGCTCCACCACGCCCGACTCGTCGTATGCGTAGCGCTCGAACTCGTGCACTGTGTGGGCCAGCAACTTGGTGGCCAGGTCCCTGCAGTCCTGGTGCACTTCGGGCGAGGCCGTGAAGTCCGGGAAGTCTCTGCGGGGCAGAGGGAAGTCGCGGCGCCCCATTCTTGACTAAGAGGCAGCGGACAAGCGACTCGTTGGTTTGTCAGATAACGTTGCACACAAGCTATCTATTGTCTCCAAGCAGGAAATGGTCGAGTGAAGGCGAGATGTTCATGATCACGGGTGTCCGTCTAAGCGACTTGCGCGCCCAGGCCCGCGCTTGCTCCTGGCGTGGCGGGCGATGCTTCGCTGAGGTTAGCTCATCTGCAGCGGACAAAGGCGCGCTGCCCCGCCAGCGGACACAGCAAAGGTACGGCCAGCGGCAATGAAGCATTGCGAGGCAGACAAGTCGTGGGGCCGATGGTCTCCGCTGCACTCGTTGAGGGCTCGCGAGGGCTCGGAGGGAGCGCGACGGGGTCGATGACTGGCCTGGCATGCACTTGGCACCCGCCACATGCGCCTTGCGATCGCGCGCGCTGGCCAGACGTTGGTCAGCACTGAGCAGCACTGTCTGCATGCAACATGGCCAAGTGGAGCGAGTGAGCGAGTGGCTCGGTCTGAAGACCTGGATTGAAAGGCGAGGTCGAAGTGCGCAATGGAGACTTGTCTGCAGGTAGCCGGACTGGCTAGTGCGCGACCACCGAAACGATCCGCTCAAGACTTCAAGGAGAGACTTCAAGGGCGCCTATCCATTCGAGTCAACTTCGACGTCAAGCCCGACGGCGAGCTCTCATCCTTCGCGGAGGAATGGTGATCTTGAGGTGTCGAAGGCCACTGCGTTGGTGGCCACCGCAGCTGAGTGTCGGTGCTTGACCAGCTAGGATGGACTGGCTGAAGGTCTTCAACTTGAGGTAAGCCACCGTCGGGCCTCCACCTTTACAGATCCCTTGAAGACTGCTCTACACTCTTGACTGCGGCCGTGATAGCAACGCGCGAGGCTTCGCTTGAGCGCCGTGGGTGTGCATGTACTGCACTAACGCCTATGGATATATTAACGGCCATGGTTTTCATACTACATACACTACACTAGTGGTGGAGGGAGATCACTTGCGTCCGGTCACTTCCTCCAGTCGGCTCTGGATTGCATCTTGAACTGCTGCTGCCTCTGCTGGGCGAAGTACATCCCGTTGACCTGCGTCGTGTAGGACGTGGCCTCGGCCATGTCGGTGAGCTCCCTGAGCCTGGCCATCAGCGCCATTTGGTCGGACAAGTCACCGTCAGATACTTGCTTCCGCATCTTGCCGGCTTTCGGTTCTGCTGGGATGGAGCCGACCGACAGTGAGTACCCGGGGTTTTCAACCGCCGACAGCTTCGATGTGCCTGCGTACGACCGGGACTGCACTGCGGACTGCGGCGGACGAAGTCCCAACTGGTTGGGCACCTCGAACTCTGGTGACGTGCAGGGAACCGCGATCTGCGCGGCGTCCGGGTAGATTCGTGCACCTTGGTGGACAAAGCTTCGGCCCGTGACAGGCATCTCCGGCGTCTGCGGTCTCCGCCGATTAGACAGCTTGGTCCGAGGTGGGCTGCGCTGCCGCCTTGACGTCGTCTTTGCTTCCTCATACAGCACGCCGTTGAAGGCACTCTCATCCACCGACGACTTGGAGCTCGCATCACTATCACTCCGATCTGTGCTGACACTGCTTTGGTACCACCTCTGTGACCGCGCGCGGTCTGCCGGCGCCTCGTACGTGCCCGTGTTGGCGTGCATGACGCACTTGGAGCACGCCTGGATCTTGCGGAAGCTGCCCAGGATACCGAAGCTGTCGCTCCCCCAGACGCGCTTCGTCGAGCGACAGCGAGGGCAAACGCCCTGGCCGCACAGGTGGCACTCCACCAGCTTGTTCGGCTTGCCGCGCCCGCACACGGTGCACCCCTCCCCTGCAACGTACGTGGACGCGTTCGAGTACTGCGACGTGGAGTGATCCGCTGCGTCACTGAGCAGCACGTCGCGGTATCGTCGGCGGTTCCTCGCCATGTCCGTGAGCCGCCGCACCTCGGCCAAGTCCAGCAACCGCGTCACGCCGAACTGCGCGCAGGCCGAGAAGATACTGGCGATAGGCTTGACGATCATCCCGGACAAGTCCATGTTGCCCAGCGTGAATACCTCAACGACGCGATCGCTCTTCTGTCGGTACAGATAGCGCGAGCTCTGCAGCGCTCGGATCGAGTTGTGGCCGCTCAAGTCGGGGAACTGCGACAGCTCCACGGACTGCATGAGGTGGAAGCCCAGCGTCTCGCCCGTCCGGGACTTGGTCATGCCGCAGTACTCGAGGTACAGCGAGTCGCGGTGCTTGACCACCACGGCGTTGGTCGGACTCTTCTTGACGAAATACTTGTAGCCCAAGTAGTGGTAGGGCGCGTCGTCGCTCGGGTGCTCCATGGTGTGCACGATAGCGCAGTCGGCCACGTCCTGGTGCATGTATGTGACCACCAAGGCCAAGTCCTGCTGACACTCGGTCACCACGGCGCTCATGGCGTTCTCGACGCGGCCGGGCCCCCACCCTGTCAACATCACCGTCGGCGGCGTCAGGGCCGCCTCGGTGCACGCGAAGGTCGGGCTCTGCAGGTCGCAGTGGCGCAGAGTCTTGGCCAGCTCGTAGCTGGTCACGCCGGCGTCGCGCTCGCGATACATGTTCATGTCGTCGCGCGAGTACTGCAACTTCCAGCGCTTGGAGTCGACCACGCCCTTGCGGTCGTAGGCGAACGCCTCGAATTCGCGCACGGTGTGCGCCAGCAGCGCGGCCATGAGCTGCTTGCCGGCCTGGTGCTCCTGCTGACTCACTCGGAGCTTGGGCAGGTGCTCTCTCGGAATGGGGAATCGTCTGCCCATGTTGGTCAGCAGCGAACGCTTGCGCTGGAGGCGGCAACTCAAGGAATGAGGCGGGTCACGTTCGAAACTTAAGCTTACAAGCTGTCAGGCGTGTGATGATCGGTTGCGTGCAAGACTGGCGTGAGTGAGTCGCTCAAGCTTGAGGCGCAGGCTTGCACACCAGTTTCCCGACAACTGGTGCCGGTCCGACCGCAGGCAGGCGTGCACCGTAGCATTACTAGAGTAGGAGGCGCCTGGATTGATGGCATGGAGAGACCATGCGGCCGGGACCTTAGCGGAGACCGTCGTGGTGTAGGAGACCACCTTGAAGTCCGGCCGCATGCCAGCAGCTTTCGTGACTCTAGCATAACGCGAGCGGAGCTAGGCTAGCTGAGCTAGCAGCGATGTGATCGGCGCGCTGCTGATGCAAGTTATTCGCTTGCTATGCCTCTCATGTGTCACGTAGGGCAGGCGGCTCCATGACTGCAGTCTGCAGATGCTGACCGCGATCTTCGAGTCTGTCCTGATCCATCAGGTCTACCAGGAACTGTAGACGCTGATCGCCCGCCGGCGCTATCGCAGACTCATCTGCTGCTCGCCTCGACGAATCTGCTTGACGGTGCGGCGTCGCCTGCGCAACACGCACTTGGATACAACGGACTCAACGCGCAGTCACGGATACATGCACACTTTGTCAAGCACCGACGTCGAGGACATCCTGACATGCAATGTTGGAGGCTGAAGCAGTCCGGATCTCGTCCTCAATTCGATTAGACCGCTACGTACAAGTCCAACGCTGACGCACGCGGCCAGCATGACACGGTGCCAGCAAACACCGTGCTCGTGACCTCCTTGGCACCGACCATAGAGCTCGTGGCAACGCAGGAGCGTACATGTAGTCGACGGTGTTGTAGTTGCAACTTCATAAATTCATTTGGGCCTGGAGCCCGTCATAAGTATCAATTCACACTAGCCTAACGTACATGTTTGCTACAGTACCCTCCTCCTTGTTCTCCCTCATCCACACTCCATTCGGTCCCCACTAATAGTTCTTGATCCCCTGCCAACGAGGGACCACGTCGAATGAGCCTGCTCAGTCAGACCCACGAGGTCACGGCGTTGCTGCGACGAACCTGGGAGCGGCTGGCCTCCACCTCTATCTTGAGCTCCTCGCGCCAGTGCTGCTCGCAGTAGATGCCGTTCAGGTGCGCGGTCGCGGACGTGTCCTCCGCAATCTTGCTCAGCTCGAACAGTCGAGTCATTATGGCGCGCTCGGCCGGCGACATGCCCGACGGGAGCTGCGGGTCGGCACTTGCTCGAGTCTTGGGCGGGGCACCGTAAATGGGGGCGTCGCCTTGAGCGGGGATGGAGACGCGCGTGCGGGCGCGAGGCCTGGCCGGGAGTTCCGCTTGGATGTGGCGGAAGCCTCTGTCGGAATGGGACTTGTTTGTGGGGGCGGGCTTCGTCCACGCCGGCGGACTCCATCGGTCGTTGAGGCGAGGGGCGACAATGTCCTTGTCCTCTTCTTGCCGGTCCAGCTTCGAAGTCATCGGCACGCTGGACGAGTATTCACCCGGGAGGGGCTCCTTCTTCGACGGTGCCCGCGAAGGATAGGTCTCACGTCGCATCGAAGGATGGCGCTGGGTCTCGGCAGGCTTCGACCACGTCCTGGGCTTTGGTTTGGGCTTCCTGAAGTCGAAGTTGAGCTTGTCATCCGGAGTGCGCAGCACGCGCTCGTGCGGGGACGCAAGGCCGCCCGTGTTGGCGCGGCGCACGCAGGCTCTGCATGCCGGTACCTTGACGAAATCTCCGAGGATGCCCATGTCGTCCCCCACGAACACGCGCTTGGTGACGGCGCACTTCTTGCACGTGGTCTTGCCGCACAGCTGACACCGCGGCATCTTGTGCTTGGTGTCTCTGCGGTTGCACCCCGTGCAGGCAGACTCTCCTTCGAGTACGGCCATGCTGGCCCCGAAGTTTCGCTGGTTGCGTGCCATCTGAGAGAGCCGACGCACTTCCGCGAGCTCCAAAAGTCGAGTCACGCCGAAGAATACATCAACCGTGAACATGTTGGCCAGCGGCCTGAAGATGCGGCCGGAGATATCCATGTTTCCGAGCATGAAGACCTCGACCACGTGCGTGCTCTTCTGTCGGTAGATGTAGCGTGTCGACTGCACGGCGCGGATCGAGTTGTAGTCGCTCAGGTCGGGGAACTGCGGCAGCTCGACCGAGTGCATGATGTGGAAGCCCAGCTGCTCGCCCCTGCTGGAGCGCGTGATGCCGCTGAACTCGAGGTAGACGCTGTGCCGGTGCTTGAACAGCAGGCCCTCGGTCGGCGACTTGCGCACGAAGAACTTGTAGCCCAAATAGTGGTAGGGCTCCGCCTGCGTGGGCGGCTCGAGTGTCTTGAGGATGGCGCAGTCGGCCACGTCCTGGTGCTTGAACTTGACGGCCAGCGCCAAGTCGTGCTGGCTTTCCGTGACCAGCGCGCTCATGGCGTACTCGACGCGTCCCTGGCCGTAACCTGTGAGCAGCATCGTGGGGGACGCCAGCGTCTCGATGGTGGACGAGAACATGGGCAGGTCGAGTCTGCAGTGGCGCAGCGAGTTGAAGACGCTGTTGCCCGTGACGCCGGTCTGGCGCTCGCGGTACAGCTCGATGTCGTCGCGGTACGTGTGCGGCTTCCAGCGCCGCGCGTCCACGATGCCGCTGTTGTGGTAGGAATGGAACTCGAACTCGCGCAGGGTGTGCGCCAGGAGCTGCTGCATGACCTGCCTGCTGGCCTCGTGCTCCAGCTCGCTCACCTCGAGCGGAGGCAGGGACTGGATGGGGAACCGCTGGCTCATGCTGTCGAGCTGCAGCGCGAGAGCTGGCGGACGGCGAAAACGCGATCACTGTGGCTGCGGCGTGCGAGTCGAGAAGTGAGCCCGTCCTGTGCTTGAGCACGCAGCACCGAAAGAGGGCAGGATCAGATGCAGGTCGGCGAGGCGTGCCCCCATTCCAAGAGCAAGCCAACGGGAGGATCGGTGGTTTGAGCGCGCGGGGTGGCACGCGGCGCGGTTCGCTTTGCATGGACAAGGTGCGACCAGTGTATCCGAGGGCGGGACATTCCGGATGATAGCTTCGGGATGGGGAAACTGCGCCAACCAAGGCAGGAGCTCGGCCCATTTCGAGCAGAACCCCTGGATCCGAGTGTATCCTGCGGGTCTGTCCCAAGCCTGCAGTCTGGTCGTGCAATAACAGCACGCCGAGCAGAGAGGGGCGACGTGATCACAGCTTTCCACGAGCATGCTCGAGCTCGCGACTGAATTCCATCCTGCACTTGCCTGCAAGCGAGCGAGCGAGCGCCTTCGATCCGTTGGACTGTCCAAGGTGCAGCCAACTCCCTCGCCTCCTTCACGCGCAGACAGAAGGCACGCGATATGAACGCGCACTCGAGGGCCTCCCCGACGGCGGAGCAGCCAGCCAGCCGATTCCGGTTGACATGAGCATTCTGCGGAGGTAGAGTAAAGCGGAATGGCTGGGCGGGCGGCAGTTTGCTGGGGTCCATCATGGACATGGACTCCATGTCAACGAGATGTCAAGCCGGACGTGATGTGGACCATCGCGCAGACTCAACGTGAGAGGCCGACCACACGTGCTGGTATTAAGCAGCACTTTGCGGTGGCTGTTACATGACCTCCCATTTGATGCTGGTGGACTCTTGCAGGCTGCCCTGTTAATCAGACGAAGGTGTACTCGTGCCCCGTGCAACTTGTGTCAGGACTGTCATTCGCGTTGCAGAATGCCACACTGACACTGTTTACCGCCGATCAGACTGAAGGATACTCGCGGCAGAGTATCTTGTGGACGTCATGGCTTCAATGATGGCTTGGGTGCTCGCGCTAGCGTCGAAATGGAGCTCTTGACCAACAGCACGGACCAGATTCACGATTTGAACGCGAAGAATAATATTATCCGAAGCCGCTAGACTACCGAGGTTCCTGGCGCTTCTCCGCCGACATTCGCCGGCCTCGGGACGACACGTACGCGCTGGTCTGCTCCGCGACATCGTTCAGCTCTTGCAGGCGCGCGTACATCGGGGAAGATCCAGTGGAGTGTGAACGCGTCGACCGGTTGCTGCTTCCCACTGAGCCCGCGGACGTTCGAGGATGTCGGCCTTGCGGTGACGAGCTTGAGGTTGGCTGCACTGGCGGTTTGCCCGGGCTGTTGGCCCGGGCGACGACCTGCTTCGGCGACGCAGACGAGTCCGACGTGACATTGGACTGCACTTGTCGGGGCTGCATGGGTGACACCGCTGCAGACACAGCATCCGTGTTGATGCTCCGTCGAACTCGATGCGAGCGCTCCCGGCTACTAGAGCGGCAGTTCCCGCTGTATGCACGCGTTACTTGAGCTGGACTGCCGCTCTTGGTGGGGCTAGCGCGTGACCCTGGAGTCGATGGGAGTGCGGACGAGTACGAGCCAACAGAGGAGCCCGAGGAATACGACGACGCCTTGGGACGAGAAGCATCGATCTCCATGCTGGCGACTGCGGCTGACACTGAGGCCACCGCAGCCGACACGCTTCGGTCGGACCGGGCGCTGAGGGGGTCTGTATTGTGCTGGGGACTTCTGCCACGACGCCGGCCCGAACTTCCGCTTGACGCGGAGTTTGAGCGGTGCTGGAGACGTGAACTTTGAGCGGGAGCTAGCGGCGACGTCGAGGCTTGTGACGCTGGAGGTGGAGGCTGGTGAAGCGTCTCGTTGGCCTCAATGATGCAGCTCATGCAAACGGACACCTTCTCGAACTTGCCCAAGATGCCGTCGGCATTCGGCACGTAGATCCGCTTGATGTCTCGACACGTCGAGCACGCGAACAGCCCGCAGCACTCGCACTTCACCAGGAGCTTGGAGCTGGAGCTCAGCAACGAGCTCTTCTTGTGGGTTTTGCCGCAGAGCTGGCACCCGTCCGCGTCGGGATGGCGAGAGCGCACCAGCACGGACGGCCGACGCTCCTGCACCATTTGGGTGAGCTTCTTGGCCTCCGCGCAGTCCGTGAGCTGCACGAGCGCGAACAGCGTGATCTGGGCCAGCTTGTCCGCGATGGGCTTGATCACCATTCCGGAGATGTCGATGTTGCCGAGCATAAAGACCTCGACCACCTCGTGGCTGCGCTGTCGATACAAGTAACGCACAGACTGCAAGGCGCGGATGGAGTTGTAGTTGGCCAGATCCGGGAACATTGGCAGATTCACCGAGTGCAGCATCACAAAGCCCAGCACCTCTCCTTGCCGCGTCGTGCACGTGCCGCTGTACTCGATATACTGCGAGTCGCGGTGCTTGACGAGGCCCGGGGCGCCCGGCGACTTGCGCACGAAATACTTGTAGCCGAGATAGTGGTAAGGCCGCTCCGCTGTGGGTGACTCCATCGTCTGCAGCACGGCGCAGTCGGCAACGTCGTCGTGCATGAAGTTGACCAGCAACGAAAGATCATTCTGCGTCTGTGAGATGGCCGCGCTCATGGCGTTGGCCACGCTGCCGGGACAGCAGCCGGTCATCATCATGGTAGGCGCGGCCAAGGCGGCCACCGAGTCGCTGTTGGGCAGCATTGCATCGGGCCCGAGCTCCGCGGCCAGGCCGGCGCTGGTGGCACCAGCCACGCGCTCCCTGTAGAGCTTGAGGTCGTCCTGCGAGTCGATGTGCTTCCAACGCGCTGCGTCCACGACGCCCTGCGCGTCGTACGCGAAGTTTTCGAAGGCCAGCAACGTGTGCCGCAACATCCTGGTCATCATTTGCTTGGCCAGCCTGTGCTCTTCCGCGGACACCTTGACCTTGGGCAGCAGCAGCCGCGACAAGGGGAAGCTCGGCGCCATGGCTGCTTGGAATCTGCACGCTCCCTTGGTCCTGCACGATCAAGAGTGGCCCGGCCTGCCTTGGAGTCACACGAACAAGAGAGACCTACAGATAGAAAGAGCGGCACAGAGACGAGATGGCCGCGGTGTTCCCTCGAAGAGGCAGTCGACGTCAAAGGAGGTCCTGCCGCAGCTGGAAGCGCCCGCAGACTTGTAGTGGTTGCAGTGGCGGCGATTGGGACAGTCGCGCGCGCTGAATGAATGCCCGACAGGGAGGAAGGAGTGTCCGAGCGATCGGGCCGCAGATGGTTGTCGAGAGCGTCGAATGGTGGGATCCATGGCCCTTTATGTGTGCTTGCGCAGGATTCACTCGCCTTCTCTGTTCCTCTCCTCATGGCTTGCCGCAGCATGGGGATCCCCGGGTCTTCACGCGTCGCTCGTAATCGCGTCGTTACTCCTGGGTGAGCCGTAAAGCTGGGCAAGCTCCACCAAATGACACAGATAATACATGATGTAAGCAAGCATTGAGTTCATCGTGGAAGCATTGGCAAAGACGTGACTTCACAGACCCCCGGTTCTGACAGCTCTGTGAGGGTACAGTACCATCATAGGTCGCTTAGGCCGCAAGTGGTTACAAATTTCAAGTGCTTTCGGTGGCTAGGTTTTGGCACAATTTGACATAGGCTGGTACTATTGTAGTTGCATTGCCGTTTTCCCGACTTTACCAAACTCACATTGGACACCTTCCTCCACAGAGGAGGAGCCTCCATCGGGCCAAGCTGGTTCCCAGGAAGGGGAATGTCTTTCCCGTTGAAGACCATCCATTCCGACCCCCCCCCCCCCGCACGCGTGAGCCCAGCCCCACCGAGAGTCGCGCATCAACTTGACCATCACGCTGCTGACGCTCTTGAAGTTGTCCTCGACGACTTCAACGCGGTCAAGTTGGCCACGTTGCACTGCTTCGTTCCGGGCTGCACCGCCGGCAAAGCGCTCGAGGTTTCGACGTAAAAGAACAAGCAAAAGCTCCGACGAGTTTTGCGGTAAAGTGGCCATGTATATTTTGCGTCTTAGTCACCCAGCTAAGTAGATTTCATAGATATGCCCTAAGCTACGCCTTCCTTCTCGCCCGCAGCTGCTGCGATAGACAGACGCCGTTCTGCTGCGTCGTGTTGTACGTGGACTCGGCCACGCGGTTGAGCTCCGCCATGCGAGCGAGCAGGTCAGTCGGCTGTGACGACGGGGCTGTACCATAGTTGTAGCGGGAGGAGTTCAAGGTCGAACCGGTAGACGCCACACGCCGCAGCGCGTAGTCCCGATGGGAGCGCGACACGAGGAAGAGCTGCTGGTGTCTGCTCTGGGGCGCCTCGGACAGCTGCAACGGTATCCGATGCTGCTCACAGAGAGTCAACTGCTGCTCGTTGCCTCTATCTAAGCCGCGCGATGACTTGACAGCATTAGCTTGCCGTCGTTGCTGTTGGAGTTGGAGCGCTGCCTGCTGATCGTTGATAGTGTACACCAGCTGACCTCCGTGAGCTCGAGCATCCATGCCCATAGGAGACGCCGGCACGCCGAGGCCTTCCCGGTAGCTTCTGGAACTGACCGTGCTTGCAGTGCTGGCCACGCTTTCGTGCCTCCTACTGCCACGATGTGCTTGCGGTGCCGGCGAGCACTCCTCGGAAGATGCCGACGGGCAGCTCGAGTCGGAGCGAGAGCGTGGCCCTGAACTACCCGAAGACGAAGCCCCACGACGCCGTCGATCCCGGGAGCCTTCGCGATCAAGCTGCATGTGCTCGGACATGACGATGAGCCCATGAGGCTCTTCCGGCTGTGAGCGCGGCTTGTTGGCGGCCAGCACGCAGCACGACACCTTCCTGAACTTGCCGAGGATCCCGTTCGCGTCCGCCTCAAACACCTTCTTGTCCGTGTGGCATCGCGAGCAAATTATCTGCGCGCATAGCTCACACGCCGCCAGGGACGCGCCGCCAAACAGCTTCTTCTTCTGCCGGCACATGCTGCACTCCAACGTCGATGCGCGTCTGGACTGCTGCTTGCGGTGCTCCTGCCTGTCATTGCGAGCCTGCTGCGCTCTCCACATCTGTGTGAGCCGCCTCGCCTCCGCGCATGCGACTAATGTTGCGAGACCGAACAGCGCGTCGCTCGCCACCAGCTTGCCGGAGATGTCCAAGTTGCCCTGCATGAAAACCTCCACGACGTCCTCGCTGTGCTGTCGATACAGGTAGCGCGTGGACTGCAACATGCGCGTCGAGTTCCGAGCTGATAGCGGCGGGAACTCAGCGAGCTCCAGCGAGTGCATGAGGTGGAACCCCAGACGCTCGCCCCGCGTCGTCTGCGTATAGCCTGAGAACTCGAGATACACTGCGTCTTGGTGCTTCATACCTGAACCGGAAGCCTTGCGGACGCAATACTTGATGCCAAGAAAGTGGAACGGGTCGGTCTCCGTTGGCGCCTCGATGGTGTGCAGCACGGCGCAGTCGACCACGTCCTCGTGGTGCACGAAGCTCAGCTCGAGCGCCAGGTCTTGCTGGGACGTGCTGCAAACTGCGTCCATGACGTTCTCCACTTTGCTGCGCGTGGAGCCTGTCACCAACACGCCCGGAGGTGTGAGCGGTGCGACGGTGGAGCCCCGAGGCAGCACGTCCGACTTGTCCAGAGCAAAGGCCAGCGCTGCGCTCATGGCGCCGGCTTCGCGTTCGCGGAAGACTCGCACGTCGTCCCTCGACCCCAAAGCCTTCCACCTCGAGGTGTCCACGACCCCGCCATTAGCCTGTGCGTGCTGGTCGAACTCGCGTACGGTGTGCTGCAGCATCCGCGTGCGTGGCCATGCGTTTGAGCGCGCGTTGCTCGAGCCTCGAGAGCGAGATCGTCCGCAGCTGGACGCGCGCAATGGGGAAGCCCGCGCTCGTGCTCATTGCAACCGAGTGAGTGTCCACTTGCTGGTGCGTTGGCGACTGGGGAGAGGCTGGCCGCTGCCAACGGAGACCAGGCGTATCTGTGCGACCTCGAGGGTGGGCTCGCGGCGGGAAGTGACGCATGGCAGGCGAAGGCAGCGCGACTAAATTCACTGCGGTAGAAAGGCGTCGGGCGTAGTATTGTCTCAGGGTGATCTTGTCATCGTTGAAGTGGGCCGCTGCGCTGTGAGGAGCAGTGCCCTGACCAGACATCGTCTGATGCCGTGGCAAGCAGAAGCAGCTTACCACGTCGTTGCATTCGAGGCGGCGGAAGCAAGACGTGAGAGAGTGAACGCAAATGTATCGACAAGTCATGGTGGTCTCTAGGAGTAGAGACTCTCTACTCCGAGTTAATCGACAAGCAGCTTCAACGTCAAGTATCCTACCATCATGCTACGGTTGTTGACCAGTCAAAGGCGCTCAACGAGCTGGTTACGCCGTACGTGGCTGTGGCCTCGCTCGTAGAGGCCATACGCCACGCTAGGCACTAGGAACGCCAAAACGATGAGGGTCGACGTCAAGCTGCGGAAGGTGTCGAAGACGATGTAGCAGAGCACAACCGTAGGCAGGCCAGCCAGGGCCGCAAGCACCCGCACGCCACCAGGGACGCGAACGGGCCGAGGGATGTACGGCAGCATGTTGCGCAGCCGAACAGCGGCCAGGATGATCAGGAGCTGTACAGCCCCCGCAAACGCGTTGGCCATGGGCAAGAGGTGGGCGAAGTCCACGCCCAGCAGCGCCATCGTGAACAATGCGGTGACGCCGATGGACACGAATGGCGCGTCGAACCTCGAGCTGCGCCGCGCGAAGCAGTGAGGCAGCAGCTGCACGTCGCCCATGCCGGAGAGCTGGAAGGACTTGCAGAAGATGCCCGACACGAACAGGCCAGCGACCGAGCAGCACGATGAAAACACGAAGAACGCCTTGAGGACGGGGCCGCCGATCGACTCGGCCAGGGCCGGGTACGAGGCGTGCGTGAAGTACGACCAGTTGGGGTCGTCCACCAGGATGGCGGCAGGCATCGGCACCAAATACGTCAACAGCGTCAGCACGACGGTAAACGCGATGGCCCGCGGGTACGCGCGCGCCGGGTTGGACACCTCGCCGCCGAAGACCGATGCCATGTTGATCCCGTCGAAGGCCCAGAAGAGCGTGTTGAGTAGCAGCGCCCAGTCGATTTCCACCGCTCCGACCTGCTCGTCGTCGCCGAGGTCGTGATGGATGACGTTGGCCTCATGTCGAGCCTCGAAGAAATCCCCAAAGTCGCGCGCGCGCATGTAGCCCCAAACGGTGAACACCATCACTGGCAGCAGCACACAGACCAACAGGATCACGCAGGTGCGCGACACGACTCGAGTCCCGACGAGGCAGGGCAGCGTGAAGAAGATGGCGAGCGCCAGTTTGACGGCGTAGGAGGCGACGCTCGAGGAGATGGAGACGTCGTAGTAGTCGCTCAGAATCTCCAGCAAGAAGCCCGGTAGCAACGCCGTGTTGAAGATGCCGGAGATCCACGACCAGTAGCCCACTTGGAAGCCCCAGAACGGACCGAAGGCGTTGAAAACCCACACGGTGAAGCCTCCGTCTTCGGGGAACGCGCAACACAGCTCCGCGACGATGAAAGCGTACGGCCCCGTCACGAGCAGCGGGTAGAGGAGCATGGCTGGAAGACCGATCACTGGCCCAGTGGACGACACAATGGGCTCAGAGCCTAGTGGACCTCCGCAGCCGAAGAAATACGTGACGGCAACGATGGAAAGTGTCCCCATGACACGGTGGTGAACAGGAGCTCCCGTTGACTTCCGGTACGAGCCATCAGCATCCAGCACAGCGGTGTCCAGGCACTCGATATCACTGCTAAAAAGGATGCCACATGAACGGTGAGCAAGAAAGTTTTGAAGCATCGGAAGGAGATCCAGAGACTTACACGAATGCGGCGGCCATCGCCATATTTCGGTGAAGGCTTCGCTTCGAGCGGGCAGATTTGGTTGTGGAAGCGACTAAAAGCAAACAGGACTCGAGCTGGACACTTTCCATGAAAGTGAAAACGCAGGCGTCCGGCTTTCATCGCGCTTGGCTTTCCATTAATCGTGCGAAGTCCCAGCTGTGAGCATTTCACGCTACAAGAATCATGAGCGTGCGCCAAAACTGCGGCTCGAGAAACATGAAAGGTGGAAGAGGTCCAATCAATGTTCCATGCAGTAGACCTTCCGATTTCGCTTCTCTACGATCCTAGCTAGAACCTAGATAAACCCCGAGCACACCAATTCACGTGAGTGATCCCGGTATTGTCCGTAGAGTCCGTAGGCCAGTCCGGGTACCAGGAACGCCAAGATGATCGCCGCCGACGTGAGGTCGGAGAAGGCATCGAAGACGATATAGCAGAGCATGACCGTCGGGAGGACGGCGAGGGCTGCGAGGACACTTTTACCACCGGGGACTTTCGTGGGCCGAGGGATATACGGCAGTAGCTTGCGCAGTCGAATCGCCGTGAGCATGATCATCAATTGCACCGTGGTCATCGGCAGCAGGTCGTCGAAGTCCACACCCAGCAGCGCGATAGTGAACACGGCAGTGACTCCCACAGACACGAATGGAGCGTCGAACTGCGTGCTTCGCCACGCAAAGCAAGCTGGAAGAAGCTGCGCCTCACCCATGCCTGCTAGCTGGAAGGACTCGCAGAAGATGCCCGATATGAACAACCCCGCTACAGTACAACACGAAGAGAAGGCGAAGAGCGCCTTGAGCACAGGACCACCGATCGACTCGGCGATCTGAGGGTACGAGTCGCGCGTGAAGTAGGTCCAGTTGGGGTCGTCCACGATGATGGCCGCTGGCATGGGCACCAAGTACGTCAGCACCGTCAGCACCACAGTCAAGACCACTGAGCGCGAGTAGATCCCAGCGGGGTTCGCCACTTCACCGCCGAAGACCGACGCGATGTTGATGCCGTCGTACTTCCAGAACAGCGTGTTGAGCAGCAACGCCCAGTCGATCGCCTTCTCGCCGACTTGGATGTTGTCGCCTGCGTGCAGTTCAATGCCTTCATGCCGTACTTCAGTCAGATCTACGTAGTCGCGTGCGCGAGTGTAGGCCCAAACCGTGAAGACCAACACGGGGGCCAACACGCAGACGAGCAGGGTCACGCAGCTACGCGACGCCACCTTGGTGCCCAGAACACTCGGAAGAGTGAACAGGAGAGCGAGGGCTGTCTTCACAGCATAACACGCGACGTCGGACTCGATGGAGACGCCGTACGAGTCGCTCAGGATTTGCAGCAAGTAGCCCGGTAGGAGCGCCGTGTTGAAGACGCCGGCCGTCCACGACCAGTAGCCGACTTGGAAGCCCCAGAACCGCCCGAAGGCGTTGAGCACCCAGATAGCAAACCCGCCGCCCTCTGGAAAGGCACAGCACAGTTCCACCACGATGAAGGCATACGGCCCCGTCACAAGCAGCGGGTAAAGTACCATGGCCGGAAGACCGATGGCTGGCCCGGTCGACGAGATGATCGGCTCCGATCCCAGAGGCCCACCGCATCCGAAGAAGTAAGTCACGGCTGCGATGGAGATCGTGCCCATGACACGATGGTGCATTGGACGGCGATTCATTTGGCTCGACTTCCGATATGGAGCTTCGAAGTACGGCCGGATCCATTGCTTCAAAATCGCTGCGAAAATGAGAAAGACAAAGGTGGTTGATCTCAGTGGTGGTCTTGACAATGCTAAAGGCGACGGAGCTTACGTTATTGAGCTGGGAGACATGAGCTGAGCTGCGTTGCGTTGCCCTGAGCTTGAGTGTTGTGGTGAGGTGGTGAATTCAACTGTGAGTCGGGCTGACTGAGCTAGCTTGAGACGAACCACGCTCGAGCGCATATCAAGACGATGGCGCCAAGTATATCCGCCGAAAGTGTCCGTGAGTCATTCCAGATGACCGATAGTCCGGCTAACGCTCAAAATTTGAATGGCTTGTCAGAATTAGTATGGAGGCAATGGTAAGGTTCGCGCAGAGAAATAGTGCAATGGCGCCACGCTCCACCTGCGTGGGTGATAGTCGAACGCTCGTGCCTACGAAGCACTCCAGTGTTGTTCTTTCAACGAAGAAAGGTTGCGATGGCGGTTCAAGCGCGTGATGCCGGCAAAGTCTTAATCCAACCTAGGCACGTTTCCCCGTTATCCACATCGAGACGCGACTATCCCGGGATGACCACGCAAATCGGAGCAGCACATACTCACATGTGAATGTGGTTGACGGAGGGGAGCTCAAAGATGTCGTGAGTGCACCATGTCGGCGAAAGATAGATAATCGAATTCATTTACATACAGCACGCCACTTCACTTCACCTAGCTAGCTGCGCTGCGGAGTTTCCATAAAATGTTCACCAATGCGCAGACTTTCACCGATTCACGAAGCGCTTATACACGACTTCCTCCCGCTGGATCTCCTCCGTCGAGAGATTCCTAGCAGCCAGGAAGCAGACGAGGCAGAAGTTGTAAGCATGAGCTGCCATCCCCGACTTGCTGTGGCTCGACCGCACCACGAGCTCCTTGTTCACACTGCAACGCTTGCACACGCACTGCACCATCAAGAATCAACATCAGTAACACAAAACGACAACAATTTCAATAGGGGCTCGTACCTCGTGGCACACGGTGCACTGCACACTCTGGGTCGAGAAGAGTTTGCCGATGGACTTGTGGCAATACGCGCAAGTATTCCGGTCTTCACTCTCGATCGCTGTCTGTTCCGTCGTGGCTGAGGACGATGATGAAGACGAAGACTTGGACATGTCAAAGATGTTGGTCGATTCCTTCTCGGCTGCAGTTTTGTGCACGTACCACCGCAACTTCTTGCCTTGAGCGCATTCGATCGGAGCCCCCATGCCCAGAATACTATTCGCGATCTCCTGGAGTGCGAAGAACGTGAGCATTGTGCCTCCAGGGTCGATCACTGCGTGCGCGAAGGCCTCGACGATTTGGTCGCTTTGCTGTCGGAAGATGACGCAGAAGGACACGCTGGCGCGAACGATGCCTAGGGTCTTCAGCTCTGGCAGGCCCGCGTGCGACACCGACTGGGCGATGCAGTAGCCAATGCGTTCGCCGCGCGAGCTGGTCGCGAATCCCGTGCGTATCAACACAACGTAGTCCCGCTGCTTCACGATCGCGCCTAGGCCTGGAGCTGAGTAGAGGAGCCAGGCAACGCCCAGGAAGTCGAACGGGTCGGCCTCGGTTGGGCTCTCGAGCGCGGCGAGCATTACGAAGTCGTCCAGGCCGTCCTTGCCGTAGAGGCTGCGTCTCTGAAGAGAAGCCGTGTCGTGCACGAAGATGCCATACATCACGTCGTCCAGAGTTCCCTGCACTGTGCCAGTACAGATAACAACGGGGATTTTGGTGGCCACGGACAGCGAAGACGCAGGCCCGATGAGCAGCGCGTCGTCGTCCACCTCCAATGGGTCGGGCGACGATGTTGAGGACACCGACGTCGCGCCTGGCGCCACCGAAGAGGAGGACGCACTGGGATTGAAGCTGCTGTCGATGCTGCCAGAGCGTTGACGAAAGACCTTCATGGCTCCTTTGGTTCGAACGTGCTTCCACCGCCGCGAGTCCAGCGACTGCCTCCTCTCATACAGAAAGTCTTCGTAGAGCGCGCGCGTCTCGATGAAGCTCTCGTCGGCGACACTGCGGTACTCGCGCGCGTCGTCGTCGGTGAATGTCACCTCCGGGAGCATTGCGGAGCCCATGAAGGTGCGCGACGGCGCTTCTGATCCGAACGCGGTGGCCATGGCGTGGCCCGCTGTCCGCCGCCACTTGCCAGCGAGTTGGTTGTTCGCTTCTGCCGCTTTCTTTCGCGCGCGTGGGCACTTGACGCTGTGCAGGAGAAGCCGGGCTGCGGCCTGGCTTGCCAGCGGGAGAATGAAGCCCTCGCCGAGGGCGTGTCTCCGACGGAGACTCTCCGTTGACAGGATGGTCCGCTCTACCGGTAGGGAAGAAGGCCAAGTCCCTCTGCAACGTCTTGTCGCGCGGAGGAGCAGGAGGATGTGGCGCCTGACCTGCACAACTCCACACCGAGGCTATCTCCACTTCAAGTGAACACTTGCCCTCGAACACGCCAAAGTCGCAGCGAACACCTAGATTCGAGATTCGGAAGACACCACGCTCGCCGCGTTGTGCCGCAGCAGCAAGAACCACCTTAGAGACGCCAGTTAAACGAAGAAACTCTGGACGCGTGTTGAGACTTCAAGCAGGTTTAGAGTTCCGTCCGCGGGCCGCATCTCCGCTGCCGAAGAACGGCGCGTGCTACTCGACTTCACGGGAACAGATACGTCGCCCCGACGCCGCTGACGGCCGTCGTCGCGAGCACCGACACCACGTTCACTTGCTCGTTGCTCAGGACGTTCAGGCCGCAGACGCGCTCGGCGTGCGGGGTCGATTCGTCGCAGATTTTGCGCGTCGAGCGGTCGAAGTACGTGACCTGCACCGTGGCGCCGAGCAGCGAGTCCAGCAGCGAGCCGAAGAGGCCCGTGGCCGCGCCCAGCGTGACTACCTGGGGCTGCGCCGTGCCGGACGCCAGACTGGCCGCGTAGTACAGCGCGCCGATGAAGGCCCCGCCCAGAGCTGACATGGCCAGACCCAGCAACGACACGGCGCCGTTCGTGCCGGGCGGCACGCGCCGCAGCGTCGTGATGAGCCTCGGCTCGCTCTTGCTTAGCACGCCGAGCTCGGACGCCCAGGTGTCCGCGGCGCAGCAGGCGTAGTGGCCGATGAAGCTGGCCAGCAGATAGCTGCGCGCGGGCGCGGCCTTGAAGTCGAGGGCTGCGTCCTCGTCGCCGAACTGGAGCACGGTGTACACGGCGATGAACGTGGCCAGAAGGCTGCAGGCCAGCACCTGACGGGCCGAGCGCTGGCCGCCAGGCTTGTAGTTGGCATCCAGCTGCTTCTTGACGCTCGCGCGCACCTTGGTGAGCTTGCTGCCGGAGAAGTAGAAGCCCAGGAGCAGCAGGCCTGCGCACACTCATTTGAGTTAGATATGAGAGGATAGATACTCAAAACGATGGGGGTATTGTTACCGTAGCGATAGCCCGAGGCGAGCGTGAAGAAGCCCACGAAGCAGGCGGCCGCCGCGCCCGACACGTCCAGCGACTGCTTCTTGAGGCCGCGGCGGCCGAGGCCCCCGGCCAGCAGCGCCGCCACTAGCACGCGCGACAAAGGAACGAGCATCTTCGGGTCCGCTGGTCCGGCCGTTGGCGCCGTGTGGATTTGCGAGTGTATAGAAACTTCAAGTGCTTTCGGCAGCTATCCGCGGATATGCTGGCCCAGGCATGAACGCGGAACGACACGATGGCGACGATGGCCATACCCTACAGCGGAGAGCTCCATGCCTTTGCCGGCGCGCAGGACTTGAACCTTGAACAATGGGGACAAGGTCCGACTCAGCGAGTACAGGCACTCTATGGCATGATGGAGCTCGAGGGCCGATGGCCACTTCAACGCGGCTGCCAGCCCTTATGCGCTGCAAGCTTGGCCGCGGCACTTCCGTCCAAGGCGCGCGCGCTGATGGCACAACTGCAGCCGCCCAAGTTTGCGCCAAGTATCGTTGGGACGTTGTTGGAGGCCCTTGACGTCACTCTTTGATTGCCAGCATGATGGTCCGTCCCCCCATGCGCAAAATGAGCCAAAGTCTTGGGCCGAGCCGTCTCGGTTGGAGAACTCGCGGGGCTTCGCAGCACGGCCGAGGTGTCGTCGGTAAGAATGCAAACGACAGCTATCGGATCCCGTTGCAAGGGCACCGCAGCGCATCTCGGTCCAAGTGCACCGCTCTTCAAATTGACGTGGCCAAGTCGGAGGGAGTGGCACGACGAGGGACCTCGGGGTTGAGGCGAGCATTCGTCGATTTGCCGTGTCAACGAGAGAGACGCCCTCTTCTGGCCTGCAACGCTTGACGAGCATGAGCTCTCGCATCAACGTCTCGTCCGACACGCTGCCGCGCATGCGCTTCACCAAGGAGGATGTGCAGCACTACCGCGAGATCTCGGACGCGTGTCTGGCCGAGGTGCTGGACAAGTACGAGGAGTATCTGTACCGGGGCGACCGCCACATTGACGAGCGCCGGTGGAAGAAGGTCAAGTCGCGCGAGGGCGTCGTCGTCTACCGGGAGCGCTCGACCTCCGACGCCGACCTCAGCACCAAGAGCGGCCACGATTTCAGCAGCTCCAGCAGCAGCAACTCCAGCGGCCCGGCGTACCACGCGCGCCACGACCCGAGCACAGCAGTTGAGACCGTGAGCAACGCGCCGCTGTCGGGCCCCGGCGCAGCGCTGGCGGCCGGCACCAAAATCCCTGTCATGATCTGCACGGCCACGATTCCCGGCACGCTCGAGGACGCCATGTACGGGTCGTACGTGGACGACGCGGCCTCGTTCCGCCGACGCAGCGCGTACGAGCAGGACCTGGCCGACGACATCGGCATGCTGGCCACCTTTGATCGGCCGTCGCAGAAGGACCCGTTCCAGTTCATGGGGCTCACATGGATCCTGCGTAGCTTCCCCGGACTCGGAGCGGTGGTCAAGCCGCGCGACTTCCTGCTGCTGCAACGCATCGGGCTCTCGAGGACGTCGCGGGGCGATCTGCTCGGCTTCACGATCACGCAGTCGGTGCCCCACCGCGACCTGCCCGAGCTGTCCCAGTACGAGATCATCCGCGGCAAGATGTCCATGTGCACGATCTACAGGCAAATGGGAGATCTGGTCGATGTCTTCGTGCAGATTGTGATGCAGCCCGGGGGCAACGCGTTGAACTACTTCATGATCCAGGAAACAGCAACCTCAATCATGTCCGTCGGCAAACCCATGGACGTCGCTCAGAACAAGAAGCTCTTCTGGCTGGTGAGGAAGAACGCGGTTGAAGCGTCAATGGCAATGCCGGGGTCGCCAGGTACTCGATCGTCCTCCGCATCGTCGTCCTCTTCAATGCATCGCCTGCAGCGGCACGAGTCTGACCACTGCGCGGCGTGCAAAAAATCGCTCACCAGGATCTTCTCCACTGCCGGTAGCTTCTGTCAGATCTGCCAAAAGGTTCTTCATCTTTATCGTGATTGTGTGTGGTGGTGGCAAACACTAACCTGCTTGTTGCGTGGTTTGACGTGGAAACAGCGCGTGTGCTCGAAGTGCAGCGTGACGAAGAAGCTCGTGATCGATGCGTCGGAGAAGACCGTGGTGATTCGGCCCTTTAACTTCTGCCTCGGGTGCACGCTCACTGCACGGAGCTACTCGCCGCTGCAAGTTCACGCGGAAGAACTAGCGCAACGCACCCGCAGGTAGACGTTGTTGAGTGATACGTGTTGGAAGCAGGTAGTTATTGTCATGATACATCGTTGTTGTTGTTGTTGATTCCATCTCGCTGAGAGTGCGATCTACTTCGAGCGCATTTTTCACCCTGAGCCCCCAGCCGCTTATAATCTACTACTATCTCGCCCTGGAAGGCACCTTAGCTGTAGGAGAGCTCGAGTCAAGGTTTAAGCAGCGCTGTACCCGGACCTGCTGGCAACTGGGTCTTCAACGTACAGCATGACGCGAGGAGTGGCCGAGGATGACCGACGCACGCCGCTCGGGATGTAAGCCGCGCTGCTGTAGGCCTTCTGACGAGGCTGGCAGTACGGGGATGCCGCGTAGGGAGATGCCGCGGCGTAGTTTGAAAACTGGTGGGATCCAACCGAAGCCTGCGACGATCGCACGCTGTACGGACGTCCAGTCTGCGTTGATCGCCGGCGCATTGTCGACGGCCTAGTGCTTGGGCGCTCCATGGTGCTGCGGGGAGTCATGAGTCCGAAGCTCGTCTGCTCTAGAATCTCCTCCACCACGATCTGCGAGGCGTTGCGCTGGTTGGCGCGCAGCACACACGGCAGGCAGAACTTGAGCGCCTTCTGGCAGATGTCGCTCATGTTGGCGCCGCCGCTCCCACTGCCGCTGCGGCTGCGACTTCGCTCAGTCGATGCTTGGGATTCCTCCGGCTGTACGAAGTCACGAATGCCCATGCTTCCCCCCAGATTCACGCCGGTGTTAGTGACCGCGTCGTTGCCATCACTGCGCGAGAACCGCAGCTTCTTGACGACGCTGCAGCGCGAGCAGACCGTTTTCGCGCAAATGGTGCACGGCGTTCCGCTTCGGATGAGCACGCTACCGACTCGACGGTCGCACAGCGAGCAGTTGGTCGACAAGGCTGCGTTCCGTGCTATGATGTCGATGTCTTCGTCGTAGGTCTCCTCGATCCCGCACATGGCTTCATCCCCGTAAGTAGTCTTGTGGAGCTGGGTCGAGGCTTTCCGCTTGCGTCCAGCTTGCTGCGCCGCAAAGGCGATCTTCTTGAGGTGGGCGCAGTCCACGACCGAGAAGGTCATGTGCAGTAAGAGCTCAGCTCCTGCGTTCACGGCCATGAACTCCATCATGGCGCCCTGAGGGTCGTAGTATCCCCTCGTGAACACGTTGAGCGTGCCGGTGAGACCCGTCGACCCCTCCGACGGTGGCTGCTGGTGGAACAGCTGCACGACGGACGCCCGTGCACGAACCACCGAGGAGGAAATGCTCGTCGACGCCAACTGGGCCAGCGCCTTGACGCTCACCGAGTGCATAACTCGGTATCCGACACGGTCTCCGTTGGCCATCTTGGTGACGCCCGTGGCTTCCAGGTACAGCAGGTCCCGCTTCTTGGACATGGCGTCGTGGCGCACGGCCCACTTGAGTCCAAGGAAGCGGAAGGGCTGCTCGATGCTCGGGCTTTCGATCGTGGCCAGCACCTCGGCGTCCACGAGCGCGTCCTCAGCGTACGCGCTGTTCACCTTCATGGTCCGTGTGTTGGCGCTGACCAGGCCGTACATGGCGTCGTTCACCTGGCCGGCCAGAACTCCGGCCACCATGAGCAGCGGCAGCTCCGTCTCGTTGGCCGGACACTGGCCCGGCTGCGGGCCGGCGGCCGCCGCGATGGCCGCTTGCTTGGCCGCAGCCAGCTTGCGCTGCTTAAAGGCGCAGAGCTGGTCCTTCCTCTTGATGAGCTTCCACTGCTGCGGGTCCACGGGCGACAGGCCGCTGCGGCCCGCCTGGTAGTGGGCCTCGTAGGCCTTGAGGCCGTCGACCAGCAGCAGTTCCGCCAGGCGGGAGCACACGAGCGCCTCGTCCTCCGACAGGGCGACGGCGCGGCGCTCCAGGGCCGTGAAGGCCGAGAGCGTCTCGAGCTCGACCATGTTGCTGCCGGCCACCGTGGGCGCGCGGCCGCGAGTCGCGCGTGACCCGAGGCGGGGCCGCGGGAAGCGGCGGTGGCGCTGCTCCTCCATGCTGCTGCCAAGGTGCTTCGCGACTGCGGCTCGGAATGCGATCTGAGCGAGAGACCACACGCACGTCAGTCACAACGCAATCCAGCGACCGCCTCGAGGATCAGAGTGCAACGTCCAGCATTGCGCTCGGGTCTATGGCCCGGTTTCAGTTCAGTCCTCAGAATTCGTATCCGTCTTAGGTATCCGAAAATCCACACTATACGAATCACAATTTTTGAAGACCTGTAAATGATGATTTAGTGTAAAAATGTGTACGACGTTATATTGTTATTATGTCCCTCTACTAATCATTGCCCCGTGGAAGCCGAATTGCAAATATGTATCGCCTGCAACAGGATGTGGGATTCCTAAGAATTATGAGTAGCTTCGCGATTTGTAGGCATAGTGAAGACAAGTCGACGCGCAGCAGGTGTCGAAGCGGAACTCGAAGTGCTCCACGATGGCGATCCCGGGGCTCCAGCTCGTCGTACCTACGAGCCCGCTCTCTCCTCGGTATAAAATGGCAGCAATCTGTCACGGGCTTGACACGATGTGCTTCGCCTTCGTTGACGGCCATCCTTCACGAAAAACAGTCGGTCCATGTTGATCCCCGAGCTCTGCGCTCCATACACTGTACACAGCGTGAGTTGTTCGATTGTCCGCGTCCTGGCTGCGCCGTGCTTTTGGTCCGACACCGTGTCTTTGACTGTGCAATTTGAGGCGCAGCTCGAAGCTGCCTCCGAGCCCCTTCACTTTGGCCATGCATCGTCGAGCGCTACAAGCACCTGATCCGCGTATGCAACGCCGAAGTAAGGGGTGGATGCCCCAGCGGGGCCATTCGCAACGCCATGCGGTCAGCGTTGCGGGGCGCCAGAGCTCAACATCGCGTGACCCATTTGCACCTACGGCCAACCGGACTTCGTATCTTCTGCATTGTGGGCGTCAGGCACTTGGCGCCGGAGCAAGCCGGCCGCGTTGCGAAGGCGTCTGGCCTCAGCGCGCAGAGCTGCAGCAGCGAGGCCCCGGTCCAACCAGTCTGGGTAACGGCTCAACTGCCAGGCGCCTAGGACCAGGAACATGACCATGATAATCTCGGTGAGTCCGCATGTATCACCGAGCGAGCGAGTGATGGCGGTCAGGGTGGCGATCAGGAAACATGGCTTCCCCACTTGCTCCATCGACGTTGAGCAGCGAAACGTAGCCATACAAGCCAATGTTACACGATGCAGCAGCAAGTGCTAATAGGTCGTGAAAGCATGCAGCCCAGATAAAGTCGCAACTGGAAGTGCTAACGCAGTGAACGTTCTGGGGCAAAACGTACTGCCCCCTATACATGTACAAGTGTCGTCACGATGGCTGTTGTGCAGTTCATCAACTTCTAGTTCTGGGGGCGATTACTGCGGGCAACGCGCTAGCGAGAAGTCCGGCACCCCGAGTTCTCGGCGCGTGCCGTCACGGCTTGAATCAGCACCGACTTTTCTTCCCAGCCGGCCTCGTGTGTTGGTGTTCTTACAGCGACAGCACAGCTCTCGATGCGTAGTCCCGATGATGCCGCCCTGATTGCTATAAAAAGCTGGTTTGAGTAGGCTACTCCTTTGCCGCCTACGATGCGTGACAGTCTCCTCATCAACCAAGCTGAGTCACCGGCGAGTGCACGGGTGCACGACTGGCATTATGAGCGCCGCAAACGTTTCAAAAAAGTTTCAACAGCTCTGTCCAACCAGTGTACCCATTTTCATGGAACATGGCTACAATCTGATTACGCGGATCCTTGTGTACAGTACACCACCATCGGGCCGCAGCACTACCGGGCCGGCGAAGGAAGCGGCGTCTCGTCTCGATCCCGCCCGCAGCCATGGCGAAGGCCATCATCTCGTCGGTCCTGGAGGCGCAGCTGGGCAAGTACGTGGCCGGCCTGCGCAGCGACTCGCTGGTCGTGGGGCTCTGGAGCGGCGAGCTGGAGCTGCGCGACCTGGCGCTCAAGCCGCACGCGCTGGCCGAGCTGCAGCTGCCCGTGGCCGTGGCCAGCGGCAGCGTAGGCCGCGTGCTGGTGCGCGTGCCCTGGAACCAGCTGGGCAGCGCTAGCGTGACCATCACGCTCGAGGGCGTGTCGGCGCTCGTCGTGCCCAACACGGAGCGGCCCAGCGCGGCCGAGCTGCTGCAGGCCAAGAAGAACCAGCTGGAGCGGCGCGAGCTGCTGCGTCAGCACCGCCGCTTCGCCGCGCGCGTCGGCCCGGGCCAGGAGCTGCACGAGCAGCAGAAGCCCGAGGAGGACGAGGGCACCTTCGTCTCGAGACTCACGGCGCGCATCGTGGCCAACCTGCAGGTGACGCTGCGGGACGTGCACCTGCGCTACGAGGACGCCGTGGCCAACCCGGAGGCGCCGTTCGCCTGCGGCCTGATGCTCGAGCGGTTCCGCTACGTTACGACGGACGAGGAGGGACGCGAGGCCTTCGTGGACCAGGCCACGGTGCACAGCGCCTTCACGTACAAGAAGATCGAGCTCTCGCAGTTCGGCATGTACTGGGACCGTCTGGACGTTAACGACAAGGCCGCGAGGCTCGAGACAAGAGAAGATGTGCCTCAGGCCATGCGGGCCATGGTGCAGGAGCTAAGTGGCCAGCAAGAAGACACCCGGGTCGACAGCAGCAGGAGGTGGCTGCTGCGCCCGTGCTCGCTGGGCGTGCAGCTCACCAAGAACGAAAGCACGGACTATTCGGCGGTGGCCAAGTACACGGTGGAAGCGGAGATGGGCGCGCTGCAGGCCAGCTTGACGCGCGAGCAGTACGAGGACGTGCTGTTTCTGCAGCGAGCTTTCTTGGGGCGGAGAGCGGTGGAGGCCCATTTTGCGCTGGCCCGGGGCCGCCCGCTGCACGCACCGGGCGCGCGCCCTCGTGAGTGGTGGGACTACGCTACGCGCCTGGTGCTGGAGCAGCGCAGGGCAAAGCTTCGAAGACAAGCGGCCAATGACAAGAACAAGGAGGCCAGCGCACACCACCCGCATCGCCGACGACCGCATCACCGCAAAATGCGCTGGTCGTCGGTACACAAGGCGCTGCTGGAGCAACAACTGTACGTGGAGGCTTTCAGGACGGAGCTGCGCAACGGTGCGCCATTGGACCCCTCGACGAGACAGGGCAAGTTCAAGCAGCGGTATGAAGAAATATACCCGCTGGATGTGGTGCTGCTGTTACGCGACGTTGCCGAAGACGCCGAGGAGCGTGCCAATGAAGAAGCTAAAGCGTCAGCCAAAGAACACGCTAAAACACAGGCGGCTCAAGGCGGTGGTGGTTCGTGGTACTCGTACTTCTTCGGCGGTGAAACTGAATCTGCCTCCGCGTCAAGTGAAGCAGCAGAGGAGCACGTTTTGTCCGCTGAGGGGCGGGAAAATTTACGCGAGGCTTACAATGACGCTGTGGAGAAGGCTAGCAACGCACACGAAGTGCCGATGGGGTGCAACATGGCGTCAGTGCAGCTTCAGCTGACGAATGGCTCGATAGGTCTGTATCAATCCAATGCACACGAGAGCCCATTCGTGACTGGAATGCTGAGTGGCTCGCTAGCTGTGAACATTCAACCGGAAAACGAGTGGGACGCGAGCTTCCAAGTGCAGCACTTCGACATCTTTAACGGACTCGCGCGCGATTCCCGCTTTCACTCGTTCTGTAGCCCGTCGTCGTCGCTGTCGCCGAGTGAAGACCCGAGTAGGCCCTGCGTCAGTATCGACGTGAGTCGTCGGGCGGTGCTACAGACTCAACTGCAGGGTGACGACGACGTGGAAGCTACACTAAAGGTCCGCGTCCGCAGTGAGCCTGTCCGAATGATGGTTGATCCGTCCTTCGTGATGTTCTTGCACGCTTTCTTCGTGAGTCTGCTACCAGAGAAACAGCTAGAGAGGGTCTGGCAGTTTGCTACGTCTTCTGTTGCGGACTGGATGTTTACTGATGACTCTGCGGACGAGAGGAAGCTGATCGAGTCATCAAACACGAGTGCGGAGAAAGAGGCCGAGGAAGCGGAGCTTATGCGCTCGCTGGAGAGAGCTGAAGGTCGCGTCGCCTACGACGTCCTGCTAGACATGGAAGCTCCTGTGCTTATCCTCCCGGAAAACGTCGGTGAGCCGACTGGCGCCGTTCTAGTTGTGGATCTCGGCCGGTTGAGCTTTCGCAACGACGAACAGGTAACAGCTATCGACACGCCTTTGGAGGTGGGGCTGGAACCGGCTGGAGAAGACCCGCGTCGTCTGCATTGGCGGCTAGACGTCACCCAGATCCATGTTTTACTCGGACGCCAGGAGCAATTGGTGGACTGGACTGACGAAGAACTCCGCGGCTTTACCAAGATCGTGAAGGAGCTGTCGGTTGAATTTTCACTCCACACTCAGGCGGCGACTTCACGGCTCAAGCTTCCTTCACGTACCGGGCGGAAAAATGTGGAGGCGAAGCCGCTGCCGCAAGTGGGCGTCTACGCTGCCATCCCAAATATCTCGGTATGCCTAGTGGAGGAGCAGCTCGTGGCGCTGGGCCAGATCCATTCGTCCATAGTTGCACAAGCAGCGATCATTGCCCGAGATAATGGTAGGCGCCTGTCCTACTTCGAGGATCGAGATCAGGAGAGTGGCGACGAAGAGAGTGCGACGGAGTCTGAAAGCACGAACGATGAAGGTACGAGCAATGCCACAGTCGTTCCCATTCATAACGTTGAGGAGAAATTCCTGCTGGAGATGGAGCTGTCGCTTGGATGTGTAGAGCTCAACTTGCGTGAGTCGGTTGCCAAGGACGCGTTTATCTTGCGGGCCTCGCAAACATCCTTCTCGATGGAGGCATACTCAACCCACCAAGACTTCCACGCACGACTGAAGGCCCTAGTGATGGAGGATAAACTGTATTCTGCTGAGTCTCGTTACTACAAACTCATATCTACCGGCGAAGATGACGCAGGCGATACCCCACACCTGATCGCTATCGACATCACGGCGTATTCGCAGGACAACGGAGCATCGAGAATACAAGAAAGTGGTCAGGCTTCGCAACTGGAGGCTGATGTGCAGTTTAACGTGCTGCATCTGCAATGGAACCCGTCGTCTGTGGCGCTGTTCTACCGCATCATATCCGCGTATGCATCTGCCATTCAGTCTCACGACGACGACCTCCCGTCTGAAGATGCCACGCTGCCGCGAAGGTTGGCTGCAGAGAAGGAGACTACACAGGAGCCACGTCCTGTTGGTGGCCACAAGAAGGAGGCTGCCGCGTTAACCAGTCTGCGGTCTAGAGGAAAGCCTCTCGTTGTGGTACGCGCGTCGCTGGTACAATTCAGTCTGACGTTCAACAAGGATCAGCTTGATCGCCAGCTCGCGCGTCTAGACATCAGTAACGCTGCTGTCAACTATACGAGCTACGATATAGAAGGCCAAAGCTCCGCTGACGAGGACACATTCGAGGTTACTGGTCATGTGGGGAACTTCGTGGGGACTGACTTGAGTACGTCGAAGCATCCGTTGTACTCGCCATTACTGGGTCTGGACGAGGAGGAAGCTCGGCGCCGCGTTGCCTCTGGGATGGATTCAGAGGCGCTGCTGACGTTCGCGTTTGTGCGTGACCCCAAGACGAGCGACAAGAGCTCTCTGCGTCTCGCATTCAAGCCGATCCGGGGTGTTTACTACCATCAGCAGGTCTTGGAGCTGGTGGACTTTGTGCTTGAAGGGGTTCTTGGCGCGATGGTGAGCCAGACGTTGATGAATGCCACCCAGCTACTACTGCGCAAGGATGAGGCTAGCGTTGTGCTAGACTTGACCGTTGAGAAGCCCACCCTGATTCTTCCTCTAAGCTTAGAGGATTCCCCCCACGCCAAGGTCACCGCGGACATGCTGCGGCTCGTCCACTTTCCGTCTAGTGCAGTGCATTACGAAGGGCCACCTGGAGCAAGAACCAAGCGTGTTGTCCACGACGAACCGCTGCCGCGTGCCATGGTGCGAAGATCCGACGCCGAAGGAGGCGGCGTCTCGTTGCGAGTAGACTGCAAAGACCTCTTCCTAGAGCAAGTTCGAATCTTCTGCACGACTACGAGTGCAGGCAGGCGAGCCAAGAGCGCGGGCGAAGGGCCCATGTATGAAGATTTACTACCCAAGCCTGCAGATCTGAAGATCAGCATTGAGGACCTCGTGTCGTCGAGTATTTCCTTAGGTGACGAGGAGACAGTGGGCGATAGCGGCGAAACGAGGACGGCGTTCCTTCCGCGAATCACGGTGGATTCGGTGCTTCCTCCGTTAGAGGCCCACATCTCACGCACGAGCTACCTGGGCATCGTCGCGCTCATCTTGGAGAATTTTGGTGCCGATGCGCTGCAGAATGCACCGACAGCCGCAGCTCCTCTCGGCAAGGCAAGCAGCGCTTCTCGACTCCTAAGCAGGAGAAGGAGTAGCGCTGATATCGGAGAGCTTCCGTCCTTGCGCCCAACCGTGACGTACACGTACCTTCAACCGGACGCAGATGAAGCTACGCTTCAGGTGCGCTTTGTCATGGAGAGCGTGAGGATCCTGCTGTTCCAGGACGGGCCGGCAGACGTATTCGTGACGGAAAAGGCATCCCCTGATTTAATTGTGCAGCGCACCATGTCTGAAGCTGATAGCGACAAGTTTGGGCGTGGTGGGGAGTTCGCTGAGGTCGTTGCTACTGACTTTTCGCTGGTGTTTTACGACGAGTACGAGAAGAACCCGCGCTTAGCGGTGCATCTTGGTGCGTTCAGCGCTCGTGATCTGGTGGGGAATTACAAAACCTCATCTGGCGGCGCTGAAGGTGGCACAATGCTGATCTCACCGCGCCCATTGGAGATACACTACACGTGGGACGACGCTGCGCTGACCGGCGAGCTGGACTTGGCTTTCTCTGAGGTCACGGGCACTGTGATCCCGGAAGCTCTACTAGCGCTTACCGGCTTCTTTGCGCTGCCTTCAAGACCGAGTCAACCCGAAAAGCCTCCCAGTTCTGGCTCAGTGAAGGATCTAGTGCGATCGCAGACGCCAGTGCCACCGCCGTCGCCGTCGTTATTGACGCGGCGCGAAAGTATCTCGGACATTCTTCGCGACGGGAAGGAACCAGAACTGACGATTACTGTTCGTGCGACGGCCAAGCAAGTTGGCGTGGCGGTACCACGCGATTGTTACGACCCAGAGAGTCCGCGCGTAGCGTTTGCCGGTGATTTCGCGCTTGAATTCAAGTGGAAACCGCACCCGGACGATAAGAAGGGGAAGGCAGACGACGACCTTGACATTCAGAGCAGCATTCTCGCGGACGCAAGGAATATGGAGATCGTGCTGGAGAACGCCAGGCGCCCAGGCTGCTGCGTGGCGTCTCCCTCGTCCAGCACGCGATGGGATGCCATCGATGTTGCGCCGCTGATTCAGTTGCTGGAGCCGTGCGATTTGCACGTTGAAGTGAGCGACCTGTTCCCGCACGCCGGCCAGAGGCAGCAGATTGTGGCGCTGAGCTTCACTCCGATTGAAGTGTTTGTGTCCTATGACGACGCGTGCATGGCGATGGATACGATGGAGGCATTCAACGAAGCTATCGTGCTGCACGAAGCACGCCACAGCACCGCAGATCTCCGTCGGCCGTCACGTATTGATAGCCCAACTTCCCATGCATTGACGAGATCACGCACCTCGTCGAAGAGCATCGTGGTCGAGACGGCTACGGAGGAGGAAATCCACCGATACTTTACGTGTGAACTACCGTCCGTGAGTCTGACGCTGATCAACGACTGCGACGGATGTGATATGGGGCTCGCACAGCTGCAAGTCGAGCGCTGCCACCTCTTCTTGAACGTCACGTACACTGCGCAACTGGAGGAGAGCGACGACGCGCCCGTGTCCTTTGTCGAGCTGGATGTGTCTGTTACCCCACTGACGACAAGCATTTCTGGAGGAGGAAACTTGGTGGTGCTCATGTCGTACTACAACCCGGACACGCGCGATTGGCACCCCATGTGTACCGAGTGGGCTCTCGATGCGTCGGTGCAGGGCTCGATTTCGGGCGCGAGCGAGCTGCACGTTATTCTCACGGCTTCTCAAGCATTGGACCTCACTGTCACACATGGATTACTGGAGGTCGTGGCGTCTGTGGGCGGCGCGTGGAAACGTCGTGCGGCTATGGGCACTGCCAAGGTGCAGTCGGACGAGAGGGAAGATGAAGACGTTGAGCGGCGGAAGATGGCGCCGTGTGTGATCCGTAACGAGACGGGGCTGCCACTCAGTTTCTGGCTGACGAATGGGTCCTTCACGACAGAGCCACAAGTGGTGTCAACAGGAAGCCTGGCTGACGTTCGGTATCTCCACGCACCAGGACGAGGGCGTGGAGTCGTACGGAGGTATGCATCGGGTGACAGGGATGCTGCCAACCTACGACTCTGTTTGCAGCTGATGGATGCGAAGAGCTCGGAGGACAGTGCAGCGCGATTCCAAGCCGTTCAAGGGCTCATTTTCGAGCAGTTGGGTGCGCGCACGTTTCCTTTGGTGGACACCCACGGGCAGCGCACCAATTTCACGCTGAGTTTGTCGGCGCAGCTCGTTGAAGGCCGCATTTTGCTGGTTGTCTCGTCCCCTATCAAGCTTGTAAACAGACTCACGTCTGGTCGTCCCGTGGCGCTCCTGGTGAACGACCCGACATGGCACACACCCGTCGAGATTGGCGTTCTTCGAGCAAACCAGGAATCTGCCGTTCCAGTTCTGCTGTCTTTGGCTTCGGAGCTGCGCGTGCGGCCTGTGGGGAACGGCGCTACATATTCTTGGAGCGCTCCTATCCCAGTGCAGACACGGTCCGCTGTGGAGCTTAAAGTGGAGGCCGCCGTATCATCCACCTCTGCCTCGCGTGAGAGCTCGAGCCATGCTGGGGACGGTCGAAGCGCAGTGTATTGCGTCTCCATGTCAAGTGATAAAGAGCTTCGTGCTGTGTCTTTCGCGGAACCGCTTGTATTGGTGAACAAGCTTCCAGTCCCGCTAACCTTCCGTTTGCGTTCTGCCTACAGTTCTGCGTACGGATCTGGGTCGAGCGATAGCCCATCGAAGCCCGAGACGATCGCTGTCGGAGCCAAAACCAGCATCTGGTGGACGGATATCGCGCAGCGACCGCTCTTTCAACTACTAGTTGAGGGCTGCACCAGTCCGTCCAAGTGGCTGGAGCTCGTGCCTCGAGGAACCGCCAGCGGTGCCGTACTATCGGTACAGCTTACTCGGGTCGACGATGGACGTCCTTTCCGACTGCTTCTGCGTGTGGTGGGGGGCGACCACGCTGCCCGCCCTGTGCGCGTGGAGATTTTGGCTGAGGTCTGGGTTATCAACCGTTCCGGGCTGGAGTTGGTCTACGGCACTGCTGCAGATAGTGAAGCCTACATTCCTCCACGCGCGGCACGAGCCCAGGTAGGCAACGCTCAGATCAGCGCGTACTCGAGCGATAACAGTGGAAAGGTCCCCGTGGTTCGAATCGGTTTGCGTGGCTGCAACTGGTCCGCGCGATTTGAAGCGGACCCTAGAAGACTCAGCTGGCAGGACGAGTGCATCACGCTTCGGTCCGCAGGAAGCAGTGCATCGTCTGGCGGAGTTCTGTACGAGTTGGGCGTGTCAGCGGATTACGCGACCCGGCACTTCGGCTCTGTCACGACGCTTGTGAGCGTCATCCCTCGCTACCTGATCCTCAATCGCTCATCGCACACGCTGTTACTTCTTGAAGCTCCTAACCGCCAGCACCAACGTCTTGAAGACTCGAGCAACGACAATGTTGCGCACCACGTACTGGGAGCCGGGGATATGTATGCTCTTTACTGGGTAGGTGGAACGCGCGCCCCACTACGTGCATCAGTGTTGCCCGACGATGACGCGCCGGGTACGTTCTGTTGTGATGGCTATGACTGGAGTGCTGCATTTGCTGTCGACCGTGTGGCTAAGTCGGACTTGCTGGTGCCGCCACGATCCAGTGGACGCGGTGTTCACTTGGAGGTGGTCGTTAAGCGAGGCAGTTTCTCGCAGGCCACGTTCGTAGTGGTGGTGACGGACGGTGGTGCTGGATCTCCGACGTCTACATCTTCGAGGCTGTCGAACGCTGGGTCAACGGTCTCTTCCTCTGCAAGGGATGCGGTCACAGGTGCTGGCACGGCAGGCTGGCAAACGTTCAGTCTTCACGCGCAGGTAGCGGGCGTGATCGTGACGGTCACCGATAAGAAGCACGGCGGGGCATTGGAGGACTCTAAGAGCTTGTTCGCTGGTGGGCCTGAGGGCGAGAGTGAACCTGTGGCTCGTGCGACGTTCACGCGCATCGGTGTGGAGGCATCATGGTCACCACAGGCCACTGCTGCTAAGCTGAACTTGATGGGGCTAAAGGTTGAGGACTTGCTCCCACAGACCAGGAACCGCGTCGTACTGAGACCTCTGTTGCACGGAGACAGTGCGTCAGCGAAGGCGACCATGGACAAGTACTTCCTGGAGCTGACGTATCTGGAGCGACCTCACGCGAAGTACACGTGGGTGGAGCGCGTGCACCTGGAGTTGCAGAACATCAAGGTCTCGACCTCAATGAGTTTCGTTGACAGGCTCATCCAGCTCCAGAAGGAGACGATCGCACATTTCCAGCACAAGTCGCTCGTCTCGGCCTTCCCTAGTGAAGACGATATCAACGATGAGGATGACGAAGACGGGGACTTGCTGGCCTACTTTGTTCCTCAGACAGAGGACGGGGACGAGGGTGTCAGTGCTGCGGATATGGCAGCTATGACTGGCCGGAAGCTTTACATTGCGTCGGGTGAGATCTCGCCTGTGCGTGTGGTGGTGAGCTTCACCCGCGACAAGAGCGACTCGAGCCAGCGCAACAACGAGGGGTTCTGGCTGTCGAACCTCAAGCTCAAGATCGACAACGCGTGCGTGACGCTGGAGGGCTACCGACTATCGCACGCGCTGGCCACACAGGAGTCTCTGACTGCGGCGATTGTTCGCTTCTATGAGCAGTCGGTTAAATCCCAGGCGCTTGGTCTGATCGAGTCGATCGAGGTCACGTCGCTCGTGACGAGCATGGTGGCAGGTGGGGTGACGTCGCTGGTGTCCACTCTGCGTGGTAAAGCTGACCCGGCCGCGGCTGCTGGTGCTATGGCTCCTGGAATGCTGACATCCAGCTCATCAAGTAGCGACGGCGACAGTTCTCAAGGTGTGCCCTTCCGCTACGAGCACATGTCGAACGGCGAGATCCTGCGCAAGCATTCGAAGGCGCTGGGCGAGTGCCGCAGCAGCGCAGAGTTCCTGCGGCAAGTGCGACACCTCGTCTACGACTGGGATGCCAACCACACGGGACTCGAGGCGCGCGGCTGCGTCGCGCTTGCGTTGATCAACAATTCTCGGCACTCGTTAGTGGTGAACACGCAGCTGAACGACGGCGCGTCCCTGCGCGTTCTGCCGCTTGGAAGACGGCACCTTGCCAGCGTGTTGGACGCGCCTACTGACAGCGGGACTGCATCAGCTGGAGGAGGGAGCGCCACAGCTTGGCGAGCAGACCGTGCCGTGGTGGTGTTCGCCTACGGCTACACGCCAACGCTGCTCACATCAGGCGATGTCTACTTCACAGTGCAGTCGAATGCGTGCAGTGTGTACGCTACGCGCAAGACAGCGCGGCTCAGAGCTAATCGGGGCTACACTGCTACATTCACGCTGCAGGAAACCCAGAGCTGGTGGTCGGCGAACGTGGTCATCATCGGTGACGACTTGCAGGCTGGTGATAACTCCACGACTGCGTCCGATTCGGACTCGCTGTTCGGCGAGACGCCGGCACTGATGGATCAAGATACTGAAGCAGCAGACGACGAGGACGATGAGTTCGAGGTCGAGTTCTCGGGCGCAGCGCTGGGGTTAGTCGCCAAGCAGAGTGGCCGGCTAGTGATTGTGCGCGAGTGCGTGCCGTCAAGTGCAGCTCAAGCTTCCGGCCGGATCGCTCCTGGTGACTGCATTCTCGCCGTGAACGGCGTGAGTGTGGCCAACACGTCGCAGTTCAAGCAGCTTGTTAGCAAAGCGCCACGACCGATCGTGTTGCGCTTCCGACGCGCAGGCCGCCACTCCAACGCGGCCTACGACCTCTTTGGCGAGCGCAAGCAGTACGGAGGAGCGTCCAACCTGTTTGGCTAGTGACAATGATGCAATAGATGACGAAGTGAAGTGAGCCATTCTTGTCCTGGACTGTAGACGAATTTGGCTGCTCACTTCAACTTGAAGGGGGAGTTTCACGACCAACTAACTGTGGTTTGTTTCTTGTGCTAAGGCTGTTGTAGGATGAGTAGCAAGGATGGATCTATCACACGACTGCCAGCAAGATTCAAGCGTCCATGGCAGAGCAACAAGAAGGAAGAGGCCAAGCATGCGGCGTCAGCTCCAGCCGCGGCAGTGCAAAACAAACTCGCAGAGTTGCGTTCAAAGCGCGTGATGGAATTTTTCCAAGCCAAAGCGAGACAACGTGCCGGCGCCCGATCACTTGCTTCAGTTGTAGGCAGCAGCGGTGACGCTGTGATGGCTCTCCTGCGGTCACTGCGTCATCTCGCTGCTGGCTTCTTCAAGCGCAAGACTCAGAATTTAACTGCGTTGATCGGCCGAGAGTCCAAGTGGGGCAAGAGGTTGCGATTGCTACCGTCGATGCTAACAGGCGAGAAGGGCATGATCCAGAACAAATTGAGGAGAACGTTTCGGCTCGGTAGAGGCAAGAAGGCTCAGGCCGAGCGACAGCACCAAGTACGCGTCTACCAGTGGATGTGTCGGGCGTTGGCCCGCTTGGGCTGCTCCGCCATCAGCGCTGCTCGGAAGCGCTACAGAGCTGAAGGCGCCGCGCTGCTTTCTCGTGAGCTGGTTGGCCGGATCATGGACGAGCAGCCTCCGATTCTAGCTCTGAAGTTCGTCGCAATGCGAGAGCGTGAGCGTCGCGCGAAGAATGCTCGAGTGATACAGCGACTGTGGAGGCGAGTGAAGCGCAACGAGCAAGCAAGTGCCGATGCAAAGGTGCGTATCCTGAATATGCTGACCAGCATGCCGTCGCGTCTTCGCCAGCAGCAAGAGACTCAGCAGCAGACTATCAAGATTGTGCATGACGTCAGTTCCAGCGCTACAAGGCTATTCATCCACCGCGCGGCGCAGCGTTTGGCAGCTCGACTGATCCAGCGCGTGTGGCGTGGCCATTGCGCCCGTAAGAGGGCTCGTCGGCTGCGAGAGTGGAGGTTGAGAAAGTTTCTGCGTAGAAGACAGCGCGATCGTCTTCGAGATGCGCGCACGGCCTTGTTGATGCCGTCTGAAGTGGAGCAGAGGTACAGGAAGGAGCTCGAAACGCGAACGCTCGCTCGACAGCAAGAAACGCCACTGCTGCCGGTTCCCCGCCGAGATGACGGTCGACACTACCAGAGGAGACGAGGTGAACGTGCCACACTGCTAGAGCCGCTGCCGCTGCAGTCGAGGCCTCCGCAGATATCGTCCACCACACGCACGAAAGTGCAGTGCGTCCCATTCAGCCGCTTCGAGAAGATCATCGCTCAAGACGCGCGCGTGAATCTGCGTAACGTGTGGGTGGCCATCCCTGTTGGGCATCACGAGCAACAAGAGGAGACAAGCTCAAGACACGGAGGCTTGAGCCCGCTGTTGGTGGGGAAGGGCCGTAAAAAGAGAAGCAAGGGCGGCCTGCGCACAACCTACGACTGGGTGCCAGCGGATTTACTACAGAGTCAAGAGGAGAGGGAGGTGGCTCGAGTTCGTCGGCGACAACGAGCTACAAGTCCGTCAGTGGCCAAGAACATCCTGGAGTTTTAACATTCATCTTCCTTCCAAGCTGCTTATACAAACTACACTTACGCTACGGTCACCAACAAGAAACAGTGCGGAGCTCATTCATACCAGCGAGCGGCGGTAGTAGAACCGATAGCCGGCGTAGAGCACCCCCGGGACGAAGAACGCGAGCATCAGCATGGCCGACAGCAGGCTGGTGCACGCGTAGAAGGTGATATAGCCGAACATGAAGGTCGGCACCACCGCGATGGCGTACAGCGCTGGCACTCCCCCTGGCACCTTGGTCGGACGCGCGATGTATGGCAACTCCTTGCGAAGTTTGATGATCGTGGCGATGATCATGAGCTGGACGCCGGCCGAGTACGCGTTCGTCATGACGAGCATGCTGTCGAAGTCCAGGTTGATGAGCGCCAGCATGAGCACGAGCGTGAGCAGAGCGGCATTGTACGGGCTCTGATACTTGGGATGCCGCTTGGACAGCACCTTGGGCACGAGGCGGTTCCCGGCCATGCCGCTGACCAGGAACGTCTTGACGTGTAGCGCCGCCATGCACATGCCGGCCGAGCCGCAGCACGTTGCGATCTGGACCAGCGTACGCAGCGGACTGCCGCCGACAAAGTACGCGAAGAACGGGAAGGCGTCGCGGTCCAGCAGGAACCAGGGCATAGCATCCGTCGCGATGCCAGCGATCATTGGGACCATGTACGTCACGAGGATCATCACACACGTGTAGCCGATGGCGCGCGCGTACGAGTGCGCGGGGTTCTGGACTTCGCCGCCGAAGACCGACGCGTTGTTGATGCCCTTGAACTTGAAGTAAAGCGTGTTGAGCAGCGTCGCCCACTCGATGGCTATGTCGCCCTTCGAGATCTCGTCGTGCGCCGCAGGATCGTACAGGACGCTCTCACGCCGCACCTGGAAGATGTCGTCGAAGTCCGACGCGTTGGCCAGTGACCAGATCGTAAACACGGAGAAGAAGAGGATGACGACGACCACCACCACGAAGCTCAGTCGACCGACCGTGCGCGTGCCCAAGAAGGTGGGGATGGCCAGAGCGATGCCAATTCCTGCCTTGATGAAGTACGCGGCCACGGATGACTTGACCTCGACGTTGTAGTATCTTGTGAGCAGGTTTAGCAGCGTCCCGGGCATCAACGCTCCTCGCAGCACACCGGCGACCCACGACCAGTACCCAACTTGGAAGGCCCAGAACGGGCCGTACGCGTTCAAGACCCAGACCGTAAAGCCGCCATCTTTCGGAAACGCGGAGCAGAGTTCAGCGACGATGAACGCGAACGGGAAGGCCACAAAGAGCGCGTAGAGCAAGAAGCCGAGAAGACCAACCAGAGGCCCCGCCGAAGAGATGACGGCCTCGGAACCGATGGGGACGATGGTTCACGGCGATAGTGTGTCGGTACTCGTACAGACTTGGAGACCGCTCGACCATTTCGGCCTCTTTGTCGAATTCACTGCGGACGTCAGCGTGTTGCTTCAACACATGTAAACTTGATCTGTACTTACACAAACGCCGCGGCAGGTGCCGTGTCTTCGCGTGGGAGGTAGAACGTCACCTTGGGGGCAGTACTTCTGAGCGCGTCGTCGTCTCCCAGCATTGGGAGGTCGGGGGATGCTATGGTACCAGCGACGGTATTTGCTAGTCGGACAGACCGATTATCCCAACTTGCGGCAGTGGCCGCTCGTTGGCAGAGACTACAAGGCCGATGCAGTGGGCACCCTCTTGTTTTACAGACCAACTGGCCCGTGGAGACATACGGTGGCTTGCGGCCATATTACCAGCCATAGGGAGAAGTGGACGGGGTTCAAGAGGTTGACTCAACAGCGAATATGTACGACTGGGGCGCTGCAATACAAAAATCTCCGCGATCTTGAATACCGAAAGGGTGTAGATGTATAGACTTTGTAAAGTGCGAAAGCGATTGAAATAGTTTTCCAGAAATGGTGAAAAAGGCAAACCGCGGTACTTGTCATTCCCGAAAAACAGTACCGTAGTCCAGAAAACTGTTTGCCGCCGTGTCCGACCGATTCGACGCTGCTTGGCCGAAGCCTCGGAAGAAGCGTGGGCGGACGGATTGCAGGATGTGTACGATGAGGCCGCTGCGACGTTGAAGCGCTTCCTCCTTACCGTCGATAGACCCACTGCAAAGCTCTCTGCGACGCGATCGCCCTGATCACCAACTGGTGCCAACTTTAACGGAAGTAAACAATTCTATAGATCTCCGCCTCTACATACCCAAGCTCACCATGGGAGCAAGTGGCCCTCGAGTTCTGGAAAGCTTTCTAAGACCAGTCACGAAAGTTGCATACCTCCTCGGCGCAGGAGCAGGAGAAATAAAAATGTTATGTGTTTGTAGTTTTTGCTGGCTTGAATCATATCCGGATTGAGTGGATAACAGTTTTTCAACTTCAAAACGTCTTGGTCACAAGTCTTGGGTTCCCCACCCACACAACCATCTGCGTCGACAGTCTCTGCAATGTTGGGCGAGTCGGCAAGTTTTGCCCCTCCCCATGTCCATGTCCAGTTCTGACTCATGGATGGAGGCGATGAAGGTCAAGTCCACGCCCCGGTTGCGCCTCAAGAGCGAAATCACGCGAGCGCGGGGGGCAGCTGGCTGCCAGTGCAAGTATCTTGCGCTTGATATGTTTGGTCTTATCTCGGGTCAAGCGCGGTCATTGCAAACGGCCATTTGGCAGCAAAGTGTCAGCGCTTCCAGGCGTTTGCGGACCACATGGCCGGTTCTGAGCGCTGTTCTGTTCGCTGTAGGGGCACGCCAGCAGAGCGAGCGACCCAGTTGCGCTCCACGTGTTTGCTGATCTTTGCCTTTTGCGGAGCCCGTCGTGGGCAGCCCGCCACAGTTGAGGCAGATGTTGCCGCCTATAGTCAGTCTACCGCAGAGAAACGAGCGGACGTGCGGCTCTTCGCTCACTCGCGCATCAACCGAGGACTGCACTCGTTCAGTCGGGTATTTCTCCTCTTGCCAACGCGAGCTCAACCTTCGATCCACCCACCACAATGGCGGAGACTGTATCAACTGAAGCTCCAGAACTGACACGTCGAGCCACGGCCCCGGTCCGACTTCAAGAGCTGCTGCACCAGGCCAAGTACACCCCTCCTGCTGTCGAGGTGCCAAAGGAGACGCCGCTAGCTGACGGCGAGGTCCAACCATACCGTCATCTCGCGCACAGCATCGTCTCAAGAACGCTGGCCCATGAGATGGAGCACCGCCGCACCAAGGGCCCCGAAATGAGCCAGCGCGACTGGAAGTTGCTCAAGCGCCACAACGAGCTCAGTATCTACAAGCGCCGGGCCCCAGAGCAGTCGCAACAAACGCAGCGGCCCATGGTTCTCTGTGTCGGATCAATCGCCGGAGACATTGAAGACGTCCTCTACGGAGTGCACGCCAAGACCCGAGAGGAGATGCAGATGGTGCTGCCTCACATGAGGAAGGGCTACGTTAACTGCGCGATGCTGGCCAAGCTGGAGGGCGGTTCGGACACTGATCCGTACCGGCAGCTCGCCCTCAAGTGGCACATGACGGATATCCTCGGGGACGCCAAAATCCTTAAGCACCGTGATCTATGCAAACTCGAGTCAATGGGGATCAGCACCGACGCGCAAGGTGAGCGGTACGGCTACTATCTCCTCCAGAGCGTGGACTTTGCCGGGTGTCCGCCGCCTCAGGAGAGCAGCGACACGATCCGAGCGAACATGATGTTCTGCAGCATCTACCGCCAGGTTCCTGGGTCGCACATTGTGGAGGTCTACGCAAAGGGAATGGTTGACTTGGGCGGTGACATCCCGGCCTTCCTGGTCTACAACACGTCGTGCTCGCTTATGGTGTCGATCATCAGCGCCATGGAATGCGCCGAGGCGAAGCGGCTCACGCTTCTTGCCATCCAAAAGTCTGAAGATACGGCGGCTCCAGTTGAAGACCTCTCCAAGCTTGACCTGGAGGACTTCGATGGAGAGACCACCCCCTCCGGGTACTCGAACTCGGGCTACAGTCTTCCGTCTGAAGTCACCTCGGGGATCACTGCCACTCCGATGCTGGCTCGCCTGTTGTCGAAGACGAGCCGAAAGTCTCGCTCGCGACGACAGGCGGCCGCAGAGCCATGCTGCGTGTGTACCAGAAAGCCTGCGATGGCGTCGCTGGTGGGAGCTACGCACCGCACCTGTGGTGTGTGCCTGCGTGGTGTCTGCAACAAGTGCCACGTCAAGCGCCGATTGTTTGCCCGGCCACACCTCATCCCAGTGGCGTGCTGCAAGTCGTGTCTTCTGGAAGCCAAGCAGTTGACAGTGGATCCTCTGGAGCCATGCCCCATGATCCAGTAAGTAGCGTTTCAGCAATGTTGTAGGGCGTTGTTTCATATCGTGATGTAGTGTATTGCGTAGTAATGTAAACTGTCTTGGAAGTTTGACCATTCTTCGTTTATAGTTTTGATTACTGCAGATGCACTCAATTTTGAGCACTTTCAGTGAATTCTAATGTAGTGCCTTACATTGAGTTTGCGTCTTAAACGAAGACCACATCCGATCTACTAATATCAGACGGAGCATGGTTTAGGTTTGGTTGTAAAGGAAGTCGATGCGGTTGGCGCGAATGAATGGTGCATCTGGCAGGTAATCAATAGCGAGGCAACATGCCAATTTACGTGTATCCATGTATTGCAGCTTCAAAGAAAATAAGATTAGTAGCTTTGTAACGCATATTCGTTAGAAGTGATTGAAAAATTTTCAAAAGTGCTGAGCACTCTTTGGATACCTCTGCAAAACGACAACTAAGTTACAGAAAAGTTAGATCGTTCCCCCGTCAGAGGTACACAGGGCTAAGCATTGGGAGACAAACTTAACGGCGGTGAACCCTGGAGGCAACTGGTTGCGCTGCTAGCAATCGTTCTGACCGGGACAGTCCAGTGAATCAATTGCACCGTTTCCATGGCGTGAGTCTATCAACCTGTCAGGCATCATGTGGTGCAGTGATTTGGCGGTAAACGAGAATCGAGCTGACGACCAAGCTTCAGTGGCGACCCGAGTCGTCGGGACATGTTCAGCAATGTTCGGCGGATGCTGATTGGCCATTCTGGACCGGTGCCGAAGACTCGTCGACACCCAAGTTCGACACCCAGGACTTCAAGTACGATCCGAACTTACAGCGAACTTTGACCCGAGATCCGCACTTAAGACGACCGTTCGAGCCCCGGCGACTGCTCCAAGTCTTCATCGTCCAATAGAGTCATCGAGGAGGTTCTGAAGGGTCGGTGGTTACTTGGGAAGATCCAAAACGGACGCGTTTATACTAGATATTTGTATTGAACCATAGGAAAGAGAAGATAGAACAGATAAGCCCTTTGGGCAACAAGAACAAAACAGCTTTCCTCCCAATCACTCAAGGAAGACGTTCGGGCTATCGGTGAGTTCCCGTAGCAATTGGATAAACCTGTTGGTAGGATTATGACTGTCGGTGGACGCGCCTGCTAGTATCGTAGCGTGCGTTTACCCGTGGTCAGGCCAAGAGTAGTGAAGAAGTGGCCGTGTATACGAAGGGCGAGTCATCGCCGTGTAGTGGAGGAGCGAGAGCGCACTCCATTTATCCTTCCCGTCGGAGTATAGCTCCGGCACCCTCGTATCAAGCCGTGACTGGCTGGGACCCTTCCTTCCTGAGGGCCTGCGAGGTTTATATTGTGTGTGAGAGCATGCCAGCCTTCGCTCGTGGCTGGTGACGCTGGTTTTCCGTCAGTTGACTAAGCGGAAACACGGTGCACAGAGGAAACGAAACGTCAACCCGGTGCAAGGGAAAGTTCCTGGGCCTTCAGGTTCTAACCCTAACAAGCCCATTGAGTCATCGGGACTTGGTGGGTGTTGTTGGTGGGGAAAGTGTGCTATTATATAATTTAGTGCGTGTTCCTACACGACAACTGGCGCCGCGACCCGGGATTGGTGTGACCTTCGGTGTCTCGTGTTACAGCAGGTCAACTGACCTTACGAGCAACAACCAAGAAGAAGAAGAAGAAGAAGAAGAAGAAGAAGAAGAAGAAGAAGAAGAAGAAGAAGAAGATGGCGACAGGATCTCAATCCGCGGTACCAGCAACTCCGATGAAGTCCGGCGGAACGCGCGGCGACGACTCGACGGCGGTCTTGATCACACCGCAGCCTGACCCGATAGCTGAGCGCGACGTCAGCTTCGTCGAGCCGATGACTGGATCCGACGCCAAGGATGAAGAGATGGATGAAGAATACGACGACTACCTGGAGGAGAAGGCGCCTGCGCCAGCGGTGGTGACACCCGAGACTCCGGAAGATGCAGTGATGTCCGCCGTGCGCAGCGGAGGCTCGCGCTCTCTGGCGCGAAGTCTTTCGAGCGAGGTGGAAGACGATGCGCCTCCCATCACGCGCAACCTCGCGGATGAATTGGATGATGTGAACAGCCCCAAACGTGCCGACTATGGCCCGGGTGCATTTGAAGACAGCGGCATGGAGGCATTACATGCACGTGCCCCGAAGACGTGACGGTGGCACCGATGACTCAGCGGATCCGGGGACGACGAGTGACGGTTCTGACGGCTTGCCAGTGGGCAATGATCCGGAACCGAGCTTCTTGGGACCGGGCAGAAGGAGTCAAGTCGCTCCCGACGACTCGCCAGCCTATCCACAAGTGGCCGACATTGACCCCGATCAACCCTCGATAACTCGGTTTCCGACTGCAGCGACAGAGCGTGACGCGGATTTAAAACCCCATTGTGACCAGACCAACGGAGCGCCGACAACTCATCTGGTTCCTAGTTGCGATGCGCACGCTCCCCTCGCTGTGTCGGAGCATACCTCCATGTCGGTGATGAGCGTAATGGATGTGGGCAAGAACGGGGCAGCAAGCAGCAACGCGTGGTCACCGATTGTGTGTTCCCCGACGACTCGTGTGGCAACAAACTTCTCGTACGCACGGCTCCCGAAGACTCATACGGGTTTCGTGATCTCTTTCGCGGCTTTGGCTAACCCTGAGAAGTATGAAGGAGATACCAGTTGCTCATGGATCGTGTGGCGCCTACCAGAGTGGAAGATAGTGATTGCCGTGAACGCTCACCTTGTCAATACGGCGGTCGACTCCGCAGAGTGCACGGGTTTGAGAAACGGGGTGCTCGCGGCTTTGGAACATGGCGCCGAGAATTTGATCATTGCTGGAGACTTCAGGCTTAAGATCCCCGAATCACTGGGGATTCGCTCATGCGGTGCGGACCTGTTGATGAGTCCGATACGGAGTAGCGAGAAGGTCGCAGCACGGATGCAGTCTGCTAAGTATATCCATGTGACACGAGACTACAACGCTGCTGCGAACTCACTGGTGTCTGAAGCTTTGGAATCTCAGACGTCGAAGGTGATTTTGAGTGGCGATAGGAAGGCCGAGCTCTCTGAACTCAATTGACTCCAAGCTACGATCTACGAAACCGATCCAGACGAGATATCGCCGCCGAACGTGCTTCCCGGTGATTCTTTTCGGTTCCAAGATCTCCCCAGCAGTAGTTCAAGAAGCATTGAGCCTACCATGGCCGCGCCGATGACTCGGTCACAGGCCAAGCTCAAGACGAAGCCACCGATCCGGACCGACAAGACAATGGAACCACTGCCGACGACTGGCGAATGCGAGTTTTGTGTAAACAGTGCAGGTTATCCAGAGAACGGACAGACCAACAGCACACCGAGATCTCGCGTAGCCTGGGTCAGTCGTATCTGGCCGTACATGGAGCGGGGCAAAGAGGCTGATGGAATAGAGGTCTCTGCGTACAAACCTCTGCGGCCTACACGCACCAATGCTGCACGTGGACTTTGCTGGAAGAGTGTCGTGGTCGTGCGGAACGCCTAGCCCCCGTCCGCGACAACTCAACCTCACGGTGAACTGCGCCTGGGGCAATGCAACCCAGGAGTGCAGACGAAAATGGCTACTGCAGCTTTGCATGCTACATGGAGATTGAACGCGAATGATACGAATGGAGAATCCCGATTGGAACGAACTACAACTTCCCCCGACAACTCAAGGGCAGTGCTGGCGAAGACTTGGTGTGCTTGGAGCTCGGGCGGATGGCGCTGACAACTGCCGATGACTCGAAGCGCCTGAAGCAGGATCTACGCTGAGTCAGACGCGCTACGGCAAGATGGTGGCTGAGAAGTGTTTCTGAGGACCGGATCGGCCGCAGGAACTTGCAGAAGCCTATGCGCAAGGAGCTACCGCAGTCTACGGCCTCACCAACCTCGTCCAGGTCATCACGCATCATGATGCTGATCATTGTATGGTTCCCGAGAACCGGGTGATTGTACAGAATCAAGCCGAGCGGTCATGGAGTGTCGTGCCGTTGTCTACGAAGTAGAGTCTGACGAAAGCGATGATGCCACCGCTGCTCAACTCAACAAAGGTCGTCGAACGGCGGCGAAGGCGGACAAGATGTCGGCACTATACCGGACGAGGTCGAAGACACTATGCGGCGGTCGCCAACCCGGCCCCGACGGCTCGGTGCGAACCCGAGTTATGGAACCAGGTAAGCCTACAGCAGCGAGCCACCGGCAGCACATTACGACAACGCAGACGCATACCAAGCACGCAACCGGGGCAAACAACACCAGATGTCGTTAACAGCGAAAGGAAGCAGAAGCAGAACGCACCACGACGCTCGCCATCATGTGGTTCACATAGTGTTGGGGGCAGCTGAGTTGTAGTGATTTGGCGGTAAACGAGAATCGAGCTGACGACCAAGCTTCAGTGGCGACCCGAGTCGTCGGGACATGTTCAGCAATGTTCGGCGGATGCTGATTGGCCATTCTGGACCGGTGCCGAAGACTCGTCGACACCCAAGTTCGACACCCAGGACTTCAAGTACGATCCGAACTTACAGCGAACTTTGACCCGAGATCCGCACTTAAGACGACCGTTCGAGCCCCGGCGACTGCTCCAAGTCTTCATCGTCCAATAGAGTCATCGAGGAGGTTCTGAAGGGTCGGTGGTTACTTGGGAAGATCCAAAACGGACGCGTTTATACTAGATATTTGTATTGAACCATAGGAAAGAGAAGATAGAACAGATAAGCCCTTTGGGCAACAAGAACAAAACAGCTTTCCTCCCAATCACTCAAGGAAGACGTTCGGGCTATCGGTGAGTTCCCGTAGCAATTGGATAAACCTGTTGGTAGGATTATGACTGTCGGTGGACGCGCCTGCTAGTATCGTAGCGTGCGTTTACCCGTGGTCAGGCCAAGAGTAGTGAAGAAGTGGCCGTGTATACGAAGGGCGAGTCATCGCCGTGTAGTGGAGGAGCGAGAGCGCACTCCATTTATCCTTCCCGTCGGAGTATAGCTCCGGCACCCTCGTATCAAGCCGTGACTGGCTGGGACCCTTCCTTCCTGAGGGCCTGCGAGGTTTATATTGTGTGTGAGAGCATGCCAGCCTTCGCTCGTGGCTGGTGACGCTGGTTTTCCGTCAGTTGACTAAGCGGAAACACGGTGCACAGAGGAAACGAAACGTCAACCCGGTGCAAGGGAAAGTTCCTGGGCCTTCAGGTTCTAACCCTAACAAGCCCATTGAGTCATCGGGACTTGGTGGGTGTTGTTGGTGGGGAAAGTGTGCTATTATATAATTTAGTGCGTGTTCCTACGATAGACACATGGCAGCATGGGAGTTCTGAGTCGGCGCAGCTGGGCATTAACATGCGGGGCTAACACAGTTCACCACTGCTAACCGCCATGCTGAGGCTTGTATGGTATTCATCGCCGTAATGGTTTCTGCAGCGATAAAGATTCTCGTGTCCAGCCTCTTTCCAGCCTCTCACTTTCATATTATCCACAACAATGGCGGAGCCTCTACCCAACGACCATGACTTCCCCGCCCCGGAGGCAACAAGACGAGCAACGGCCACAAGTAACCCACTAGAGTCGTGCCATGATCTACTGAACCAGACCAGGTTCACCCCTGGTATGGTCAAGGGCTCCGCTTTGATGGATCTGTCCGACGGCGAGACGCAGGCTTTCCGCCACCTCGCCCACAGTATCACTTCGCGCACGCTGGCTCACCAAAATGCATACCAGCTCATGAACTGCCCCGAGTTGGCCCGCGGTGACTGGAAGCTGCTCAAGCGCCAGAACGACCTCAGCGCCTACAGGCGGAGGTTGCCCACGCACCACGAACAAGCGCGGGGGCTCACGGAGGTGAACCGACGGATGGTTCTCTGCGTTGGGACCATGGCCGGAAGCCTCGAAGACGTTCTGTATGGGGTTCACGCCAAGACCCGCGAAGAGATGCAACTGACAGCCCCCCACCTGAGCAATGGCCACCTGGACTGCACGATGCTGGCCAAGCTTGAGGGGGGCTCACGACTCGATCCGTTCCGACAGCTTTCGCTCAAGTGGCACCTATCTCAGTCGATTGGCGACACCAAGTTCAGCCACCTCCGCGACCTGTGCGTGCTCGAGTCCATGGGGATCAGCACTGACGCGCAGGGCGAGCGCTACGCCTACCACCTCGTCAAAAGTGTCGACTTCGAGGGCTGCCCCGCGCCTCCGAAGGGCAGCGGCGTCATCCGAGCCAACGTCATGTTCTGCGGCATTTACCGCCAGGTGCCGGGGTCGTCCGTCGTGACTGTATACGCCAAGGGGATGTTCGACTTGGGAGGTAACACGCCCTCGTTCCTGATGAACAACACGTCCTGCTCGCTTATGCTGTCGATCCCCCGAGCGGTGGCGAGCTCCGAGGCCAAGCGTCTGACGCTCCTCGCGGTGCGGAAGGCAGCCAGCTCGGTGTCGGCGTCGTGCGGAGATCTGTCCACTGAAGACAACCTGGACGAGTCGTATCTGTCCGTGGACTCTGTCTCCTCCGGGTACTCGAACTCGGCCCACAGCGCCTCGGGCGAGGTCGCATCCGTGGCGCCGCCAACTCTGCGTCGGTTCCCATCCAAGGGCATTTCCAAGTCGCGGTCGAAGCGGCAGCAGGCGGGAGGCGCCTGTTGCGTCTGCGCCAAGCAACCGGCGATGGCGTCGATCGTCGCAGCGACGCACCGCTCGTGCGGCGTGTGCCAGCGCAGCGTCTGCACCAAGTGCCGCGTCAAGAGACAGCTCTACGCCCGCGCCCGGCCCGTGGCCGTCACGTGCTGCAAGTCCTGTCTCGTCGAGGCCAAGCAACTCGCCCTCGATCCGCCGGAACCGTGCCCGATGCTGCTGTTGTGAAGGGAGGGCCCACTGTCTGTCTGTTATTAGTTGTCAGTCGTAGCGTATCAATGCGTAACTTTTGGAGCAAAAAGACAACTTGTCTTCAATGTGATGTAGTTTGGTGTATTGAACACATTTTTTACCGGCCGGGCCAACCATTGGCTCTCGCCGCTTCGGCGCCCGTGCTGGGCCGTGCTCCGCCCACAATACAGTCTACCCCCGACACCGAGAGAGGCCTGTTAGGATGTCTTCGCTGACGCTGTCGCTGCCGACGCCCCCGGCGGACTTCAAGGAGCCCAATGTCGTGCTGGGCCTGGGTGGCTACTTCGCGCAGAAGCGCGTGGAGCCCGTGGGCCGCGCCTTCAACAAGCGCGCGCGCAACATGGCCCGCGGCCGCTCGGCCAGCTGCGAGGACCTGGACGACGCCACCAAGGCGCGCGACGCGCTGCGCAAGCAGGAGGAGTCCATCCTGCGCAAGTACCGCCGCAGCATCCGCGGCAAGAACTTCCTGGAGCTGACCATGTACCAGCAGCTGGGCCTGAGCGACATCGGCTTCGACGTGACGGACGAGCAGGTCAAGAAGGCGTACCACCGCGTGCTGATCGAGCACCACCCGGACAAGACGGGCAAGACGGAGAACGACCCCAACTACCTGGCCGTGCAGAAGGCCTTCACCACGCTCATGGACCCGCAGAAGAAGCGCGCGTACGACTCGCAGTGCGACTTCGACGAGTGGATCCCCTCGGGCAACGAGAAGATCAAGGAGAACGACCCCGCTAGCGAGGGCAAGAGCTTCTACGAGCTCTACGGCCCCGTGTTCCTGGCCAACGCGCGCTTCAGCGAGAACAAGCCCGTGCCCGCGCTGGGCGGCGACGATCTCCCGATCGACGAGGTCTACGCCTTCTACGACTTCTGGAACAAGTTTGACTCGTGGCGCGACTTCACGCACGACTCGGAGCACGACGTGGACTCGGCCGAGCACCGCGACCACAAGCGCTGGATGGCCAAGAAGAACGAGGCCGCGGCCAAGAAGAAGAAGAAAAAAGAGTACGCCCGCCTGGCCAGCCTCGTGGACCGCGCGCTGGCCAACGACCCGCGCATCCGCCGCGTCAAGCAGGAGGAGAAGGACCGCAAGGCCCGCGCCAAGCGCGAGAAGGAGGATGCCGCCCAGCGCCTCATCGACGAGGAGAACCGCAAGAAGGAGGAGGCCGAGCGCGCCGCCCAGGAGGCCGAGGAGAAGGAGAAGGAGGCCCGCAAGGACGCCAAGATGGCCAAGGAGAAGCAGAAGAAGCTCTTCCGCAAGGTCAAGAAGGCCTTCCGCGAGCTCATGACGGCGGCCGCCGAGCAGGAGCTCAAGGGCGCCATCGACGTCATCAAGATGGAGGACCTGTGCGACTCGCTCGAGATGGACCAGCTGCAGGCGCTCGTGGCCGCCTGCGGCGGCTCCGTCGACAAGCTGGACGCCTCGGGCCTGGCCGCCGTCAACGACGCCCTGGCCAAGCTCTAAGTAGCCCCGCGCCTCGCACGCGTCGATGCACAGCATACAGAGTAACCGCTTCATTAACATACAACAACAAGAGACGAAGTACACATCAAACACACTTCCTACCGTCATCAATCATCCTAGTCTTTCCCGCCGAAATGGCTACATCTGCTGTTCAACGACTGGTTAAAACGAATTTTACAGCCCACCCATTGGATGAAATGGGCGCTTAGCGACTGGGCCTCGACGCTCAAGGCGCACTTCACTCTTGCTTTGCTTATCAGACAGAACTCATGGCAAGTCGAGTCCTTGGCGCTTCCTCTGTCTAATGGCCCTCTAACCACCGCTCGTGTCGTGCACGTGCGTCCTGCAGGTCCGCAAGAAACAGTTCATCAACAAGAAGTCGGCGCAGCACTTCCACGTGGTGCACCGCAGCCAGCGCGACCCCAAGGTCAACGACCCTGACGCCTCCAAGTACGTGCTGCTGTCCTCGAGCCAGCACGTGCGCTCGGACTCCGAGTCCGACTATGACGGCGATGGCGACGACGACGGCGACGACTCGGAGCTGGACAGCGACGACGAGATGCCCGACCTCATCGACACGCCCGCGGCCCAGAGCAGCAAGCCGGCGGCCAAGGCCAAGGCCAAGAAGGCCAGCAGCAGCAGCAAGGCCAAGCCCGCCTTCCCCGTGCGCAAGGTGCGCTTCGGCGGCGTGGAGGCCGAGGACCTCGTGGACGAGAACGGCCTGCCGCGCGACGGCTACGACTACTCGCAGCACATGAAGGAGATGGGGCAGGGCAAGTTCTACTCGGCCACCAGCCGCTTCGACGCGGGCGAGGAGGCCCGCGCGCTGTCCAGGAAAGTGGACCTGCCCGAGGACGCGCTGCCCAGCGCCGAGGAGCAGGACCGCCTGCTGGACGCCATCACGCTCACGACGGACGTCATGGACGAGGACCTGAGGGTGGCGCTCGTGAACGACGAGGCCTTTGAGGAGCTGGACGACAACTTCGTGGTCCAGGCCGCCGAGGAGAATGCAGACGACGCAGACGCGGACGACTTCGACTACGACGCGCACATCGCCAAGCTCATGGAGGCGGCCAGCGGCATCACCCCGCTGTACCGTGGAAACATCACGGACAGCGAGGACGAGGAGTTTAGCGACGATGAGGAGGAGTTCAGCGACGGAGAAGGCCAGCCCGAAGACGTCGAGACGCCCGACCGCGACGAGGAGCAGCGCGTGCTGGACGAGCTGTTCGAGAAGACGCTGGCGGAGGAGTACGATGACGACCAGCTGGGCGAGCTGGAGGAGGACGACCCGGAGACGCGCGGCAAGGAGACGCTGGACGGCGAGCTGCTGGCCGCAGTGGTGGAGGACTACGTGTTTGTGCAGCAGGAACTGGCCGATGCCGAGGGCAAGCTGGGCAACCCTCTTCGTGCGGGCAACCGCCTCAAACAGGTGCTGGAGGAGTGCGAGGCTGAGCGCCACGCTTACGAGTACGATGAGAACGCCGAGACGGAGGACGAAGAGGAGCCTGAGGACCCCGTGGCGCGCGCTGAGCGCGAAGAGAAGGAGCTGCAGGAGCTCTTCGAGCGCAACCAGTACCTGCAGCGCGAGGAGCGCGAGCAATGGGACTGCGAGACCATCGTGAGCACGTACTCGACGCTGGACAACCACCCGACGGTGCTGCGGGAGGAGGGCCCGACCCGGCGCAAGAAGAAGAAACAGCCCGTGATCCCCAGCATCGCCGAGGGCGTGGACATCCGCAAGCAGAAGGTGACGCTGTCGCGCAAGACGGGCATGCCGCTGGGCGTGTTCGAGACGGAGGCGCCGGTCAAGAGCAAGCCGGCCAAGCACAAGGAGCAGCAGCCCGAGACCAGTCGGAGACAGAAGGGCGAGACCAAGGAGGAGAAGCGCGCGCGCAAGGCCGCCGTCAAGATGGAGAAGATGGCCCGGCGCGCCGAGAAGAAGGAGACCAAGCTGGCGTTCAAGGAGGAAGAGGCGCGGCAGTCCACGCAGACCGTGGCCGGCCGCGTGTCCGTCTTCAAGTACTAACAAGCAGTAAGATAGCTAGCAAAAGGAGGCGCGGGGCAATAAACCGATCATGAGCATGCACAGGGCTTGTCTGTCTGCTAGAGCTCATTGCGAGACTAGCATTAATGAGCTGCTGATTTCACATCGCTTGATGCCTCTCTCTCTCTCTCTGCAGATTGAACCCGATGCTGCTGCTGCTGCTACTGCTAGCTGCCTTCAACCAAGTGCCTATCCCGCGGTTCAGCGACGTTGCTTGCTTGCAAGTCCAACGCCGCCGTCGGCGAGCATGGAGCGTCGAGCGAGCATGGAGCATGGAGTAACGGATACGGTGGCAACACCATGACGATGATGGAGGCCGACTCGGCTCGACGACAGCCTTCCAAGTGGTATTGGTCAATGTGGGTTTTCAGGTTTTCATCGTGTTTCGTTTCCTTGCTCTGCTGCTGCCTACTGTCCTACTTTACATACTGCTACGCTCCTATCCTGCTTAATTACTTGCTAACTTAATTCTCTGCCTACCTACATCCTATTACACTCACTCGAGTCAGAATGGGAACGATGATGATGGAAAAATTTGAGCCGGCGGAAGGGAGGGGGGGGTGGCTCGCTGACTTCGTCGGACGGAGAGGGGACAGACTGGGGCGGGGCAGCGTCGCTGGGGGCATAAATAATCAGCGTCACGGGCTTCGTCTATCGGTCGCATCAACCATACAGTCTAGAAGCACAGGTCCAGCCACGGCATCATGTCCTCCTCGTCGTTCAGCGGCGACAGCGGCACCTCCCAGGCACCGGGCTCCACGTTGGCAAGATCCATGAGCACCTCTTTCTCGAAGCTTACCGACTCGGCGTCCTCCTGGTTCGTCAGCACGGGCGACGGCTCCAGGCTCTGCGGCTCGTCGAACTTGAGGCAGTCCCGCGAGACGATCGCGCACTTGTTGGGGTTGATGCCGCCGCAGAGCCGGTCGTCGATCTGGCCGGGCGTGATGTTGCAGTCGTCCGTCAGAAAGTCCTGGATGTCGATGTCCAACGGCGCGGACAAGCCGCTCGACGATTTGGGCAGCGACAGACCGGCGTCCATAATGTCGCCGTACAGCAGCTCGTTCTTCATGTTGAGCGCCGACGACAGCGGGTACGCGTGGTCCATGTCCTTCTTCATCAGGCCGTCGCTCAGGTACGAGCCGCCGAGGTCCACCGAGGGCGGGCAGGCCTGGATCATGGCGGGCTTGAGTGCGGGCGACATGTTGTCCAGCGCGACGGGCTTGGCCATCGGCGAGTAGCAGGCGGCGAGGCCCAGGGGCGTCGGCGTCATCGTGGCCGTCTGCGCGCCGCTCAGCGGGGTCAGCGCTGTGTTCTGGTCGGGAGCCTTGCTGCTAGTGTTGGCCAGGGGGTCGAACCACGGGTCCTTGGCCTTGCCGGCTCCGCGGCGCTTGATGTGCACGAGCAGGTCGGGGCGGCCCTTTCGGAAGAACGAGTGCTGGTAGATCGTGAGCTGGCCCTCCTGCACGCGGTAGAAGCTGTAGAAGTTGAGCTGGCGGATCAGGCTCGAGAAGCGCCGGTGGCGGAAGTACTTGGGCAGGCAGTGCTCGGCCATCATCTTGGGGTCCACGATGCAGAACGCGCTGCCGCCTGGCAAAGAGTAGATACGACAGACACAAAGAGCAAGGTGAGTCACGATCCTTCACTTCAACCCCAGCAAGGGGCTGACCAGACAACGCACCTCTGCACCAGGACACGATCGTGGAGGGCTCCGTGTCCACCATGCGGTAGAGCTTGCTCACGAACGAGCCGGAGCTGCAGCACTCGCGGGGCACCGAGCACTTGTCGCCGAAGTGCTGCATGCTCTGCGCGCGCGGGCGGCGGTTGCCGGTGGGCGTGGCCGGCGCGATGGCGCTGCTGTTGCTGGTACTGACGAGGGACGTCGCGTCCTTCATCGCTGTGTGTTGCTGAACTGTGTTGCTGCTGCTGTGTGGGGCGTTCGTTCGAGCGCCGCTTCCTGGGCGGAAGGTGGTGGGTGTGGTGGTCGCTGCTGCTGCTGGCTGCTCTCGACGGCAAGTGTGACCTGCGGCGCGGCTGTCTTTTTGCTAACTGAGGCCAGCAAAAATTCAGAGCAGCCAGCCAGCTGGGCCCGTTCGGCCAATCGCGGCGCGCCCGCGGGTATTTTCGGCCAACCGTGGCGCGGGCCCATCTTCAATGTCACGCCCATTGGCTGAATCGACGTTGAAGCGATAGGGCGCCGCAGCCGAAAAGTAGCAATCAGCTGCGTAATCAAATCGGGGGACGCGCAGAGTACTATATGGTACAGTACTAACCCCTAAATAGTAATATGCGACTGATTTTTAGAGCCTGACAGAGTGCGACCACGGCGGAAATGGATGTGAAATGCCCAGCTGCACTTAAAGGGAACGGGAATGAATGAAGGTGGGTGCTGTATGCTACAAGACGGTAGTAGTAAGAATATTTTATTTGGCTCTGCAATAGGTATATCCTAAAGAGGATTTAGCCAAAACCATTGACAATGATTCGCTAGATAGCTACATGGTGTTTACCCGGTACTTGCTCTGGTTCACCGATCTATAACCCTTGCTGGTGGCGTGGTTACGGACGAAGAGTTCGGCGCGAGGAATTACCATGATCCAGTAGAAAAGTACTGGATCGTCCCCCAGGCCGACAGCCATTTTCTTCATACAGTAAAAAATTCTAAGTACGCCCGGCACGCCACTTGCGAACCTATCAACCATTTATGGGCTAACTTCGAGCTCTCGGTTTATTTGCGGGACACCTGAAATAGATACGTGGGAGGTAAGATTTCGAAGGCTAGTGCTAAATAAAAACCAAGTAGACTTGAATAATAAATAATTCTCTAAAGGGTGATTCACAGCTATATTCTGCTGCATTGTGCAAATGTCCAAGTCAAGAGCAAGAAACCCTCCAAACTACGGCTCTGCTCGCTTTTCACTCGACGTGTCTGATCTCGAAGCTGCCAAGGAGTTGGGACTACTCAGGGACGATGTTGCAGTCGAGTCGACGAACCCGACAAGCTCAACGTATGGCTTGGCCTACCAGCTCTGAGAGAATATTGCCAATCCAGTCTTTTCTTCACAAAAAGCAGTCCACAGCAAGCGCAAAGATTTGGCTGTGACGTGCGGCTTCCAGATTTTTGTGAAGCAGACCAGTGTGACGGCCGACAACTCCGGTAATGCGAAATTTGCGTGCAAGGCGCTCAATGGAACGCAATATTTCGACCGGACTACACCAGCTGCCCAACTCACGTGTCCGTTTTTCGTGAGTGTTCACGGGAAATCGGGGAAGTGGAAGATAACCCAGGCAAATTTTGCGCACAATCACCTCAAGTTCGTTGGTAGTGCCAAGGCCCCTTGTGTTGAAGGGTCCATCCCGTTGCCGCCCAAGCCCATGCGGAATACCACCCAGCAGATAAGCAAGCTGACAGCGATTGTCGAGACCGAGATGCTTCCCGCCCACGATGGATCTACGGCTTCTATGTCAGGCGCCGCTATCAGGAATTTTCTGAAATCGAAAGGAGGGGACGTAAGCGCTACGTCGGTGGTCAGAATGAAGCAGAAAATTGACGACAAAATTCACGGCGACTTGGTAGAAAGTTACCAAAAACTGCGGGCGTACTTCGAGCTGATGGCGCACAAGAACCCCGGATCGGTTTGGAGAGTGGAAACTGCCGCGGACGGATCGTCGTTTGGTCGAGCGTGCTTCATCCCTAACGCTGGTATTCACATTGCCCAGAACTGCAAAAAGATGGTCGGCTTTGACGGGGTCCACCTTAAAGAGGAAATGCACGAACAGGGCATTTATCTGGTAGCTACCGTGAAAGACTACAACAACCACATCGTTCCAGTTGGACTCGCGCTGGTTTCACAAGAGGACAAGGCCAATTGGATTTGGTTCCTGGGAGCATTCAAGGAGGCAGTTGACTGGGAAAAGTTCACGATATTGTCGGATAGACAAAAAGGTCTGCTTCCAGCTGTCGCGGCAATTTTCCCAAACGCTGGCCATCGATACTGCCTGCGGCATATCATGGACAACATTAACAGGAAATGTTCCAGGTTGTTCCAGGAAGACCGTGCGTGGGTATGCCGAATGGCACGCAGCGACTGTGAAAATGACTATAAGCTGTATCGAAGTGAACTCGCCGTGAACAACCCTGCCGCTGCGAATTTTCTGGACGGAATCGAACGTGCTCACTGGGTGAAGTACAGTTTCCAAGAAAAGTTTAATCTCCCGACTTTCGACGAAATACCCTCAAATTTGTCAGAGCAAGCGAACAACTGGATGGGTAAAGAGCTTCGGACCGCCAAACCCTTGGACGGATTCCACTTGTACTTCTTGAAGCTGAGTCTACTGATGTCCAAAAGGCGACAATTGATTGTAACGTGGACAAAATCTGGCGCACTCTCGGATTTAGTCCCCAAGTTGTTAGAGCGACGTACAGACCGCCAATCTGCAGCTGATATCTGCGAGTTTACACCCCTTCTCAAGGGTGCGTACAGCGTCTTGTTCAAGGGCCCTGTTGCCATACCAGGATATGTGCACCTAGACCGGGTAGTGGATTTGCCAGCGCTGGAGTGCACGTGCGGCAATTGGCAAGACCAAATGTTCCGTTGTGTCCACGCAATTTGCGCTGCTTCAAAGGATGGCCGACGAATCGAAGACTTGTATGACGCCAAGCGTATGTCGATCGAGCACTTCCGCGGTACGTACACATTCAAATTTCTCCCTTGGCCGACAACAGCAACCTTACAGCGGGACGACACTATTCTTCCTCCACAACTTGAACCCACTCCTGAACGGATTGGTAAAAGAGGGTTGAAGCCGGGGAAGAGGCCACAACACAAGCGAAAGATTGTGAAAAACCCGCTGTAGGGACAAGAATAAGCTTCGTCGGGCAAAGCCAATTTATACTTTATCGATCTGTATTTTTGACAAACAACACTTCATAATTAATAGATATTGTGCTTTCCGACAATTCTAACCAAATATGCAAGTGTTGCTGAGTCATATTTGGGTAAGGTATATTAAAAATCTAAACCGATAGATCTCTAGTGTTGTGCTCTAAAAACACGCGAGTAAAATATTTCGTGAAAATCTCTTAAACTCTAGAAGGAGTAGGAACTCTACGAATGTACCACTCCATGGTACACCCTTTTTGTATAATTTAAGCTGCAATGGTGCAATATGCTACCTTGATCTGCAATCTGAATTTTGCAATTTAACTACGTTAAATTTAGCCAAATCACAACCTGACCTCCGGGCTGAAGTCTACTGTATTTATTTTAAGGCAACACTTAGAATAGAAATAGACTGCGAACTACATTTTCAGCGCTTCGGCAAGCCCCATTCTGCTTTGTGCTCAATGCCACGCCTTAACCCACGACAGCGCCACGCCCGGAACATCCAGCGCCGCCTGGACGGCTCGTTTTACCGTCTCGGACTGAATCCCGGTATTTCCGCTCATGACGTCAGCGACGAAGACACCGACGAGCAGGAAGATGAAGAATCATCAGTCGGGGGTGGACTCCGAGAAGAACGACGTAGGGGTGGTGGCCTCTTCGCAAGCAATCGAAGGGCCCAGAGAGGCGTGGATGGGCAGCTATATGAGGTAGAGCGAATATACGCGAAAAGGTGGATTAACGTAAGAGTATATTATCTCATTCAATGGGTTGGGTACCGGGAGCTTACATGGGAACCGGGAAGCCACGTTCCGATGCGCCTGAAGCTACGGTTCGAACGCGAATCGATCGACTTCATCTGGGTCTACCAATCGACAAGAGGGAGACGTCGGACTCGCCATCGACGACCGACACGACGCAGCGCAAGGATCCAGTCTCGCAGAAGTAGGTAGATACGTCTTGATAAATACGCATCACGAACTTAGCAAATACTGTGACAGTAGTTTGTTTTTCGGTCGGCCTGGGGGGCGATCCAGTACTTTTCTACTGGATCATGGTAATCCCTCGTTCGGCGCCATACTGTGCTATTTATAAATTAGCAAGCAAGCAGCTGGGTTGGTTAGGCTTGAAGCCTCGCTTCAAGTGCCAATCTACCGTAGCAGTGTATCTACGATGTTGAGGTCGTCCGAGCAGACAAACCATTTCAGCGGCGATGCCTTTGACTACCAGTACAACAAGAGCTATGCATGTTTGACCTGATAAAAGATGTGGTATACTATTACATTGAATAGGACGGTAATACTTGGACAGTGTTGATTTGACGTCACTGCACTGCACGAGCAGATTAGCAGAGGACGGATGTGCTTCAGCCCTCGCTTCAACTCCTCGCCCACTAAGTGCTTCTTACCGCTTTTTCGCGCTCGAAACAGACAAACCGTGGTGGTGGAAGCGATTCCCCTCCTTTGTCATCTCCACAGTACTATAGTAGTATACTATGATAGTATACTAGTGCCCGCCGGCGTGTGCGACATGTGCGACATATCATAGGTCTGGCACGCGAGGATTGGCCCAAAACAGGTCGCAGATTGGCCAATCAGTGGCGTACCTTCACTTTCGGCGCCCTTTCCCAGCAGGCCCATACAAACACGCCGTGTAAACCAGCATTCAGCGAAAATCTCGATCTTCCGACCTTTTTGCAACTTTTGCATCTCTTGTTGCACTTTTTGAGGATGCACCAGATGGCTTAACAAGCAAAGCTTGTCGGCTGAGCGCCCTGCCACCAAGTCCAGCAGCGTCTGGACGCGCGGCGGCTGAGGCAGCCACCCAGCGCGGGGTAAATCGGTCCTCATATCTCCCTCGCGCGCGGCCTGGCCGGCCCAATCTGCGGCCTTGGCTGGTGGGCAGGTGATCGCGCTAAACTACTGGGCCCCAGTATGGGTCGTCGGAGACGGTAAAGACATGGCGACTGCTTGGCCCGGGGGGATGCGCCCGAATTCGGTGTGGTACTGCGTGCCTTTTGTGACTGTATCCGATCATGAGCCAATGAGAGGAGAGTTTCTGGGATTTCTCCGGTGGCGGTAGCCCGCACAAAGGTGCGAAAAGTGTAGGTCGAAGCGGATCCAAGTTGAAGCCGCCGTGTTGGGCTCCCCGAGATCGGTCGAGCTTCGGCGAGTCTTGCAGCGCTTTGCCAAGCTTGGCGCCGCTGCTCTCGCATGCTCTCTTGGCTTGCGATGCTGCAGCAAGCAGCCCCACCAATAATTTCAGGGAAACGCTCGGGCGTTTCCACCGCGGGCGTGAGCATGGGGTGACGACAAATTTCACTGGTGCTGAGAGTGAGCAATGCACACGGAATGCAAACAGAGGAGGACCACGCGAATTTAACACGCAGTTACTGTGGCGTTTTTTCAGCAGCTGGGCCGGAGAGTGCCGTTGCTACTGCTCTTTGCACTGCTGCTGCTGCTGCTCTTGCTGGACAGCAAATAGGCTCAAAACCGAGAGCGCAGCGAGCCAAGAGCTCGCTGCAAAGCGACTTCTGTATACTTTATCATGCCCTTGTCGTGCAGGTACGGCGGCGTCGCTGCCTGAATCAACACTGTGTACTTGTCGTTTTGCTGCGACGTACTAACATCGATTTCTCCGCGCGACCACTTCAACGAGTTAGGCGCAAAACTAGCAAAAAGTATCTTTTCGGTGCCTCGTCTCACTAAAACAAATGGCTATTGCTGGCCCTGCTCGGCGAGCTCCTTGGCCAGCGCCACGTAGTCCACGTCTTTCCTCGCGCGCTTGCTCCTGGGCCGCACGAGGGGCTCTGCAGCGTCGGCCTTGGCGCGCTTCTTCGCTTGCAGCATCGTCACGGCTGGGGTCGCTGCCGGGGCGAGGTACTTAGCCAGCAGCGCCTGCTCGTGCTTGGCCTCTTTCGCGATCTCCTCCTCGTCCCAGGGCTCCTGCGCCGGGTTGATGAGCGCCCGCGTATGCGCCGCGACACTGCGCGCGAAGGGCGAGACCATGCGGCCGTGGAAATTGTAGCCGCCTTCCAGCACCGAGATCAGCCGGCCGTCGCAGCACGTGTTAGCGATCTGCTTTACGTGGCCCACGAGCCACTCGTAGTCCTGCTCCAGCAGCGAAACGTACCCCCAGTTCACGAGCTCCTTCTTGTGGGCGTCGAAGCCGGCCGACAGGAAAATGAGGTCCGGGTTGAATTCACGCAACTTGGGCAAGATGCGATCCCGGAGCGCGCTGCGCCATTTCAGGCGCGAGGCGGAGGACCCCTCGCGGCAGAATTCCAAGCCTTCGTCCCAAATGACAGGAGATTCTTTCACGCTTGAGACGCCCGAGCCAGGATAGAACCACCCCTGAACTTGACCCTTTGCCAGCTCCTCCTTGTTCTCGGGGTCCTTGTGCCCGTAGCCGTGCACAGAGCAAAAGAAAACGTTCTCCGCGTCGTCGTCATTGCGCCAGGGTTTGTACTGGTGGACAACCTGCTTCCCTGTGCCGTAAGGTGTCTCGAAGGCGATCTCTTTCGTGGATGGCACAAGCTGCCGGACGATCTCCTCCGTGCCGTTGCCATGGTGCACATCGAAATCCAGAATGGCCACCTTGTTGACCCCGCGATGCTTCAGGTGCGCGCGAGCATACGCTGCGCCAACGGCAACGTTGTTGAATAGACAGAAGCCGAGGCTCCCCTCTGGGTCGTTCTCACACACGACCTTGCCCACCGGCCCGGCATGATGCCCTGGTGGTCGTACGATACAGAACGCATTCCTGCACTTGCCCGCCACGACCTCGTCTACCGCCTTGCACACTGCTCCGGCAGCACGGGCGGCCGCGTCATATGAACGGACCGACAAAGCCGTATCCAAATCTAACGAGAACGTGGCGTGGCACTCCTCAACATCGTCGCCACCATCATTAGGCGCGCGCTTCGGCTGGCCCGGAAACTGGTGGTGGCCTGTACCGTCGTTCTTAGACACGACCGGTGTCTTGCCCACTACGGACGCAGCAAGAGGCGCGCACTTCTGGCGCAGGCGATTGACGTAGTGGAATTCGTGCACGCGCAGAATGTCGGCGATGTCTGCGCGCTCGATTTCATGGTCCCACTTCACATTCGGTCGCTGGAACTCACGAGACCACAGGATACCGAACACCGGATCCACGAGCGTGTCGATTCGCTCGGGGTTTTCGGGTGGGGGGTCTGGCCCGCCTCGACGATGATAAGCCATGGGCAAATGCCGCCACACCTCAGGGTGGAAAAAGAACCGAGTCTGGTCTCCTTGTGCCACGTCCACTGGGTGATCGGCAGCCTCTTCGACGCCTTTCCCTTCTTCTGCTGCAAGCAAACGTGCCTCAAGCGCAGCGAAGCCGCACCTGCGAGCAACGTGGGCTGCCGTGCACCCATGCGAGTCCTCGAGCGAGAAGTTGGCTGCTCCACTTCGAGGAGAATTGCGCAGAATCTCCACGCCTTCAGCGAACTCTGCAAGTGCCGCAATATGCGCCGGCGTCTGCTGCAGAGGCGTCACCGGGTTCACGTTCACGCAATACTCGTTCACCAGCCTCCTGGCGGCGCCAGCAGCTCGGTACTTCATGGCCTCGTGCAGCGGCCGGAATCCCACCTTGCTGCCCTTCTCCAGCAGCGTCTCGAGTGCAAGCGGCTTCTTCTTCCTGGCCCCATCAGGCTCAGGAGCACTCTTGTCTTCCGCTTCCAAGGCAGACAACTGCCGCTTGTAGAACGCCGCCAGCACGTCCAGACACTTGACGAGGTCGTAGCGTGCGCACAGGTGGAAGACCGTGTTGCCCTCCTCGTCCCTCGCCGCCACCTTCTCGAACAGCAGCGCGCGCACGTCCTCGCCGTAGAAATCCTGACCAGTCGCCTCCTGCTCCCTCTTGGCGAACAGCTCGTCGATCAGAGCCTCGCTGAACGCGGCGTTGATGGCCCCGACCCGCAGCACCAGGTGCAGGAAGGGCGTGCCGAAGTCGCCGCCCTTCAGCCGCAGCATGGCGCTCGTGAGCGCCGGCGAGTAGCGCAGCAGGTGCAGCGCGCAGTCCGTCTGCTGGTGGATCGCGGCCACGTGCAGGGGCAGGAAACCCATGTCGTCCTTCTCCAGCAGACTCGTCTCGCTCGACAGCACGCTCAGGCGCGGCGGCGGCTCCGCGCACTCGGACGGCAGCGGCAGCAGCGAGCGCAGCCGGTCCACGCGGCCCTGCTCCGCCAGGTTGTGCAGCAGGTACGCGTCCTCCTCCTCGTCGTTGTAGTCGCCGTCCTCGTCCGGGGCCGCCGCGTACGGCGGAGCCGCAGCTTCTGCTTGGGAGCTCTCGGCCATTTGGTCGCAATTGGGAATTTGACGAAAATGCGCCAATGAGCGGGCGCGAAAGGACCGGACACTCGCTTCAACGTCGCGAGCGGCAACTTGCCCCCGCGCTCGGAGTTGGTTCTGAGTGGAGCAGCAAAGACACCTCAGCGGCGAGTATTACATTGGAGTTAGCTCATGGGAGCAGCTTACGCAGCCTTGTTGTGGTGCAAAGGGCAAAGGGGGGGGGGGGGGGGGAAGTATGTCAGCAGTGAACTCGTGCGTCGCGATGGCAGCGGTAGCTGGTTTACAGTAACAATGCGGCGTTGCTCTACTGCACTAGCTGCGATGACCTTGCTCTACGATAGTGAGGTAAGCTTACAGCGGCAGCAGTTTGCTCGTTGCTGCACCGAGTATGTACTGACCAAGACGAGATGTGATTGGTCGTGCACTTCAACATGTATCATAACGGATGAAGGCTTGCCACGCTCAATCTCGATGTATTACGCGGAACATGCAGCAGCGATATAAGTTGTCTGCTCAATGATTCCTTGGCGTCGGGGGCGAAGCTCAAATTCGACACCCTACTGTGTGTGCCCAAGCTAGTCAAGCACTAACGTACCAAGATTGCTGGCAAGAACAATACATCAAACCCCTCGGAAGTGGCATCAAGTCCCCAGGAACAACGTTCACCATACGGATCAGGCAGCTACTAATGTATGCATGCCCGGGGCTCTCGATGGTCAGTGGTTAACATGGGCAGAGGTTCTCTTCACCAGTACCATGCCTCTCGTACTCAAGCAACTCGTTGAACAGGGCGAGGTCACACCACGGAAACTAAAAAGGCACCACCAGACGAAACGAAAAGGATCCTGTATCCACGGTCACAGCCTGCGATCACTTCCCACCTCCTGGTCTCCCTGCGAGTTGCAGGGAGACCAGGAGGTGGGAAGTGATCGGTCAGCAGGCTTGGCTCGTGGATGTTTTAGTGCGCAAGTTGCAGCTCGAACTGGGGTACAGTATCCACTTGACATGACTGCTCACTACACATTTTAATTATTGCTGGCCGCGTCGCAGCAGTGTCGGCGGCCGACGAGTTCGTGCCCACGACAGGTTAGCCACTTGGACTTGGTGGGCTGTCGTCGCGCAGGCTCGAATTTGCTGGCGTTGCTGGCATTTTGTTGTTGCTAATGCTGAGGCTGCGGGCCATTTAGACACAGCACCTTGAGTACATCACAAGAGTCGAGCATGTAAGGTTACAGGTTGACGGACGACGTTTGCCCGCCATGATCACGCTCCGAGGCGCGGCGGCAGCACTGAGCGGGAGTCATCGTGTCGACCATTATATGCGCGCTCGGCGTCCTGGTCCGCTGGATCTTCGGCAGGCAGGCTTCTTGTCGCAAGGAGCAACGTGCCGATCCTGATACACGAGCGGGCCCCAGCTCAATGCCGAGTCGGCATTGCCGACACCAAGCATGTCCTGCTCAACGCAGTAAAATGCAAAATGGGCCTGGAAGCTAGTCCCCAGCGGCTGCATTAATTCGAGTGTGCTAAGTGGCGACGTGCTGCTGCGGTGGTGAGCCACGCACGCGGTTGAAGTGCCTGCAGGCTGCAGGTCGCACGCACGCAAATACCCGATACTTAAGTACATTATAATCTCCAACGCATACTTATTATCTCGTTGATAATCTCCATTTTAATCCATCCAGCTCTTAATTAAAACCTAGGTATGATTTTTATATTTCGCCAGTGCAGGTCTGAGTTTTCGGGCCTAAAAGCGGCCTCCACCAAAGCACAAGGCTAAAACAGCCCTCGCCTATCTCGTGTCCACTCCTATTAAGATCCAGGCGTGGTCGATTTTAGAGGGCAAACCATTTGCAAGGGCAGGATTTTCGAGGAGAGCTCGGGAACGCAAATCCAGCAGCTGGTGTGGGTGACGGTACAGTGTACCGCTCTTTCGAGCGGGCGACGCCCGTTTTTCTGACGGGCATTTAGGAAGGCAGAGAGAAGACCGGACGCTCGCTCAGCCGGCGCCGTCGCCACTTGCTCCTTCCATCCACCGGCGCCCTCGCTCGCGCCGTGGCCCCTTCCTCCATTCATGGACGTGGGCGCGCCGCAGCACCAGGACGCGTACCACCAGCTGCAGACGTCGCGCGCGCAGCCCCCGCCCGCCAGCTCCGTGCACACCGGCAACACGCTCGGCAGCGCCGCCAACACCGCGTCCGCCTCGGCGCCGCTCGACACCAGCTCCCGCAACACAGCGGCCATGGCGCTGCGAGGCCCGCCCGACCCGGCCGTGGCCAGCAAGCGCGAGGCCGAGTCGGCCGACTTCCGCGTCGTGACGCTGCCGGCCACGCACCGGCAGCAGGCCGGCCCCGAGGGGGCCAACGCGCCGACCGAGTTCTGCTCCAACGTGGTGATCACGTCCAAGTACACGACGTGGAACTTCCTGCCGCTCTTCATGCTCGAGAGCTTCCGCAAGCTGGCCAACGCCTACTTCCTGCTCGTGTCCATCCTGCAGTGCATCCGCAGCATCAGTAACACCAACGGCCTGCCCTCCAACCTGCCCGTGCTCGTGTTCATCCTGGCCGTGGACGGCGTGCTGGCCATCATCGAGGACCGCCGGCGCCACCTGGCCGACAAGGAGGCCAACTCGGCCCAGTGCCACGTGCTCAAGGAGACGTTCACCGGCACCAGCGACGCGCTCAACCGCGCCGGCGGCGTGGACGACCCGGACATCGCGCTCATGCACTGGGCCGCGCTCACCGTCGGCTCCGTGGTCAAGCTGCACAACCGAGAGACGGCCCCCGCCGACCTGCTCATCCTGGCCGTGGCCGAGCCCAACCCCAGCGAACCGGCCGGCATCTGCTACGTGGAGACCAAGAGTCTGGACGGCGAGACCAACCTCAAGCTGCGTCACGCCTGCGACGCCACGTTGCACGTGCGCACTGCGGCGCAGGTGGCGGCACTCGACGGCCAGCTGCGCTGTGAAAACCCCAACAAGGCCATCGGCCGCTTCGACGGCACGCTGTCCGTCACAGAAGGCTCGAAAGCCGCCGACTCGCACCCGCAGCCCATCGCTATCAAGAACGTCCTGCTGCGTGGCTGCCAACTGCGCAACACGGACTGGATCTACGGACTCGTGGTGAACACGGGCCCGGACACGAAGATCATGCAGAGCGCCACGGCCACGCGGCCCAAGTGGAGCTCCATCAACGAGACGGTGAACAAGATGATCATCTGGCTGTTCCTGCTGCTCTGTTTCCTGTGCATCATCGCCACGACCGTGCAGGTGATCTGGCTCAACAGCAACATCGAGGAGAGCTGGTACCTGGACTGGTCGCCCAGCATGACGAGCCAGTGGTTCATCGGTTTCGGCTACTACTTCCTGCTCATGTACCAGATGATCCCCGTGTCGCTGTACGTGACCATTTCCATGGTCATGTTCATCCAGGCCATTTTCATGACGTGGGACCTCGACATGTACTACGAGGAAGCGGATGTGCGCATGATCGTGCGTTCCATGGGACTGAATGAGGAACTGGGCCAGATTTCGTATGTGTTTAGCGACAAGACGGGTACGCTCACGTGCAACGTCATGGAATTCCGTAAGTGCTCCATCAACGGCGTGTCCTATGGCACGGGCACGACGGAGATTGGCCGCGCTGCGCTGCGCCGTAAGGGTGTGATAGTGCCAGCAGAGACGGAGCCGGACCCGGCCTCACGCCGCGCCAAGATCCCCTACGTCAACTTTGAGGACCCGCGGTTGTTTAACATTCTGGAACGGCCTATCAATGACGACACGCCGAACCGTGAGGCCGAGTTTTTCCTGCACCTGAGTCTGTGCCAGACTGTGATCCCGGAGACGGTGGAGGGCAGCTCGGAGGTGCGTTTCTCGGCCTCTTCACCCGATGAGCAGGCGCTGGTGTCGGGAGCCAAGTTCATGGGCTTCAGTTTCGAGTCTCGCGGTCTGGGTGTTGCTCGTGTCCGCGTAAAGCGTCCGGAGCTTGTTCGCCGCTACGCTAACGGTGCGACAGGCTCCAACGTACTGCTCGAGTTCAAGATTCTGGATGTGTTGGAGTTCACGAGCGACCGTAAGCGCATGTCGGTCGTGGTGCAGTACCCCAACGGTGAGTACTGGGTGCTCACTAAGGGCGCTGACAACATCATTTACCCCATGCTGGCGAAGGACAAGAGCGACCCCGAAATGATGAAGGACACGATGCGTCATTTGGAGACGTTCGGCGACGATGGTTTGCGTACGCTCACAATCGCCCAGCGGCGTGTGGACGAGAAGGAGTACCTCAACTGGAGCGCGCGCTTTAAGGAGGCCAATTCGTCGCTGGAAGAGATTGACAAGCGCAAGAACGGACTGCCCAATGAGATCGACAAGCTGATGACGGAAATCGAGCGTGATCTGGAGCTGCTGGGTGCGACGGCTATTGAGGACAAACTACAGAATAATGTGCCCAGCTGCATTGCCAACCTGATGCGTGCTGGCATGCGCGTCTGGATGCTCACCGGTGACAAGCAGGAGACTGCCATCAACATTTCCTACGCCTGCCAGCTTATGGACAATGACATGCAGCAGTTTATCTTCAACTGCGATCTGTATCCCACAAAGGATGCTATCTATTCGCACTTGACGGATGCGAACGCGCAGGTACAGCGGGGCAGTGGTCGCCACGCTGTTGTGATCGACGGCGAATGTTTGGAGTTGACACTTGCAGATGAGCGATGCCAGAGCGAATTCCTGTCGCTGGCCATGGCCTGTGAAGCCGTAGTGTGTTGCCGTGTGTCTCCTAGTCAGAAGGCTGAAATGGTGACGTTGGTTCGCACTGCTAACAAGAAGGTGCGGACGTTGGCGATTGGAGACGGTGCAAACGATGTGGCTATGATCCAGCGCGCACACGTTGGTGTCGGTATCTCGGGACAGGAAGGCATGCAGGCTGTGAACTCGAGTGACTACGCTATCGGCCAGTTCTACTTCCTGGAGAAGCTGCTGCTGCACCACGGCCGCTTGAATTACAAGCGCATGTCGATTCTCGCGGGCTACATGTTCTACAAGAATATCGTAATGGTGCTGGCGCAGTACTTCTATATGTTCTGCACGGGATCTTCAGGCCAGAAGTTCTACGGTGAGTTGGGTTTCCAGCTGTACAACATTTGCTACACTTCGCTGCCCATCATTGTGCTTGGAGTTTTCGACTACGATGTGCCTTTCGAAGTCAGCAAGCACTTCCCCGAACTGTACCTGGTTGGCCCGCGCATGGAGTTGTTCAACAACTACACCTTCTTCAAGTGGATCTGTAGCGCCGTGTACGAGTCGGCGGTTATCTTTGTGTTCGTGGTGTACGCGTTCAACGAAAACCTTTCGAACGCCGGCAGCGCACCCATGGTGCAGTACGGATTGCTGGCATTCACGATGGTGGTATTGGTGGCAAACATCAAGCTGTGCTTGCTGCAGATGTCCTGGAGCGTCTACGGTGCCGCGTGTTGGTTCGTTGGTGTCATCGCGTATCTCCCGCTCACGCCCATCATCTCGAGCTACTGGATTTCCATGTTCACGACGGAGTACGGCAGCTTCCAGAACACTTTGGGGCAGGAGACGTACTGGCTGGTACTTCCGATCTGTCTGGCCGTCTCGCTGCTTCGTCACTTTACGTGGACGGCTGTCTGCCGCCGGTTCTACCCGCAGCCGTGGCAGATTGTTCAGGAGCAACACGTGCTTCACCAAGGCAAGAGCCAGTATGACCAGCGCCCCACGTCTCGCATCGACATGGAAGCTGGCATCCCCGTTGTCAACGGCATGGCTGACACCGCCTACATCAACTCGTCATCTCCAAGCCACGGCTACCATGCGGTAAGCGTTGCTCTCTCTAAATATTTCGCTCACTCAATCATGGCCTCTGACATTGTTCTTTGACATTTAACAGCAACACTCGAACGAGTATGCACAGGCACAGGCTCAGTTCGCTGGCAAGACACGAGGATCTGGCAGCGGATTCGCCTTCAGCTACGACCCACAGACGTCTCTGGCCGAGTCGTACATGTCGACGCACGACGTTCGTCAATCCGCTTCAGCCATGCACGAGGCTGAACACCGCGGCAGGAGGTCTCGCGAAGACTCACGAGCGTCCGACTACGAGTCGTCTCGCTCGGCGGCTGTCGTGGACTCGACGAAGGGCTCCTCGTCTACGGGGCTATTCGTCTAGCTGCAGCAGCCAGAAGGTTTAGTTACACTATCATCACCGACGTGCGTACACTCTACATACAGAGGAGCTCCGCGACGCCAAGATCAAGCAAGCTCAGGGTGTGAAGCCGAAGATCCGATCGTCGTGATTGCTCGAGATTTTACTTTTGTTTTTGCGTGTTTTAAGCAGCTTCAGGATTGGGGTCGTAAGGAAGTTGGAGAGCCGTTTAGAGAAGCAGGCGGCCTGCGCTGTCGACGGCAGGGCATGCACATATCAACAGCGACTAGCGAGTCTAATGATCGTCTTCACAAAGGTCTCGAATTCTCCTGCAACCATTAAATCTATCTACTTCAATGCTACCACAGCGCCATCACGACAGCGCCTACAAGCAGTGTGGCTGTTGCTGAAGTTACTGCCGAGTCATGCGAGACGGCAGCGCTTGACTCGGCAGTCACGTTCGGCGGCACCGTGTTGATCGAGTTGATGGCGGAGGTGCCATCGCTCTCCTTCCCAGACCCGGCCTGGCTGGCATGCGGCGGCTCGTAGTTCCAGTCCACGAGCGACGCCGGACGCGAGAAGCTGCAGCCGTCCGCGTATTTCATCGACACGTGGAGACACGCATCGGAGAAGGAGGCGCTCATAGCGTCCACGATGGAGCTGGGCAGGAAGTCCTGGACCACTGGGAACACATCAGAGCCGCTGACGCACTTGCCAGCTCCGAAGAGAGACTGGAGGTCGACGCCGTACGACTCGGAGCTGTTGGCAGCAAGCGGTAGACCGTTGACCCACGTCGCAATGCGGTCCAGCGCCACCACGCAGCCGCTGGCCGTGTACTGGTCGCTCGACACTGTGGCCACTGCGTTGCCGTCCGAGTCTTCGTAGGCCTCTCCCTCGGCCTTGAGGCAGGCCTGGTCTGTGGGCACGCGCAGATCTTCCAGCAGCGCTGTAGCGCGGTCTGTAGACGTGGTGTTGGCCAGCTCGCCCGCGCTCTGCAGGAACGTATAGCCGCAGCGCTGCGAGCTCGTGCCATTAAACGCCGGCGTCTGCGTGGCGCAGAAGACGTCGCCCAGGAGCTGCGCCATCTTGGAGTACTGGCCCGTGATCGTGTAGTCAAAAAGCGAGACGCTCTCGGTCTCCCACGCGGCGCAGCAGCCGCCGGCCGACGTGGAGCGCAACGTGGCCAGCGACGGCAGCAGCTGCGACCGCAGACACGGCACGAAGCCGTCCACGTACAGCGAGCACATCTGCTCCACTTCCCCCTCGTCCACGAGCCCCAGGCCTTCGATGAAGGTGTCCAAGGCGCCGTTCTCGTTGTCGCTGGTGCTCAGCGACACGGACAAGTTGCCGAGCGCGTTCTGCACCAGCGGCACGTTGAGCATGGCCAGCGCGTTGGCGCACGTGTCGACGGCCGTGCTGGCGGCCAGCACCTCGCCCAGCGCCGTGCCGTTCATGTTGGCCAGGCACGAGCTGCCGGCGTCCGAGATGAGGAACTTGCTGGCCGCCGAGTGGCCCAGCAGCCCCACGAGCAGGTCGGCCCACTGGTCTCCGATGACGGCGCGCAGGGGCTCGAGCACGGGCGGCGAGCTGTCCGAGAGCGTGGAGGAGCACGCGGAGACGAGACGCGTTTCGGCCGAGACGCCGCGGGGCAGCGCGAGCGACAGCAGAGCCGCTGGCAGCAGCGCCGCCGTCCGCATGGCTCGAATTGAAGAGGCAGTCGGCCGATTAGTGCCTGCGACTGGAGATCAGCAGATGGAGTGACTTGCAAGTCAAGCGTGACGCAAAGAGTTCAGCACGCACGAACCTAAGTCAAACTTAAGCGATACTTAGAGCGCACATAAGACGAACATCGAAAAGTAGTCGGACCAACGTTAGGATATGATTGCTACATTCAACACTTAACACTTCCTTCAACGTTGATCTGCAGCTCAATAGCCGTTTGGACAAGACCTCATGAAGCAGATAAACACTAGGCGCTAATATATTATGGCACTTCGTGTGCGGCAAACCACTGCAGCTGGTGGATCGCTTGTTATTTACGATCCTGCAGTTTAAGACCGCCTGGAGGCCGTTGCTTCTCCAAGCGAGTTCTTCGCTCATGGATCTAGAAATGTCAACCGATTGATGGCTCTGTACTAGTCTTCAAGAACCGTTCGCCTCCCGGGCAGCGAAAGATCTGCTCGCGGCCATTTCGGAATCGCGCGAGCTCTCCATCAATCACCCGAAGACAGCCAACGACCAGGTTGCTGAGACCATGGAGGAAGGTCAGTTGCCGTCATCTTCGTCCTCTCGCCCTCCGGCGGGTATCGTGTGCTACCTGCCGAATGGAGATTTCTACGTACAAGCCTGTCCTCCGGGCGGCATCTTGTGTCCGAAGCCGCGCGTGTCGCCGGGTCTGGACGCTGCTGCAGCGGAGCACCGGAATGGCTCTGGCCTGCTGGATGCCGTTGATCTCATGGACTCAAGCGACGACGAAGAAGACGGCGACAACGATGATGACGAAGATCTCCCAGAGGCGACAGCTAACGCGCAACTCGACGGCTCAGCGCTGCTGGATGCAGTGGACGCGATTGACTCGGATGACAACGTTGAAGAGATCGCCGATACCTCTGGGCGCCAAGAGATCACATCGCCGTCGCGACTGCAGGACGCGGTGGAATCGGACGATGAAGAGCAGCTCAAAGCGCGGAGCAATCCTCCAGGACGGACGACGACGTTCATGTCGGGGGCAGCGCTGGACTTGTGCCCGACCGTGGACTTGACGAACTTGTCCGACACAGATTCGTCTTCCTCTTCTTGCTTTTCTTCTTCCGAGGAAGAAGACGAGTCTGGCGACAGCGATAGCGATGTGGACTTCGAAGCTGACGGAGAGGGATCTGACGACGAGTTGGTTGACAAGCGCACGGCCGCGGTGAGCGCTCCTCGCTTGTCGTCGTGGGAGAGCGACTACTTACCCGTGAGCCAGGTAGACGCCATCATCCGCTCGAACATGGCGGAGATCGAGGCCAAGAAGCCCTGGCGGTTCGTGTTCCGCTGCCTTGAAATCCCCTTTCAGTTCAAGCGGCGAGACGACCCGTTCGACCTCTTCTTCCTGCGCTGGGACGAGTTCTGGCGCGTGCACGGTCGAGCCGTGTGGGAGCGCGATTTCTGGCAGCCATTGGTGCCCGGGTCGACCGAGTATCACCGCCGAAAGGGGCGCCAGTTCCGGGCTCAACGCGCTTTCCGAGAGCTGGCAACGGACCTGGAGGAGCGACTTGGGAGGCACTTCCGCCCGTGGCTCGCCAAGACGCCGCACGATGGCTGGTGGTATCGCGTCAAGCCGTTTGCGCTGCGCAGGTTGTTCCTCAAGAGCCGCCGCATGTATGCCGGGTACTTGGAGGATCGAGTGAAGGACCGCTGGCCCCGAGGTCGAAGGTTCCTGGTCGATGGAGGACTCAAGCCGATGTGGTGGCTTTCCGACTTCGGTGCATCTGCAACAGACGAGTTGTAGCTGCAAGTCGGCACGCTATGACAGCGAAGGTCTTAGCCGAGAGAGATACTAACTTACATGTACTACCGCATTCTGCGAGAAAAAAATAAGTTAATCAGCAAGTTGTCGGTCGAATGAAGCGAATAGTTTTCAATCGTATTGTTGGTATGCTAGCGGTCTACAGCAATACAATGAGCCAAGACGAACACCACACGAAGTGATAGAACCAAGTTGCGTGTTTGACCACTAGCTTAAGACTTAATAATGCAGAGACACACCGCTTCCCATTACAGCGGTCGAAAGGGACGCCCCCTTAGTTGGGCGTTTGGACGGCCTCGAAAGCGAGGGACTTCTCCGTGCGGTCGTCGTCGTCATACAACTCGACGTTCTTGCCGCGGGGCTCGTAGCCGAAGAAGAGCACAATGGCCGAGATGACCATGAGCAGGCCACCAAAGACCCACATGATGGCCTCGAGCGACACGTTCCAGTCGCCGAACATGGACGCACACAGGTACGGGCCGCTGAAGGACCCGATGCGGCTGAAGCCCGACGGGTAGGCCGCGCCTATGCCGCGGATGGCCGTCGGGTAGTTCTCCGGGGTGTACGCGTACACGCAGCCCCACGCTCCCAGCATGAAGAAGGACGTGAACGAGCCGGTCACCATGACGGGCACCTTCGAGGCGTCCACGTAGCCCATGGCGATGGCGGATGCGAACGAACCGGCCAGGAAGATCACGAGCGTTTGCTTGCGGCCGATGATCTCGACGAGCCCAGCGGCCGCGAAGTAGCCCGGCAGCTGGAACGCCGTGATGATGAGGATGGTCTCCCACTGGCCGTTCATGTTGTAGCCCTTGAGCGCGATCAGGTTGGGCAGGTAGATGAAGATGGCGTAGTACGACATGGAGATGCCGAACCACAGCGTCCACAGCACCGTGGTGCGCACGCGGAACTGGCGCTGGAAGAGCACGCCGATGCGCTTGAAGTGCGACTCCGGCAGCTGGGGCGGCGCGGGCGGCAGCGGCTCGGCGCTCTCCAGCTCCGACTTGGGGTCGTACGGGTCCAGGCCGTGGGCGCGCTCGATGGACTCTACGATGGCCACGGCCTCGTCGTAGCGTCCGACGCTGGCCAGCCACTTGGGCGACTCCGGGATGTACAGGCGGATGACCATGGCGTAGACGACGGGCGCGCAGCAGATGAAGAAGGTCTCGCGCCAGCCGATGCGCGGCGCGGCGCCGAAGGCCATGACGACGGCCATCATGCAGCCGATGGCCCAGAAGGACTCGAGCAGCACGATGATCTTGCCGCGCGTCTTCTTGGGGGACAGCTCCTGCACGAGCGTGGAGGCCACGGGCAGCTCGCCGCCGAGGCCGATGCCCGAGATGATGCGCGCGCACGTGATGGAGGTGACGTCCCAGCTGGCGGCGCAGAGCGCGAGCCCCACGAGGAAGATGACGAGCGTGACCATGAACATGGGGCGGCGGCCGTACTTGTCGGCCAGCGAGCCGAACGGGAACGAGCCGATGAAGGAGCCGACGAAGACGGCGCCGCCCAGGAACGAGGCCTGGCGCGAGCTCTGCGGGATGTCCTCGCGGATGAGCGCGGCGCAGTACGTGAAGATGAACGTCTCCATCGAGTCCATGGCCCAGCCGAAGCCCGTGAGCAGGATGAGCTTGATGTAGTACCACGAGAGCCCCATGACGACGCCCGAGTCGCGCTCGCCGATAGCGTCGATGCGCCGCGTGATGCGCTGCACGGCCTCCACGTTGTCGGCGGGGGCGGCGGCGGTCATGATCGGGCTTGACTTGTGACTTGACTTGACTTGGTTGCTCCTGGCGAAAAAGTGTAGGTTCTTGTCGCCCTCTGCTTGCGATACACGACGAAAATTGGCGAGTGAGACGCGTCCATTGATCGCGATACCTCTTTTAGCGTGGTTTGTATGATAGCCTATCATTGATAGGTGCGGCCCGCATCGGTTTGGAAAGGGTTCGCGCGTTGATTGGTGGAAGGAGGCTTACCGAAACCGACGTGCGTGCGCGATCCACGCGGGGCAAAAATCGTCTTGGCGTCCATTTGTAATCGCAGAGAGCGGCGTGCAACTCGAAGACGTGGACTGTACTCCTCCTACTTTACCGCAGAAAGGTGAGCTGCAGCCTGTTGTCACGTGGGGTCCGGTACGGGCAGGTTGCTCTAGATGGTCGCCACCGCCATCATCCAGTGGTTTAAGATGCATTAGTTTTTTCTTCACGCAAGTCGAACATTGTCGAATATGACCAATATATGGAAGAAATTGCGCAAAACCTTCCCAAAAACCAAAAGTCGCTAAACCTCCAACTGACTCTATGTAACGGGGTACAATCAAGTGTACCCATTACATGAAGAGTGACGGGTGTCACTCTCCCGAGTACATGGTACATGGTACCAGTAGCTCCGCAAGCCAACCATTTGAGTTTGTGTGGGCTTTTGTATAGTTAACTTGTAGTTTGTATTACGACCAAGTTAACCTCTACCAAAATACAGTCAGTCTTATAACCTACTCCTTTGTAGCAAACCGTTTCCTTTGAGGCCGGGAACTGGTGAACTGCTGTTCACCTGGATAGTAATATCCACACGCACTTCCTCTGTGCATTGTGCTGTGTGACCCCGTCACACTCTAAGCTTGCACTGTTGTTGCAGCGGGGCTGCTGTAGCTTTAGCGTCAGAGGAAGACGTAACAGACTCACAGAGTCTCAGCTTAACCCTTCTAGCCCCAACCTTATTCTGTAGCGATTATACAGAATAAGATGACTTGATTAAAGTAATTGTCAAAACTGCAGGAGGTGACTCGCGTTACAGCACCTTTAATACAACGTCACGACACCTCCATGGAGCGCCTTTAACCCTTCTAGCCCCAGACCTTATTCTGTATCCTACAGAATAAGCATTAGACTTGATTAAAGTATACTTCAAAACCTGTCAAAGATTTGCTGTTGGAAGCCCTTTCGCATCTTGCGGTCAAGCGCTGGGTACATTGTGCACAGAATAGCTACGAAAGTGAACAAAACATGCTCAATGTATCTACCATATGCCGAAATGGCGAGCTTCTATTGGTCGTGGCGAGCGTAGAGCACGCTCAAAACCTGCTACATGGTAATACCTTGCAAGGCTGCTAATGCAGCATACTTCGGCTCCAGCCACCCATCTTCGGCACGTCGCGATAAACGCGGAGGAAGAAATCGCCCTGTTCCTAACTGACGTAGTGAGGAGGAACTGGGCGAATTCTTCCTTGTGCTTGACATTAGCGCATCATTAGATTTCTTTAGCCCACCTAACAAGCTTGTTACGATTGTCTCTCTAACAACACCAGGGAGCTTGCATGCTCAATAGCCCGTAATGACACGCACTACACACGGTTCCTCTTGTACGAAACAGGACAATATATGATATTCATGCCAACGTCTACTTCTTCCTTTACATGCGCACGCTCTTCAATGTTCGCGCCAGCCGTGGGTCATCTTCGCCATTTTGGCAGCCTCCGCTTTGCTCTGTAGCCTCCGGCACTGCCGCTCCATTCCTGCTGCTTTCATCGGTAGCCTCCGTCGTAGCCTCTATCCCTTCTTCTGTAATCTCCGGTGTAATCTCATCACGCGGAGAGCTTCTTCTGTAGCATCCGCCGTAGCATCTACCGCTTCTTCTGTAGTCTCCGGTGTAGCCACACCATGAGGAGCGCTTCTTCTGTAGCCTCTTGAGTAGCCGCTGCATCAGCTACAATATAGCGGTAGACCCGGCTGTAGCCGGCTTCGTAGGAACCGATGAGATTGTGCGCTGACTCCGCAATCGATCTGCCAATCGGGCCACACGCGAGAGCTCATAGCGTCGTCTGGGTAGGATCACCAGGTCTGGTAATCAACATCGCAACGTAGAATCAATATACCACTAGTACAATGTTACAGAGCAAAGTACACGCTCTCGCTTACCTGTAGATCACAATGGCGCTCATCATGATCGTCTTCGGCAATGGTCCTTGGCCACTTGGGCGCGCTCGACGGGCCCCAGCAAAGCTTGCATTGCGACGTCTTGAACAGCGCAGTTTCGGAATGAAGGAAAGTACGAGTGGCTGACAGGCGGCGGTTTTAGGCTTCCACCCGAATTTTCAAACCTGTTGGTGATTTATACTCGTCCGTCTATTACCGCGGAATAAACCCCGTTTATCTTCCCATCGCTAATCTAACAGGAAGATGTGCACAATACCGGCTATACAAACATCCATATGCGAAGTTCGAAAGAGAGGACAAGTTTGCTGGATATTATGCCCTGTGACAATGCTTATTCTGTAGGATACAGAATACGGGTTAGAGGGGTTAACAGGCTAAAGCGCCATTATGTACTTCGTGATCATTGATTGTGTAGATACAGCGCCATTATACATAAAGCGCCATTAACATCACGCATGAGGAATCTAACGTTCATTTACTCCTACATGTCCAGGTTTCCTGCCGTGCAATCAAGCCGGTATTAGCGTTCAAGTTGCTGGTCAAGAAGCGCGAGGGCAAGGACAAGGACAAACACATGAGCGGCGTCTAGGTCTGCCAGATGCCGCGCGGCAGCACGTGCAACCTCGTATGCGTCCTGGAGCACCGGAAACTGTCGTGCCTGAGGAAGAAGGTGGCGGAAGCTGCAGGTCCTGGAGAAGACGCGCGTGCCGGTGCTGCGTGAAAGAAGCTGATGGAGCCCAAGGGAGGCAGCAGAGCAGTGGGAAGAAGGCGGCAGGAAGAAGCGGGTGAAGGGAGAGAACGTGTTCGTCAGCACGCAGTCAGGTCATCTCGTATGCAAGGGCAACCTGCGCCTGCGCAGGAATGCTGCTACTCGTTAAGGGCAAGCCGAACACTGTGCTCGAGATCACGGACCCAAGATGAAGAGCTCAAGAAGTGGTGGCTGGACTACACTCTGTCCAAGGACACATACACATTATTCTTGCAGCTCACGGTGAATTGGTGCCCTGCTTTGCTCAGGTGCAATGGTTGCCATCGGCTGCATGACGCCGGTATCGGATGCCGTAGTGAAGTTTACGGGACGCACACGATCAAGTAGCAAGGAAACGAGGTTGGGCTGAACGTTGTCTCCTGCGGCCCGCGCGATAACTCCGAAGTAATAGTTAAAGTGTACTGCATCTACCAGCATTTACATTCTGTCATGATCACGGGGTATTATGCCTTTTACGCGTGAATACTCGGTCGTACAACTAACGTTTGGTTGTGAGGCTGATCAAATACTAGAATTCACCAAGGAGATTTAGGAGCACAGTGACAACGCGTTATCATCTTCAAAAGCGGCAAAGTGGACTGGAAGCCGCTTATCCTACCGCGATCCATGACCCGGGATGATCTTGGATACACATCAGAGTCGCCAAAGTGCAGCCAGCAGGACACATTGTAATTTCATGGTATTCTGCTAGACTTCTGCATTCACACCGTTGTAGCGCTTGGAATGTAGGGGCACGTATCGTAGTGGTGTTGGCAGGTAGTGTAGGAAGCTCTAGGACAAATGAATGATGATTTATTATTGCGAGGCTCTGGATCCTGGTTCACTAGCGCTACGTCCAGTCTAAAACCTTGCACATGCACTATAAAAGAAAAGAAAAGAAAATAATGACCAGCGTGAGATCATGACCAGCTAAGTAGTCATGTCGAACTGCTGCAGAATTTCCGTGTGCGTCTCGAAGCAGCTTGCTGCTCGCTCAGATGGTGGAGACTTTTCCCAGCAGTAGTGCACAATGTACCACAAGATTCGTAGTCGAAGCAGTGTCGTGTAGTCCGCTGGTACTTCGGAATGGCTGCTAAAACCACTCAGTTGGTTCAGAATCTCGTGCGCCTGGGCAATTATCAGTGCACCGCAACTCGACGCATCCGACTGCTTAGCTTTCGTGAGCCACTTTTTTTCATCTCGGGGGAATGCCAGCGGTCAGCGGATAGGTTCATGTGACTGGCGGGTTTCAGTTTTCCAACGAGCGATCTGCAAATTGTAGTCATCATGCCACTGCGTCAAAAAGGGAAGCAAGCCCTCTTCCCATTCGTGCTCCAGAAGGGTATCACGCCCACCGGGAGGGTCGTAGAAATACACTGTGATTGCCGAGTCGTACTTGATCTGCGCGACGACCAACATCCAGTGGAGGTTTGAAGTGTTGAGTGGTAGAACAACATACTTCATTTTGGTGATGTCTTCAACTTGCTGTGCATTGTCGCGAGGTGTATCGGGCCATGCAACCATATTTACCAGCATATTCATCAGCTTGACGCCGCTGCGGGCGTCACACAATGCCTGAAGGCACATCAGAATCACCGAGTCGTTCAACCACCAATCGCGAGCTACAAAACCAGCCACATTTTCAAACTTGATCGATCTTGCCTCCGTCTGCAGTACGTATTCTGTCTGAAAGCAGGCCTTCCGGTATTTTGCCCTTACTTGTACCGCACATTGTTTGTCTCATCCGCCTTCGGCTTCACAGTTTCCACTTGATTCTAGCGAAAAGAGCTCGACTTGGGTAGAGCTTTTCCAAGCACGATGAAGCCACTGAATGTCCTTCTCCCAGGCACAGAGCTTCGTTTTAAGCTGATAGTAGTGCGACAAGCGAAAGATCGCACGACTAAGCATTAACCACACACAAACATATGAAGCTGTTAGAGTTTGAATCCCCGTAAACCATCGTGCTGTAAGGTTGAGTACTAACCTTGAGAAGCGTGGAAGTCCGTCTGGATAGCTTAAAACCAAATCTTGGCTGCTCGAAGCTGTGTTTTCATGGTGTCCAGGCACTACAATAAGCTAGCTACACTTACCGAACTCGGACTTGACCCTTGTTGGCTTTGGGGGAAGACTGTCTTTTTATTACTGAGTTTTCTGAGGCCCTGGGGCCTCGTTCTGGCCATCCTATGATGAGTCCTATGTCCCTATACAAATATTTAGTGTGAACGATCGCAATAAGGCGATTCCGGACACATCAAATGAGACCGCGGCTACACTAATAAGTGCGGCCGAAGTACGTAACTAAATGCATCTGTATCTAAAAGTGGGTACCATGAAGCCTCGTTCAGGGTTGTATTAGGCCCCGACGAGGCTTCTGCCACTATCTGCCACTCCAACGAGGATAATGTCGTCAGCTTAATCAAAGCAGCCACTTCCATCTCGCACTTGGCTGCTCCTTGACTGTACTTTGATTCTTGGGCGACGGGCAATCGCTCCGGTAATCTCCATTTTCCGATACCGCAACCGCCCCCCGCCTGGATACGAGCCCCCGCAACAGGTGAGCGTCTAGGCGCCTCCCGTCCGTAAACGTCATGGTTCATTCATCGCGCTTGTGCTTGACCGCTGCGACCGCCGCTCTCCTGGACCTTCAGTGTTCTGGTCCGGTACGCTGGGCGCTCTTGCTGCTCTTCGCGATCAGTTGGATCCTCGTTAATGACGCCAGCTTGTTCTCCGGCATCCCAGGGTGCTGTAGATGTAGTCACCGACACTTTGCAACGTTGGCTAGGGTCGCAAGATCTTTCATTACCCACCGGTGGGCCTGTTGGCGCTGATAATACGGTTCCGGCGCAAGCTGCACCTGTGACCGAGCCTCCAGCGACTTCCGTCGCTGCTGAAGTGTCGGTCGACACACCACAAGGTTCCTCCAGTGATATTTCATCTTCTGCTAGGGCCACCGAGGATTTGAGGATGCTTGGAGCCGCTACGTTGCGCACGGTGATACGCATGTCCGATGCATTCCGGTGGTCGTATGGTCCGACGTTGGTCGTTCCACCGATACCATGTGGACTGCCGGTGTTTGCGTCTTGGTCCCGTTTACTTCACCTTCAGTGGCATCTTCTGCAGCGTGTCAAACTCAATCGGAACGGCGTACGGTAGCCGGTCATGCTTCAATCGGCAGTCCATCCATTGCTACACCACCGGAATTCCGGTGGTCGTATGGTCCGACGTTGGTTGTTCGGTCGATACCCCGCGCACTGCCCCTGAGTTACACCTTGGCTTCGTTTCCTCGATGACATTGGTGTCTGCTTTAGAAAGTGCTGCATCACCTGAGGGTCAAACTGAGCAGCATGCCATGCCACTCTTCTGGCCTCAATACCAATCTACCGGAGTTCCGGTGGTCGTATGGTCCGACGTTCCATCGACATGCTGCTGACCGCCGCTCGTCACACATGGCCCGCATACTTCTCAGCGTCGCTGACATCTTCTGTAGCTAGTTCTGCGTCGTTCGATGGTTCAACGTCAACTGCAGTAGTCAGGGAACGTGAGATGACTCGTCCAGCCTCACACCATTACTACGTCGGAACTTTGGTGGTCGTAAAGGAGGCAGGTATGGTTGCCCCAGCTTGAAGCTCGCGAATCACTGCACCGCCAACGTCGGTCACATCATCACTTGCTTCGTTATCACTCAGAGATAGTGTAGCTGTGTCGACCGTGGTTTCGTTGCCTTCGTTCCACAGTTCCATCCGGATTTTCCGGTGGTCGTAACCAATTCGGGTTTAGTTGCCTCAGTCTGTGGCTCGGGAACCACCGCACCAGAAACGTCGGTCGAGCCTTCAGCTTCTTCCTCTTTGGCGTGAGAAACTGTACCAGTGTTGACCGTGGTTCGTGATCCACTTACAGCAAATACTCGGTGGTCGTAACGTAAGGTCTGGGTCCATCAAGCGACCCGCTGTGTTGCAATCAATCTTTTCGAGCCGCACCAATTCTCGTTCAGGGTTCCCACAGTTTCCGCGCAGGCTACATCAGGCACCACCGCCTTGAACGAAACGTAGTTGTCGGGCGTAGCGGTCCCAGATCCACTCGTATCTCCACTTCATCATCAAATCCATACATCGTCGCAAGTCGAGGTCCGGCGCACAGGCGCGACCTTCTTCCACGTTAATATCGGCACCCGAAGCCTCGGTCACCCTTCCTTGAGCTTCATTCCTGTTCGTTTCATCTGCTGGGGTGTTGACCGAGGCATTCCGACATGCCACTCCATCGTAACTCATTCACATCACATGTAATATGCAAATTCCAGTAATTTCCTTCGTCTGTCGCTGCGAGCTGGATAGCCCTCGCAGACAGTTCAATCATCGTTTCCAGTAGCTTCATTCGTCTGCCATCGCGAGCTGGGTAACCCTCGCGGGTAGTTCAAACGTCGTTAGCGTATGCAACTTGTCAACGACTTGGGCCACGTGCAAACATCGTGCTGCGTTCGCCACTCGTGCAGGTCATCACCCAAACGAACAATCGAACGGTGTTCGTCTGCGCTTAGGTACGTCATCTCAGGTCCGTTCCACTTCCAAACCTTTGCCAGCCCACCACTGAGAATCAGCACTCGTGTCTTGGTTTACCTCGTTCCATGTAGGGCCAAATCCGAGTGGTAGGCTTCAGTCGAGAGGTCGGTAGAGACTCCTGCGCGTAGTCGCTGCGATTAATCTCGTTCGCGGTGTCATCATCCTCCGGGAACCCTTCCGCAACCATCGCATGTACGACCGAGGTGTAATTCGCCTCCAATAGGCTTTCAGGGTCCTCTTTGTCCGGGCCATCGACACAATTTTCTCCATCGGTACTAACCTCGGTCGTGGCGGTTCCTGCTTCAGTTAAAATGTCGTTCAGTCCAGGATCATGTTCACCCCAGTCGATAGTGGCGTTGCCCCGCGCGACCGACGTTTTATCTGGTTCAGGGCGTGCTTGCGTGTCAGTCGCTGTTTCGGCCATCCGCGGGGCGGGTTCCACCGCTGCTGTTACATCTGGCGCGTCATGGTCTTCTCCCGAATCGTCGTTCAGCTCTCCAACACCATCATCACGCTTGACTCCGGCTCCTGACACTTCGGCCGGGGCTTCCTGTGCCCCATGTTCGATGCTATAGGCGTTATGATCGGTGCGCTTGGATGCATAGGCCGCTCGGTGAAGTGACGACCCTTCCAGTGCGTCGGAGCCGGTCCATGCACTCGCCTCGTCGTCCGAACCGTCGTTGGATATACCATCACGTTCTGTGTCGTCTGCACCAGGCTCAGTAACCTTGACCGAGCCTTGGGAGACCCTGGGGTCGTTGGCATGATCCGATATACCGAGCGAAGAATAATCATCGTTAGGACGACCTTGAAGATGACCTCTCGGCCATATTGGAGCGTCGCGCGGCCTCCGTAAGATCTTCTGCGGCGTCGAGTAAGTCCTGCGCTCAACCGCGGGTGGCTGTTTGGCCAGCCATTGGTCATAGAGACATCGCTCCCTTCCATACAGAGTCTCGTCACGGCTCGTTGAGTATGCCAGCACCTGCCACTCCTTGTACTTGTTATAGTCTAATCTCGCGTAGCCAGTCTCTCGCGGTAGTTCACCATGTGGTACCCACAGCACCACGGAGTCATGCTTGGCGCACTGTGCCGCTGTGGTCGTAATATTGGTGAGCCGTACCCACGTCGGCTACCCCCGTCGAAACCTCGTTACGGTCGGCACGAGCTTTTTCCGTGCGTCGTACCCACACATCGTACTCCGAACGAGGTAGCCGCTGGCGCGGCAGTCGAAACTCTCGCCACTCGCGACCGGGGACGTATAAATCCTCGGTCGGCCCACACGAAGGCTGCGTGCCATAAGGTTCGTCATCTTCAACACTCTGCGACTTTAGCAGCGGTACCATGACCTCGTCCGGAAGGCGTGCGGTGCCATGAAATAGATCCAGCCGGATTCCAGCCGGGATCATAAAGTCCATCCCAAAGACCACATCCACTCCGGCACTGTGGTCTATTATCCACAATTCAAATTCGTAGACCTGCTTCCACCCGAGAGTGATCTTGACGAGCACCCGTCGCCGGGTCTCCATCACCCCCGGGTTGATGCCGCGGACTTCGAGACTTCGTCCGTGGTCCCGGACTTCTCGCATACGTAGCCGCTTGGCGAAGCTGGCAGAAATCACACTAACATTCGCTCCAGCGTCAAGGAGTATCCTCGTTCGCGCGTCGTTCACAGCGCCATTGACCAAAGCTCTCATTCGCTTCCTCTTGTCGTATCGTTGGGACGACCACCACCCCAGTCTCTCACCGGGCAGTAATTTGACCGCCCGAACGAGGCTCCGAGGTGGTCCCCTGATCTGGGCTAGACTTGTGATCAAAGCCTCGGTCGGGTGTCCATCACGTTCATCATCATCTTCTTCATCAATACCAATCTCAACGAGACTTGCGTCTCGTTCTCTCCTTTTCCGTCGGTTTCACACGTTCATTGTTCTTCAGGTCGTCAGGCCGTTTGCTTTCACCCGTGAACACGAACAGATAGTCCGCATCAACAGCAGGCTCAGCTAACTGTGGCAGCCCGATTGGGACCAACCCAGTTTCAGTTGGCGGGCTGCCTAGTTAAAATGGCTTCCATACATCAGGCTTTGCAGCTCTAGCGACAGATCCTTCTTGTCGACCTTGGACTTCAGGAGCTTGGTGAGCTCGTGGAGAGCTTCACACTTCCCAGTGTCGTGCACCTGGTTGCACAGTTTGCACCGCCGGTAGCAGAAGTGCACCAAGTGGGACGGGCTTCCGCACGCGGCACACGGCCCAAACTGGCGTCGACCATCTCGTTCACGGTTGGACGGGCCTCCTCCGTTCCTGAAGCGTCGGTTATCAGACCGAGCGAACGTTGCTTCGGCTGCGGCCCTGCGCTCAGCATCGTTAGCGGCAGCGACATGTCCGGTAGACCCATCCGAGTCGTAATCAGCGTCTGAATCCTCGTCCGAGCGTTGGTCGTCCGAGTATTGGCGCTCATCCTCGAAGTAATCCCCGTTCGCCTCAGCATCACGTCGGGGGGCGTATGGAGCCTCGTTGCGTGCACCGACCGAGCCTCCGACGTTCCATTCCGCCATAACATCGGCAAGGGCGTCGACCAAAGTCACCCTCGACCGGTGCGGCGACCCGTCACGTCGGTCACGGCGGCGGTCGTCATCACGACGATCGGTGCGGCGGTCGTCGTCACGGTAACGTCGTTCGCGGCGGTCCTCGTCGCGGTAACGTCGTTCACGGCGATAACCACTTCGAGAATCCTCGTTCGACCGCGCGTCGCGACAGCGCTGTCATCCTGACTGCGGGAGCGGCGGAACGATGATTCGCGGGTCGACTTTCGGTCGCGGTGACGCAGAATGGCGTTGATCATGTCTTCGAGGTCATGAATGCTCTTGACCCGAACGTGACACAGACGGTCTTCTATGTTTCGGTCATCACACGTAACCAAGAAGTGTTCCACATGGTCCTTCGCGTCACGCCCACCGTTTTCAAACTGCACGCCGGCGTTGCGAGCGTAGCCGTTAAGCCGGTTGAGGTAGTCACATACGTGCTCCTTGTCCTCTCGCTTGGCCGAGTAATACCGAGCCTTCGCAGACTGGGAAAACTTCGAACAGTAGTACTTAAGGAACGCCTCGCTCAGCAACTTCCACGAGTGTCTCGTCTTGCGTGGGAGCTGGCGGCACCAGTGCAGAGCTCCATCTCTGAGCTTAAGCTCGAACGGCATACACCACTCGTTGGGTGAAGCATGTGTTCCCTTCATCTCATAGATGAACGTTCGGAGCCACTGCATGGAGTACTCGCTCTTGTCGCGCGTCCCGAAGAACGGCTTGGTATTGGCGAGGGGTAGATGCGTGGCAATCTCGAGCTTCGGGGTTGAGCTCTGATTGTCAGTCGCGCCCAGTTCGCGCACCTGACGAGCCCATTCGCTTGGCAGGTCGCCCTCGTAGTGGTCGGACCCGAGATCGTCATCACTGTCCGACGAGTCATCTCGGTGGTCGTAACGGTGGCTGGGGGCGGCCGGTTGCCCCGCGCGTGCCGGACATAGCGTACGAAGACTCGGTCTCCCTAGCCAGACGTTCAGTACGGTCCGTAGATCGTGGGGTCACCATGTGCGAGTCTTGCATGTAAGGCGAGGCCTCGCCCTTGGCTGCGAAGACTCCGTCGTCCGTGGCTGCCTTTCCGGGGGGTCGCTGGTAGCGGTACATTGGAGGGGTCGACAGCTTCCGGGGTCGAATGAAGCCTCGTTGAGCCTCTATCTGCCACTCCATAGGCGTCGCGCAGGTTCTTCCTTCACTTGGTAAGTGCCGCGGCAGTGCTTGTGGGCGTCCAGCTCGCGAGTGCAGCCTCCGTCGGGAGAGTCTGGGGCTCGCACCCCATTGCACACAGGAGGTCCACAGTGTTCTGAGCGACCTGCCGAGTGCTCGTTGAGTTGATCGGCGTTGCCAAAGCCCCTCCGAGGTCCATCCAGATGGCCTGGCGGACCTGCTTCGGGGAGAACAACTGCATCCACTCACTTTTGGCCTTCATCAGCTCCAGACATCGGCCTAGAACCTTGCTGGCCGCCGGAGTATCGCCGTTGAGGGGAGGACGAGTGCCAACCGGCTTGGAGGTTGCCCCTCCTACCGTCACCGAGGCTTTGAAACCCTCGGTCGCACCGTCATCCGCGTCGTAGGCGGGCTCGGGGCCCGACATGTCGTTGAACGTTTCGGAGAGGTCGCGGGTGATCGACCTCGAGCCTCCACTGCGGTCGGCCGACACAACCGCGGCCTCCGAAGTCTCGGACATCACAGTCCTGACATCCCAGTCATCATCTTCGTCATCTTCTTTGGCGTCCGAGGAATCAATCGCCGTGTCGCATCTCGCCGACCGCTCGTCGATCGACTCCATCCTATCCGTCGCTGGGGTCGAGAACGAGCTTCCAGAGCGCACCGAAGCCTCGTTGCGCGTTCCACTCGACTTGACCGGCGTTGCTGGTACCGCTGACTTGACTCCCTTCGCCTTCTTTTCACTTCTTCTTCGCTTCTCTTCTTCTTCTCCTCTTTGCTCGGTGGGGTAAGACCTACAACAACCCAGACACACAGAAGGTCGCACCAATCCCGGGTCGCGGCACCAGTTGTGGTGTGGTAATACCACTAAAATTCTCTTCTACCAAAAGGTATTAGAGACACCAACAACACGCTAACCCGCAAAGGTAAGCGCTTATTGGATCAAAACCTGAAGACCAGGAACGATCCCTTACACCGGGTCGGTTGCAAGCGCCTCTGTGCACCTTAGGTTATCTTCGGTCAACCCTAAAACCTGTACCACTAGCCACGAGCTAAGGCTAGGATACTATGTAGCGCTTTCGCGCAATCCCACTGCAGTCCCTCAGAAAGGAAGGGTACCGGCGTGTTGGGCCTTATACAGGGGGACCAAGGTAAAACCTCGGTAGGTAGACTAATACACTCAGGGACACTCTAATCCCACAAAACAAATATATACTGAACGATACTCTAATACCGTTCCTGCCTCTCCAGCCACGCCAACTCTTGGCGCTACCAAGGAAACTCTCGGTCAATGCACGATAAGCTCCCCGACAGGCATCCACACGCAGCCGAGCGTGTCCAGGCACTACAATAAGCTAGCTACACTTACCGAACTCGGACTTGACCCTTGTTGGCTTTGGGGGAAGACTGTCTTTTTATTACTGAGTTTTCTGAGGCCCTGGGGCCTCGTTCTGTCCATCCTATGATGAGTCCTATGTCCCTATACAAATATTTAGTGTGAACGATCGCAATAAGGCGATTCCGGACACATCAAATGAGACCGCGGCTACACTAATAAGTGCGGCCGAAGTACGTAACTAAATGCATCTGTATCTAAAAGTGGGTACCATGAAGCCTCGTTCAGGGTTGTATTAGGCCCCGACGAGGCTTCTGCCACTATCTGCCACTCCAACGAGGATAATGTCGTCAGCTTAATCAAAGCAGCCACTTCCATCTCGCACTTGGCTGCTCCTTGACTGTACTTTGATTCTTGGGCGACGGGCAATCGCTCCGGTAATCTCCATTTTCCGATACCGCAGAGAGATCAGGCTCGTCAGGCCGTGACCGCCCTGGAGCAGCAGCGTGCCCCGGTCGACGAAGAGCTCCGTGCGGCCCGTGCGTCGCTTTCTCAGAGCCGCACGGAGACTGAGGCGGCCCAGAACCTGAACGTCCCGCTGCAGGACGACCTTCGGCGCGCCAACGCGCTCTTGGTGGCCCACGCCGAGGAGCTCCGCCGCGGCGCGACGCGTATCCACGAGCTGGAGGAGTCGGTGGCAACAGCCACGACTCTCCGTGTGGCCGCCGAGTCCGAGATGGCGCGGGCTCAAGCTGACAAACTTTGCGCCACGTTTCGCGCGGTGCAATATCGGGCTGGGTGGCTGTCCATGCGGCGGTCGTCTCAGCAGCGTCGAGAAGCAGTCGGCGCCCAGACCCATCGTCTCAGCGCTCGCGTCGTCGAGCTGGAGGAGGAGCGCGACTTGGCCGTCCGAGAGCGCGACGAACGCGCTGTGGTTTGGCGTCGGATGCTTCGAGACGCGCGTCGGGGCCGAGAGCTGGCGCGGCTGGTGCGCGACGAGCTTGCCGATCGCCTCGCCGGTGTCGTAACGCGTGTAGGCGGGCAGATCGACACCGCTGACCTGGTCAGGCGACTCGAAGCCACCTTCACGGCGGAGATCGACGGTGCGGTCCCCCTCCCCACTGCTATTCCTACGTCCGCAGCAGTTCCTGTGGCATCCGCGGTTCCTGTTCCTGCTCCAACTGCGTCGAGCTCTGGTGCCCGGGCGGGCTCGTCGGCTTCGAAGGCGGGCTCGACGACTGGCGCTTCCCCTCCAGCAGGTCCTTCGGGATCCCGTCCCGTTCCGACTTCGTCCGCTGCCTCGTCCTCGTAAGATTTTCGGCGACCTCGACACAGCGCGTCGAGTCGTTCGGGTTCTCGGTCACGCAAATCTAGGCCGTCAGGTGTGGCGTCCGCTACGTCGTCCGGTTCTTCGCCCCTTCGACGTAGTCGGCGGCCCTCTACCGTGGCCGACACTGTGGCTTCCGACAACGCCGCTGCGCAGGCCTCATCTGCCGCTACGCCCTCTGCGGCCGCTGCAGCTGCAGCGCGCGCACGAGAGGACGCGTCGCTCTTCGGTTCCGAGTCTTCGGACAGCGAGGACCAAGCGCGGCGAGCTCAGCCCAAGCGTCGCCGGCTGCATAGCCCCGGGTCTCACTCACGGTCGCATGCGCGTCCGCCTCCACGTTCGCAGTCACGTTCCCGGACACCCCCGCGCTCCCGTTCTGCTTCGCGTTCGCGTTCGCGCTCGGCCCCTCGTTCGCGTTCGCACTCGTCCCCACGCTCGCGCTCGCGTTCTCGCTCGCCCTCCTTGGCGTCGACACACTCGGCCGGCTCAGCGCGTTCGGCGCACTCGGCGGGGTCGGCGCATTCGGCGGGGTCGGCGGCCTCGTGTCACTCTTCTCCTGCACGGACGACGCACTCCTCGCCGAGGGGCCGTGCGGCAACCGGAGCTGGACCAGGCCCTGGTCCGGGCGATTCGGGCGACTCCAGTGGAGACGACTCGTCCGCTTCCTCGTCGTCCCGCGCCTCATCCTCGAGCACCACCTCCAGCGGCTCGGCGGGGAGTGCTCCGGCGGCGCCCTTCTTCGACCCTGTGATTCCGCCTGCCGGAACTCCGTCTGGCTGGCGGCAGCCTCGCTACGCTCCTTGGTCCAAGCGGGTACGACGTCTCCGCCTTCATCTCATCACCGTGCAGGAGTTGCGAACGCTCTTCCTGCCGCCGCCCGGCTGGATCATTCCGCGCCGTGTTCCCCCCGCGCCTGCGAACTGGAACCGCGCCCTCGTGACTCTGGCCAACGTCGACGCGCATTACGCGACTCGGCCGTGGCGCTACCTCGCTCAAGCCGCTGAGGCGCTTCTCTTCGCGTCCGGCGACGCGGCGTTCCGCCCATTCCTACGTCGGCTCCGGCACCACATCGAGCACTGGGCTCAGGCGTACTGGGAGGCCACCCATGAGCTCTTCGTGCAGGACGCGGCGTGGAAAAGGTGGCGCACGGCTCGCAACTCGCGTCGCTCCCACGCGGGCAACCACCTCAACAGCCTGTTGCAGCTGGTGGTCGGGCTGTTCCAGCAAGAGCTCGCAGACATGGACCTCTTGCTGGATCCAATGGTGCTTCACTTTCCGCCCGCGCACACGTCGATCGGACGGTGGTATCCAGGCCTCCAGCACGCGACGTTGCAAGCCGCGCTCGACGACATCGACGCGCAGGAGCCCTGGCGTCGGTTCTATCGGACGCCGCTCACTGTGGCCGAGATGGACGCCAACGTACGCTGCCGAGTGACACGCGATCACCCCGCCTTCCATGTGCCGCGTCTTGCCGGTAAGTTCGTCCAGCAGGTTTGAGCCCTGGCCCATCGTCGTAGTTCGTCGCCTTTAGTTGTCGTAGCCGTAACTTCAACACGCAGCCTTGATCTTTTCCCTTGTTTCTTTCCACTTCTCCACATCTTTTATGAGACGGCCCTCCGCCGTCCCATCTTCAGCAACAGGCTGGTCCTCCTCACTTCCCTCATCCAATCCCTCGCTCCGGCCATTCCCAAAGTCGAGGCTTCCCACCAGTCCTCCCGTCGGCAGCCCCCCTGCCGACTTAGTCGCACCCGTGGGCGCTCACCGACCAGGCTCCACCGCCTCCGCGTTCTCGTGCGACTGCATCGCCTCGAACCGGTTGCGTCCCGTGCGTTGGCGCAGGAAGCCGTACAGCAACCCGCCGCAATTCAGATCGAGCTCGTCGACCCACGTCGTATCCGGGTAGCCCTTCCATTTGACTTCGAACTCGCGTCGCGTGCGCCCATACCGGGTAGCCCGCCCCTCGCGCACATTCACGATCTTCTCGACCTCGAAGACGTCGTCCTCCAGCTCGCGCGTGGCTTCCCAGCTATCCTCCGGCAAGAGCTCCTCGTCGAAGTCGAAGCGCTCCTCGGCCGGCACCGTCAGCTGCATCGCGGGTCGCGACGGGAATTCCCGGACGGGCTTTAGCTTGGAGATGTGGACGACGGGGTACAGCTGATAGGGCGTACCCGCCGTCTCGAGGCGCACGGCGAACGCGCTGACCAGCACGGCGACGCGGAAGGGTCCGTGCCACATGTGCGCGAGTTTGCGCGCATACCCCGGCTTCACCCGATCCAGGTACAGCCAAACTTGCGAGCCCGTCGCGATCTCATGGTGCGTCGCGTTTTCAGTTTGTCGACGCACTCTCTCTTCGACGGCCTCCCGGACTAACTCCAACGCTTGTGCCCTTGCCACCTTGTAGTGTCGCTGGATACGGAGTCTCCACCGCCTCGCCTCGGCGTTCCGAGTCGACGTGTTCCCGACGGCCAGCGTCGCTTCCAGCGTCGACCGAGGATCCCAGCCGTGCACTAAGAAGAACGGGGTTTCGTTCCTCGTCCGGTCGGGTCGACGTCCGCGATGTACATCTTGATCGCTCTTGTAACCGTCTGCACCATCCGTTCTGCAGCACCGTTGGCTTGGGGACGATAAGCGAGCATCGCTCGCTGTCTCTGACCCATGAGTTTGCTGAACGGATGCATCGCTGCTCAGGTCCCATGGTCATGGTGACCGATGGCCAGCAACCTTGGCAGCGGCTACTGTCGCTGCTGGGCCGAAGATGGCGCGCGCATTCGCTGCTGGAAGGCTGCCTCTGTCAGGCAAAGACATGGCAGCCAGTCTGCGACTTGGTCCGCGGACGATGGTATGTGTACATACGCAACACCATGCCGCAGCGTGATGCTGTTGCAACACTGGACGCGGTACGTCTACCGGCCAGATAGCCATCAGCACCACGCCAAAGCTCCAGGCTGTTGCTACGCTGGGCGCGGCACGTCTGCCGGCCAGGTAGCTATCAGTCCCGAGCATGGGTGTTGCCCACGAGGGGAGAACCCGAACGTGTTGCCTTTGCAGACATTCACAGTTGGCGCGGCACATGCCGCACCTGTAAGGCGCGAAGCCATACGCGTGCACGTGGCACATACTACCTGTGAGATAGTCGCGGTGCGTGACGCTCACTGTGCGCGTGGCACTTGGTGTACGCGAGGTACCCCTAGTGCACGCGACACTACTTGTGCACGTGGCACTTGAGGTGCACGAGGCACTTATGGCAGTCGTGGTACGCGCCATACACGACGTGCCTTTGGTGTATGAGGTGGTGCCCTCGTACACCTTGAGGTCCTGTATGAACTGTGTGCCATGCGGTCTTGCACGCACACCTACCTGGTGTTGGTCGCCGCGACGCAGGATGCGATCGCCGGTGACGGAGGGCAATACACCCCACACCACGATGAAGTACCCTTGCGGTACCCTGGTGTCGAAGGAAGACACCTTAGCGTCGGCGACGTGATGGCCGTGACGCACTGCAGGGCTTTAGACAAGTCCGCCGCGTTGCTCTGTATGATGAGCGGGTTGCTGGAAGCAGCCTTGGTCGCTCAAGCAAACACGAAGTTGAAGCATGACGCTTCATGGCTGTGGTCAGCGCTTGACCATAGCCCATGGGTCGAGCCGACGTATTCGGCCGACCGGCACACCGTGCTGTGACAAACGGGGCCCTGTCGGGCCGCTGTCATGGCCGGAGATGAGCAGCACAGCTCTCTCCATGGTTACGCTATGCGCTGACCGGAAAGGTGCTGTCCCTCGCGGGAGGCACTGTAGCACGAACGTGCCAGCGGGGCCCGAGGGCCATGTGACGCCAACTGCTGGTTGTCTACGAGGGACACCGCAAGTTTGGAGGCACATGCATCCCGTGCCGAGGCACTCTGCGCCTGCTAGCGCTGTGAATACGGCCACTAAACGCGTCGGCTTCGCGGCCAACATCGCCGAGGGCAGGGGGGTTCCGCGCGGGGTGCCCGCTGCGGGCACAAGTCACTGTGGGCGTGGCGATGAGGCGCACCAGCCTTGCGGCCTTCATTCGTCGCTGGAACGCGAGTCGACGCGAAGGGCGTCCGTTCGTCTCGTGACTCGAAGCGCGGGAGGAGCGTCGAGGCGAGCACTCCATGACGGATCTTCGGGAGCGCATCGGCAGCATGGAAGAGCGCGAGTGGCGTCTCTGCTACGTTCATCTTGTCGAAGGTGCGAGAACTGCGCAGCGACCCGTGATCGGCCGACGCGGGATGAATGGGAGAACCAGGTGCGGACCTGGCCTCTTTCGGAAGACGAGCAGCGCTGGATCGGACGCTACGAGCGCTCGCGCTCGGAGGTGGAGCGAGCACGCCTACGCCGTGGACGTGAGCGCTCTCGAAGCCGTGATCGTCAATACAGTCACGGCCGAAACCACCGCGACCCTTCGCCGGAGTTTCGTCGCAGCCGCAGTCGTGATCGAGGGTGGCCTTCAGCTGGGGCGCGCGAGTGCAGTCGCTCGCAAGGACGCGGTTCTCCAGCGCGTCATCGTTCGTCTTCGCCAGCGCGAGTGTGGACTCATTCTCGCGCACAACATCCGGGATATCCTGCAGCAGGCGACTACGTGGCTCCCACGTATCCTCCGCTGGCGAATATCCCAGCCAGCGGACGCGATAGTGCTTCTCAGGGGTACGCGCGTGGCTTCTCTTCGGATTCGACGGCACAGCACTATCGCGAGGACCTTCCTCGCGACTCCGGCGGACGTCATGGTCTACGATGCGCTCGGCAATCCAGCGCCGATCGCCAGCCGAGTTAATCAGCGGGGGTGGACCATCGCGACGGTAGGGCGGAACATGGGGGCGAAACGTCGCGCGTGACCCTTCGGCTCGAACAGCCGCCGGTTTCGTCGCTTTCGTCGGCCTCGTCAACTCATCAGCTACCTGCGTGCTCGGATCCTGCTGCGTCTGTGCAGCGGGTGACGATCGAGCAGTTCCGAATAATGATGGCCGAGACGGAGCAGGCCCGGAACGACGCGCTGGACGCGCAGAACCTTGCGGAGAGCGCTCGCACTCGAGCGAGCGCGGCCGAGGCAGTGGCGGAAGAGTCTCAGCGTGATCGACGCGCGCTGGTGGAGCGCCTCCGTCGTCTGGAGAGGGCTGCATTCGGGGCACCGCAGGCGGAACAGTCTGCGCGTGAGCGTCAGGGACTTGGGCCAAGCTGGCGTCAGCGTCGACGCCATGGGGGATCGGACTACGAGCCCGCCCGTGGCGCTGCGGACGGGAGTCGGGGACAACAGCAGGAAGATACGGCTTGAGGCGCCCGACGTAAAACGTCGGGTGGAGATGCATAGCAGTCGGTATGTCTAGGGTGTAGGCGTCTCCCAGCACTTTGATAACCTTGAATGGACCGATGTATCTTGGCGCCAGCTTGTTCGCGCCAAGGTTCGTAATTGCTGTCAATTGGATTCCGGTGGTCGACAGCAGGACTCGGTCTCCTTTGCGGAAGACGCTCGTGTTCTTCCGGCCTCGCTGGTCTGCGTACTCTTTCTGCTTGTCCACAGCAGACTGCAGCGCATCACGCACGAATCTCGTGATGGCTTGACGACGCAGCATGAACTCCGATACCGCTGCGGAGTCGATCGGCGAAGCAGCTTCGCGTGGGGCGAAGTTGGCCGCCGGTGGCCCGGCAGGGTCAGATGCGGGCGCAGGGTCGGTCGATCTTCTAGCCTTCGAACGCGTCCGTGATGCAATTCCACACACGGCAGCCGTTGACGTAACCGGTAATTCCGCGCCCATCGGTTCTGCTACCGGTGGAACCGGCGCCACAGTGCTGTTGCTATTCTCTCACGGCTCGGCTTCTCTCGACACTAGTGCCGGGCGGTTCGGCTCTGCATCCATACCCCCCCACCAAGAGTGGAGGGCGCCGAACCGGACGAAGACCCGAAGGCGAGCGTCGCTGGAACGCGTGGATGCCGCACGTTGTTGATGAAGAACGGCGTCAAACCTGTCGACGCATGGACTGCGTTGTTGATAGCGAACTCGGCGAGCGGCAGGAATGTACTCCACGACGGGAACGACGTAGCGTAGCTGCGAAGGACATCTTCAACGACTCGATTGACGCGCTCCGTTTGCCCATCCGTTTCAGGATGAGCTGCCGTCGACATGAACAAGTGCGTACCAAGCCGTTCAAACAATCGATCCCAAAAGGTCGACGTGAAGCGAGGGTCGCGGTCAGAGATGATGGATTCCGGGAGGCGATGATGCCGTAATACGAGGTCGAGGAACAAGGACGCAGTCGCCTCAGCTGTCACTTGGGCTTCGACTGGAGCAAGTCGGACCATCTTGCTAAAGCGATCGACGATGACAAGGGCGCCCGTGCGGCCCTGGTCGTCGGATGGAAGGCCGAAGACGAAGTCCATGCTGACGGATCGCCACGCCGCCGTGGCGATAGGCAACGGGCGCAGCGGAGCTTGCGATGATGGAGCTGGCTTGACGCGCTGGCAAGTCTCGCAAGTCCGAACC